GTTGTCAGGATGCAGGAGCACACATGGTCCTCACAAATCAGCATCACCATCACTGCAGCTCAGAGAACGAACCTCCTGGCGCTTCCGAACGCAGCCAATAGACCATCTGCTCACATGGCATTCGATGGGCCACGATGCGAGATATATTGCCCAGCCTTCAGGAAGATATCACGGGCTCGATGGGGAACCTTTGGCGTGGCAAACGCTTGGCCTGCAAGGCGGCCTCTCCCGGCCAGTCGAAAAGCTCTTTGATGCTGCCAAGCTCTCATTGGCAGCAAGCTGTCGACGGCACGCTGTCAGATGCCGCTTGACGCCTGGAATCCCCAGGAATCAACCCAAATTTAGATCAAGCTTAACGCTCCCTCGGCCAACCAGGAACACGAGAATGTGGTCTTCTTCGAAGTACGACCCAGCAAGCCAGCCATGGTGCACAAGCAGCTGATTGTTGATTGGCTTGCTGCAGGTCGTCCCTTGCATATCTAGCACGATTGATAACTTTGGATCATCTCTTCTCCGATGTGCAGCATCGTACAACGTCTGCATTGCCGCTGAGAGAATCCCTTTCATCGCGTGGTCTCGAGATTGGGCCTGGTGACGATGGCAACAAAGAACGCATGAATGGACCCGCATTGTTGTTACTCGCCCAACACAACTTGGCAGATGGCTTGCCGCTCAACCACGACTTCCATGAAGCACCTTGATTATCGGATATTGTGTGGCGTTTAGAACAAGATAGAAAAAAAGGCCCGTTCTGACGAACGCCACACGGCTTCAGAACGATGAAACGGGGCCAAGAACGAGAAGCGCGGGAACTCGGTGTCGGCTAGTCATTCATCGCCAACCCCTGACCCGCTTGGTTCTCTCTCACTGTTGAATCCGGAACCGCACAGTTTGACTTGAGCCACGAAACCTCTCTCTCTCTCTCTACTCTCTTGAGAGCAAAGGTCCGGTTCTTGATTTCTCTTGGTCAGCAATGTTCCTTAGCCGCCTCGCAGTCTGGGGCGTGTGACGATGAGGCGAGATGAAGGCAATTGACGCTTGTCCCGATGCCTACAAGTCTCTTGGAGCCCAGGCCGGACTCACATCGAACTCCGTTAGGCGAGGCTGAAGACTATCCAAGGTCCGAGTGGCTGTTGGACCTGAAACAAGGCAGTCGGCTGTCGAAAAGCGAAACTGGTCCGAAAGATACCCCGACTATGGGCTGCTACAACTGCTATCGCTCATATCACGGTTACGGCTCGGTCATAGCGCAGCATCCACACGGGCTAAGGGCAGCACTACACTGACTTCTCCGACGTTCGTGCACTGGCCCTTGGCGGGCGATCGATGGCAGGGTCATTTTCCTTCATCTGCTGCCCTGGCATAGCTGACTCGATCGATGGCTAATGCAAATTGAGTATGGCAGACCGATAGACAGTGCGGTGGGTCCGCCGGCGACGATGCCTTCAGCTCAACTCTGAGCATTGCGCGGATTGAGTGCCGATTGAGTCTTGGGGACTCGTTTTTTGCTCCTACGACACCAAGTTTTAGTCCGCATGAATACGGGCAAATTCTTTGCGTGCAAGACTCAGCACCCTGTTTCACCCTCTTCTAGAAGAGAGAGAAACACACCATTTACAGAATCGTGCCATTCTTGCTCTGTCCGGGACAGCCCGTTTCTGGAAATTGTTCAGCCCGTGTTGCGTTTCGAAACCAACTATCAACGCATCATTGATATGGAACATTGATCATGACCTCAGCTAGCAGTCTCCTATTACCAAACGAGAAAAGGAGCGCGCTGCTGGAGTTTCTCGAAACTGGTGACTACGCTCTCGAGATCAAGCTAGACGTTGAAGCTGAACTGAGGCTTGACTCGTGGGAGACGGTTAACGCGCTTGGCCAGTAGCCGATGCTTGCTTTCTTCGCCGAAACTGAATGAAGCCAACTCACGGCTTCTGCATCCCGTTGAAGGGTTCAAGTCCAGCCACGACTGGCAGCTGCGAATGCTACCCTTCGGCCCCCCAGATCTCCCGCTTGCTCGGGAACTGACTCCTGTCATTTCCCTGGCCATGATGGTGGCTGGTAAGACTTGCAGTGCGTATCAATAGCTGTGTTGCCATCGGCGATGGAGACATGCGAGTCCTTTAGGCGACTGCCAGGGCCGTCAGATGCGAATGCTGGCCACCGACGTCGCAGCGGCCGCCGCTCGCTTTGCCTTTTTCTTCGCAATGTCGCTACAGTGGCGGCATGCCTGACTGCCCGCGGCGAAGCTTACATGGAGGGCATTCCTTTGTATGCAGCCATCAGGTCTATCACATCCCAGGTTCATCTCCGCTTCCGACCCCCTGCGGACCGTCAAAGCCGGCACGTCTTGGGGCTCTTCTTGTTTTTTTCGCTAATAGTATATGCGAGCAACAACGGCACAGGCCTTTCCCAATGCCTGCTTCTTCCGTACGGCCTAGTAGTGGCTAGGATCATAGCCGTTCAGCCCCTTTGCCTCTTTTTTTCAACATCGATTCGTGACGAGCTCGATGGGCTGTGACCCGATTGGCCGCATAGAAAAGCACAGCATTCTGAAACCGGGACTCTTAGCCTTGAAACAGAAGGCATCCAGCTTCGTGGGCACCGCCTATGCATGTTCTTCTCGTTTGGGAATCCTGGGGTGGGTAGAAGAAGGTGACATCGGGCGGTGATGGCTCTGCCATTCAGCCGCTTCGGTCCACATCTGTCTGTTCTCTCGTACGAAACAGCACCACTCAATTGAGGAGACGTCCGATGCCTGAGTTTCAGATAAGGCATCTTGTTCCTGTCCAAGAATAGGAACAGGCTAAGCACGGGGTGGTAAGGAGGGCGATGGCAAAGTGTAGGGCTGACGACATGCTTCGGATCTCTGTTGGTGAAGGTGAACGCCTTGTGATTGATTTGTCACAAGCCGGCCGGTTCCCCCGGTAATGGCGTCTTACACGTCCGCACGTCCATGCAGGTACAATACGCCCACGTATTACCGTACCTATGTGCGAGCACATGTGAGTAATTGGGAGAAGAGAGAACAAAGAGATGGAAACCCATGCCATGCTCTGGAGAAGCAGCTCAAGTGCTAACAGCGGGAGAAGCAGCTCCTGAAGCTGTGAATCAGGGGGGGGGGGGGGCTTGGTGGCATAGAGGAGGAGGTGGTGGTCACTTCCATCTGTGCTTGGCTGGCTATCAAGCTGCCATTTCCGCCGTTCGACTGCGATGTTGCAGGCCGAATGTGGGATTTCTATTGAAAAAGCAACAAAGAAAGAAGAAAGCGGAGTGATGGGGGAAATGGCCTGATCTCGACGAGGAAAGACCTTGGCGGAAATTTGGGTTGCAGATCGCCTCTTGGTTGTACAGACTATGCCAAGTGCATATTATCTGTGTTTCCTTGTGATGGTTGTCGGATTCTGTGTGATAGAGCGAGACGGGGTGTCGGTAGGGCTTCGAGTCCGAGTGGCTTCTGCTCATTTCGCATATATGCGAGGTGCTATTTAGCGGCATGTGCTTCCTCCGCCTTGGGGGGCTTTGCATGATGTTTACGAGGGCGGAGGACGAAGATGCTGTACAACGGACGGCAACGAAGCGAGGAGGAGGGGGGGAAACGCAGGTCGGTTCTTGCTTGTGATGGAAAGGCAGGGCAAGCATCGCGGGTGAGTTTTCCGCGATGCTGCGTTGATACGACCTCGCGAATCAGATTTCGAGATTTTACGCCTGTCTTTGCTTTTCAGAGGGATGATTATGCGTGAATAATATTGGATGAGATAGTGATAGCCGAAAGACAAGATTGATACATCACCTTTGATTTACAGATACCAGGACCAAATCAAGTTTTATGTTACTAGCAAGGTAGGTAGTATACGAACATCTACAGCCTTGTCTGGATCCTGGGACAAGCTTCGATGGGTTACTCATCACAAGTCACAAACCAACACCCATGACAGGTTTCTCTTCTTTTCTCCCACGTTGCTTTTTATTTCCCTTTTCTATTTCTTTTTCTTTTTCTTACATCTTGTATAAGACTAAAGCACGCCAAACTAAAAGAAGCAAAGGGAGTCATAGGTGATAAAACACTCTGTAGGTAGGTATCTTGCAATATGCGGACGGGGCAACAGGGTAGGGCAAAGGCTGTACTTGATCAAAAGTCCCGAGAAAACAACACCATTGTTGTCTCCTTCTTTTATAAGAAAAAGGAAGAAGTTCGGGTAAGAAAAGAAGAAAAGAAAAGATAAAAGAAAAGAAACCGAAAGCAAAATCAATCAGTCAGAAGAAGCAGATGGAAATCAAGGCAAAAGACCAAGGCAGAACATAGATCATCAAAAGCGAGTAATAAACGTGCTTTAGAGTATGTATATCCTCATCCCTGGATGCAACGCAACAAACAGTACACTCTCAAATCGTACACAGAGGGAGAAGAGAATGGGAAAAGTCGTGATGGCTTCGTAGGTATGTACCAGATGTGATTGAAAGAGTAAATTGCAGAAACGTAAACAAAGCTAGCATAGTATTTTCTTCTCTCTTGGCTCCAACACATACATACACAACGAAACGACGCAAAACATGCACCCAAATTCACCCGACCGAAATCCTTCCTTTGTTCCGGCTCCCTGTTTCGTTTCGTTCCTTTCTTGAACGGAGAGAGAGAGAGAGAGACCAACTGAAACAGACAAAGGGACCAACGACATCACAAGGAAACAGCTCAAAGCTGGCCCGGGCATCAACAATCCCCCCCCTTCTCCATCCTCTGGCTCTCTCTCGCCTCGTTGCGTGTCCTGTGCGACCTCGCATCCTGGTGACCTGGTCCCCCTGTTGTGTTTTTCTTGCTTTTTCTCACTCTTCTGGCCGTTTTTTTTGCTTTTTTCCAAGATCCGTCCTTCCCCTTTCACCCTTCGGTATCCCTTGACTCCAGGCTCTCGACACAATAATAACAAGCGGACAGAGGGCAAAGAGATAAATTTTGAATACGCAAGGTAGTGTGACAATAGTAGACTAAAAGACACGAGAATTTACGATCGTGCCTCTTCTAATTCCAGCTCCAGCTGCCTGATTCGCTCGCTCTGATCCTGGGATCCTGATCCGAGCCGCTTCTTGAGGGATTCGACTTCGGACGTCAAGAGGCCAATCTGGTCGTTCTGCGCGCTAATCACCTTGGTCTGGTTCTCAATGAGCTCCTTAATCTCGCTCAAGGAGGTGGCGCTGGCATCGGATGCCGGGGCAGCAGCAGCAGCAGCAGCGGGAGCGGGCGTGGACGATACCGCAGAGGCTGCAGGCTTGACGGGAGCCGGGGCAGAAGTGGCGGCTGCAGGAGCTGCTGGCTTCGTCTCGGCTCGGATGGGCAGAGGGTTTCGCTGGGCCGGCTTGACCTCGTCGTCAAAGCTGGACGGCTCCTCCTCCTTGGGCTCCGCCTCCTCGGCGTCCTGGTACTTGTTGGCCATGGCGGCAATGGACGACTTCTGGTCACTGACGCTCGGGGGAGGGGCTCGCGCCACCGGCTTGGGCTCCTCCTTGACCTCCTCCTTCTTGGGCTCGGCCTTGGGCACCACTGGCGCCGGTGGCTGGTAGTCGGCAGCAACCTCCTTGGGGGCTGTTCCCTCATAGATGCTCTCCAGGTCGATCTTGGGAGGAAGCCCAGTCTTGCCCTCGAGCCACTCCTTGGCGCTGACGGCAGGTCGGAGGCCAACGGCGGGGGGGAAGATGTCGGCCTGGAACGTCTCTGCTCTGCGGGGCACGGTGAAGGAAATGGGCTCGATGTAGCTGTCGTTTACCGTCTTGAAGGCGCGCATGACTTCGTTTTCGTGAACCTGAACGGGGTTAGCTGGAACCGTCCTGCTTCCACAAAAGCTGCCAGAGTACTCACGTTGATAGCGCGACGCGGAAGAAAGGCGATACCTCGCTGCGGATCAACCGACTTGTACTCGCTCAGGTACTCAAACTTGTCGTTTTCGTACTCAAAGTAGCGGATGTTGCCATCACTACAAGTCCGGTGATTAGCAGCCGTCTCTCCCAATGATATACCGTAGGTGTGAAGAAGGTCTGGAAGCTCACCCCTTGCCAGCAAGGTAAAGGCAGTTGGATCCCTCATCTACAACAAACGAACGTCAGCATCCAGATCAAGCGCGCTCGGTCAGGGACATGTCGACGAACCCCAGAAAGGCATGCAGACACCAGAAATGGCATCCAGGTGCTGGAATCCTCCGATGGGATCGCTGCGGCCAGGCTCCCACAGGGCAATCTGGCGCTCGCTCATCTTGGAGAAGCCCGTGGTGGCGAAGCGGTTGTGCTCGCCCAGCCAGACAGCTCTGCTGTTCTTGGCTCCCGTGTGGCCGGCGGCCTCGTGGACCGGCTTCTCCTGGCGGACGTCCCACACCCGGATCTTCTTGTCCCTCGACGTCGTCACGAGGAGGCTGCCGCTCGCGTTCCATGACAGGCTCTGTACGATGTCGGCGTGCTGCAGGGTGAGGTGGCTCTGGCCGGTGCCAACGTCCCAGAGCTTGATTGTGAAGTCGCCCGAGGCAGAGGCGAGAATGTTTTCGGCCGCGGGGTTAAACAGGACCTGCCCGACTTTCCTATCGCGAGCTGGTTAGATCTCTGAATGTCCTACGGGAGTCAAGGAGGAGATGGGGGTCCAAGATGGCCTTACCTCGTGTGTCCTCCGAGCTTGCTGACGGGCGATACGTCAGGAATCACCTCGGCATCCGTGTACAGCGAAAAGCCCTCGGGGACCTCCCAGATGAAGACCTTGCCATCCTCCGAAGCCGACGCGATGATGTGGTCGTTGAACGGGTTCCTGATTTGCGCCCAGTCAGCAAGCCGAACCCCCCCCCCTTCCTACGTTATCTGGGCCACCAAAAAAGCGGGCGTGACAAGGGGTGCTTGTCAGAGGAAAAAAAAATAGGGGGGAACGAGGGGATGGGATGATGATGACGATGATGATGATGGCGAAGAGAAAGAAGATCTAGGAGGTCAAGTGAACAGAAAGGGAGGTGGAAACAAGGCCGCAGCTCACCAGTCGGTATCGAGGACCGTCGCCGTGTGGCCGCGAAACAGCGGGATCTGGTCGGGTGCCTTTCCCTTCTCGTTCAGAGGAATGACGGCAAAGGCGCCGCCTCCAGACGACTCCCAATTGACCGACAGGTACTCGGCGTTGGCCTAGAAGCCATCCGGCTCGCATCGTCAGTACGGACTCCTTCCTTCGACAAACGCGCATTCATATCCCCCTTCTCTTCCTTGTCTCCTGAGATGAGCGCAAAATCGTTCGCGTCGATCGTTTGAAGGGCTCTTCCGTCCGTTGGTGTAGGGGAGGGAATTTTGTTTCTCGTACCTTCACCAGGTTCGTGTCCCAGGCATTCCGACTGATGCGCAGGTTATCGTAGCAGAACTCCTTCTTGGTGGGCTTGCCAAAGATGTGTCCTGCAGTAAGAGCGCAACCACGCACGTCAGCCTCTTCTTCCTATCCATCAAGTCTTTTCTTTCTGTCTGTTCCTTCTTCCCCATCTGTGCAGCTGTTGTGAGGCTGGAGGGGTCCAAAAAAGGGGGGGGTTGTGAGGCGGGGCGTCGTGATGGGAGGGCTGCGATGGCATCGTGGTGTCTCGGTTGCGGTCTCGCGACTTGGGCTGCACTGCAGCGTCTTTGGGGGAAATAGGGATCAAAGCGTAACGTACGGTACTTGGACGCTCGAACAAATCGACCAGCCATTGCGGCGTCCTTGTGGTGTAGAAACACGAGAAGCTGAGAGAGAGAAACGACGAGAGAAGGAGAAGACAGGAGGAAAAGGAAATAAGAAAAAAAGGGGGGAGAGTGTCGGGTTTGGGAGAGGTTGCGAGAGTGACGAGTTGACGCGGCTTGAGAAGCACGAGGCGAGGCTTGCGGGAGCTGAAGGACGGGGAACGGGGGGGGGAGGAAAAAGGGCGGGCGGCTGTCTGGTGCCCGCAGTCGAGGTCCTGTGCTGCTGCAACTGCCCATATACATGCCCCCCCTGTTTCTTTATAGCGACCGAAGCACCAGTGGGCAGCACAAGCACCAGCACTTACAGCGGGTGACGATGGGCGGCCCCTCCAGAGCTCCAGCTTCTGAGTCCACTGAAAGGAGGCCTGACGAGACCCGCTGCGCCTACATGTACACTGGATTTCATACCACCTATGCTGAGGTGGCTCCAAGTAGGTTGCCAGGAACCCCACCAAAGAGGTGACGGGACCCGATGGATCCAGTCCAATTAACGGCGGGTGGGCATCAATGCGACAGGATGGCGTAACGGCGTCACGTGCCTCGGCCGAGATGCAAAGGGGAGGGAGACAAACATGGAGACTAAATCTTCGAGATGAAAGGGACTGGAGGCGATATCACAGGGGGGGTTCCTTAAGTGGCTTATCACGATTGAATTGACGTTGACATCGACGAACTTTACAGGCAAAGTGACGAATGTCAAGGATGTAATGCCCCTTGGCATTGCTTCTTGCTTGACATAGGTACGGAGGTATACTCGATGCTCAAGATACCGACCATGCCATGATATAATGTGCAGCATAGGTACATGTATATCCATCTCGCCCCTGAACGCCCCTTTTCCATCCTTCCATACGTAGGTAGGTACGTCATGCCATCATAGGTAGTCAGCGGATAGCAACATCTCATGAGACAAAAATCGCATCCAGTTGCATCAGGAAACTTGGCGCATTGCCTGCGTTGGTCTCATTATGCTTGCTAAACAACGTTTTTAGTACATATCAAAATCCATACGTACAGCGAGCTCTGTCGCAAACAAACGGCTATAGAATCAGATGCAGCAAGCAATGAAGAGAAAAAAAAAGTAGACTCAGAAGAAGAGGAGAAAGAGAAGAGGCCGCAAAAATGACGAGGAAGAACAAGACAGAAAACCACCGGCAACGCCAATGAAGATGTGTGTGTGTGTGTGTGTAGTAGCAAAAATGCGCCTTTCCCTTCTCCCTTCCAACTCATCGGTCATACTCCATAGTCCAACACGTATTCATAACATGGCAAGTACATCCCAAAGCTGTCGTCTTGCCCAACAATCCGCTCGCTCTTTAGTTGAACGTGCTCCTTGTTCGCGAGTGCACTCGGCGGCTGTCCGTTCGGCGTCGAATCTGCTCCTCGTGCTTGAAGACGAGCTCGCACCACTTCGCCCGCGTTCGCGTTCCGTTGGCATCTTCTTCCAGCCCGGCATCGCCACGGCCAATGACGTCGGAGAGCGCCTTCATCCAGCCCTCCTTGTCCTCGCGCGTATCGGCGTAGAAGTCAATCACCTCGCCGTTGTTGAACCGGATGCGGAAGCCCTCCTCGACGAACATGTACCCCTCTTCTTCCTCAGCAAAGGCAGACCTACGACGCTTACCCCCCTTGCCCGTCGTCTCCTTCTCCATCAAGGTTCTGCGATCATCAATCAATCGCTTGGCGTTGGAGAGGTTGATCGTCGCTCGAGGCTGGCGGGTAGCCTCGTGGTAAGCAGTCAGCTTGGTGCCAACAAGCTTAAAGTATCGACGGCGCCAGTACTTGAGACAAACGTTGTTAGTCAAAGCCATCAAGCCACTGAGGAGGGGCGGGGACCAGGGAAGACGACAGAGAAGAGAGGGTAAAAAAAAAAAAAAACCACTTACGGGACAGTCACCACCCTGCTGGCTCAAAACACCCTCCCAGTTGCGGGCCAGCCTCTCCTCGGCTGCCTTGAGCTCCCGGATGCACGAGTTCATGCTCTTGGGCATGTCGTCATCCGTCACGTTCTTTGGGCGAGGTACAAACAGAAGCTGAAGCTCCAGCTTCCCGATCTTGTACGGCGCCTTTCGGAGGATGCCCGCCGCGTTGCCGCGCTTACTCTTGATCGTCGAGGCGAAGCTCTCCTCCTCCGTGGCCCACTCGTTGAAGCAGACGACCTCGACCGTGTACGGCCGACCGAAGCATCGGTTCTCGTGCTCCTTCAGGGAGATGTACGCTCGAGCAAAGCTTCCGTCCTCGGCAGCCAGCGGCGACAGGAGCTCGTAGGCCGAGCCAGCGTCCTTACGCTTGCGCGCCAGGGCTTCCTTCTGCTGCTGCGCAAAACGCTCCTCTTCCGCCTTCTTTTGGAGCTCGAGCTCCTTGCGCTTCTTGGGGGACGCAAACACCCTGCTAAAGGTCGATGTCTTGGGTTTGGCCATCTTGATGGCCGCGGGCTGCACGTTGGAGTACGTCGGCTTCTCCAGCTTCACGTTCAGCGTGAGCTGGAACTCGAGATCGTTGGGAACGACGAGCTCAAACTCTTGCCCGATGGGTGCGTTGCGAGCCAATTCCAGCCAGGCTGTCGTCACACAGTGCACGCCGTTGTCCAGCGTCAGGCTAAACCAGCTGCGCTCATCTGATCACACAAGTGTTAGAGACTTTTTGGCACAAAGCAAGAAAAGAAAAAAAGATGGCCGCGTTGGCAGGTACTTACTCTTCGGAATCGGCAGGTCAAGGTCCTTGACACCAATGACCTTGACGAACAGGCGGCCCCTCTCACCCGCCTCTGGACCGGCTGCGTCAACGGTATAGTCTTCTTCAACAACCTTGTTCAGCGTCGTCGTGTTGCTCTCCTGGCCTGGCAGCGGCGGCACGGCGCTCAGTACCGGCTGGCCCTTTCGAATACTGCGACGAGTCTGGCTGTTCCACGGCTCGACGGTCCACGACTGGGGACGGTTCGTCTTGATGGGCGAGTTGTTCGCGGACCGTCCTTTCCAGGGATCCTCGGCGTCCTTGTCGCTGGCCGACACAAGCTTGGTGTTTTGCCGCATGAGGTATCCGCGCTGAGAACGAGATGTAATGTTAGCATCCAGCTGATACTGACCTGGTGAGGTGAGTTGGTCGCTCGACACTTGTCGAGGCAAGGGGTGATTGTCATTGGTGGTTATCTGTGGCGTGTGAACAAAGGAACGGCTGAAAGCTACCTTTTGCGTTTCAATGACGCGCTCAAAGTCCTTGTCCAAGCTGAGGCCCATGTCCAGGTCCAACGTCAGACTCCGGTTCTTAAAGCTTGGATGTCGAGCCAGGAAACTGTCATTCTCAAGTTCGCTGCCATCTTTCGACATGAGCGCGCGATGCTTGCTAGGGATCGATGGGACGCTAGGTATCTCGCCGCTGACGTGTCTGCGAGCCTCCCGCATGGCCACGATATCCGAAGGCGTGTTGGAAACCCTCGTCTTGAGCTTGGAGCCGGAAGCTTTGATGGTCGCGAGCCTTTCGGGGATTTCGGGAGACTCCCTCGGGATGGTGGTCTCATCTTCATCGTCAGATACCGGGTTGTGGATGACGGAGTCGGGAGTTCCTGTTCTATCTTCGTACGAATCGTCGCCCCAGCCAGTGCCGTCATATTCGGGCTTTGGGAGCAGCTTCTCTGGAGTCTTGGTTCGGAGTACCTCGGCCGACACCTGTGGCGACAAATCATGTTCTTCTTCTTCTGGCTGTATTGACGACTCTTGTTGTTCCGCCGAGACCTTGCGAGTGAGCTCGGGAGCTGCCGGCTGAAGTGCGGCAGGTTCGAGAACAGACGGCTCGAGGTCAGATGGCTCGAGGGCCGAAGGCTCAAGGGTGGCGTCGGGAGTGGCATCCGAGTCCAAATCAGACACCGTTGCAGTCAACTCGCTGATCATGCTGGACTCGGCCTCGGTATGCGTATCGGCTTTGCTGGTCGCCGGCGAAATGGCTCGCGGAGTCAGCACCTCGTCGGTGAGATCATGCTCCGGCGGCGACAGTTCTTTGACGGACTCCTGGACAGACTCCTTGGCAGCATCGCCCACGGGCTTTTCAGAACGTTCAGCCTTGGCCCCAGTCTCTGCGTAGTGGCCGTCGTCGCCGCCGTAATGAGATCCCGAGGCGTCCAGGTCGTCGTCCGACTCGAAGTGGGAACCGTCCAGCTCATCGTCATATTCGTCGTCGTAATCGGAGTCGTACATGTCGAGCTCGGAGTCGTCTTCGTGAATGACCCGATGGATGATGACGCTACTCTCCACGGGGTCTTCATCGTCGTAATGTTCGTCGTAGTTGTCATCGCCTTCATCCTCCTCCTCCTCGTCATCCTCGTCATCCTCCTCGTCGCCCATCAGAGAATCTTCAGTGGATGGAATGGGAACATCAGGGTCCAGAGCAAAGTGCTGCTCTCGAAGGGGTGTGCCGGGTGGGGAAGAGAAGTTATACTCCGACTCGCGGTCTGCCATGATCTTGTTGCCGTTGACACGCTTCATGATGGCCTCGCGGGATAAGGGCTGCGGCAGTTGATAATCTCCCAGTCCAGACATGTCACCGAGATTGTCGTCTTCTTCATGATGTTCTGCCTCATCCTCATCGTGCTGGGCGTCGAGGGCGATCTGGCTGTCGTGGGTATCAATGGTGTTGAGGGTATCGTCGCGAGACAGTGAGCTTCGGCTGCGTCCAGAACTTCGTCGAAGGCGCCTCTCACGCTGTTGTTCGGCAGCGGTCTTACCGCTGTTATCATCAGACAGCATCATGAGCTTGAGTCTTTCTTCAAGCGACATCTTGCCACTGATGAAGCTTTCGATATCGGATTTCGTGGCCGAGGCCGGGGGTGGGACGGGCAGGCTTCTGTGCGATCCCGCCATCTTGTCCGGACTCTGAGACAGAGCCGGGGATGAGGGCACTGAGCCTGTGGATTGGCTTCTGCCGTGGCCTCCAGGAAGAGGGGGCAGAGGGCGATTCTCCGCGACAGAGCCCATAGAGTCACCCCTGGCGCTGCCCATGGACAGGCGTCCCGAGCCAGCTGCTCCAGGAGCGCCATCGGGCATTGAGCTTCCGTCATAGTCTTCCTGGTCGTGGTTCATGAGAGAACTGTCCCTTGCCCAGTCATCAGGACCGACGACTGGCGTCTTGTCCGTGTCCTCGAGCGACGCATCGAAACTCTCATCCTCACCACCCATGTGGCCTTGGTCATAGAGGAGATCCTCGTCATCCTCGTCGTCCTCTTCCATGGAGTCATAGCTCCCCTCGCGCGAATTCGTTCCGATGGAAGAGAGATCCGGAGTGGCCATTTCGTATTCGTTGATCTGGGGCGGCGCAGCGTCAAACGTGACGCTCTTCGTGTGGCGATGCGAGGAGCGGCCGCTGGGAGAGCCGTCGAGGGCGGATGCATCTGCGGACCACGTGCCCGTCTCATGGTCGAAGCTGCTCTTGAACTTGGAGGGCGACAGCGACGACTTTGTGGGCGAGGCCTGGTCTTTGCTGGGCCCTCTGGGGGTGCTGGGACCCGAATGGTCCGACTTTGCTGGGCTCATCGGCGCAGACTTGTCTCCATCAGCCGCGTACGGGCCTGGGGAGCCGGTTTTGGGGAAAGCAAAGACGCTGTTGGGCGGCTTGGCCAAGGGTCGCTCGATCTGAGGAAGTCGGGTTGGGTCGTATTCCTGCTTCTGCTCCAGCGCCAGGATGTTGCTGTTCTTGACTCGGGAGGCCTTCTGGAGTCGCTCGATCGAGGAGCGCCGCGTAGGCGAGGGCGAGCCGCTCCCGTACATGTTCTCCGAGTTCCGGTTCTGCCAGAAGACTCGCGGCGATGTGACCGAGTCGGCGGGCGAGGACTGGAATGGAGACGAGTCATTGCTGAGCGTCGACTTCTAGAAAAGCGCACGCCCCTGTCAGCGCGAGACACGACCAAGGAAACAAAAGAACAGGCGACGCTCAATGTCGCTAAAGCACTCGATTTGCACAAACCTTGGTAGGAGACATTTGGTTCCAGCTAGGAGAATTACGTCTCCTTTCCGTGGGAGAGAGTTCAGAAAGGGGGCGGGGCTGGGGGAGGTTGGACGTCGTCTTTGGCGGTGATGAGCCTGGCGTGCCCTTCGCGATGCGCAATGGGTGCACCTGTAGAGAGGAGAGGGAGGTTAGTCGCGGCGCCTCTTGTCGAGGACCAACTTGCTGGGCAGCGGGCCACGCTGGGCGTACCGGTTCAGATGACATATCGATCGAACTGGTTTGGCTAATCCTTGCACTCGATGGCGGGCTAGGACGACTGAGGCATCAGCGCGCGAAAGAGGCGATCAGCACAGCAGCAGCAGTAGCAGTGATGGAGAACCGCCGAGCCCGCGCGAGGAATGCAAACGACTTGCCGGCGTCGTGTCTGCTTTCCCTGGAGGGGGCGTGTGTGTGTGTGTGCGCTTGCTTTTCTTTTGTCGCAAAATTGTGTGTATATAAAAGAAGGGAGGCCCGGTTTTGGTTTGCAACAGGCAGCCTCGGAAACGAACGTTGGGAATTGAACAAGGAGAGGAGGAGAGTGGAAGGGAAAGGGGGGGGAGGAACGCGAGATGTCAGAATGTTCGCCGGGTTAACTCTGCTCTCTTCTGGATGCCAGATAAAGAAAAAAAAAAAACACAAAAAAATGGATGATGAAGAAGAAAAGGAAGAAAGGAAGAATAGCGTTGCCTCGGAGCTGAAGTCGACTCGATCGCAGATTCGGGACACCAAACGACGACCACTTTGGCGAGATCCAGGTTCCAGTTCCAGTTCCAGAGAAGGGGGGGGCCGTTTCATTTGGCTGGTTGGGCGAGTTCAAGGGAAGCCGCAAAATGCACAGGCCGTCGGGCAGCCGTGATTGGCCCAACGCAAAACAAAACACCGCCCTCAACAGCGGGCGCCAGGGGGTTGTCGCGGCAACGCCCATTTTGCGCAACAGCCCACGGCCGCCAGCTGTGCCCAGACGGTCAACTGGGTGCTTCAATGCTGGAGCTTCCGGGGGGGCGCATGGGCAGCTGAGGAGGGGTTGGGAGCGCGCTAGAGGGCCCGGAATCTTGCTTGCGACAGCGCTGGAGGCGGCCTGCAGGCGGGAGGAGGAGCCTTGAGGAGCCTTGAGGAGCCTTAGGTTGGGTGTGGGAGCTATTAGCGGGCACCACAGTCGAAAGTTGCATGGAGGTTGCCCAGCACAGAGCCTCGCGCTGGCTCGTATCAACGATGTTAATACCTACATGTAGTAGTCTAGTAAAGTCCATTGGATATCACCGGCGGGCGGCCCTATGAACGCTCGCGGGCTGCGACAAGATGCGAGAGTCGCCATGGCAGCCGGCAGGGATGATGTGAGACGAGGCAACGTCAAGATGCAAACAATCAGCAGGCGGAGGGCCGAAAGGATGCCGATTCGGCTGATGTTAGTATCGATCTTTTGTCATTACGTACATGTACACATGCATACAGTAAGTACAGCCCAGCCGGCGCCGCAGATGGCAGCCTACAGTACCTACCTTACCACCGAAGAGGTTCGAGATGCCGATGCTCATTCATGCTTCTTTCTGCTCACCCGCACGCATCCCGCGCTAGTTCTGTCGAGGCCCTGCAAAACATCCAATTCAGCTTTGTGTGGCCCTGTTGCCTGTCGTCATCAGACACTCTGCCGGGAACATGGCAAAGCGGTCAGTTTCCGATAGATCGCTAGCATTCATACCTAAAATACAACTCCTGAGATACATACTAGTAGATACTCCGCGCTGCATCAAGGCTCGAACCAAGCTTCAAGCTTCCTCTCTCTTCTGCGCCTTTCCACTCTCTTTTCGTTTGTCTTTGAACACTATGGCTACTACTACTAGCTGCGCACAGGAACCTTGACCCATGTCTCCTCCTCTCGTTCTCCTCAAGTGGATTCATCATGCAAGGCCCGACGACGATGGTGCCAAGTGCCCGCCATGACGACTGTGTTTACAAAAAGTGATACTAGTACTTACTACTACAAGCACATAATCATACAAGTAGTACGAGGTATAACTTGCAAGAACTAAAGTGAGACCCATATCCTTGCCCGATGTTTACTTTTCTGCCTTGTTTACTTTGACTTTTCTTCGCTTTTCGCATGATGGAGGTGGAACAGTGCCTCTGTCTTCCCGCCTCTACTACAGTACTAGGTAACTCCTTTCTTGGTGCTAGGTAGTAGTAGTAATTAGTATGTATGACTTTCGCCTTCGTATGATTACCTGCAGGCGATTCTGAAACACGGCGACGCCACGGTTGCCGAGAGGAACAGGACGGGACCTGGATGGGTGAATACGAAAGCTTGAGCCATCAATTTCCAGGCCCTGGCTGCGTGATCAAAGATGTGCGAGCACCAGTGGTGTCTTGCAACCCCCGTCTGAGTACAAAGAGCTTGTACCTCACAGTACTTGTACATAGGTACCTACCTTACATGCCCTGTATGACCTCCTTTTGATCCACAGCGATCCCGTAAGGCTCATCTCAGGTGCTACCGGGGCGCTTGATGAGGTTGATGAGGTTGATGAGGTCCATGAGGCACATATCTTACATACAGTAGGTACCTATGAAGAGATCCAATCCGACCTGGCTGATGGGCAATTTTGTTTTGTTGAAGCCAGGGTGGTCAGGCTTTTGCCTTGCCTTGCCTTTCTAGTAGTGGGCACTACTCTTACCTACCTAGTATGAAGGGAAGACGGTTCGTACCTAGTTGCATAAAAAAGCACAACTCCAATCCTCCGTCCACACCACCATCTCACGGTGTTAGCGTCGGGACAAGCCTTTTTTCGTCGTCTTTCACGATGGCACTTTTTTCTTTGTTTTCATGTCAACAAAGGGATCAGCCCTGTCTGTTTTTTTTTCTTTCTTTCTTTTTTTTTTTCTTCTTCTTTTCTCTCCCATCAGCTTTGACTCCTGTTCCACCGCACGCAATCCTCAAACTTAACGCCCGCCCCGCCAAAGCAATCCAGCGCGCTCCCTATCGTGAGATCGACTTTGCCCCGGCTCAGCCTCTTGACCGTGTCCAGATCCTCCAGGTGCCGACCGCCGCCGGCATATGTGACGGGGATCGAGCACCACTCTGCTAGGCGCTCGACTAATTCCTCGTCGATGCCCTTCTGGAGCCCTTCATTGTCTGCGGCATGGATGAGGAACTCTGAGCAGTATGGCTCCAGCTGCTTTATTGACTCTGTAGATGTCATCATCGCCTTGTTAGTTTGATAGGGTATGCATCATCAACAACAGGAAATATGCCTTAGACTTGCCTTGATTGATTTCCATGTCTGTCAGCGTCTGCCACTTGTTCATGGCGACGAACCACTTGTCTCCCTGCCGCCGACAGCTGAGATCAATCACCAGCTTGTCCTTGTCCCCGTCCAGAGCCGCAAGCACGGCATCCAGCCTCTCCTGGCTAAAGTGCCCATCCGGGAAGAGGTAAGATGTGATGATGACCTAGAGCTCACAAGAGCAATTCCAAGGTCAGCCAGCCAGCCCAGCACCTTCGCAAAAAATCTGGCCCAATCCACGAAAGAGAAGAAGACGACGACGACGCTGCCCTTATCTTTCTCTCTCTCTCTCCCTCTCTCTCCCTCTCCCTCATCTGTGTCTACCGACCTTTTCTGCTCCCGCCTCAATCCACTCCTTTGCATTCGTATCCCTGATTCCGCCTCCGACCTGCAGCCGGCCAGGCCACGCCTGCAGCGCCCGTCTGGCGGCCTCGTCGTTGCCTCCGCCCAGCATAATCACATGCGCGCCCTCGAGCCCATTGTCCCTGTACAGCTGCGCAAAGTGCTCTGCCGGCAGCTGCGAGACGTGGTTCGTCTGGAGCGCCTCGGACGCGCTGTCCAGCGTGCCGCCGACAATCTGCTTGACCTGGCCGGCGTGGAGGTCGATGCAGGGACGGAATCGGGTCATGGTGAGAGAGAGATGTGTGTCTGTGTCTGTGTCTGTGTCTGTGTCTGTGTGTGAGTGTTTCGAGACTATCCGTCCGATTGGGCGCGATGCTCAATGTTGAGAGATGACTCTTTTTTTTTTCCCTCCCCATCAATCAGGTAGTAGTACCTACATAGATACTAAGGTACTATCAGAAAGGAGAGACATTTGCCGCTATCCGCGTGCAGTTTGTGGGGCAGCTTTTAGTGCTGTGGGCGAAGTGACGCCACAGTGCCACGGCAGTCTGTGATATCGTTGTACGAGTACTTGGAGTAGTACATACACACGCGCGGTTCGTGCTGCAGCGTTGAGGTTTTGTGTGAGAGGCGAGAGGATGCGACCATGTCGGATAATGTTTCTGAGTTGTAATCCGCTCACCTCAAGGCCAGTGTTAAGATCAGACATGGTCAATTGGACTTGATACTTGCCAGCATGATGGCTTTAGGGTGCAGCAGTACCTGTAACTGACACTGATGTTATCATTGACACCGCTCAGCTGCCACTTCTCACGCATCATCATCATCTCACTCACTCACAAGACGACATCAGTTTTCATGTGAATCCTGTTTCCGAGACATTCGCCCCAACATGCAAGATAGCGACAACCAGCGGTGTAACAATAACACGCCCCTTGCTCATCCTATCACATCAGCTTCTCATCTTATCAACGGTCTGCTGCTATTAACAGATCATCGAGATGAGATACTACTACCACTACTACTACATATGCACATGCTGCCAGCACTCCCTTGCGTTACCTTGCAGCTACAAGAAACAAAACCTTTGGACGCCGAATTGCTGGATTCATATTAACATGCATCCTTATCTGCGACCCTTCCTTTTCGCCCCTTTGCAACGTAAAACATGCGAGTAAGCCCTCCTCTCTCTCCTCTCCTCTCCCTCGAGATAATCAATAGTTTCTCAACATGAAACGGGTGCATACTATGCTTATCGCTCTCTGATGCGGTGAGGCTCTACCGATGTAATCACGACATGCAGTAGGATCATGCATGTGCTTCGAGGGTTGGCTCGCAGGCCCTTTATGAGTGTCCGATTGCCCACGCTTTCTGCATCCTCTGCAATTCAATACCTTATCCATTCAGTGACTGGAGGAGTGCTTTGAAAGCTGTTGACCAGCTGTATAAGAAAAAACCTCGTCTATAATTTCCATCTCCTTCTTTCTCGTCCCTTCTATCTATTACCAAGTGGCTCTCAAAGAGGTACCTTTACCTAGGGCCTGGCGAATCCAAATGTCCTCCCCTCCTCCTCCAACCACACAGACTCCTCCCGACGAGGACCCCATCATGAACGAAAGCTCCTGGGAAATCGCCTCAGTCGTCACAACAAACTCAATAGACGACCCCGAAGGCAATCAAATGTCCGAGACCGTCCGCATCATAACCGAGGACGCATCCTCCTTCTCCATCCGCCGAGCAGAGCACCACCCCAAGGCGAACAAGCACTTCATGATCCGCGAGAGACAAGCACCCCATCGCATCGTCACCCTCTCGCACGGCACAGTCAAGCTCATCGACAAGCCCTCCATCGGAGGCGGCTGGCTCTGGCTGTGCGTCAAGAGCGGCGGCTGGTACGGCTTCGTCAACACCGTCTCCAACACATATCTCGGACACACCAATGAAGGGGATATCATCGCGTCTGCGCTGCAACATTTGTCCCACGAGTCGTTTGTCATTGATAGACATGAAGACGGCGGCTACGTCCTCTTTATGACGAGATGGGGCGAAGAACTCCGGCCGTTGGCCATCTCCCAGGATGGGGACGCGCTGATCGAAGAAGGAGCGGATGCGGCGGGTACGGCCTGGGACTTTGTTGAAGACAGCCAAATCAATCACTTCCATCTCTAAACACGCACCGTGGTAGCTTTCTTCGTGGCGAGGCAAAAAAGAAAAACGCCGTAGTGGGTTTAAAAGTCTGCTGAGACATGTCGCTTTGGGACGGGGGGGTTGGCAATCAGGAGTTGGGACTTGGGCGAAAATTATTTCGAAATGTTTGGTATCTCAAAATATATTCATTGCAAAAATTTGACTTCGCTGCTATAAGAAAAAAGAAAGAAAAAAGATGTTCCTAGATAAGCCCATCACTTCTTCTCTGCAGAAGTGTCTTCACGGACGCTATCAGATGGCGCTGCGGCGTCCAACGCATCCAAGCCATCGAGGCCATCAACAGGGCCGTGGAACATGCCCTCGATATCCACAACGGGTCCCTTGTAGTTCTTTCGGCCGTCAATGACCCAAGTGCCGCCCGAAATGAGAAGGATGACACCAAAGGCGACGATGGCGTAGTTCATGTTGGCCGGCGTGACGGGGAGCTCGGGAGGGAAGACGAACAGGACGGTGGTCAGAATGGCCCACATGATTCCAATCTATCCCATGACAGTTAGCGTCTTATCTGATCCTGGATTGTATGGAATGGCGAGTGAACGGAGAGAGAAACTTACAATGTTCACAATCCAGCCAAAGGGCTCAGGGACCTTGAAGTAACGGTTCTCCGGGAGCATCTTGCGGCCGCGGAGGACGTTGATGGTCGGGGGGATGGCATAGGTGACGCCGAGAGCCACGACCGAGGCCGACGTGATGGCGTTGAACGTGCTGGTAGAGCCGAGGAAGATGCAGCCAAAGACAATGACCCAGGCCACCGTCCAGAGCAGGGCGTTGATGGGCACATCGAGGGTGGGGTGCACCTGGGCAAAGACGCTGCTAAAGGGCATTCCTCGGTCGCGGGCAAAGGCGTAGCTCATTCGGGTGCTGGTGCAGACCAGGGTGACGGTCGTGAAAAGCATGCAGACCAGGGGGAACATCAGCAGGCACACACTGCCAGCCTTGCTCTTGGTTGCGTCCATGAAGATCTGCAGCAGCGGTCCGTAAGCGGCGCCGATGACGTCGTCGACGTTGTTGACGCAGAAGAGCAGCGCGGTCAGGAAGATGAAGCCAGTGAACATGCCGATGCCGATGCAGTACAGCATGATCTTGGGGCCCTCCTTCTGGGGGTTCGGAATCTCCTCAATCATGTGGGCAACAGCGTCGAAGCCTGAGACGAGTCAGCAATGGTTCTCACTGATGGCCAAAGAAGGTTATATCAATCAGCATACCTGTGAGAGCAAAGGCTCCTTGCAGCAACCCGAGCAGCCAGGCCATTCCATCGGGCCAGCCAACCTCGTTGATGAAGTTGCCGTAGACAAACTCGCCGGACTGGTAATCGGGCGATGCGCATGCCAGAACCGTGATGCTGATAATGACAAAGCCGGCGACCGACCAGAAGAAGGCGGCTTTGGTGAAGAGGGGCAGGATTCGGGTGAGGAAGGCGTTGATAACCAAGGCAATGAGAGCGAATGCGATGTAGATCAAGAACTGGTGCCACGGCTTGGGCTCAAAGTCGGGGTGAAGGAGCTGGATGATGTTCATGATGAACGTGCTGCCCAGCAGACCACCAGTGGCGCTGAGGGCAACCCATCCGGAGACGTTGATCCATCCCGTCACGTAGCTGATGCCGCGGCTCCATCGCTTCCAGGAGACAATGGCGGCCCAGTGGTATTGGCCGCCGGCGGTGGGATAGGCGGAGAGGAACTCGGCGAGAGAGGCGGCCTGGCACAAGTTGCAGATACCGGCGACGATGAGACCCCAGATGACCGAGCTTGAGCCTCCCGAAGGAAGGGCAAGGGTAATTGATGCGGCCAAGGCGGTCCATGTGTTGAGGATGGCAAAGGCAAGACCCAACATGGAAATCAGGGAAAAGTTCCGCTTGAGTTCCTGCTTGTGGCCCAGCTGGGCCAGGGCAGCAGCCTCTGGGGTGAGGCCGGCCTTGGGATCGTTGCCGTAGTCTTCCATGGTTGTCTTTGTGATGCGTTGGACAACTTGGGGATGGAGATTCGAGGATTTGGCAAGGCGAAACTGGAGTTTATGACCAGGAGGACCGGACCGGAACCGGCAACCGGAACTCTTGATGATCTAGGTTCGTCAAGGCTGCCGGCAGCTGATGGGGTGGCCCCAATCTGATAGCGCAGCGAACAGGATTCGGGGTAGTAGTAGTGCTAGCAGTGCTACACAATCTCTCAATGGGCGATAGGTAATACTGTAGCTTGGACTTGGGTAGATAGGGAAATAGATACCACTACTAGTTGGATAGTAGGTAGGTAGGTCGGGGGCCCCGAGTACGGCCCAAGATGGAGACGGGGACCTGGAGAAAAACGGGGTTGCCCTCCCCCAGAAATGCCCGTTTTTGATAAGACGATGAAACTCTGCAACTCGGTGATTGGACGGTGAGATGCTGAGATGACCTAGTCCCTGCTTTTCCATCCCATGCCTCCCCCACAGCGAGGCGTTTGGCGACGGCATTGGAGTGTTTGGCTGGGTCCGCGCCTTGTTGGATTCGCCCGCAGGCGACGCTCCGAAGTCGATGGCCAGAAAGACCAACCGGCGACGTCTTCGAGATTCGCCATAACACCAGCAGGTAGGTATGCACATGTAAGCCTTTCGCCTCCAGCATTCCACGTCGCGGTGTCGTTGGCTCCCAGCAATCCGGCTTTCACAACACTAGACTCATGTGGACCGCCTTAATGAAAGAAGTGAGACGCCGCTCGAGATAGTCTGGTGCTTGGTTATCGCTGGTGGGACCCCCCAGTGCGCGTTGCATCGCAATCGTGGGAGTGGGAGCTTGGAGACACGCTGGATGGAGCATCGCCTGACTCGAGATCAGCTTGCAAGCGTGGTCCAGCCCCGGCCTTATCTGCAGATACGACGTTGATGCGTCCAGTCAACTGCCTCGGTAGTAATCTTCATGTATAATGAGATGGATACGGCCGCGGACGATCCTGTGTCTGCGCACCTTGCCCAACAGCCTTCCCAGATAAACTCAGGGCGCCTTTCACGCTTGGACTCGTTCCTGCACCGCATCTCGCTCTTCAATTGGCACTGGGTGCGTAGTGCCTGGCCTGAAGGAAAAGTCTGATGCAGGGCGCTGCAGATTTGGGCCGCATGCCGTAGATCCCGCTGACGACACGGCTTGGCTGGCTTGGCTGGGCGGCCAATGGTCCGAGCCTCCGAAAGCCTCAGCAGCAGCCATGTCGAGGCCAAGGTCCGAGTCAAGTTGGCCAGCGGCGATTTTTCCTTCTGCACATATTCTTCCCGACCTTCCTTGCCTTTTCTCCACACCATCACCCAGGCACGCACTAACCCGCCACCGCTCTCCCCCTGCCGCTTGACGTTTTGCTCCGTCTCCCTGAGCCTCCCCCAGAGATTGCCTCCGACATTTCCCACGAGATCTCGACAAGCGCTCACGGGGGATATGGAGCAGCAGCTGGCAACTAATTAGTCACAGAAATGCAGACAAGGCGCCTTTTTGCGGGTTGACGGAATGTCACGGAGGCGAACCTGGACACGAAAGGGGAGCCCTCTCCCCGCACGATCCAGCGCCACATCGGAGCAGGTTGGAGTCGTGAGCCGGGGAAGAGTATGGACGGTAGAATCTGGCCCCAAGCAGCCGGGACAATGCGCAGAATATCGTGCCATGAGCTGGATCCGCGTCTGCCAATGGTTCCAGCGCAATTGTAACATCCCACCGTTCCCTCTCGTCCCCCGCAAACACTATTTCCCCAGCTTACTCGTACGGGGCCGCAGAGCTGTGACCTGGGGAAGCGAGGGCCACGCGGTGAGTCTGGAGGCGGTGACGCTTCAGCTGCCTCGTGTTGGACATCGTCATCGTCACGCAGCAACAGGCCGAGCAGACGGGAATAAGCAGAGACTCGAGCATCAAGATTGACTTTGATATTGACGGCACGTCTCGCGCTTATGGTGGCGTAATTGCCACCACATGTGTTCATGCACAGGCTGTCCTGGATGTCACGTGACTCACCTGCCTTCCATTATCTCTTCTTCTCGCTTCACAATTCAGGCACCAAGGCCACCAGATAGACTTGATGGCGCCTCTACAGTACACTATCATTCGAGGCCTGTCAAGACTGTCGACTGTGATCCATATAGCCACTACTTCGGAGAGGGCAATGTTACTGTCTGCGTTGATATACCAAGAGCGGTTGCGTCTATGTGGAGGAAGTCGCTGGTATGGGCCAACGCGATTCTAGAGGTGAAAGTCATCCATTGGCAACGCTGAGGCGGAGGGACGTTGCCAGATGCTGACTTCCTGGTCCTTGAATGATAGCATACTGGACAGTTACGCCTGACCCTCCTTGCTGCTGGCTTACGTCCTCATGAACGGCATCGTCAACATTCAACGAAGTATCGCCAGTACTACTACTGAGCTACTCCAACAAGCGGCATCTTCCGGACTGATACACTACCCGAGAGACACGCAGCATTAGCGTGCGACTATCACCCAACGGTCGCCAATTTCACGGCGGTTCTTCGCGATGCCCCATGTACGAGACATCCATAGTGACCGGCCCGGGTCCGTTGCCAGTTGGGCTCAGCTTCCCCGGCTTCCTGGGGTTGAGCTGTTCCGGCCCTCCTGGGGTTGGGCTTCCCCGGTTTTCTTGGGGTTCAGCTTCCCCAGCTTTTCCTTGGAGTTCGGCTTCCCCAACTTTCTGACAGCCCAGCTTCCCCGGCTTTCCTACAGCCAGACAGCCCATGACACGCCGAGAAGTAAAACGAAGTGCCGGGACCTCTGGGGAGCTTCTCGTCCGGGCCACATTTCTCTCGGAGAACCTGATCTACAACTGGGGTCTAGGCATGACACCCCGTCCCTTATAGTTTCTGCCTTGACATCCTTGGGGTTACATTACCATGCCTTTTGCTCCAGATGATGTTGGTTGCTTGTCGATTTGCCTATCAAGCTAATGCGGTTCGGACTGGCATCTTGGATCACGGCTCGAACCACTACTGGTTGGCTGGCCACACACCAGAAACTGGTCGTTTGGCTCCAGGAAAACAACCTGCCCTTGGTGATTGGCGACTTTTGCAGCATCATCACTGTGATTGAACATAGCCCTTTCACGCTACCTCATTGATCCCATCTACATGCGAGAACCTCGTTTCACAGTCACCTTATTAGGTGATACGCTGGGAACATGCATGTACTTGGACAGGACGGAGGAGTTGACTGCTCAATATGCTCAATAACGACATGACCTGGTACACGATACCTTCGACAGCTGATGCTACTCATCCAGATTTGGGTCAAATCTTGCATCTCTGACATGTTGAGAATTTTCCCATCATGGATTGCATGATACTCAGCCCAAGAGCCCAAGAAAGTCGATTGAACGGAGACCAATAGGCAGGGAGCTTCATACACGTTACCTACCTACCTTAATCCTAGGGGGGGTCGCTTTCGTGCTATTCTTGGTGCGCGACGGCATACGTACCTACCTAAGGTCGAAGGGAAATTGGTGGCGAAGGCATCACGAGTGCACCCATTTCCACGACAATACCTTGGCCAGGTTGCTGCTCTAGACAATGGAATTCAGTCGTGGTTGGCATATGTGAGTGGTTTCTTATTTTCTTTTGTTTTTCTGCGATGAATCTTGCCAAGTTCTAGAGCTGGCAGAACAATATCCAGAGAAAGTGTTAACTCAGAATTCCACAGAGCCCGGCTTGGCAACTCTTGTCAAAGGATACTTTTGCCTACCCAAGATGCTTGGTATAGCTTCACTGTGTCTCGAGCCGAAGATCCGCAGCAACAGGCGTTAACAGCCCGCGACCCCGCGCGTTCATCTGCAATGCAACCTGGGGAGCTCGCCGGAACATGCCGTATCGGGCTGGTGAGACAGATTCGGAGCAACAGCCGACCGATTGGAGAATCTGGTTACTACTACTAGTGTCACTGTTCGCAAAGGATGAGGCTCGTCTGGCGTCAATCTGGGCTTCTTGGTCTGGATAGAGGGGCTTCCAGCTTTGCTTGACCCGATGGAATCGCGGCTCGCGAGAGAACTGAGACGCTTCATCGTGTCTATCCGACCTTGGCGGGCTCAAACTTCCGCGCTGGAACCCGTGTCGCAGAGTCTCGAGGACGAAAATATGACGCCGGGTGCGCTGCCAAATCCATGCCATGTCGCCGCGGAGCGATTCAGCAGCGGCCAAATCCCGGCCAGGCGGTGCGATCCGCTCCACTAGACCGGGCCATGAACCAATTTCTAATACCACCGAGGATGGATGAGTGCCCGTATAAGAGCAAGGGGGCTCGCTAATCACAGCCATGGCCGGCGACACGAAGAGCCTTGCCGTCTGCATATATACTGCGTGCGCAGCGGCGCATCCACGATGGCGCATCGACATGGGCAGCGACACGACGACATTCCGCTTGAGAGCCCGCCAGCGACGCCTCGCTCCGACGCCGAAAAGGGCCGCCGTCCGGACGAGATTGAAGACGACGACGATGGCAACGACGAGAATGCGCTGCGGCGCCCCGTGTCTATCGCGGTATCAACCCAATCAATGGCCAACAGGCCCGGGTCGCTGCTTCACGAGGCGTGTTTCCTCTTCGTCGTGTCCATGGCGCAGTTCCTCGGACAGACGGGCCTGGCTCTCTCGGTCATCGCCGCGCACATCATCGGCCAGAGCTGGGACAATGTGAGCGATAGCCAGCTGAGCTGGTTTGCGGCTGCGTTCGCTCTGACCAACGGCACGTTCATCCTCGTCGCAGGCCGACTGGGTGATCTGTACGGGCATCGGCGGCTCTTCATCGTTGGCTTCGCCTGGTACGGGCTATGGTTTTTGGTGGGCGGCTTCAGCGTCTATGCCACGACGACGACGTTGTTTATTTGCTGTCGTGCGTTCCAGGGCATCGGGGCCGGACTGGTGCTGCCGAATGCGGTGGCCATCCTGGGAAGAACCTATCCGCCTGGTCGACGAAAGGAGCTGGTGTTTAGTCTCTTTGGAGCCACGGCCCCGGCGGGATTCAATGTCGCGGGCCTCTTCATTGCACTGCTGGCACAGCGAGCGTGGTGGCCCTGGTCGTACTGGATCATGGCGATTTTCTGCTTTGGCCTCGCCATCGCAGGGATTTTCGTGATCCCCGTAACGCTGGATCCACTGCCAGCAACGACCATCGGCTTGAGCAAGCAGGGACGTGTTCTCGACTTCATTGAACGGGTCGACGTTCCAGGCGCCCTTTTGGGCATCACCGGACTTGCTCTCATCAACTTCGCCTGGAACCAGGCCCCGGTCGTCGGCTGGGCGACCCCATATACCTATGTGCTTCTCATTGTGGGATTCCTGTTCCTGGGCGGCTTTGGCTTCGTCGAGCGCAAGGCCAGGTTCCCTCTGCTCCCGACTTCCGTCTTTACAGGGGATCTTGGGTGGACTCTGAGCTGCATCGCGGCAGGCTGGGCCAGCTTTGGCATTGGCCTGTTCTACTACTACCAGTTCATGGAGGTCATCGAGGGCGACGAACCGCTCATTGTTGTAGCGAAATGGGCCCCGGCGCCCATTATGGGCGTGGTTGCGGGCCTCACGACGGCGTATCTGCTGAGCCGCGTGTCGCCGAGCGTCATCATGTTCATGGCGATGTGCGGCTTCCTCATTGCAAGCATACTTCTGGCCACCATCCCGGTTCATCAGACTTACTGGGCACAAGCGTTTGTGCTGACGGTCGTGTACCCCTTTGGCATGTAAGTTAGCAGACTCTCATCTATCCTGTCCGGTCTGAAGAGAAACAATGCGAAAACGAAGCGCTAACACTGGTCATCAGGGACATGTCGTTTCCGGCGGGATGCATTCTCCTCAGCAACGCCATGCCACGCGAGCACCAGGGCCTCGCGGCCTCTCTCATTGCCACGACAATCAACTATTCCATCTCTGTGAGTCTGGGATTCGCGGGGACCATCGAGACGCAGCTGAACAGTCATGGGAAAGACTTGCTGAGGGGGTATCGCTCGGCGTTGTACTTTGGTGTTGGGTTGGCGGGATTTGGCATGATATTGACGCTGCTTTTCATGTCTGTGTCTTGGAGACGGAGCCGGAGGCCGGCCAAGTCGAGGACTCCAGTGCCTGGCTAGGTAGTCAAGTCATAGCGTTTGAATAAGTTCATGTTGTTTTCATACCTATGTGAAGAAGTACAAGTCACTCTAGAGTTCTGATACTGACTTGATGAAATAACCATCATTCGAGTTGTATAGTGTTCATTGAACTAGTCCATCAAAAGGGAGTTACATGTAAGTTTGGTCGCCCGTGAATTGCCCTTTATTGCGTTGTGCGAGGACCGTCTTATGTATATGTTCGGATCGGGGAGCCTTCTAACAGGCTGATACCCGAGTGTGATTTAGCCAACCACGGATTCACTGTATAGACGCGCAGAGATAACTGTGGCATATATAAAACCACGTCTGGGCTTCAATGACTGCCACGAAATCACATTGGCGTATTTTATTGTTCAAAGACCATGTATGAGTAGAGCATTGTACCTTGTCAACTTATGCTGTTGTAAGAGGCGGCTCTATTCGGCCCAAGCCGGACTCCCCCCACCAAAGAACCAACCACCAGCAACCCCACCATCGGATCACAGCTGCTTTCTTTTCCGCCTCTGTTGATTCGTTTCTCCGAATATCCCATTCGCTGCGTCATCCGCCGCCAAAGCTCGCCCTCTTTTCGCCGACAGCTCTCTTCTCCAAGCTTCCTGCAAGCTGCCTACAATCACACAGTAACATCTCGTGCGATTCAATCCGCTCCCTGTCGAGAACCCCGCGACACCAGCAAACATCCTCACCCCTCGATGGCCTCGACGCCGGTAATGCGAAGCCTCTCACGGCGTCCTCTACACGAGCTGTCCCCCAACCGCATCTGCCGCACCTGCAATCTTCCCCGGCGCCACTTCTCAAGCTCTCTCCCATCACCGCCTCGTCCGCCAGCCTCGGGCATCGCGCCCCTCGCCTCGAGACAGCTGCTCTCCGTGACCGGCCCCGACGCCGCCAAGTTCCTGCAGGGCATCATCACCGCAAACGTCGTCTCGAGCAAGGGCGAGCCCCGGACGGATCCCTTCTACACGGCGTTTCTCAACGCGACGGGGCGGGTGCTGCACGATGTCTTCATCTATCCGGTCCGAGGCTGCGCGCCGGGCGGCTCGGCGCAGGCGGCGGGAGACGACGGCTTCTTGGTCGAGGTAGATGCGGCGCAGATCAACGCGCTGCTGAAGTACATCAAGCGCTACAAGCTGCGAGCAAAAGTCGCCTTCCGAGCCATCGACCCGGCCGAGATGTCCGTGTGGCACGCATGGAACGACACGCCCAACTCGACAACCCTCGACATGCCCGCGGCCGACCCGTCAAGAATCGTCTTCCGAGACCCTCGCGCCCCCGGGCTAGGCCACCGCATCATCCAGCTCGCGGGCCACAAGCCGCCCGAAGTCGACGTCGAGCGCGCCACGGAAGACGCCTACACGATCCGCCGGTACCTCCACGGCGTGCCCGAGGGCCAGGACGAGATCCTGCGCGAGCAGGCCCTGCCGCTCGAGAGCAACATGGAGCACATGAACGGCATCGACTTCCACAAGGGCTGCTACGTCGGCCAGGAGCTCACCATCCGCACCAAGCACCGCGGCGTTGTGCGCAAGCGCATCCTGCCCTGCGCCATCTACGACCGCGCCAAGGCGGCGCCCCCGAGCCTCGTCTACGACCCGGACCCGGACCCGGAGGCCGGGGGCAGCCCCGAGGCCCTGACCGCCGACATGATCCCCGCCGAGACCAGCATCGGGCGGTCCGGCAAGCGCGGCCGCAGCGCCGGCAAGTGGCTCCGCGGCGTGGGCAACATCGGGCTGGGGCTGTGCCGCCTCGAGATCATGACGGACGTGGTGCTGCCGGGGGAGCAGGCGGCCGCGACGTTTCGCGACGGCGACGAGTTTGAGCTGGAGTGGGGGGAGGAGGACAACAAGAGCGGCGTCAAGGTCAAGGCGTTTGTGCCCGAGTGGCTGAGGCGGAGCATAGACGGACAGCAGCGATGATGGGACGTTTGGTCGTTGTATACAATACTCTTATCGGAGGACGTTTGTATGGTTTTCAGTGTGTGTGAGTGTGTGTGTGTGTATGATGGGCGAACAGAACATGTACGATATCTAGACGGCAAACCAATACCCTCCCCTGTTGTGCATAAAAGGGCTACTATGATCGAGGCTGTCTACGTTCAGCATCATTCTCGTCAGTTATTTGCCAGACGAACATGTGAGATGACGGCGAATGAACCCTTCGCGATTGCCATACCAAGGACACCAAGCCACATTGGCTGCGCCTGAATCTCGTTTCCAACGAACCGACGCATTGTGCAGCAAGGCTTGGGCCATGCAGTCAGCACTCTCTTGTCAACTCAATCATACTGCGTCAGCCAGGTCTAGAATCCTTTCAATGACGCGCCGCCCATCCAACCTCCTGCAAGGAGTGAGTTGCGAGGCTATCTGGAAGGCGGAATCTGCATCCGAGACAAGAATGAGCCATTCTGACGCAAACGTAGTTGGATCGTTTAATTCAACAACCGTCAGCATAGCCGTTTGGCGACCAAGAGCATAATACTAGTACAGTACTGCAGCTGCGGAGTAGTATGTAGTCTCATCACGTAGGATTCGCTTCCCTACAAGTGCGCAGCGGTAGGGCTGAGAGATGCGCTCCACAACGGCTCGCAGCTGAAAAAGTTGGTAGCAGCCTGTCTCTCTTTGCTGGGGGAGGTCGTGATGGGATCACATGGTTGGTTGACGTCAAAATAAGGGCCTTGGTTCTTTGGCTCCGGCCCCTGGCTTTTGCGACCCGTCAGCTGTGGTCATGAGTAGTCTTCTGGAGGTGCTAAAGTGCATGGAGCGCGGAGAAGGCTCCAAAGTAAAAGGACTGAGCCTGAATCCACGGGCCGTCGCTGACCACCTCATGGGTTGCACACCATCATGGCGCTTGTTGTGAGGCCGTGGTCATGCCCCTTCCACCACCAATGGGTGCTCCTCGATGTTTGCTCACGGATGTAACCCAGCGGAGGTGATCCAGAGTCCTGGGCTTTGCGGGGAGGCAGCCTCACATGGAGACGTTTGTATAAGTCGGCGTTTCGTCCATGTCGTCTTGCGTGTTGCCTCTCATTGTTTCGCATCGCTCACGCAATCCCACCCATAACGACAACACATCATTGATTTCCCGCATCTGCACTCATGGGTTCCCAGCCTCCTGTCAGCAAGCGTCTCATTGTCTGTTGCGATGGCACGTGGATGAATAGCGACAACGGCTATCAAGAGCCAACTCTCGAGCACCCTCAGCCGACGCTTCAAGTGCCCTCAAACGTCACCCGAATCAGCCGCTGCTTCAAGCGGCGTTGCGATGATGGCACGCTGCAAGTGATGTCGTACGAGTCCGGAGTTGGTACTGGCAGTAATGTCATTGATCACCTCACTGGTGGTGCATTTGGCCTGGGCCTTTCTGAAGTAAGAGCTGCTGCACCTTTTCCTGTCATTCATAGGTAGTCGTAGCATGATCTTAAAGGCAGGACGGGCTGACATGGCATGCAGCGAGTCCGCGAAGCGTACTCCTACCTCTGCGCGAACCATATGGACGGCGACGAGATCTTCCTCGTTGGCTTCTCCCGAGGCGCCTTCACAGCTCGGTCGGTGGCGGGCATGGTCGGTACCCTTGGCCTTCTCACTCGAGAAGGCCTGGAATACTTCTATCCCATCTTCAAGGACATGGAGAACTGGAACAATGACAAGTACGAAGACGAGTTCCCGGGACAGCCGTTCCCCAATAAGCCCAAGGGACCAAATGCGGCAGACGAATATCGAACGAGACTCGAGAAGCTGGGCTACACTCGTGTGTACCAGGAAAACGGTGAGCTGATCAAGATCAAGGCCGTCTGCGTTTGGGACACCGTTGGCAGCCTAGGCATCCCCAAGGTTTCGTGGCTGGACAAGATTGGCATCCACCCATCAAATGAAGAATAAGTCTACCCCCTTTGTCTTGATCCGACTGGGTGCCATCGCAGAAAGCTAACACCCACAGCACATATAAGTGGCATGACACGTCGCTTTCGGATCGCATCGAGCATGCCTTTCAGGCACTTGCCCTGGATGAGACTCGTGCTCCATTTACCCCAGCAGTCTGGGAGCGGCTCCCAGAGAACAGGTTGACGACCGACCTCCGACAGGTTTGGTTCCCAGGCAATCATGCCAACTGCGGCGGTGGATGGCCGGACCAAGAAGCCGCCGACGCTTCACTTGCCTGTAAGTGGTCCATCGTGCCACGCAGCATCAATGAGGATGCGTCTCGAATCAGAGACTGACGCTTGTGCATATAGGGATGATGGACCAGATGGCATCTGTGGGAGTCGAGTTTGACCTGTCCTGTCTTGAGAGAGTCGCACATAAGACCGTCAGTTACTATAAGAGCCTGAAACCCGCAAAGAAGGGCCTGGAATGGGCCGTCGAACCCATCTACAAGGAAAATCAACCAGTCCGGCCGTGGGCACTCGGATCCATCAACAAGGCCGGCGACTTCATATACAAGCTCTCAGGCTTCGAGAACAGGACGCCCGGTTTGTATAAGCGAACAGACCCAAAGACTGACCGCGAAACCGGCATCTTTCTGCAAGACACCAACGAGCGCATCCATAGCTCAGCCAGAGTTCGGCTGGCTTGCAAGGGGCTTGGCTTGGACGACAAGGCCGTTTGGACCTGCCCATCACTGGCCAATTGGCAGTTGAAGCACACCAACGAAACGTTCAAGGATCCGATCCCGCATGATCCGAGCTGGTGGCAGGGTCCTCCGGATGAGTCTGGAGTCGACAAGCAGGAGAGCGGAAGATGGATATGGGAGTATGCTGGACCGCAGGGCGCTGCGCCCACGGATCCTAAGCAGAGAATCATGGTGGAAGAGCCATTGGGGCCATTCGAGCGGTATCTTCTTCAGTTGACAGAGGGCACACCAAACGTTTACTTATTCGCCGAGACCCAGGATATCGACTGGCAGGGGAACAAGATTCCAGCGCTGAGAAGCAGAAAGAATGGTGTCTAAGCAGCGCAGCTTTCTGTGACAAATCAATGTATCTGGGTGGCATTTGAAGCCATGAAGTTTAGGTGTTCAGTATATAGATTTGAATTGCGATTGACAATGGCAGCATGTTGAGTGAAGCTTGATGATATTGAAGTTGCTCATGATTGGGGTGGCAAAATTCAAGGTACCTTGAGTACCTACTTAGGTACCTGCACCTAAAGCTCAAAACGTCACGTGATAGCGCATCGAACGCTGACTGGCAAAGCGCGGAAGGCGCGACTAGAATTCGGTCACTCATAGATCAATCCTGACAGTCATCAGGCAGGCACTCTTTCAACCCACATCAAATTTCAAAGGTCCTGCTCACTTCGCCATATTCTCTTTTTTCTTCTTCTCTACATATCTTCTGACTACTCTTGACTTCTTTATCATCATCAGTGACGCGTCCGCAATAACTACGCAGGACCCATCGCCCTCTAGAACCTGAAAGAACTCGGCAGACTCTCACAATGAGCGACGACAAGGCGGACCTTTTACGGTTCGCAAATGAATATGCAGACAAAAACATCGACCTCTACGAGCTCCTCGGCGTGGATGCCCTCACGCCCAAGGAAGATGTCCACCGAGCTTGGAGAAAAGCGTCTCTGAACTACCATCCCGACAAGGCGCGTGAAAAGTTCGATGCAGCAAAATGGGAGCTATTCGAGAGGGCCAGGGATATCCTGTCCGATCCCAATGCGCGTGCGGCTTACGACCAGTCTCTCAAGGCCAAGCTGCTGCGCAAACAAGAGCGCGAGGCGATGGACAAGGAGCACCAAAGGTTCGCCGATGACCTCGAGGCCCGCGAAAATGCCCACAGACAGCGGATGCAAGAGCAGCAGCAGCGGGACCAGGAGAAGCTAGCCAAGGAACGAGAGCGGCTGGCAGAAGCGCAGCGCATGCACGACGAAGAGAAGAGACGGCAGGCTGAGGCGGCTGAGGCAGCGGCTGAGGCGGCGCAGAAATTGGAGGACATAGCCGAGGCCAGGCGACGACTAAAGGAGAGGAAAGAGGACAAGGCAAGGAGGAAGCAGGTCAAGAAGTCACTCAAGGCCACAGGTGGTATCAAAAAGCCGCCCGGGCCTGCCAACGGCACCGTTCTCGTTCCTGGCGATTACGTTGTAGATGTCGGTGCGGTTAAGAAGAAGTACTGGGAACTGGTTTGCGACAAGCTGCGGGCCGTTCAAGCAGTGAGGAACCTACAGAAGCTTGATGTGACGGACAGCCAGGAGCTCGAAGATGCCGAGAAGAAGATGATTGAGGCGCGACAGCGCATTCATGAGGCGGAGATGAAGTTTCAGCAGGACACGACAGCCGTCTAATCACCCGCATGCAACGAGAATAGTCGACGTCACCACGTCATATCAACCCATGTTCGCTATCTACCACATCTATCCACCGTCTAGCGTCACCACTCGAGGACGGCAGGCTCCGCGGTCTTCAAGCGTCTTTTTGATCCAGTCGAAGGATGCTTATCGCGTTGCCCCCCATGATTGCCTTTGCCTGTTCCGAACCTTCGCCAACAGCAATGGTCACCGCGTCGGCGTTCAAGCTCACGCTCTCCCACTCTCCTTGCTCATCACTCTCAAGAGGGGGGAAGAAGGGATGGTCAGTTCCAAACATCAACCTGTCAGCACCGCTAGCGTCTATCGCTGCCTTGAGCCCAACCTCGGAATAAATGACGGCGTCGAGGTAGATTTGCTCCTTCAAAACCTGCCAGATTGTTCGGCGACCCTTGCCAGCTTTGCCCTCCCTAACCAGCTGTCCATCGTGCATGATGCAGCTTTCGATCCTGCCTGCTAGAAAGGGCAGAGTCCCCCCGCTGTGGGCCAGGATCATTCTCAGATCCCGCACTTGATCAAACACGCCGGACAGGTACATCCGCGTGACTGCAATGGTGGTTTCCATGGGGAAGCCCAAGGCGAGTGGCAAAACGTGGCCGTACTCTGCGCTGGCTCTAGGCCCCCAAACCTCGTTGGGCAGTCCATAGTGTGGATGCAGGAATATGGTCAGGTTGGCCGCCGCCAACGCCTCGAATATCGGCAGTAAAGCGGGATCGTCAAGCCCTTTGCCCAAACCCGAGGTGCCGAGGATGATGCCTCTGCAGTATTGAAGACTCTGCACGTGGGAAATCGCGGCGAGCAACGTGTCCAGAGGCGCAGTCAGGGGCAATGCCGCAAAGAAGAACAAGCGTCCAGGATGCTCGCCACACATGCGCGAAAACTCTTGGTTGACGGACTCGCCAATCTCTCCCGATTCAGAAGCGCTGAGGAAGTCGAGCCATGGATTGGCGAGGGATATCACCGAAATGTCAATGCCATGGGTGTCCATGAAATGGATCTTCTGAGCGAGTGATGCAAAGTGAGAGGTGAGCGGCCGCCCAGGAGGCTTGGCTGTAGGATCATTGGTGGCCTCCTCGAGTGCTTTGCCTTCGGCTTCGAGGAGTATCAGGCGCGGCTCTGGTGTCTGCGGAAACGTGCGGACGAGAGGGATCGTGGTACGGGCTTCGAGTATCTTGATGTATGATGGCGGATACATGTGCGTGTGGATGTCCACAACGCGTAACTTGGAGGCTGCCATGTCACCAGCCGGGAAAGGCGAGTTGTTCCTTCACGATGGTTACGAAGAGAAGATCTCACGTCGACACGAGCTCATCGACTCGTCTGAACAAGCACGCACGCGGGAGTACTGCGGGGAAGCGGCAATAGCCCTTGAGTGGCTTTCCGCCGCCCATGGAGTCGCCGAACGACCTCGTCAGCGCCAGGCGTGTTACACTGAGATACAGACATGATACAACAGATACGTTTCATGCTCAATACTGTATCTTGAAGAGGGGCACGGCACATCAACGATCATGGCCCCGCACGATTTTCGACTCTCCACCGCGATAATCAGCCTGTTGCAACCAGTCAGAGTCGAGCAGATCAGCCATCCCATGCATTACACCCCGGACTAGGCCGACTAGCTGCCGTCTCTTGGCCCAGCTTATCGCGGCCTCAAGCTTCGGCTCTAATACAGCGAAACGCCATCTGTTGAAGGTGGGAGAAGCTCTTGCTGGTGGCGGCTCGAGATTGTCTGCCAGCGCCCGCGCTATCCCGCGAGACTTACAGCGCCGCCGACGACTGAAGCAAATAAGAGGTTGCATTGGAATGGGTAGTATATCTGTAGCTTGCTCTAGTTCCGCTACCCAATTATACCTATAAATACGAGGGCAAGATGTATTACCCAACGCTGCGTTTTTTAACAGGACTACTACTCTGCACATGTGAATCGAGCACTCTACCTCCTTATCGAAGGCACAATGGCGACTGACGCGGCAGTGAGCAAAGATGGGCTCTTCATCCCCGTGAGTGATCCTGACGTGCTGGTGAAAAAGATACGACGCCATGTCAATGACAATACTCATGTTTTTTCTTTCAGCTCATCGACTTTTCTAAATTCCTAAATGGCAATGCTCTTACTCGCCAAGAGACAGCCGATGCCATCCTCAACGGCTTCCAAGACGCCGGCTTCATCTACCTCAAGAACCACCCCATCTCCCAGGAAACCGTCAAGCACACGTTCAACATGTCGGCAAACTTCTTCGCGCAACCGCTGGAGAAGAAAGCAGCACTGGAATGGACGACTCCGCAGGCCAACCGCGGCTACGTCGCTCACGGGCGAGAAAAAGTCTCGCTGCTCAAGGACAACGCCGAGGTGGAAAAGGTGCGCAGCGCGGTGCCGGATCTAAAGGAAAGCCTTGAAATTGGCCGCGACGACGAAGAAGGGCATCCGAACAACTGGCCTAGCGAAGAGGGCTCATCCATCGTGGGCTTCAGGGCGGACATGTTGAGCTTTTTTGAGCAGTGCAAGGCGTTGCATGTGCAGGTCATGCGGGCTATCGCGATGGGCATGGGGTTCGAGGAGAGCTTCTTTGATCGGTTTGTTGATGTTGGTGATAACAACTTGCGGCTGCTGCATTATCCGGAGGTCAAGTCGGATGTTTTCAACACTCCCGGGCAGGTTCGTGCCGGAGAGCACAGCGTAAGCGATAGTTTCATACATTTATTGTGTTACATATGGCGTTTTCCTCCTGACGAACAGTCGGTATTATAGGACTACGGATCCATCACTCTTCTTTTCCAAGATGACCGGGGCGGTCTTCAGGTGAAGAGCCCCAACGGAACGTTTGTCGATGCAACTCCCATCGAAGGGACCATCGTCGTCAACGCCGGCGACTTGTTGGCGAGATGGAGCAATGATACGATCAAGAGCACGATCCACAGAGTGGTTGAACCGCCGAGGCGGGAGGGCGAAACGTATCCTTCGCGATATAGCATTGCGTAAGTTCTCATGATTGCAGCAAAAAGGCCAGCTTGACAAATGTGTTCGCAGTCTAACGCGGGAGAGAGGCAGCTACTTTTGCAACCCCAACTTCAAGGACCTGATTGAGGTGCTGCCGGGAACGTATGCCACTGAGCAGGAGAAGAAGTATACCGGGATCAACAGCGGCGATTATCTCGTCCAGAGACTCACGGCGACATATTGACGGGCACGTGAGATTGGCAACTCCGAAAGCGAAGAGTAGTAACAGGCCTTCAGTTTTTGATGGATGGACTTTTGGTGAATGGAGAGAAGCGCCGCTTTGCTCGCTTATAGGGGGCAATTGCTTAGCTCTCTACTTCATTGGCCTGAAGATGAGTCAATAGGTAAGAGGCATGATGTTCAGCCGCACTCCAAGGATTCGAGAGGGGCAGCGTCATGTGCAGGTCTGGAACAGCCATCAAATGGCTGCGGGGGGCGTGTCTTTGGGTTAGCGATTCCTTTGAAATCCGAGCTGTCATTTACTCTCCTCTGCTTATAAGGGCTGCCTTGGCCTTCTTCCGTCTGTCCTCATCTGCCCAAGACTAGGTATTCTACAATATCTGGTCCTTCCAGCGGGTAACTCGTGTCGCATATCACGTCCATACAACATGATAGGCATCAGTGCTTTTGACTGATACAAGTCGTCGCTGGTATCATGGCCTGGGGCAGCAGCACCAATAAGAGCGGCAGCTATACAGCTAATGTCGAGATCCGTCCTGGTAACGACGGGGACATAGAAGCATTTTTTACTCGCAACGGATTCGATGGAAAGACCAGAGAGGTGTGCGATGAATATGCTCGTGGGCAATTCCCCGGCGTAGAACCGATGCCTTTGCAGACGCAGGGCTATTGCTCCTATACGCTGAGCCTATCAAGAAGCTATCTGCTGCAGTTTCGGCCCGAGGCGTTCATGTTGAATATAGACACTTGCCGAGAGGCCAAGGCCATCTACGGCAGCTATGCTCCGACGACGACGTATCTGGGCGAGATCCAGGGTATCCCCCTTCAGCGCCTTGACGAGAATGTTGATCTACCAGTTATGCATGTCTATCTGCATAAAAGAGTCCCGGGAATCCCACTATCAGAGTTTCGAAGCAGGAGACAAGATAAGATGAAGGAGCGGGTGGTCAAAGCAGAGGATAGCATGTACAAGAGGAGGTTAATGCGCGGACTGGCCAAGGTGTTTGCTCTCGGGTTCCGTGCAAGGCAGCCTTTCCGAGAAGATCTCCCCAAGGGACGGATTGGCGAGTCGATGCAATGGCGGCTGAACCTCCTGAGCGGCCTGCCCTCCAAAGACACAGATCTCCAAAGACACGTCACAGAGGCGCAGAGCCAATTCCTCAGCATTCAGTCATCCGACTGGTGTCTCACCCACGGCGACCTCCTCCCGGCAAACATTCTCGTCAACCCAAGGACAGGCCGTCTCACAGGCCTCATTGACTGGGCTGAAGCAGAGTGGCTGCCCTTTGGCATGGCTCTCTATGGCATCGAGGAAGTCCTCGGAGAGGTTGTCGATGCTTCTCAGAAGTTTGAGTACTACTCGGACCACCGAGAGCTGCGCCAGCTCTTCTGGTGCGAGTTTCTGTCTTTGACGAGACAGAGGCAGATGAGTACAGGACAGATACAAGGGGTGGAAGCGGCGCGGAAGCTGGGGATTCTGTTTTGGAGGGGAATTGCGTTTGACGACGGGAGGATGGATCGTGTCGTGGAGGAGGGGAGGGATGAGGAGGAGATGCAGAAGCTGCGGCTTTTCTTAGGAGCGCCGAGTATTTCCGACAGAACCGGAAGAGTGCAGGCCGGCAAATGGGTTTGGGATCTTGAGCATTTTGCATGGTGCTGGTGGAGGATGAGGAGGAGAGGGGAAAATACATGTAGATACCTACCTAGGGAAGACGTGATCCAGTAGAACTTAAGTTCAAGTTGGTGATAGTACTTGTATCTAATTGCAACCAAAGGTGGAGTGACACCATCAAAGAACTCCATCAGCTCCATTCCACGAGCTTGACGAGGTAGCGCGGTCTTTGCTGTGGGTCGCCCGTGTTTAGCGAACTGGGTCGTGCATTCAGTGGGGTCGCACCCCTGGGCTGTAGCGCATCCTCTGTGGAACTATAAATACAGCGCTGCCGCCCGCCGACAACGTCCAACCTCGAGCGCTACGATTTCCTCGCACCAAACGACAGGCCCGGGCACGTCCCTATATAAACCAAAAGAGCGGCAGTGACAATCGCGGAAACAGTCGAGTGGATTGAGACTCGTTGGAGGCAGGGCCCGCCGAGGAAGGCGACGATTCAATCACCGGTTGTTTCCGCTTTCTCTTTTTTTTTGTATGTTTTTTTTCTTGTTGTTTTTTTTCTTCTTTCGGACGAGATAATGATACTCTTTATCAGATCTACTGGCGATCGATTTCTTTCGGTATCTTGTGTTGCGGTCATGTTCTGTGGTGCGGGAGGTCTCTGTAGTTCAGAAAGCTCACATCCACGTCCTCGCCCCCTCCGAGAGAGTCTTGCCGTGTATCGCAAAACAGTCGAGCAGTGCCGGATGATATTGGAGGCAGAGAGCGGCAGTACTGCCCTTCTCCTTCCTGCTTTTCTTCACGTCCTTTGCATTTCTTCGCAATTGCATGGAGTCTGCCAGATATTGATCGATCCTAGATGCCTTCGATATGCCTGTTCGATTACCACCAATAAGAGCCTCGAGATCCTCATGCTCTTTCGTTGCGTACCTACCGAAACGCTCGGCCCGGGCAGTGCCCTTTATAAGCCAGGTTATTCTTCTATTTTCCCGCGGAACAGTCGAGTGGATTGAGACTCGTCGGAGGCAGGGCCCAGCCGATGAAGGCGACGATTCAATCACCGGCTGCTTCCGCCTTTCCTTTTTTTTTTTTTCTTTCTTTTTTTTGTGTGTGCCTTTTCCTTCGAGGTCCTTCTCTTGCTTCATCACAGCATTGAATGGCCTTTGCTGTATTCTCCCTTTCTTTGTGTTCTCTTTTGTGGCACGGATTGCTCACAAATTCAGCTCGAGGCCTCGACAATCCTCTCTCTCCTGGATCGGTACGGCAAAAGGAAAATCCTAAAGACCGAAATCGTTTGCGCTCGGACCCCCTTCGCACCGTAAAGGCAACAAACAGCCTGAGCCACAGTCCTTTATAGGCCAAGTTACTGCTACCACCATTCAAGCAACAAGCTGGTGGAATAATCGAGTGGTATCAGCTGCAAAAGGCGAGAGTGCTGACCTTAGACGCGGGAGTTCGAGTGCCGGATGCAGCTGATTCTGCGGTCCCGTCCACCTTTTTTTTTTTTTTTTTTGCATCTTTTTTCTCTGTTTCCTCTGCATCGATTCGATTGTACAGCATGATTCTGTGGTTTTTGACTCGTCTTGTCTTCCAAACACAAGTCCGCTCTTCCCAATTTCGGGCTGCACTCGAAAACGGGAAGGAAGCTACAGATCTCCTTCCAGACAGAACAGCTCCTCCCTCCCTCGGACCAGGCAAAACCAATCACCCGGCTACGCTCCTGCCAATTCACCGGAGCCCAAACCAGACAAGGCAGGCCACACCCCCCCTCTCTACCTATATAGGCCAGAAATCTCCGTCCCTGTTCCCAATAGCATTGGTGGAATGGTCGAGCTGGTGGCCGTGACGAGGTACTACCTTGATACGTCGATCGGCTCCCACAAAGGCGTGGAAGATGCCGTGTTCGAGCGTTGTCAACGGCGGAAACCCTCGTATTCATTCTGCCAATTTTTTTTTTATTTTTTAAGATTCTTTTTGGGTCCCTTTCACGTTAGGTCTGCTCTGAGGAGAAAGAAAGCAAAAAAACAAAAAGAAAGAAAGAAAGAAAGAAAGAAAGAAAGAAAGAAAGAAAGAAAGAAAGAAAGAAAGAAAGAAAGAAAGAAAGAAAGAAAGAAAGAAAGAAAGAAAGAAAGAAAGAAAGAAAGAAAGAAAAGAAAAGAAAGGGAAAAAAGAGAGGGAAAAAAACCGATCCTTCTTTCTTCGCTTCCTGGCTGACTTACTGACTGATTTTTGCCTTCTACAATACCCCCCTCAACTACTACAACCAGAGGGAAAAGGGGGGAGAAGACCAGAAGAGAGGTGGAGGGAACTGTGTCAGACGCTCTTCAGAAGCGCTCCTTCCTTCATTCCAACGAACCACACACACCATCACGCACGCTCCTTCCCTCCTCATCATGCCGGAGACCACCCAGACCCAGGCCACACACATAAACACGCACCCCTTGATAAACCAGAAACTACCTTCCCTTTTCCAACAGCTAGCAGGCGGAACAGTCGAGTGGTCTCTTCGCAGCGAGATAGAACGGTAAGACGTCCCGTTCGAGTTCCGTTGCAAACGACCACTCGACTGTTCCGCCATTTTTTGCGAGTTTGCCTCCTTTTCTTCTTCATTCTCTCTCTTTTTTTCTTTCTCTTTCCCTGCCTGCCGTGGAGCCATTTGCAGATAGACTGAGAAATGGGCGCTCTGTCTTGGTAGGTCTTGATTCTTCTGACTGGGACAGTGTGATGTTATGCCTAGCCTTTTGATATGGAGATAACTCTATAGCCAGCGAGTAGAGAGAGCATATGAAGACCTCAGTCATCCTTGACCAGAATGGTAGTAATTAGCTCAATGTGCATAATCTCCTCATTCAACATGTATGTTACATTTCCTCAAAGAGGCCCAACTTCAAAGCTCGCAAAACTGCCCCTTTCACCATCAAATCATCCAAGATCCCCTTTCCAGCACAGCCGAAACTGTAATTCTACTCTACACAACAAGCCCCTCCTCAGACGCCTCGTCCCTCTCCAAACGCTCCAACCCGGTCCCAACCGCTCCGTACACGCGCAGAGGCACGGGCACATCAAAGCTCTCGCACGACAGGTTCTCGACAGCGACGAGGACCAAGCCCCCCTTGTCGTCCCTCGAAATCTGCTCCAGCAAGGGATACGGAGTTTGCTGCCCCTTGGCCGGATCGTGGCCCTGTGACGACGACGGCACGACGAACTCGACGCGGATCTTCCATTCGAAGCTGATGGCGCTGGTGACGAATTCGGGCGTGGCTGAGATGGGTATCGTAGGGGTAAAGACTATTCGTCGTGTGAAGAGCGTGGACTCGGAAGAGGCAACGTACACCTTGCGCGTTACCCTGTGTATACTCGAGTCAGATCGCAGAGCCAGCGATGAGTCTATCCTCTCGGATGACTCCAAAGTTGCATGGACTGCGTAGCAAGGAATGTCGGCATCAGCAAAGTCAATGACCATTGTCACAACCTCTCCCAAACGGTAGGCAGGTCGCGTCAGCATCACCACGCCGACCCTCTGCCCGTTGCGCGCAATCTCGAAGCGACTGGCGCTCTGCTGTCCTTGGCTTGTCTGGGTGCTCCTCATGATTGCGAGGCGAATCGCCTCTTTGGCCGACGTCGTCTCCTCGAAGCTGGACGATGAAAGCCGCCGTAGATCCGGAGTTGCTGTTGGAGACAGAAGTGACCCCCCAGTCTTATCGCCGGGTCGGTTCGTCAAGCTGTCGACGTATGATAAAAAGTCGCTCATGGCAGCAGATCCCCCGGGGGTCTCGCGCTCTCTGTGGCTCTTCTGCTGCTTCCCAACCATCTTGACCAGAGCCTCGTCGCGAAGAAGTATGTAAGGGTTCATGAGATCGTGTCCGAGGATCTCACCGTGGCTGTTGACGCTCCCAAGGACACGGAACGGCACCTCGACCGTGCGCACCTGCTGCTCTCTAGCCCCTCCTGGTCTCTGAGTGCCGATTACTAGGCTGTATGATATCTTGATTGCCTTTCCTTTATGCGTAGGAGGCAGGCCTTTCGGGAGCTTGAAAGTGTACTCAAACGATCGGCTCTCGCCAGGGGCCAGCTGCAGGTCGACGAACAGGATCGACTGGGGCGTGCTGAGCAAGGGAACGGCCTTTGAGTTTGCAACTCCACGCATCTCCTTGATGGTGCTCAACTCTCCGCCGCCTAGAAAATCGCCTAGAGAATTGCTTATGCTGCCCCAGCCAAAGCCGCGTAAGAGGCCATTCTCTCGACGTCCCGACTCGAGGCCAACCACTCCGCCGCCTCGGCCGCCAACAACGGCTTTCTTCTTGACTTGCTCAAAGGGCGCAAGGCTGATGAGGGACCCATCCAGCGAGAAGGAGCCCTGGATTTGGGCGAAGCCCATCATCAGCGACTCGGTTCTTGACTGGTGCATAGAAAAGCCTGAGCCACGGCGCGGATACGATGGTCTGCCGGAACCTCTCGTCAAAGGTGGCGCTACGTACTCCGAGGCCAATGTCTCGGACGAGTTATTGCTGATAGAGTAGAATTCACCACTGCTTCGAGGGGTCCCCCCAGCCATGCTCGTGCTGGAGAGTATGCGGGCGGTAAGGATCGGGCGGTCGGGCACAGGCGGGAGCTGTTCCTTTGATCGTATAGGGAGGTTGCTGTCGACCGGACCTGTTCTCGGGCTCAGCATGCTATTGCCGGAAGCCTTTCGAGGACTCGGAATCGTTTCCGAGTCGGGCGCGGGTGCAGCGGGGAATCGAAAGTCGGGCATGGGGCTGGCCAATGCCTTGGAGGACCTGCGCTGAACCGATAGAGTGGACGACTGAGGGCTCCTCGGAACGGGTATGCGGCCAAATCGATCGGGGGGATACGAAGCATTGAAGGGGGAGGTCGACGGTCTTTGTGAGGAGGACGGTCTTTGTGAGAATGAGCCTAGAGCAGATACAGTCAGCCAATTGATGTCCATGAGGACAATAAATCTCAATTACTCGTCAGGAAAGGTTCATACCGGATTGAGGAGTCGAGGGAATAGTGGGCGGCCCGCGAGACGCAATCTGCAGACTGCTGGCGCGGTTATGCGAGTGCCGCTGCGCCCGTGGAGAATTGTCAAAGCGCGGCGACTGCGAATGCTCGTCGATGGTGCTGGTGGTAGATCCAATGGACACAATGGATATGGATCGCTTGTGCGCATGGCCGCGGGCGTCGCCGGAAGCAGCGGGCTGAGGCCATTGGATCGAGCTCTGCCGGCTTCTCGCGCTCGGCGAGGGCACGCTCAGCGACAGGGCGGCTCGTCGATGGCCTCTAGCCGATGCTGCGACCTTGCTGCGGGTCTGAATGGGCGAGGCAAGCCGCTGCCTCTCCGACTGGGTCTGCGTCTGGGATTGAGAGCTGGAGTGGCCGTGCGGGTGAGGGGAGAAGGGCTGCTGCAGCAGCTGTTGTTGCTGTTGTTGTTGCAGCTGGTTCGCCTCGGGGGCAATGTTTCGGAAGGTGACGGTGCATTGGACCGCCTCGCCCGCGAAGACGGTCTGGTCGCGCCAGTGGACAAAGACTCGGATGTTGCTGAAGCCGTCGGCCATGGTGGTGAAGGGTTCCTTTGGTCTCAGCGCGAGGCGGGTGCAAGGCGGCGGCCAGGACAAGGCTGAGCCGACATCTCCAGCCCGCTGCTGCGTCTAGCCTTGCCGGGAGAGCGCCGCACAGCTGGGCCGAGGTTTGGGGGCGAGAGGAGGAGGAGAGCTGGTGATGGCCGATTGCGGTTGAGGTGGAAACGTCATGGTGTTGAAGGCCGACCGAGCTGAGAGAGGCGCCAACTGGAAGCTGGCCATCGACACAGCTGACAGGTAGCTTGTACAGGGTACTTTGTCCGGCGGGCGACCCTGTCACAACAGGATCTGTCCGCAGCCAATCAGCGCCCGCCTCCCCGCGGCTGCAAGGTCCCTGGAACGCTCTACGCCCCTCTCTGGCGACTTTCACCTCCAGGGAATGGGGGTGTCAAGGCCTGGTACTTGTGACCTTGCGCCTGTCAAGGCTGGCTCTTTTTATCGGCCAAACGTTCCATGTGTCCACCTCAGCATGATGAGCCTCAAACATGCCTCCTCAATGTAGAAGTGAAGGGGCACCATCAAGCCATTGCTGGTCTGGCCGAAGGAGTGCGGCTGAATACATATATGCACATCAGCAGAGGGAGGGCGCTCTCCACGGTTCCTTGGCAGTTTTCCACCACTGGCCTGCATACATGGCGCATCATATGAGAGCTGCTGACGATAGAGGTGTCATGTCATTGAACGACAAGATCTGGGTAAGGATTGACACTGACAGAGAGCCTCACGATACAGTAACATATTGATGACAGCCCCTTATCATTGAGAGAGAGAGATACAATTCTAGTAAGGATTCTCTAGCTATTTTACGTTATTTCACCACATGTTGATAAACGCATATACTCATGTAAGGGCAGGAGAACACGGCGATAGTGGTAGAGGCGGAATCTCTTATTCAGTCATGTCTTGCAGTAGCAGTAGTAATAGCTATTAACTAGGTACGCAGTAAGATGATAGCAACTCAAGGTAGGGTGCTGGTAGCCACTCTCCTTGTCCTTGTCCTCTAATTCAATAAATCACACAGTCCTCGCGCCTTCCAGGGCTTTCTGTTCCATCTGAATCTGCTGCAGTGAGACAGGCCTAATGACTTGACTTGAAAGCATCAGGTGGCGAATGGCATCGCCGTGAGACTTGATCACATCTTCGTCCAGCCGTTCCTGGACCACAGCAAGCTCATGGTCCCAGCCAGGATGGCTTTGATGTACCAGGGCTTCCCAAGCCTTGACCAAAGATGGTTCTATGGTAAATGCCCATGTGCCTCTCCAGGTGATTCTGGCTTGCCGTCTATTGCGGCACACCTGATACTGAAAGAGCGCCGCCAGCCCCTTTCGGCCGTTCCAAATCTCCATCGTTTCTAGCTGTGGCATATTCATCGCTGCTGCCGCCGCGTTCTCAAGCATTGCGACTATCTCGCCCGAGTCTGCCCCTGGCGAGAGCAACCTTGAAGTAAGCGCAAGCGATGTGAGGTTTGGCCACTCCCAAAAAGGTTCAATGTCCAGGAAATGCCGAGCATCTACCATGAAGGATGCCGCAAGATGCTCCAGTTCGAAGCTAGTGGCTGCGAGGATCCGGCTGATGACTGGGCTTGGATCGCGAATGGGGTAAGATTCGTTTGTGTCGACCCCATGCATGAATCGCTGCATGGTAGCCGCGTACTGTTGATTGAAGTTCTCAAAGATGACAAGTTTCTTGAGATTTTCGTTATAATGGCGTATAGACTCGAGAAGATATTCGATATCTAGAGAACAAATAAGGACCATTATCAGCAACGGAGAATCTATCTACACAGACGAGACAGCACTTGAGAGATAAAAACATCTCCGACAGGCTACGTAAAGTAAGCAGCGATACTCACCTCTATCTGTGTGGTGCTGCATAGAGTTCCATTGTCTCCAAGGCTCATAGTGGACTTCCCGGAGTCTGGGAAAACGAGCAAACATATGTGCAAGCGATGCCGGCTTCCATCTCCGGCGGTTCTGCTGTCGAAGGAGCACTCTAGTAACAGCCGGGATAGGTGGAAGATGATCCCACCATTGGAGTTCCAACAGCTCGCTATCAAAGGGTCCATCATCCATAACTGGATGGAAGATCTTGTTGATAGCCGACCTCGGCGGAGTGGACTCTCGGACACCAGAGACCCAGCCATGCCCATCGCTGACCTGGGTTGATACCGTCTGCTCTGCACCACACTTTCCCCAATCTGCAGGAGTATCCGGCAGAAAGGTCAAATACTTGAACCAATGTTTGGAGTCGCTAGGCGAGTAGACACTGATATCGAGTGTCAGATCGCCGTTGGGTTCCCAGGTGCTGAGAGCCGAGAAGAGATGCTCGAACGCAGAGGTGATGGGGCAGTGGGATGTATCGGTGACAGCATATGCATGACTCCAATCTTCGACTGTTCTCCCGCTAGGAGGCGCGCACTTGGAGCAGCCATAGTCCTCGAGTTCCAAGCAGAACCAGATATGGTTTACGAGAGCCCGACTGCGGTAGGCCATGGAACCAAAATCAACGATACGAGCTGGCGTCAGTCTGAGTCGACCAAAATTGTACCGCTCGACCTCTGCTTGCCACTCTCGAGACACTGTAGCCAAGCAACTCAGTCTGCAGGCGCTGTCGTCTTCCATCAGAATCTTGAGGATGAGAAGCCGGATCTCTCTGGGCAGGCCGTCCCAATGTGCTGCCTCTCGAGAAGCATTGCCGGATGTGATTGAGGACATGGCGCGGTAGACAGCGAGTCCTGGTATAGCGGTCAATAAAGGGTTCAGATGTTCTAGATGTGATGTATGCTCTTGATGCTCCGGAGGCTATGGATATTGATGGTGAGCGCTCTGGATTTCTTACCTGGATAGTAGTTCGATGGATCTTGTGTAATGATATAAAGACTAGAATAGGAAGCTGTAAGGGGGTGGCAGCTCTCCTATTTCTTGTTATAAGTGACAGTCTTGGAAATAGTGCGACGTGGGGTACAGGTCAGTGGTGTTGATGCATGCGATTGCTGCGGATGGAAACAATATCAACAGCAATTAGACGTGCGGAACGGCCAGGTTTAAGTACTTGGCCGTATGTCGGGCTTTGAGTTCATCGAAGCCGAAGCACTGGCATGGCTTGACGCCATTGGGGGGGTGGTTCCCCAACAGTAGGGCAACCACGGGACTTTCTATCTGATGGGTTGGTTATCATGGGCGTCAACGTGGAGATGCTTATTGAGAGAGTTTGAAGTTAGGGAGCGAAACGAGTGTTTAGGTTCGCCGTGTTCTGAAAGAGGCATCGGATGCCCATTGTTATGCCGCCCATTGCGCTTTGAAACTGTTTCCGTCGGCGGTATCCGGCTGATTTTGGCGAGAGGCTTTCAAGTTGTTGGGACCTAAGCGATGTGACGGGGTGATGGAAGTGGGCTGGGATGGCTTGTGATGATATCAGCTTGTCTGTCTGAAGTAAAAGTAGATACCTACTAACCCCAGTCTCATGCCTTGGTACTTTGGCAACAAAGGTTAACTCAGGTGTTTCCAGGTCCTCTACAGTGGCCGAGTGATGATGAAGGAAACATCATAGGCTCCATAGTGAAGAGAGGAAGATGGCGAAAGAATGGCTGTGATGGTACTTGTGTGAACGAGATGGCGTGTAACTGAATTACTACCTACTACCTAGGTAGGTAGGTAGGTACTAAAGGTAACTTACCTCTTAGGAGGATCGGGTCATCTTAGTACCTATCAATCGTGGGATTAGACTTACACTTTAATTGAAGCTTATATGGGCTACCTCGTACTAATGGCAAAAGCACAGAAAGCGATCGCTTATGGTGTAAAGAGATGCATCCGGAAGAATTCCCTTCGGGCCGAGTTCCTGGCTTACACCATGATCGTACCTACCTGTGGCTCACATACTGGTAAGTCCGACTCCTTTAACCGCCTTCTCTTGCGGATCAACAGTCAGACGAGTGGCTACCTGCGATACTACTAGTAGCCTTGAAAGGCACATCTCCGCCTCTCGTCTCTCGATTCTCTGTCTCCATGATCCCACCACTCATGAGAACGCACGATCGTGTAGTAGGTAGGTAGTAAGCATCTGGATATGGAAGTTGCTCAAGGGTACCCTTGTCAAGACGTTCCAACGGCCGTCAAAGTGCGGTCACGTGCGGGTGACATAACTCGTACCTTACCTCTCCAGCTCTAGAGGTACTGTAGCTGCGAGCTGACGGAAACCCATTCATTTCATTCAATTCATTCATTGATATCGCATCATCACAGCAATTGCCAACCTCTCCTCCGACTGCAAACGCGACCGCGACCAGGACGATCACGACATCCTCCTCCTCCTTCTCCTCCCCTTCTCCTCTTTTCCTACTCCAGACGCGAACGAGCCGAAAGGCACGCGCAGTCGTCATGCCGCCTTTCGAAAACGCACCGCCGTACTACATGCGCAGGACGCTTCGCACATGGTATAACCAAGTCGAGCCGGACTTGCGCGACCCAGAGCTTCTTTGGGGCGATTTTTGGAAGCGATTCAACACTGTCCGGATTCCTGTTCTTCCAGAGGAAGAATACTTCGAGCGCGCACTAGAAATCGCAAAAAGCGCCAAAGACCGGGGTGATTACGAGAAGATCTTTGAGGAAAGAAATGCAAGGGACTGGCAAGAGCTGTTGGATTTGATGTCTGAAACCACAAGACACACCCTCTATCATCACGACAACTTCCCGTGCGATGATGCTTGGAGAAAAGCGCGCAAGGCGTCTCAAACGGGCTCTTTGATGGAATTCGTTCGCTTATTGAAGGGCGTCGCCTTTGGGTGGGAAGCGGACGAGGTTTGCGAAAACAAAGTTGAGAATGTTCCGAGCGGCGAGGAAGCTCACATGGGCGCGGATTACACTGACCAAGGGGAAGTCTTCCCCGAGTTGTCGGATCTCGACTGGGAAGAAGAAGTGGGACTAAGCGGTGATCAGAGCGGGAATGTGATTTACCATGGCAATTTCACATACTTCCCAGCCCCCGACTCCGCGCCAAGGGAGGCTCCCAGGGGAGCTTTATGTTCTGGAGGCGAGGGGCCTTCAACACAGCAGAAATCTACGCTTTCGGGTACGTCGTCTGATCCAGACCATGGCGGACTGAAGCAAGTACAAAACCCACAGCGGTAAGGAGACTATATGGCATAGCCATTAGGATGCTTGGGAGACTAGGATACTAATACTCGGCTTAGGAAGAGACGACGATTTAGCGATGACAGTGTCCACGTCCTTGAACCCAACCAAGCTTCTAGTCCCAGTACACGTTCGGCAAACGACGAAAGCGTGACCGGCGAATCCCACCCAGCCAGCAATGACAATAATCGAGCACATAAACGTCAAAAGCTGGACGATTCTACTGCAACATCAAATGTTCACTCTGCCCGTCAGCATGATGAAAGTATATCCAAGAAAAGACCCCTATGCGGTGATGATGATGATGATGATGATGGTGATGATGGCGAGCGGAGGCACAAACGTCAAAAGCTCAAACCTTCTCTCCAAAGTTACCCAGAAGCAGAACCAAGTGCTTCCAGTATCTCCAAGAGACCTATAACCCACGACAATACTAATGAACAGGGACACGAACGTCAAAGTCTCGCCTCATCCACCCAACAACATGCAGATGCAGGTTCGGATGGCCCCGGAAACGATAAGAGCATGCCGAAGAAAAGACGAATCTGTGATGACGAACAGGATAATGCTAATGATAATGTTTATGGTGATGGTAATGAAAATGATGAGCATAGGCACAAACGTCAAAGACTCGACTCTTTTTCCCAGCAACAAGCAAAGGCAGCTTCAAGCGAACCGAGTATCAGCAGCAAGCAGAATCCCAGACGCAGCCGCCGAAAAGGAAGCAACGCCAATCGCGTTGCTGGAAACATGAGAACTCGGTCTTTGAACAAAATTAGACCCTCTTCCTTTTGGGAACTGGATCGCACCGGCAAGGCTTCTATTCGCACCTGATGAGCAACTGTTCGGTGGCTTTGGTGTCTCCGAGGACATGGTCGTTATCCTGGCAGGGCCGGGTGCAGCGGCGTAGTTCACAAAAGGCACATGGCCGCAGATGATCTCTGGGAACATGGTCGTTATCCTGGCAGGGCTGGGTGCAGCGGCGTAGTTCCTAGAAGCTCATGATCGCTGGGGCTATATCACGGACATGGTCGTTATCCTGGCAGGGCTGGGTGCAGCGGCGTAGTTCAGACGAAGCAACAGCTGGGCCCTCAGCCTCCGAACAGTTCCTGTGAGCGTGGTCGTTATCCTGGCAGGGCTGGGTGCAGCGGCGTGGCTCACACGATGTTGTCGGTACGCCCATGACGAATTGACCCATGCATGCCACACTCACTCCCCCATGCATACTCGTACCCCTGCGCGGAAAACCCGCGACAGGCTGTAAGACGTGTTGACTCCCAGTTGGTCAGGAGACCGCATCTGCTGCAGCTCAGCTGCACCTCGTAGTCCTCAGCGCGATTGATAAATACCTACTCGTACTCCTCTCAGCTTCCCAGATTTGCGGAATGTTGAGCGGACAACCGGCATCTGTGGTTTTTATTCTAGTTCCCTACCGTCCGTCCTCTGCACAATGGCATCTGGAGCGACTGAGTCAACTCATGAATCCAGCTTTTTCACGCGTGTATCATTACCTGACCAACAACCCGCCGACCCCCATGGATCCACTGTAGATGTCGGTTCTTGCGTGCATGTTCCCGATCAAGAAGCCGTTGGCAATGACGACACAACTCGAGGCATCAGTTCTATTAATTCAACCTGTTCTATCGCACATTGCCCTCCTGATGGAGAGGCCGCTCAGGCTCAAGGCACAACCCACGGGATCGCTTCGTCGATGCATGCTCTAGATTCACAAGCCGTCGAAAATGGAGAGTCAACTCAAGAATTCACGGCACCACCACACGGCCCTCCGCTGCAAGATACAATACATGATCCAATCGCTTCGGCCTCGACGGACATTCCTGATCGACAGCCCATCAGAGATGACGAGATCACTCAAGAATTGACTGCTTCAACTATACGATACGTTCCTGATGGGCGAGCTACAGGAGATCAAGAAGCAGCCCAAGACCTCCCTGCTTCAGCCTTGACAGACCTTTTGGATGATGGTCAGGTTTTCAAAGTCGAAGAGTCAACCCAAGAATTTACTGCTTCAACTATCATACAGATACCAGATCGACAAGCTCTCAGAGATGACGAGACAACTCAAGATGCCACTGCCTTACGGCCCGTTTCCGTTTCCGCAAGAGAGGCCATCGAGGATGGAGGGACAGCCCCTGAACGTACTGATACACAGATAACATACATGATTGATGGACGTGCTATTGGACATGAAAAGACCACCCGAGGCCTCACTGCGTCAAGACGCAACACTGATGCTCCAGGGGCAATCCGTGAATCTACGGCCTCATCTTTGACTCACAGCTCTGATGGACACGCCGCTGAGGCCCAAGAGACGGTTCAAGAAGAAGTCCCTATCTCGACTTCGTTTGCGGCCAACCTCCCCGACAGGCAAGTTGTCGAAGCTGACGCGCTCACGCCTCCACCTCCGCTCACCATAACAACGCCGAGATCCTCAGTTCTTACACACGTCACTGGTACGCAGGTCATAGAAGCTCGTCGAGAGGATAATCAGCCTCTCCGTGCGGGTTCTACCTCACACGCCGCTTCGATGCAGGAAGTTGCTGCTGCTGCTTCGTCCTCACCTGAAGTGCGGACTGTATCCCGAAGCACCGAGTTGCCAAAGCAGGATGACGAACGGCAGTCGGAGATTGGCAAGGAAATGATCAATGTCTCTGCGACTGTGCCGAGTGCTCGGCTCATCATTGCCTACAATCGCCGTTTCATCGCCGGCGATGACGAACTGAGCAAAGATGTCGTACGCCATCCGAGGACTGCCAGTGGATGGGACTTGATCAGCGTCGTCCAAGGCGCGAAGCATGCCGACTTTGTCCTCAACTTGTCATATCACAACCGCCCTGTCGATGAAGCCGTTGGCCGCTTCATCCCGTTTTCTCTCTCCCTCCAAATCATCTTCCAGCCGGCCAGCGACAGCTGCGTCTTGTCCAATCGCGGCGGTGCGAAGTTCCATTTGGAGCACCTGGAAGCGTCATGTTCATGCGCCCGGAACTCGATTGACAGCATGCAGTGCCATGTCCTGCTCCCGGGCATGTGGAGGATCCTGACGCGTGGCGAGAAGCCGCACGAAGACGAGGAATACAGCCTCGTTCAGTGGTTGATCCTGCCGAGGAAGTTCTGTGCGTCGGTCGATGGCGAGTCTACCAAACGACAGAAGCTCAGCGGGACCAATCTGGTCCGTAGACATCAGGATATGGAAGTCCTGGTCAAGGACCTTGAAGACGGGCAGTCGGCGCGTATTCGGCGTGTGCCGGGCGACACAGCAGATTATGAGTTGCGGCGCATTGAGCACATTGCTTCGACGGCGTCCGCATGTGTCTTTGCGTGCCGGCATTCCAAAGTGGCCGGGGCTTTGGCTATCAAGGTCATCGACTACGACGTCAACTCGGTCAACCAGTTCAATAGGAGAGCAGCCGCTCATCTGACGACTCTTGTGGCCGCTTGGAAACGGGAGGTTTCTTTCTTGCGATCATTGAAACATGTGAGCCCTTTTCTTTCCTCCACGCCCTTGGTCGCACATGTTCCTCCCTCTCTTACATCTAGCAGAAGCACATCGTTTCCCTCAAGGCTTTCGACGGCCGTTTGTTGGCCCTTTTCCTGGAGCACCTACCCCCCTCGCTCGACCGTGGACGTACAATCAAGCTGGACTCGGTCAGCGCGAAAGCAATCCTCCTCAACATATCGTCCGCTCTCGTATACTTGGAGGAGAAGGGCATCGTGCACCACGACATCAAGCCGCACAACATTGCCCATTCTCCTGCACGGGGTGCTGTGCTGCTGGACTTTGGCCAGGCTGCCACGGCCAAGTCCTACGGACCACACGGCGGAACGCCTGCCTTCCTCCCTCCGGAACTCTTTGACGCCGGTGCCCGGGGCCATTCGGGAGACGTGTGGGCGTTTGGCGTCACGATGCTCTATGTGCTTGGCAAGACCTCGATGCCGAGCTTACGGCTGGATGTTCCTCTGCGAAGCTTGTACAGATGCAACCCGCTACCACAAGTCCAGGAGTTGATGAAGTCTGTTGCCCTGCTTAGAGAAGGGTTGAGCCAAGAGGACGGTGTTGAAAGGCTGGTGTCTGGAATGCTTGATCCGAATGCTGCGGCACGAGCGACAGCCAAAAGTCTTGTGTCGGCACTGAGGAAACTTGAGTGTTGATGATGGAGAGGTTGCCGAAGGCCCTTTTCAGACGCATGCCAAAGGGACATTTCAATATCGCTCCGAACCGTCGTCATTTGTCCTGCCATATACCCTCTACTTGTAGTAAAAGAGCTCCTCGCCTCAGCCTTTGGCGTTGAGAAGAAGCCCGCCAGCGCTTTTGCACGACTCTTCAAACCGGCAGCCTTCGCCGTACAGCCTCGAGCCATCCGTTGTAGCGCGCCAGGTGGATGTGAACCCTGCCCAGAACGGCGAGGCTGGCTAATGAAGATGCGGAGGAACAATTCCTCTTATAACGCACCTGCTGCTGAACATGACTGCTCTCCTTGAATAGATGCAAACCTGGTGGGAGAGGACAGCAGCTCTATTCCCTGTGAATCGTCAGTTTCAATCCGTTTCTGTGTCCACATACATGGTGTTGTATAACATTGTCTTATACAAAATGTAGTTACTGCGACGGGCATGATCCCACCAGTCCTCAGTCCTTTCGAGATTGTCATAAAGCATACATGGTATCTCTATACTATACACAAGAGTAATAAAAAAACGCCCAACTCGAGCATATAAACACGATATGTTTGTACACGTCCAAATACATAAGGTAGAATGGAAAGGAGAGGGACATGTCACTTTTTCCCTGTTCCCCGTGTTTCCCCCATTAAGCAACACATAGATAACCCATACGCTCGCATATTACAAGAAAGAATTCGCACTTTTCGTCTTTGGGGGGGAGAGAGAGGGCAAGAGGTCGAATTACAGCCCCAGCTCCCATGATTCTCCCCAGATCTCATTAAGATTCAAGCCCAGCAGCTCTAGGCTTGGGTCGAGGTTAAAGGGCTGTGTTGCGTCACTCACGGCCCACGATGGTTCCACGGGAACTGTCGACAGTGCCGGGAAGGAGAATGGTGTAACGGACTGTTTTAATTAAATGTTAACATAATTCCAGCGAAAAAAAAACTGTATCTAAGAGAGAGTGAAACAGTTTGATGCTCACCTTTGTTCCGTCAGGCATCTCCAGCCCCGGCACGGGCCCGATCCCTGGCCCAGCAATCGGCCCAATGGGCGGAGGATGAAGAGGCGTCCCCGGCAGCGGCACAGACGACAGCGGCGGCTCCTGGTTCGCAAGCAGCTTGTAATGAAGGCTGACGAAGCGCTCCGCCGACGTCGACTTGGCCGCCTCGGTCGTCTTGGTTCCCAGATGGGCCTCGAGAAGGCCCAAGGCGGCACACATGATGGAGTACCCCCACGGCTCGTTGTTCCCGCAGCGCAGCAGCCGGTCCTCCTTCATGGCGATGCACTTCTCGATGAGCTTCACCGTGTGGTGCGAGTTGATCATGATCATGTTGGTCGAGCCGCGCGGCTGCAGCATCGTCACGCTGCATAGGTTGATGGCCGTTGTGAGGGCGTCTTCTCGCAGGAAGTTGAGCGCTCGCACGCCCTGCTCGTACAACTTGTCGTGCAGGAGGACCATGTCCCGCGCGGCGTTGTAGTAGATGATTTCGGAGTACTGGTACTTGGAGTTTTGCTTGCGCAGCTTGAGGTAGGGTTGGTGTAAGGGGGTGATGTACTGTCGCAGCTGGACGTGCAGCAGCGTATATGCAATGAGAGGGTTCTTCTTGGAATCGGAGTTGCTTTCGGGATTCATGTCCCACGACGGCAGGGCATCAATCTCATGGGTGAGATCGTTTGTATAGCGGATGACTTGGTCGTAATCAATCTCAGATACGGGACCAGTCAGGAGACGGCTGAGCTCCAGCCTCAGGGGTAAGCTTCGCCGCGCCAGGTTCTGGAACGAGGAAAAGGTATACTCCTTGGCCGGCTTCGACGGCGGCAACTGCGTGGTGCTCTCGTCAAAGTCCTCGTCGTCGAGATTCCGCGGAGGGTTAGTGTCAAAGTGAAGCTGGCTCACCAGCGTCGGCAGGCCGTGATCAAAGGAAGCCTGCATGTCAAACTCTTGGACGGTGGCCCATATCCTGCGCCGCATCTCTTGGTTGTACACGGTGATCTTACCGCCCATGTGACTTGGCTCACGATGGAGCCCCACGGCGATGCCGTCGCGGATCAGTTGGCCCGAGCTTGTCCAGAAGCGCTTCTTCTTGATGGTGTTGACGCGCTTGCCGAGGTATAGCAGGCACGCGATCTGATAGTGGATGAGCCGCCGGTGCTTCTGGCTCTGCCGGCCCGCCCAGTCATCGCAGGCCACGATCCACTTCTCAGCCTTGTGCCGTGCAGTCGACATCATGCCGACGAATTTGAGCGACTCGTGCGTGTGCACGCAGCTTGCCACAGCCATCATCGACAGGACCAAGGCCGTAAAGGCCGCATATCGCTGCTTGGTCCCGGGAACCCAGAACTCGGCATACTCCTTGCGGAAGGTGGGCACGTGTACGATGCGGTGGATCTGCTCGAACTGGTCGAGGTAGACGGAGATCAGGGCATCCGTCTCTTCCTTGGAGGGGAGAAGAGCCTCGAGCTCCGGGTCCGACTGCTCAAAGATGGTCTCCCGCTCCTCCTGGCGGCGCTTGCGGTCCTTGCGATCATGCAGAATCACCGGCCGCAGCCACTCGTCCGCCGTCTCGCGCATAAAGGGACACAGGCCCGTCAGCTCGACAAAGGCCATGCTGGCGTTGTGAGGGCCAAAGTAGCGAGTCCGGAAGCCCTTGCCGCGGAAGAAGCGCAGCTCGCCATTCTCGCCGGCCATGCCGCTCTTCTGGATAATCTCCTGCTCTTCCGCGCGGGGCCGCGCCTCGGCCTCGGCGCCCTCGTCCTTGTGCGTCGACGGCGAGTTGGTGCTGCCCACGACGGTGCTGCCGTCGAGCGACGCCGCGCCGGGCCTCGTCAGCAGGTTCTTGAGCTGGGCGATCTCCAGCTCCAGCCGGCGGATGCGATCGTGGTCCTGGCGGGCGAGCTCCGTGTCCCGCGACGAGAAGCCGGCGACGGCGTCGGCGATGCCGAAGCGGCGCGAGTCGAGCTGCGCAAAGGACGGCGGGATGCCGGACGAGGCGTTGACGACCTCGCCGTTGCGCGACTCGTAGCTGCAGCGGTCCGGCGTGCCGCTCTTGATGCAGCGCTCGCAGGGGAAGCCCCGATCGCACGACAGCTTGCGGCGGCGGCACTCGAGGCAGCTCAGGCGCACGCGCTGCCTCTTGCGCGCCGGCGGTTGGTCGGGGTCGTGTCTGGAGCCCGAGCCGGTGTCGGACTCCGGCGTCTCGCTGCGATCAGCCATGGCGGTCGAGTCGATGCTGGTCGGAGTTACGACCGAGGGAGTTGGGAGAGATGATGCGTGGAGGCGATGCGATGCGCAGGGCGAGATGGAGGGGTCTCTCTCTGTGTTGAAGAATTTTTATCAATCTGATCTGATAAGCGCAGCTGGGGCTTATGTCATGGGCCCCCTTGCGTGCCAAACTCCGAGCCGAGGGCCGACGCGCTATTCCGGATGAAGCGTGCGTGGTGTTGCTTAGTCATTCGCAGTGTCTCTGCTCGCCTCGGAGTTCCGAGCTGACGAGCTGTAAGGCAGGACAACAGCTGGGTGTTGTAGAGCTTTCTCGCTATATTATATAAAGCAGAACGCGCATCGCCTGGAAAAGATTCGTCCAAAGGATGCTGAACTCGGCTCCTTTCCCCGGCATTCGTGGCTTCCGTCGTATTCGCTCGAGCTTGTCGAATCGGATGTGACGGGGATTTCAACGGATGTCGATGATTGCTCGATGCTTCTCGCTGTCCCTTGGCCGAATCAATCAGAATCAACCACGCTGAGCAGAAGCGGCTGCCTTCGCTGCTGTTATTATATCTCTGCATTGCATTTCACTGCAATCCAGAAATGACAGGTTCTTCAGCCATGACGGGCAGCTCGCTCAGAGTTTCCAAACTGGCTAAGCGCGGCCGCTCACCTAGTCTTGCTGGTATTCGGCAGCGAAGCCAAACCCACCAGCTCAACCCACTCTCTCGCAACGATTCCTCCGGGTCCGGGTCCGGGGCTTGTGTTCTCCATTTAACCATTCGGCGACCTATTGGTGCAAGAACTTCAGTTCTTGGGTGTGAAGCAGAAGCGCCCGAGTGCTTTCCAGAGGAGTTGTGCTGCCATCAAGACGACGTGTGCATACCTTATCCATGTGTAATAGGTATTACCGGGTGACGCTTCCTTCACCTACACTACTCTGGGCCAAGCATCTGCAAAGCCGCTGTGAAACGGCATGTCAAGATTCTCTCAAGTTATGGCATTCCGGATACAGTCCCTAAAGTCCATTGCTTTGTCGCACACATCCCCACAAGATTCTGATCCTTAGCCAACACGAAGGTGACTCATGAAGGGGGCCGGTGACATTGCGGGACCGAAGGCCGCGCTTCTCAGTTGCAACCATTACGCTTCCGCTGACTATCGGGCCGCGTAAATGGCGCTCTTGTGAGAAGCTTCGGTCGATGTACGAATACGTAATGATTGGTGATGGAAGGGCGCCAAGTCCGAGTCTTGCAATCGCAGGACAAGGGCAAATCTTGCCGTCCGCCTCAACAGATTGGAGTTCAAGATGATCGCAAAACGCTCGCGTTGACAAGAATTGCTGTTCAAAGCACTTATTCATCGCTCAGTTGAAACTGCTATTCTGAGTTTCTGCCTAAGGTATGGGGGGTTTTGTAGTCGAGATATTGGTTACTCCGGCCTCACATGCACTGTGTATCGCTTTCATGTGGTGTAATTGCGTCCATTCATCTTTCCGACTCTTCGCATCAGCAACGCGCCCAACATGTTAGAGTTGTCACATATATATAGGTCCAATAAGTCAATCTTCAATGATCTTTCCTTCAAGACCACGGAAGTACCAGCCCCAAAAGGCTTACAGGCGGAACGGCTCTGACCTCCCATCAGGTGGCTTGATACAGGTTAGGCCAATGTGAACAGCCAGATCTATGCTACGAGGCCAATTGAAGGCAAGTTGGGCCAAGGAATCAAGAATGGGCAACTGTCGCAGATCAACTTAAAGGCAAGCTTATCAAGTCCATCTTGGTAGTAGTATCATCAAGCAATATTAAACGAAACTGGATGATCACTTGCAAGCAGATCACATCGGCCCATCTTGCCCATCCGGCTAGTCCCGAACTCCACTCTCAACCTCACCACTTACCTTCATGTTAGGTTTGTACTGATTCTCCTTTCGACCACCTCTCCCTGGCCTTTCATTTAACAGTCAACATCTCATCACAGAGACTCAATTCGACCCCGAAAATTCCACCTCATCTCACTTCTCACCCCCCCCCCCCCCCCCCCCCCCCTCCCCCTCTCTGCATCACCTCTTTCCAAAAAAGGCACCAACAATGGCCACAAACCGTGCTCCCCCCTCCGAGCAGGAGATGAAAGCCCGCATCATCACCCACATGAACACCCAGCACACCCGCGAACTCTCCCACTACCTTCGCCACTACGCCGGCCTGTCCGCCCGCGCCGCCGCCGCCTCGCCCGCCATCCAGGACATGGACCTCTCCAAGATGACCATCGCGACCCGCGGCGGCGGCACCTACGACGTGCCCTTCTCGCCGCCCCTGTCGTCCTGGGCCGAGGCTCGCCCGCGCGTCATCGCCATGGACGCCGCCGCCCGCGAGGCCCTCGGCATCAGCGACGTCTACCTCACAGAGTACGCCTTCCCCCGGGGATTCGACTGGGTGCCCTTCGTCGGCGTCTGCTTCTACTACGTCTGCGCCGCGGGGCTCCCGTGGGTTGTGCCCGGGAGCGCGGCGTGGGACGTCCTCGGGCACGTGTTTCCCGGCGGCCCTGAATGGTTCCGCTGGGTGGTCAAGACCATCTTCGGCATCGTCTTGGCCATTCACCTTGTCGAGGTCTACTTGCTGGACAAGTGGCGGCTGCAAAAGTACGGCGTCGCGAGGTTCTCCGGCTTGTGGTGGGCGTGGGCGAGCAACATCTTCGTGGAGGGCATCACGACGTGGAAGAGGCTGGACCGGATCATTGCCGAGAAGAGGGCCCAGAAGGAAGAGAAGAAGCACTAAATTCTTCTCTTCTCTTTTTTGCCAATGACAAGTGCTCAGCAAGGAGGCAGATGTGAACTTGATGCGATGCTAGGCGCTCTTGCAGCTCTCCTTTACCAGGTACCTAGACAAAGCCCTGTACACATGCCACATCTCCCATAAGTGGCCTAATAGTAATCCGTTGTTCTTTTTATCAAGCATCATTTGCTTCAAAAGTCGTCTGCATAATTGTCATAGGTGCCCTGCATCGCCTGCGTGCTCACCCACTCTTCGCTAGCCAATCCTGCCATGAACCTGTCTTCCAAATCATCAGGGTCCTTGTGAAAATCGCACGCAAAGTCACATTCGGGAATCTTGTCTTCGCCAAAATACTTGCAAATAGACGCGTGCCGACAGGAGTTGATGTTCTCGCAGTAGTACGCCAGCGCCTGAAGACTCCGCAACCGCGATTCATAGTTCGAGTCGGCTTTCGTGTCGCTCTTGATCATCCGCGACACCCGCTCGAGATCCTCCCGGCTGTAATACAAGAAGCAATAGCTGGCGTTGCCATCGCGGCCCGCTCGCCCGACTTCTTGGTAGTACCCCTCGAAGGACTTGGGAAGCCGCCAGTGTACGACGAATCGCACATTGTCCTTGTCGATGCCCATGCCAAACGCCGTGGTGGCCACGATGATATCGTAGCCCGGCTCGTTGTTGATCCAGTTGGTCAGTGTGTCTTCCTTGACGTCCTTGGGTAGCTTGGCGTGAAAGGGCCGAGCGCCGATGCCTGCGTCGCGAAGACTGGCGGACAGCGACTCGCATTCGTCGCGAGCCATGGTGTATATGATGCCCGAGACGTTCTCAGTCCTTTCGCGGTACGTGACCAGCTCGCTCTGCCGCGGTTCGGCGCGCCTCCGATCATATACGCCGTGGATCCATTTCAGAAAGTCTGAGAGACGATTGTCGTCCTCATCCTTGGTGTATCTAATCTCCAGATGAAGGTTGCTCCTCTGTGGACTCATCAAAAAGGTCTTTATCCTTTCTGGCGTGGCATCGAGGCGCAACACCTTGAGGATATCCTGCCGCACTTGGGCATTCGCCGTTGCAGTGAGGCACATGATGGGCACATCGGGGAACGTCTCCCGAAACCACGACAGCCGCTTGAAGTCCTTTCTGAAGTCATGCCCCCACTCCGAGATACAGTGGGCTTCATCGATGGCTATGCGAGCAAGCTCCCTCTGTCTGTGCACGAGCTGCAGGCGCTGGCGAAACCGCGAGCCCGAACATAGCTCCGGGGTGACGTAGAGAAGCCTCGTTCTCGGATGGCCGGATTCTAGATCGCGCTGGATGCGATCTCGCTCGTCAAGCGGCGTGTTGCTGTTTAGAGAGCTGGCGTCGATACCGGCAGTCCTCAGGGCTTCTACTTGGTTGATCTGCCGGGCAGCGTCGTCAGCTATTACCAAGGCTCTGTTAACGGGAAACGGGGCGGTCGATCAAATGATACCATCAAGCTTAGCAACGGCGAGACGACGATGGTAACTACATGTAGCCAAGATCCCCATTAGCTCGTCTCTCACTCCCCGTCTTTGTGAGACGTGCGACGCGTCTCTATTGACTGGAACAACTCACTGCCCTGATCAATCACGGCGGGGAGCTGGAAGCACAGGCTCTTGCCAAACGACGTGGCCGCCTGGACGTATACATCGTGGCCGTCTAACGCTGCCTGTATGATTTCACGCTGGTGAGGCCTTGAAGAGACCAGACGAATGCATGTCGGTTGTCAGTTCAAACCATCCCACGAGAACCAGACCCCAGCCCTGCTGGCTGGCATGAAACGGACAAGGCAGAGAAGCCGAGTCGGGGAAATGACGAGCAAGCTTACCTGAAGTCGTCCTTGTGGAACTGCCGCCGGAGAGTGAAGCCGATGTCCGTGCATGAATTGGCCCTTTGCAGGGGGGGCATGGCAGAGAAGACGGGAGCCTTTGCAAGTGTCTGGGGCGGCGGGCTTCAGGGCGACGCGGCGAACGAGGCGGATGAGGCTGACATTGGCTGAGTGAGTGGCTAAGTAGAACGAGTGAATGGATGGATGGCCAAATGAGTGAGGTGGTTGTACGTATTATGGCGCTGAGTGAGTGAAGATGATCTGCGCGGCTTCGAGATGGTTGGACTGCACTGTGGACCGATACTAAACGTTGGTTTTAGCCCGCGTTAGAAGCATTCTGACGCCTTTCTAGAACGCGACTCGCCCAGCTACCTACAGAGATGCCAGAATGCGAAACTAGTAGGTACGTAGGTAATAGAGCACGCGCCCAAGTATGCGATACTTTTCTATGAGCACAGGGTAGGGTGACAGGCAGAGAGGTATACAGTACTTCATATTGCATCAACATCCAACTGCAACTGGCTCCCGGGCAATAAACATGAACAGAGGATTGGAAGTTGGAAGCACGTGTCAAGCAGCATGGTATCAAGCCGTCCTCAACCCCACCTACACAAGGAGTTACACCTTTCAGGTCGAGCTGTTTGATGCGTGGCCTTGTGCACCGCCGTAAGCCAATCGTGAAGCCTCCAGTTCTCGTCCTCAATCTATGGACGATGCCTTTTCGTCTGTTTGTGCCTTGTCCTCGTCCCACACGGGAACGCTGTCGTACGGTGCACAAGGATGGGCGGTTTAGAGCCCGTTTTTAACGCTGCTGTTCCCCACACGGCCTACCAGGTAATGTACCTTGGACACATGTACATAAAATACCTAGTAGCCCAGTGCTAGCGTCTCCTCCACTCTTTTCATCTGCTCGAGGTGCTTCTACTGTAATACTACTACTACCACTATTCTATTTCCATTCTACCCTGGTCAAGTCAGAGGCGGAACGCAATTCTGAGTTCGGCGAAGAGCCTTGTCATGGTTTATAGTCGGCACATCAGACTCTCGGACCAACAGGATGGTCGCAGCATAAGCATGGCGCATTACTCAACTGGGACTTAGTACACGGGTATCCTCTGGAGACGGCGAACCAGAGGCGACAAAAAGCCATGCCGTGTCGTTGCCCTGCCAAACTTGGAGCTTCAGCCCGACAGCAGTCATACGAGTACTAAGACAAGTAGGTACTGTATGTAGGTATGTCTGTAGTATTTTTCTTACAGTACCTACACTGACAGAGGACTGATACTAGTCGGGAGTGGCAACTCAATATGGATGTCAACAGGTCATGATCCGTCACAAGTAGTAGGTATGTACTCACATCCTAAAAAGGGGGAATGGGAGGATCCAACAGACGTGCCGATATGACCACTGCTGCTGCGATGCCCATCACCAAAGTACATGTGTATACGTACACGCATTTGATACTCCATCGAACACTCCGAATCCCGCTTCACCATGCTGTACTGTACATACAAAAACGCATTGCTTCCCGCGCTGGAGCTTGCGGTTGCAGTTGCAGGGCATGCGAGTCAATGTTCATGCAGTCCAACAACCCCCGGGCTGCTGTGGACTGGAGTGATCCGTGCAGCATCCATGTAGGCATCTGGGAGCAGAACATGGCCGATATTACACGTATTCTGCTTCGTAATCGTACCTTTTTTTTTTTTTTTTTTTCTTCTTCTGACGAGACAACCCAACTACCTACCTAAGATAGAGAGCCGCTGCAAAGTCCAAAGCATGGCCCGTCATCAGTGGTGTTTAAAATCTCAAGTCAGGTCTCATCTTCCATCAAATCCGTGGATACATAGGTACATGTAGATTCAAATTCCACTGCTCGTCTAAAGATAGAACACCCGACGCCAGTGAACCAGCCCTGTGGCCAAGCCCGCTGTGCGCTGTCCCGTCCCCTATCAGGGTCCGGGTCCTCCCTCTGAAGAGCCCTGGAGTGTGAGGTATGTAGCCGCTGTGGCTGCCCGCTGCTCGCACTGTCCTCGCCAACCACCCGCTAGTGTTTCAGGGGCTCTAAGCAGCCAGCTTCTGGCCCCCCGTCCAATCAAGCCGATCCAATCCCGCCAAGAGCCTCACGTCCAGAAAGGCACATCCAACAGTCCGGCCTCTTGTCTCTCCTCCTCGCGACCTCCCGCCTCGCCTCTCCTCAAACGCCGCCCTCAGTCCCAGTCCCAGTCCCAGTCCCAGTCCCCGTCCTTGCCAGCATCGAGACCTCAGGACGCTCTTCAGCAACTTTAGGCGCCTGGCCGGGCCTGATCAGGATGGTCTCACGTGCTTCGCTTCATCATTCGTCGCAGCCCCGATCTGCTTAACCGCAAAAATTCCCCAGAGTTCTGGCGCGACGGCTTTGGAGAGGGGGGACTCTGAAACATTTGATTTTCGACTGCCCAACTGTCACGGCCGCCCCCCCGCCCAGAGAGAGCTCTCGCGACGGCTGAGCTCGTCATTTTGGCGTGCGGAGTTTCGAATATACACGTGCTAGCACCGGTGTGGACGCGACCAGAAGAGAGAGAAAAGCACCCGACCAGAGGGCTCAAAGAGCTGCTGCGACTCGCTCTCGGTTACTCGCCATGGAGCGCCCAGACCGAATGCCTGCCGGCATGGGCGCAGGACCTGGAGCTGCTCCTGGCCCCCCCGCGGCCCAGCCTGCTCTCAGGGGCGTGGGCGTGGGCGTGGGCGTGGGCATGGCCATGCCCGACAATAACAATCCCGCGCAGGCTCCTCGTCGCCCTCTCCTCACCACTGCTCCTTCGAACGGCCAGATGCCGCCCATGATGCCGCTCCCGCCGCTGCCCAATGGCCGGAATGGCCCGCCTCCCAACGCAACGTCGCCTTCCACGCCCATCCTGACGGCCGCCCAGGTCATCAGCCTCACCCGCGAGGCCATGCGACATGCCCTCGAGAACGAGAGCCAAGCTGTCGACGTCGGCCCGGGCCTCAAGTCGGGCGTCACCATCGATCTGAGCCGCAAAGGCATCCAGAAGCTCCCCGAGGAGGTGGTGGATATAGTCAAAAACGAGTTGGAACGGTAAGCATCCGCTTCCCATGCACTGTCTGCTTCCTTTGTTTTGTCCCTCTGGAAGTGGAGCAACCACAGAGAAGAAGATTCAAACAAAGAAGTCGACAGAGACGCGGAAGCATCAATCGAGCAATCCTGTTTGCTGACTGCTAGGTGTTACAATGCAGGCTCGCCCTATCACACAACCAGCTTTCGTCTTTGCCAGCCCGCTTTGCCGAGTGCGTTTCGCTGCGATACCTCAACATCAGAGGCAACCAGATCAAAGAGTTTCCCTTGCCTGTGCGGATCCCACATATTCCCCCCCTTCACAATGTCTCGCCACTGGAGATGAACCAATCTAACATAGGTAACAGCTATGTGAGCTTAAATCTCTCGAGATTCTTGATCTCGGCCGTAACCAGCTGCGAGTCTTGCCGCCCGACATTGCGAGGCTCTCGTCTCTCAAAGTCCTCTCGATCCCAAAGAACCAGATCCGGGAACTGCCCGTGTGCCTGGCCGAGATGACCTCACTCCAAGTCCTCAAGTTTGAAGGGAACCCTATCAGCTTTCCCCCACGGGATGCGCTGCAGATTCAATCACCCAGTCCCTCTGGCGAGGGCTCTGGAAGAGAGGGCGAGGTGACAGAGGTGGCCATTACGGCGCATATCAAGAAGTTCATGAAGCTGCACCTCATCAACGGGCGTGACGCCGAGGCGACTGGCGACGAATCGAGCGAGGGTACCGATACGCCGCGAATGCCTCTACGACGCATGCCAAGCGGTCGATTTCCCATCAAAGTGAGCAGCTCTGATGCGTCCGACATGCGTGTACCTAGCGGTGGAGCACGAGGGCCTCCCCCTATCCCGTCACGGTCGCATTATCGAGGTCTATCGCAGCAGAACACGGCCACTCGTCGCCCTGGGGTTCTGCCTCTGACCATTGGAAACATTAGCGAACGCGGGCGCAGCAACTCGGAAACACTGATGCACTCGGAGAGGTCGAACAGCCGGCAGCGGCGCATGGGCATACTCGCGAAGAAACCAACGTCAGATCTGGGAACTCTCGATGAGGTTGAGGGCAGCAACCGATGGAGTCACTATCGAGGGCTAAGCCACGGCTCTGCTATGCAGGGGAGCCAAGCCGCTCCATCCAGGAGCCCAGCAACGCCCACGGATTCCCTCCAACGACCAGTCTATGTGCGACGGCTTTCCGTCCTCCCCGAGCGCCGAAGGGAGTCAAAGATCTTTGATCCCGTGATTGAAGCGGCCAAGGGCATCCTCTATTCGGTCTTCCAAATCCACCCCATGATCCAGATGCTCATGACCCTGACCAACGATGGGTCCGCAAAGCGCTCGAGTCTCGAAATCGTCTTCTACAACACCAACTCTCACGTCGAGGAGCTGGAGCAGGAGATTCAGAAGCACGACATGGCGATGGCCGAGGACGAAGAGGGACCGTTTGGGGACAATGCCAACGTGCACCGCGCCTGTCAGACTCTGGTCGGGGCTTATGGCCACGTCTGCACCCTCCTGGCTGATAATATCGATACTTTTGTCAATAATGGAGATGCTCGCTATATCCGAACCCTCCTGATGTTGATCTACAACAGTATAATGGAGCTCCGAGTCACCCTCTCGTCCGTCTTCTCGGAGAACAACAAGCAGGCCAATGTCCCCGCCCTGGACGCGCCCGACAACAGCAACACCATCAAGCCTTACTTTCGCGAGGCGGCTGCCGCCGTGGCCACGCCTCAGAAGCCCGCGCCCCCCCGGAATCGCACCGGCCCCGTCATGCACAACCCTAGCAACCTCAGAGTGGCCACCGACATACCGGTTCCGTATAACAACGGTGGTAGTCGCACCGCCAAGATTGTATCGGCGACGCCCCGATCCAACGACTCGTTTGCGACGTCGTATGGGCGTGAAGGCGCCAGCGCCGACTTTTCCGAGGAAGATGCCCAGTTCGACAAGATATATCTCGCCCTGCAGAGGTCGACTGACATTGTCCTGCACATCCTGCCCAACTTTCATACTCAACTGACTGGGGGGATTCGAAACGCCATGCAACAGCGAGCGCCGAGCGCCATGATACGTGACTGGAAGAATCTCATTGCCATGTGCGTCGACGCCATCCAGCAGACGGAGATTCTGAAGAATCGCCTGGGTATGATCAAGCTCAAGGATCCGGGAGTGCGGTCTCACGCGGGATTCTGGAGCCTCTGCAGTAACTTCATCTCGGCCTGGACAAAGATGGCCTCCAAGATCAAATCGGAGATTAACACCATTCCCCTGCCGCCTGACACTAGAGCTCGATTGCGGCCTGTCCACCAGAGCATGAAGGAGACGAGCATCATCATCATGAACTCGCCCTGGAACTATATCCTGAGACCAGCAGGAGGTGGTGGTGGTGGAAGTAGTGGTGGTGGTGGTGGTGGTGGGCACCGCGGCAGCGGTGGTGGGCAGGGATCCTTTGGGCCAGGAGCTCTGTCGCCCACGACGCCGCAGGTCCCCATCACGCCGCAGAGCGCGGCCTTGGGGCCGGCCATGCAGGCCACCGTCGCCACACCACAGACTGGATCGTTTGCGGCTGTCTTCCACGGCAACGTCTTTGAGCGCGCGGAGACGCTCATGACCAACCCGGGCATCTCCATGTCTCGCACGGGGACCATGTCCAAGGGCCACTCTGGCTTCAATTCACTGTCGTCGGTTTCGTCCATGTCGTCAGACGGCGTGCCAACGCCGTCCTCGGCCTTCAGTCCCAGTGTTCCAGTGGGAGCCGCGCCATTTCGGGTCAACGGAGGGAAAGTAGCTATATGAAAGCTTTTTTCCCCCCCTGTCATGGCCACTCCTTGGTACTGATTTTCTTCTTCCTTCTCGTTTTCTCCCCTCTTCTTTCCTTCGTTTAGATCTCGCCGTGTTGCTTTAGCCGGCGAAAGGGACGACAGGGAGTCTTGCATAGCACGCCCTCGAATGGATTTTATGAATGATTTGTCATTTTGAACAAAAGCGTTGTCTTGAGGCTTTGGGACGCAGTTACGTTGCATTCTCTCTTTTTTTTTTTTTCGATCTTTTCCCCCCCCTTTCTGCATAGCCCTGGAGTTTTGGTTTTGTTATGACAAACGCTTGGAGTGATGGCCATTGAATGGAACCATATATACAGGCTCCCTTCGATACCGGAACTGCCTTTGAAAGGACATTTCTAGACTCTAGGGCAACGATACCACGACGAACGCAAAGTTATTACCTGCTTGTAGAGGATAGAGGGATGGGAAGCACAAAGTGTTGGTGTATATCACGTTGTATTTGTCATGTTGGAACTTTTTATTATGCCTCTTTGATATTTCGATGGACAGGGAGCATGGATTTCTATAAAGGTCAAAATTGAAGATGATAATCCTGTGGAATTGGGCATTTATTGTTGTCTGTGACTTGATTTTTTTCCAAGTATCTGTTATTGACTCATTGTGATTCATTCTGTTGTATAGGACCATACGAACGCACACCTGCTATGGTGTCGATACAAGCGGGCAACACCACCAATCACCACCATTTCTCTCCAGGTCTGCATATAATCCTTGCAACCCCCCCAACTGCCGGCCTTAACCCCCAAAATGCACCCCACACAATCAGCGTGATGTCTTGTAGGTAAGTACCTAGGTAAGGTATCTCATGCAAGGTGTGAAGTGAGAGGGAATACATTTGTCGTCCACGCTTTAACCGATGGACGACTTGCATCTCTCACCACCAACGACACTCCCCTCAACAACTGCACACGACGATGGACTGATATTGCATCATCACACGAACCATCGCTGTTCTATATATACATATAAAACATCACGCTTGAAGCAAGTCACAAACAGCCAAACACCATCTCTCTCTCTCTCTCTCTCTCTCTGATCATCCCCCAAACAACACACAAAAATGTCATCATCACCATCATCGTCGTCATCATCATCATCATCATCCACCGGCCCTCCCAAGGCCCCAACAGCAACAACCAGCACCACCACCATGCCCAGCAACACCACACCCAACAACCCACCATCCTCCTCCTCCCCAACCGCATCATCAGCAACCTCCCCCCCTCCCCCCCGCTGGCTCACCCCCTCCCAGCCATGCTCCTCCTCCTCCTCCTCCTCACCCGCAACCCCCTCCACCACCACCACCACCGCCGCCGCCGCCCTCAGCCCAACCCTGCCCACGCCTCAAACCAGCCGGCACGTCTCCGACGCGCGCGCCGCCGTCGTCGCCTCCATCGGCAACATGCTCGACGCGGAGCTCCAGTCCCGCGCCGGCATCCTCCACGCCAACGCCGCCGCCCTGGAGCGACAGCAGCGCGACGTCGTCCGCGCCACGGACGGCCTGCGCAAGGAGACGCAGAAGCTGAAAGCAGAGGCGGACAAGGCGGCGCGCAAGGTCAAGGAGCTGGGCAACGTGCAGAATTGGGCAGAGGTCCTCGAGAGGGGGTTCTTGGTGCTGGAGGAGACGGTCAGGTTGGCGAATGGTGGTGGTGGTGGGGGGGAGACGACGGATGGCGAGGATGGGAGCGAGTGTAGTTGTAGTTGCAGTGAGTGTGGAGGGGGGAATGATGGGAGTGATGGCGGCGAGGAGGAGGAGGAGGAGGAGGAGGAGCAGAGACTTGGTGGTGAGGGTGTTTGTGGTGGTGGTGGTGGTGATGATGATGGTGATGGCGGTAAGGGCAGTGGAAAGGGGGTCAAAAGTTTTGAGAATGATGCTGTGAGGAAGCTGAGGACGATGGATCTGAACAGCATGTCCGAGGCCAGCCGGAGCTTGATGAGCATACTCGAGGCGAGCTCCAGCACGGGGCGGGCAACGAGCTCTGGGGCGACGATGTCGACGAGGTGAAAGTTTGGCCATGTAAGTGGCATGGCAAGATGACAGCCACGGAATTGAACGGATGTATCTGCAATATAAAATACATGAGGCGATGGATGGCGGGTAGGTAGTATATGAGACTGTACTATTCTGTTTGCATATGACAAGATAACCGTAGACTCCTTTGCGTCCTTCTAGCTGGTCTCCATCTAGCTCCAACTTCTATTGAGCATAAAACACCCAGCGCCACGGTATGCCCCTCTTGTCCGTCATCCACGGGCGCGTGCAACTGTAAAGACCTTCTCTCCCTTTACGCCAATCCCGGAAGCATGACATAGCGCTTCTTCTTGTACTTGTCACCAAACTCCTTGCGGTACGCCCTCTCCTTGCCCTTGGCCCAGACGAACATCTGCACGCCGCCAATGAGGATAAAGAGCGCAACGGACCAGTCGCGGCTGGCCAGGATGATGCCCACCCACGCCAGCACCTCGTACATGTAGTTGGGGCAGGTGACGAGCGAGAAGCCGTAGCCCTGCGGGATCTTGCGCTCGGTGCCGCCCGCCGACCGCAGGCTGGACAGGTACAGGTGCACGAGCGCGTTGCTGATCTCGCCAAACAGGTACAGCACGGTGCCGACGGCGTCCACCAGCGGCTGGTCGGCGCGCGCGGCCAGCGACCAGGGGCTGTAGTAGATGGACCAGGCGCAGAGGGCGCCCGAGAGGAGCCAGTAGTGCGCGCTGTTCTTGAAGATGTTGCGCGCAGGCATCGTGTTGGCCGAGAACTTGTGCACGAAGAGCGTCTCCAGCTCGCGCTTGAAGAAGTGCGCCACGATCATGCCGAAGCTGAGCCATTGCGAGGGCGACATGGACGGGTCCTTGAGCAGGTACGGGCGGGCGGCGACGGCGGCGATGTGGATGAGGATCGGGCCGAGGTACTCGACGACGAAGACGGTTCTCCAGGCAATTTGAAGGCCTAAAAGGATGACGAGTTTGGTCAGTATACTAAGATCAAAATGCCAGGACGTCCTCAAGCAATCATACCGAGATCCTTGACCAGCACCTCGCCCGCGTCGGCAACCTCTTTGTCCTCTGCAATCAGAGCCTTGCGGTCCTTGAGCGTCTTCCTGGTCGACGGGTAAAACAGGCCAATGCGGTTGTAGTCGCTGAACCCGGCCTCTTTCGCAATCAGCTTCTTGACATCTTCGACGGTGGCGTCGGCGGGGAGGTGGATGGCCGCCGGGAGCTTCTTGATGGGCTGCTTGGGAGCTGTTGGGGATGATGAGTTAGTATAACTGGAATCACGAGAATGCAGTAATTCTGTAGCTGAGGACACATACAGCGATTCGTCAGCTTGAGCGTCGTTGGAGGAGCCATTGTGAAGCTGGGAGAAACGCAATGGCGTTGCGCACGAGGTTGGAAAGAGACAAGAAGAGGAGGAGGAGGATGATGATGATGAGGCTGGTGATGATAATTGCTGGGGAGGAAAAAGCCAGCTACAGCAGAAAGTAACCCAAGGCAAGCGTAAGGCTTGGTGCTGGTTTCCTCGGCAGTGGGGTGTGGAGTGCCTCCAATGTACGCGATACGGCGGGTGCGATAGCGGGGTACGACGGCAGTTACCCGGACTGCGCAGCAAACTCAGCGTAGCAGAGGTAGCATTGAATTCAACAGCAGGGGGCTACTGTACTGCTTGCGAGGTACTGGGGAGCTGCTGGGGACAATTGATGTGCAGTGGATTTCAAGGTCATCCCGAGCAGATAGACTTTGGTACATACATGTGCTAGCAGGAGGGTGGTAAGAACTTGATATCCCGTCGTCTAAGAGCCGAGATCGGGATGATATAAGATGATGAACAGCACAGAGTAACTGGCTAGATACCAAAGTCACGGGCAAAGTGTCAAGGCTTGGGTCATATGCTGAAAGTTGTCAGTGAAAGAGAAAGGACGACAATTCCTTCGAGGTTGATGGCGGCCAAGGATCATGGCACTCCATCTGCTATGAGCCGTCTGGCACTCCGGTGGCAGGGTTGCATAGAACAGCAGACAATGGAACGAGTATGGGTAATTTTATAGGGCATGATCATCAACATAGTCATTGTGACGTGTTGAGACATCCATTTGCACTGGTGATGAGCGGCTTTGGTCTTGATATGCAGGTCACAGCACGACTAGGTATAGTGCCGACGTGTTGAACTAAAGCAATATTAACCAAGCGCAACTAACACTTCATCCTCAATAGAGAGACAGAAGTTGGGCGTCAAGGAACAAGAGCGTTTTCAAGCCATCTGCCAGCCAGCCATGATTTCTTTGAAGCAACACGTCCGGCTTTGTCCACGAGTAAACGGAGTGACAGCCGCCGATTGTGGACTGAACACCAGGGCCCGCAGCTGACAGACCAAAAGCTGTCACCACCAAAGTTCCGAAACCTCATCAGGTGGCGGAGAATCAAGCTGCGAGTGACAGATGCCTCTTAAAGAGATGTACATCGTATGGATTCAAGTAGTAACCAACAAGACTCTTCGTCTTTCCCCTTGTCGTATAAGGCCCCTTGTAAAGCTCCTTGACCCATCTGAAAGCCCCTATGTCCTCGCATCGTGTGTTGACGTTCTACCTTCAAGACACCGTCAGTACCCATCGATACCTAGCAGGCATGACATACCTGTTGCGCGGCCACTATCGTCCCCAACGAACCGCGCAGCTGTTTCGACAGTGGCCAAAGTTGTTGTTGCTGGGCAACTCTGGCCGTCAACTGGAGATGGCCAGACAGTCACTGGCCAGCTCCGCCAGCTCTGCCAGCTGCCAGCTGCAACGGCCAGCTCTCCACGCAGCAAGTAGTAGCTTACGCGTCCAACTGAATGACAGAACACCCATCTGGTAGAGCGCGGTCTTCGTCTTTTCAAAACATCACCGTCTCTCCTCATTCATCACAGTTCCTCAAGCTCACCCCCTACCGTACCCTCTCAACATCGTCAAGTTTCTCGCATCTGATCGTCCCCGCTCCCCTGACTGCTAGGTCAAGCCAAACACAACATGCCAACAGGTGACGCGAATGGAACAATGAACCCGTTCGCGGCGCCCTTTATCCCACTTGCTTCTTCGAAACCGCGCTTTGCTAGGCAGCGTGCCCAACCCTCCCGCCCGGGATCACAGGCTGAGAGACCTAAGAGAGAGGATCTCCCAGCCTCTCAAGACCAGGTAACGTCGAGCAGCACGAGTGTATGCTTGTGACTCCTCCATGCCTCATGGCTTCGCCTCATTCACCACGCAACTCAGGTGCGAGGTTGCACAGGACTAAGCGGCTGCTAATCGCGTGTGTGCTCAGATATCCCGTCCCGCTGCTCCAGCCTCTGGCCGATCTGCTCTTCAGAACCCTTCAGGTCAACCTGGCGTTGAATCTTCGAAGAGCAGTGATCATGTGCCAGAGAGCAGTCAGAGCAAGGGTGAAGGCGGATCTGCCGGCGATGGAACCTCCATCAAGGGTTCGGGCCCAAGCACCCGTCCCGAACAGCATCTCAAGACCCCTGAGGCCAAGGTGCCTCAGACGCATCACATGTCCGGCGGAAACATCCCGTCAGACACAAACAATGAGAGCACCCAAGTTAATGTTCGCCCCCACAAGCCATGCAAACTGGGCATCAGTAACTGGTAACTGACTGAGTCGCAGGTCCCGCAGCCTGTTCCCATGATGGGTATGCGAGCACCGCTTCCGATGCCACTGGGGCCCTATCCGGGTTATATGCACCCAGGTATCGCTCCGCAGCAACAGCCATATGGCCCTGCTATCCCTCCACCATATGGTCGGCCTTTTGTCCCTCTGCCGCCATATGGTCCTCTTGTTATCCCTCAAGCGCCCTATGGACCTGCTATCTTTCAACCGCGCCCACCGTTGCCTCTACCTCTATTGCCGCCGCCGCCGCCGCCACTAGAGCCTTGCTACCCATTGCTTCATCTTACTCCTTGTCAGATCGCATCTGTCTCGACAGGTCAGCCAGTACCAGACCGCTACTTTTTTGCTTACAGGGTGACTTATTGGCCGCTGAGACTCTATTCTGCTCCAGGAACTGGCGCTCAATCAGATGGCCAGAACCCAAACCCCACTCAAGAGGAGATGAAATCCAGTGGCAGTGGTCCTCTTGTTTTTGGATCCCATCGCCTCACACCCTTGGCACAGATGGCCAAGATACCTGATGGTACTGGTGAAAGCCAAACTCATTCGATGGTGCGTGTTGTCTGACGGGGAAATCTCCGTCTCTTAATTCACTCCTCACACCGCAATGACAAAGAGGCTAACTCAAGTGCAGAGCCGAGACGACACACAACATCTGGCTGAGACATCCATCGATAAGGATTCCAAGACTGGAAGCGAGCCACCAGCTGCTTGCCAGTCCAACAGCCAGAATATCGAGTCGCCGTCAGCTGTCGACAACCGGCCTTCTGGAGAAGAGACTACCCAAAGCTCACCACAGCCGCAACAAGACCGCCACGTGCAGTCCAGCACTCAAGTGTCCTCCGACAGTCAGTCAGTTTCCAATTCTCAACAACACCACAACGCTGCACAAGAGCCAGCCCAGCAAAGTGAGTCTCATCGACCTAGCTGTCGCGTTATCACGAACTGGTGGGATGTTGACGACGACGAGATAAAGCGGCATCAGGCGGTTTCTCTTCCACAATGCACCGTCCCCGTGCGGTCACAACCCCGTCAGCCACATACTCGAGACAGGTCCAAGGCTCTGAGCAACCCAGCCACAAAGCCCTCGCCGAGCCAGCATCGTGGTCCCAGTCCAAGAGATGGATAAGCTCCGAGACTAAGGAGCGAAAGGCGTTTCAGAAGATGATGATGAACCTTCAGTTCATGAAGGCCGATCAGTCACCTTTTGTTCCGAAGTCGCCTGCGGAGTTGACAAAGTTGAGGATCTCGCTTGCAGAAGCCAAACGAGAGAAGCTTGCCAAAGAGGTCAGCATTTTGGAAGAAAGAAATCGACAGAAGGAACTTGCCAAGGCGTCAGGCACACCGATAAAACCCCAGCCGCGTGTGGCTCTATTCAATGGGCGGGACATGGAGGACGAGCTCTCTCCAGTCTTCGCTGTTCATAATTGCTTCAACAAACAAGATACGGTCGAAGTGAACAAGCGTGTGGAATGGCCATCGCTGGCCGAGCTCAAAGAAGATGGCGACAGGCGTGCCAAATATGGTCGGTTTCTCCCTCTCCCTCGAATCAAAGTCACTGCTCTTCAACTCGGCGAGAGAGAGCAAGCACACGCCCCCAACGGAGACGGATCCATCTTGTAGGAGAAGAAGGCCGTGGAACCTGGATCATGGAACATCCCGCCCGTCACATCATTGACTGACGGTTCCGGTGTTTTGTCGCAACTTGAGCTCGCTGATCTGAGCGAGTTCATGAAGGAATTTATGCTGGATATTCAGGAGCACGAGTCGTGATTCAACAACAAGGGCGATACCGAGACGCACTTTCGCCAGGAGCGCCTGAGAAGGAGGAGGCAGTGTGATTTTGTGTCTTTTTCGATCCAGCTTTTGAGTTCTCGAGGGAATATGGAGGACCGGAAGAGACGAGTTCAGAGACAGAAATGAACGAAAGAGTATGACGAGGGCTAATCGTCTATCAGAAAGCAGAATACGGAGTACAGGGACATAACAAGGATAACATGTCAGAGATAACATGTCAGAGTAAACGGATTTGGTCAGGTCATAACTTTAGCTGAATGATATTGAATCTTGCAAGCTGCTCGGTAAAGTACAAAGAGAAGAAGATGGCATTGAAGTTCGACTGACTGCTGGCACCTCAAAATCTACTTTAGGTAGATTGGTACCAAGTAAAGTAAGCATTGAAGTTGCCGCCACCTTCCGCGTCTTAAAACGACCCATTCGCGACTGCCCAGCATTCAAGCTTGAAGTCAGATTTAGCGAGACGCGACATCACGTGAAGCCCACCACACACCAATTCGACAATTCAGCTCTCAATTTCGTGCGGAACAACCCACCATCCGAGAAGCCCTGAGGCGAGGTACGTACCGCGGGCTAGCGCAACCCACAACCACAATTTTCGACCCAATTCAGTCCTCCACTCTTTCAAGCTCGTCAAAAGTTTCATTCCTCTCAACCATCCGACAAGTCGATTGCCCTGGTGAGCACCATATTCATCAGGTAAGTTCTTCTTGCGGCCGCGATATTCTCAGCAGCATTCAACGGAAACTCAATTTGCCTCGACACTCGTCTACCGACTTTTGGACAAAGCGAAGAGGGGTAGTCCTTGGTTGCTGCTGCTGGAGAAGATTCATCGTCACAATCAGATCACTCCTCCTTCTCCAAAATTTCTGTGATATTCAGAGTTTTGCTAACCACCTCTTTTCTCTCCCTCCAAACAGAACTCGCAATCATGGGTATCTCTCGTGACTCTCGCCACAAGCGCTCCGCCTCCGGTGCCAAGCGCGCCTACTACCGTGCGTACCATACATGAAGATTCCGAAAGCCCGTAACGATCTTTATGATCTTACGTTCTGACCTCCGTCAACAGGGAAGAAGCGCGCTTTCGAGGCTGGCCGCCAGGGTGCCAACACCAAGATCGGCGCCAAGCGAATTCACACCGTCCGCACCCGTGGCGGTAACCACAAGTACCGTGCCCTGCGTCTCGACTCCGGCAACTTCGCCTGGGCCTCCGAGGGCTGCACCCGCAAGACCCGTGTCATTGCTGTCGCCTACCACCCCTCCAACAACGAGCTGGTCCGCACAAACACCCTGACCCGCAGCGCCATCGTCCAGATCGACGCCGCTCCCTTCCGACAGTGGTACGAGTCCCACTACGGCCAGCCCATCGGCCGCAGACGCCAGAAGGCACAGGCCGCCAAGGAGGGCAAGGAGGTCGAGGAGGTCAAGAAGAGCAAGTCCGTTGAGAAGAAGCAGGCTGCCCGCTTCGCCGCCACCGGCAAGGTCGAGTCCGCCGTCGAGAAGCAGTTCGAGGCCGGTCGCCTGTACGCCGTCGTCACCAGCCGACCCGGCCAGTCCGGTCGCTGCGACGGCTACATCCTGGAGGGTGAGGAGCTGGCTTTCTACCAGAAGAAGCTGCACAAATAAACTCGCAATGGCGTGAGTTCGGGGGATGGGTGTTCAAGGATTTTTCGTTGTCTTGGGCATTTTCAAAGGGCATCAAGAGCTATCTACACATGAAGCATCGGATCGGGTCCATAGGGAATGAAAAGCTTTTATGCATATCATGTTAACATTTTTTTCTTTTCACGTTGTTTCATCCAAAGATGATAATGAAACAAGAAACAAAATAATTCAAAGCACCCTCTTCCCATCATCCGAGACTCGTACTTTTGGTAGTCATTCGCATGCTCGTATCTCTACCCTCGGAGCCTATACAGACAGTGTCGGCGTGTCCATATCCTGAAGAGCCTTGGAGAAGAAACAGCCACGTGTGCACTTAAAGAGAGGTCATTTTCCATATCTGCAATTGCACAAAGCGAACCTTGCTTTGTCGTTCAAAGGTTGTTCAGATATTTTATTGAATTTTCCCCTTCCCCCTCTCTGCAAAGTCTGTCCTAAACTGATTTTCATGCATGTCATAATCCTGCTGTACCCATCGTCAATGCTTTCTTTCTTGGATTCCTTCGTTTTCATCACCAGTCACTCAGCTAGGCTTGACTGGGCATATATACTGCTACCTAATCAAACCACTAATAGAAAGATAAGAACAAAACTCCAGAAAAGAAAAGAAGAAGAAGAAGAAGAAAAGCACAACTTTTTGACATCGCAGAATGGGGTGGATGGAATGAAAGCCGGGGGAATCTTGTGGCTATGATGACGAATTGCATCCTCTCTGGCCCAGTGATATGGTCATATTGCGGCAGAAAGAGCAGGGTTGTAAGGTAGTAGGGAGTGTATGAATGGTAGTTGGCAATGCAGTAACGCTCGACTTTCGCTTTCAGAGATTGGTTCAGCACTAAACAAACTGGCGCTTCAAGTCAGACCACTTGCGGGTCAGGGCCTCGTGTTGACCAGCAATCTGTCCCTCCACAGTTAGTCTCCTCTCTTTCTGCGGAAGGGGAAAGTCGTTGAGAACGGAGAACTTACCTCTGCGTACCGCAGCTTTGTCTGGACGAGTTCCTCCTCCAGCTCAGCCAACTCCCTCTCAACCTTTTCATTTTCCAGGTGTACCTTCTCGTTACGCTTCATCAAATCATCACGCTCAAGCTTCCAGGTTTCCTCCATCTCATAGGGCTGCCTTTCAATGACCTTCTTGAGTTCTTGTACCTGGTTCCTGAGGGCTTCCACCTCGTCCTTGAGCTCGTCATTCTCGACCTTTGTGTGAACAAGCTCCGTGGCAAGATCTGCCTGTTCGCGATCGCAGACCTCGACTCTTTCTTCCAGTTTTCGGACTTGGATAGTAAGAGCCTGATTTGACGTTCGAAGTTCTTTGAGCTCTGTTTCCCGCTCCTTCTCGGCTTTTGTCTTTTCCTCCCACTCCGCAGTGTATCCCTCGAGGAGCTCCGCGGAGAGCTTAATTTCGCAGGCGTCTCTCACCAGCTGGTCTGCCCTGTAAATCTCCTTGTCGATGCTTGAACTGGAGCTGCCGAAGAAGCCATTCTCCAGAAGACTACCCTGGCTGGGATCCTTGTCAATGTAGACATCAAAAAGCTTATCCTTCAAATAAGTGGTGAGCTGCTGCATGTCAGAGATCTCCAGCAGAGTGGCGGTGTTCTTTTGCATCAACACAATGCCAAATCGAATGATGGCCGAGAGGCCCTCGGACAAAATCAAGTCATAGATTCTCAAGACGAGTTGCAGGGGGAAGCGGTAGGCGAACAGGGTGAGGAACCATGGCGTCGCATAGAGATGAGGGGAAATGCCCCGTCGGTGAAGATGGCAGTACAGCGCGGGCTCAAGATCCTCCAGAAGCCGCTCGAACTGATACAAGTGGCGGTGCAGTCCAGGCATGTCGTGGATGAAGAGGTCCCGCAGGCCATAATGATTCATCAGGCGGACCAGCAGGCAAAAAGCTTCCTGCTCGGGCATGTTGAACAGCAGGGGCATGATCAGAAAGTTCATTCCCTGAGCATAGCCGACGCCTTCGTCGAAGAGGGCATACGCCTTGCAGACGCCAAAGAGGCCCTCCTGAAGCCCTGCGGCAGCTGCATACTTAGAATAACTTGTGCGGGCACCAAGATCACGGCGGATGACCTTCTCCAGCCTCTGAATGGCTGCCACGTCTTCTTTTTCCTTGCGCATCCGCTCTGCCGCAGCCGCAGCCTGAGCCTTGGCGATGGCCTCGGCATTCTTGTCGTCCTTCTTATCGCCTTTCAGGCCCGAGCCACCCGACTGTTCGGAGTTGACGGACGAAGCAGACGAGGCCACGCCATCGCCACTCTGGACACTAAGGTTGGCATTGCTGAAGCTGCTAGCTGCTGTGCTGCTGCTGTGCCGATTCCTGTTGTCCTTCTCCGTTCCTCTAGCGACGAGGTCTCTGTAGACTCCCTCCAAGTCTTCGTTTTTGCTCTGTGCCAAGACCTGCCAGATAACACCACGGATAGCGCTGGGGATACCGGTGGCAATAGCCTTGTTCAACTCCTCGGCACTTGACCGCGCGACAGCGGCCGGGCCTTCGTAAACAACGGATTGCCAAAGATCCCAGTCGACTTGTGACACCGCCGCCTCCGACGGGCCAACGTTGATGCCGGCCGCTGTTCCGGGCGCCAGGTCAGTGCTTGGAGGCGGCAGCGGGGATAGAGGGGGCAGCTCAGCTGCCGGTGCTTCCCCCTCGGTTGTTTCGGCCGGAAGGCCCTCCGTGTTCACAGTAAGCGGAGCACCGGTCTCCTGCTGCGCCCGAAGCACCTTGAATCGATCCTTGAGGCTGTTCCGGTTGGTTGCCTTGCCATCACCTTCTCTCTCTTCCTCGAGCTTGCTCAACATCATCTCAGGGTTGCTGCCCACAGTAGCAACGGAACTAGCAGTGTTCCTCCGGGCAGACGGCCCAGTAGTTGAGGCGGCACTGACGTCTTTGTCTTTACTAGAGTTCCTAGACAGCCAGGAGAAAGGGCTGGTGAGTCTCCTGCCCATTGGTGCAGGGGGCGCAGCTGGGGCCGCAGCTGGGGCAGCGGCAGGCGGCGTCGCTGCCGCAGGGGTCTTGGCCTCGGTTGTGGCCACCGGCGAGCTCTTGGCCGGCGACGAAGGTACTGCAGCGGCAGCACTGTTGATCAAAGAGGTCGTTCTGCTCAGCTGGTCTTTTTCAGAGGGGCTGGTGGGCTCTGCTGGGACAATTAGCGACATGCAAAGCAATATCAGTTGCGAAGACGGTGTGAGAGAGGTGTACCCTGGGGTTGTGGGGCAGCATCATCGTCCAAGTTGACCACATCAAGATTCGATGTGTTGGAGATGTTGGAGATGCGATGAGACAGCGGCGTTGAGCCGCGTGAGGGGGGTTCTGGCTTCTCCTCGCCCTTGTCTGATTTCGCTTCTTCGGCTTCCTCCTCCTTGTCGCTCTCGGCGTCAGACTTGGTGGCATCCTGCTCTGGCGGGGGAGGTTGTGGTCTCGTGGCGGACACCGATCTCTTGGTCAGAGATCGTACAGAGGCGGCGTCGACGGCGTCCTCGAACGCATCCTGCTCGGTGGTCTAACCTGTTAGCCCTTGCATTGCTTGGTATTCCGCCACCACATCCTTTGCGTTGTGGTGGGACGATGCTCGACATACCGTTTCAGCGTCGGAGTCGGTCAAGGACGGGCGTCTCTCCTTGAGCGACGCCTCGGTCGAGTGCTGGGAGGCTGCGTCGTCTGCGGGCGCCATGGCTCCCTTGATTGTTTCTCTGCTTGGCCGAGAGGGCGTTTGTAGGACGTGTCAACAGGCGCCGTTCAGCAACGAGCCATCAAGTGGCCCTATAGGATTGAGTGGTGGCTGCCCGCTGAAGCTGGGAAGAATATCGTGACGGTGTGGAACCAATGCGGTATAGAATGACAATTGTAGAGGTAAGCAATGGGTAGAAAACTCCCGAGGGCACAGAGAAGACCGGGCAAAAAGCGGCGGATGCTAGAGCTGTGATCAAAGAGCTGCTTGCTGGCGGTCCCCCGGTTTGATGTTGGTATGTACAGGTCCAAGGTCTGAGAGCTTGGAGATTTTGTCTCAGGGAGCATGCAGAGCAGAGCATGGAGAGCATGGGCTGGATGGGATGGAGTGTCGGTCGGGCGTCTTCCAAGCCGCCAAATGGCACTGGACGCTTCCCCTGGCTGGCCGCTAGGCTCAGTGGCCTCGACAGTGGGCAGTGGGGGGCTGCGTAGGTGGCGGAAGGGTCTCTTGGCGGGGCTTTAGAGCCTAACCAGCGAACGTCTCCCGCCGGGCGCTGTCTAAACTGGAACAGAGCCTGACGAGCCACCAGCAGTTCAGTCCGGGCCATCTCCTGAGGGGCTGCCGTGCTGCTCTTAGCTCTCAATTCAATTACAGCACATACCAAAGGTACCTACTACCATCTCCATCATCGAGCCTCACCACCTGGCCACATCACGGCCCTGATATCACTACCATCAGCAGCAGCAACAACAATAACATCACCATCATCACGCCGTCTAGCGGTGTCCGGGATCGCGTGCTGCTTTGGCTCAAATCACCAACAAGCGGCAGCTGTTCGGCACCGCTGGACTGATGGGTGGGTGGGTTTTGGTGGGTGGCCTAGCAACCCCTTTTTCCGGCTCCTCTTTTTGCATGCCTTTTGCTGTCGGCGCATGTCGGCGGTCTTGGGAGGGAAAACACACCATTCACTCGCCCAATTCACTCCATCACAGCTTCGACTTCGTCTACGAGTACCTATACACCCTTCGTCCACCAGCAGTGCCTACCTAGGTACCTAGGTATATGCCGAGGATCGTCTCTCGTGTGGGCATGGGGAAACTCGAGGAAACATGAAGCATCAGATGTTTCCTCGATCCCGCTACCCCGCGACATACCTTACGAGCGATAGGACGACTCCAGGGTTCTCGAAACATGACATGTTCCTCCCACGGAGTGCAACTGTCTTCTCCCGCCAGCGAGCATGTATGTATTGCTACCTAGATGGATCCCTTGCGGACTGGTCTTGCATCTGGCATTTCAACCCTAATCTGGAACAATGCCTAAATTCACTCACGATGGTGCGCTTGACACTAACCCGACTGTGATAACCGTTTGTTTCAGAGCTCCGCGGTGGCTGTAATCACAGTCCAGTCCCGTGCCGTCTTGCCTCCTGCGAGGGAGCACCAATATCGATACAAACTACATATATGTAAGTGCATGGCAGCACATGCGCAGAGAAGACGCATGATTTCTGCGTCTGAACCTGAACATGCATGTCTCGATAGAATTTGGCGTTCCCACAATACAGCCAGCAGTTCCTCCAGGGTAAGGGGCTACGGCTGCTCGCTCTCTTGCAGAACGCCTTGTCACTAACAATAAGTGCACACTTTGAACATGTTGTAGATTTTACAAGTAACAGCATGGGAGGTTTGCAAGTACAATTCTCAAGGGTGCCACATATATACCTCCTTCCTCCTCCTCCTCCTCTTCTTCTTGCTTCATTGATGCTGGGCAGCCAAAGGGGTGGCATCTTGAAGGGTAGTCATATCACCCGGTGGGTACTCAACCATCCTGCGCACCCGATGCAAACGCATCATGAGATCATCACCAATGCTGATAAGAGGCTGTAGCTCCCCTGAGTCCTCACAATCTATTACTGCCTTGGATCTGAAGGATCTGGCCACCGACTTGTAGCCACATACATAGATTAGGAGGCAGCTAGGACCGAGGTCAGTTTTGCCATCGATGTTCGCATACACCAGTACAATTGATGGAGGCACATACACATATGGAGCCATCCAAGGCTACCTCCCGGCAAGGCTTCCTCTCGTTTTTGAATTTTTTTTTTCTAAAACTTTCTCATTTCTTTGTCCCTCTTCTTCCTTCGATTTCATGTGCATAAGCTACGGTAATGGAGGACATAGTGCTGCTTCCAACACCATCTCGCCAGCGTCAGGTATTACGGCTTTCGAGTACGCCGTCCATAAGCAAACTGCGTTCTGGACAGCAAGTACTGGAGCCAAGGGTATGATCAAGAATATAATAAACAAACCAGTCGATCGAAAAGGCTTTCGAATTCGCTTGAGTACTCCTTGGTTAATAGTATGTCCCGGGGTTGACTCTTGAGGAGACACTGCTTCTTCCCGAGCCCTCCAAGAGACTTGCTGTCAGAAACAAAGTTGAAGACCTCGAATTAGTCGTTCCTCGCATCTCCTGGACAGTTCAGTACAGCTACTACGTAGGTAGTGGGCAGGTAGGCAAATGCCGTTCCTCATTTCAAAAAGCAGTTTGACTCACACTTCGTCTTCTTGACCAACCACATGCAGTCGTTTTCTTCTAGATTCTCTCAACTGTAGAAACACATGTCCTTCATCCGGGCTGGATCGGCGCACGGTGCAAAGGACTAGTAGCATGGAACCAGATGATGCTAACTTGACAAGGCTAGAGCCAGCCTTTTCCTCTTAGCCTGCGCCTGTGCTTCCGCCTTTGATCGTTTGATCGTGAATCTACGACCGGGAGCTACAGGCACAACTTCCCAGCGCCAACAGGGGGGCTCTGCTATAGCTGGCAGTGGAGGAAGATCACCAGATTGGCGGACACGCTGTACCGGTGCAGTGCTTTCGATACCCAAGGAGCGGCTACCTGCTGAGTATCTACCATTTGGCTAGAGTCTATATGTCTTCTGTTACTGCTAGTATTCCTACTGGGGTTGAGAGGAAAGAAGTACCTGTGATTTCTGCCACCATCGCTATGTGATACGATATGTCATGAATCCTAATAAGAACGGCAATCTATAGAAGCCCAGGAGCTTTTTCACTTGCAGCTTGAAGGCAGATCATTCCGGTAATTTTCTTTCCACCGTAGGAGGTACCTAGTAGGTAGGTGATCAGTGTGTCTCCCAAAGGTTGGGTGGCCGCTGGATTACGGCATCAATCGCTTCCAGAGCGCCCCTCACCGACTGCCTAATGGGCTTAATGCCGATGTGGGCAGTTCGCACGCAGTCACTCATTCACCACGGCCTTGCATCAAAGTGCGGGACAGTGGGAGGAGCTGCACCACCACGCCTATTACGCAAAGGCCCACTTGCTTTCCACCTGCTCAACCTGACGTTTGTCAAGAGCAACTCTTTTTTTTCTCTCTCCCAACATCCGCCCTCTCTCCACCTCTCCGCCCAGTTTCTTCACGACAGAAACATCCCGCAGATCGTATCCGACGCCGTCATCTGTATCCCTGCGTTTTGCTGGTTTCTGCGATCTCCGTTCCCGCTGCCCGCCTGGCCCTTGGAACCGCTGTTCGAGGACGACTGCACTCGTCCAACGACTCGATTTCAGCTCACGCAGCAGCATCTTCCGTCCCCCCCTCGCCACGCCCTCTCCAGCGACCGACTCTCGTCTTCACGAGCCTGAACCCGGTGTTCCGCTTGCCGAAGCTGCGAATCACCCTTGTTTGCCACGAGACATCGACGGCAGCGAGTCCTGGTCGTGCCACGAACCTTGCCGCGAAGTGCACATTGACATCTCGGCCACCTGAGTTCTCCCCCGCGGTTCGACTCTAGCTCAGCCACCGCTGTGCCTACGACAACCGACTTTCTCCACGGACTCTAATCTGATTACTGCTGGGAGATACGACGACTGCACAAGTCGCGCTGTCGCGCCAGCGGATAGCCGGATTGAAGTGGAGGGGGAGTTGATAACCGTTTCAGCGGCTCTGCCGCTCTTCTTACATCATGGGGAAGATTACAAAGACGATGCAGCCTAAGCATCGAGAGACTCTGGTAAGTTACCTTGTGTTGCGATGGGCAGGCTCAATCAAGCTACGGGCTCGTTTCCGGCCGCCCTTATGTGATTTTTTAAGAAAAATGAGGCTGACTCTTTTGTGCCCTCATAGTCCTCCTGGCTCAAGCAATACGTCGAATCTGCATCAACAGCCCCGCTACCCCTACTCCCACAGCAGCTTGCTGATTTCCCGACGAGATGGCCCTTTGGACGCGGCGACCTTTACCACTGGATCCCACTGTTGAACCGATTCGATAGCGTGTTGGAGCATTTCTGCAAGGTCTACAACTTGAATGAAGGCCCGCAACAGCGCGACTTCGGATGCGATGTGTTGCTCAACCATGCAAAAGACTCGGCCTTCGAAGGCGAGAAGCAGTGGCAGATGGATGAACTCACGCAGCTCGGCTTCCCTTCTGATGGTGACAGAGTTCTGATCGAAGCTATTCTCAAATTCACTCGCATGCTGTTGGAGCATTGCGGAAATCGCAGCATTTACGCCAGCAGTGCTCACCTAAACGATCTCCTCAACTGCATACCTCCGTCTATCCTCATCGCCACGCTCGAGGTAGGGTCGGAACTGGCACAGCGATATCAGGCTTCCGTCAAGCGCATAGGGAGCGCCTCCCGACACATCAGTGCAGCGCTGCTCGCGAACCATTACAACATAGACTTGGATCGCGTCCAGCAGATTGCCTTGCCGTTCGTCAAAACGCCCATCTTCAACATGTCGGAATCCGCCCCTACTAGCACGCACGCGTCCGGGTCCAAGGGGAAGGATAAGGCTGCGACAGGGTCCGGCAGCAGAAATGTGGCCACTTCGCACGCCAACGACTTGGTCGCCATCGCCGCATCTGATGATAGCCGATGGAGCGCTTGGGGCGATGTCAAAGTCAGTTACTACCCGCAGGAAGCTGCTCCATCCCAGTATGACGCTCCAGCAGAGGCGGGGCGCTCGACTTTGCCCTTGACTCCCACTCCACTGCGCCGAAGCTCGACGATGAACCCTCAGCACACACCGAGAGCCCGAAACGCTGCCAGTGACGATTCGTCTCCTCTTGTGCCGCGAACCTCGGCATCTGTGGAGGACCATTCCTCGTCTGGCCAGAAGACGTTTGAGTTGCCTCAACATGTCGTGGCCTCTCGCCCCATCTACGAGCTCGTCAAGCGATGCCCCGATGACATGCCTCCGGCGGCCAAGTATGAGGCGTTCCACCGTTTGAGAGTAGCCAAAGCTCTCATCAGCTCTCAGGAATCCCGACAGCAAATCTTGGCAACTCGCCTACTGGCGGTGACCAACTTGGCATACATACACTCCGAGTCCAATTTTGTCGAGAAAGTTCTCCGCCAGGACATTGATGAGACCCGTCGGTTTCAGCTTGTCTACCAACTGGCCGAGCTGATCCATCCGTCTGCCGATGGCACCATAGAGATTCCTCTGAGGCTGCAGACCATTGCCCTTGCGCTTCTCGAAGCGGTCTCGAGCTTTCATGCGAGACGTCAAGACGTCCTGTCGGCCCTGAATGCAAATGTCAATCACGGGATACTTCTCTACGTGATCAGGAAAGCGGTGGCTGGCATGACCGAAACCCACGATGGAGACGATGGCGATAAGGCGAACGAGATCGACGAGTGGCGAAACAATCTGTTTTCCCTTACGCTGCACCTGTCAATGGCGACTCGCGTCGGTAGTGAAATGGTCTCTGCTGGTTTGATGGATATTCTGGTTGAGATCCTCAATATCCGATCCGTCATTGCACAGCGCCACCACTCAATGGTTCTCGCCTTTTTAGACGGCTTGGTCTGGACCTATCCCAATGCGTTCACTGCCTTCTTCAATGCGAATGGACTGGATGCTGTTGCCAGGTTGATCGTGGACACTATTGGTGAAGCGCGCAGCTTGCTTCGGGCCTCAAAGGGCATCAAACCGGAGCAGCAATCGAGTGCTGTGGACTACGAGATCCCTTATTACCAGCAGCAAACCCTCAAATGGATCCTCAAATTCGTCCATCACATCATGTCCAATTCGTATAGCTACAGCGGCAATACGGACCGCCTTCTGCGAAATCTTGCTGAAAAGTCTGATTTGCTGGCTAATCTAAGGGACATCATCAACGACAAGAAGAGCTTTGGTTCAGTCGTCTGGACAAACTCGGTTACCATTCTGAGCGATTTCATTAACAATGACCCGACCAGTTTTGCTGCCATTTCTGAATCGGGCATGATCAAGACGTACCTCGAGGCGATCACTGGAAGACCTATCCCCGATGACTACACCACTCGTCCAAGGTACCGGGAGTCGGAAGGCGATGAGCCCGGGACTGTGGACGTCTCTGCGATTACGTCGATTACCGATCTTGACAGCCGACCTCACCCTCCCTCGGATGACTCCATCAGACAATCGCTTGGCCGGCCTGTGGCGACAGGCATCCTGGCGTCCTCCGATGCTATCAATGTTGTCCCTCAAGTTCTCAACTCCATCTCTCTTAATAATGCGGGCATGCAATTGGTTGTTGCTTCTCGAGCGTTCGAAAGCTTCCTGGAAGTCTTTGAAAGCCCTGCGCACGTCAAATGCATGGAGGTAGACACGGAACTTGCCAGTAACGTTGGAGCCAGCTTTGACGAACTTGCGCGGCACCACCCGCCCCTCAGAAAGTCAATCTCCAATGCGGTAATTGACATGGTCGCGCGAGTACGCATGCTGGGCATTGAGAAGGCTCGAGTCGCAGGCTGGGGAGTTAAGCTGCTCCCCATTGGCAGTCTCCAAGCTGCGGCTGAATCAACATCGGTGGCCGAAGCACCTAAGCCGCCGCAGGAAGCCGCCGATATGGACATGGCTGACGTTGCCGCGCCCCAGGCCTTGGAAGCTGACAAGCGGACCGAGACTGAACGGGATTCGCCCTACGAGTCGTTCACGCCTTATATTTATGCTCTGTCGAATTTCTTGACCACCTACTTGTCTAACGGTGTACTGAAGAACAACTTCGTCGAAAGGGGCGGTATCGAGCTACTCCTCGATATGTGCCAGTCCCCGAGCCTCACTGCTGGGTATGGCGATTCGATGGCATCTCGAGTTCTGAACCAAGTCATTTCCCAATTGATCGAACATGGCGCTGCTCAAGGCTTGACGTCATTGCTCAACAGGGCTCAGCGTGCCATTGACGTGTTGGAGCCATTGTCAACGAAGACCGAGGCCGTCCCTCCCTATTTTGCCCCTTTTCTGACCGACCTGGGCATCGAGTACAGCAGCTCCGAAGCAGCGGAAATACTTGCGACGGGAACTAATATTGTCAAAGCTCTGCTCAACGCGCAGACGTACATGAAGATCATTTCCGACTGTTTTGTATCGTCCAGAGGCAACACGCTGCAGTTCTACCCCGTCAACGTCTACGACTACTATATAAAGCTAGTGAAGTCGATTGGGCCTCTGCTTCGTGGAGTTTTAGCAGAGGAAGCAGGCGAACTTACCGCGATACCCCAGCATTGGTCTCTACGACGTCACTCACCACCGACGGCGGGCGGCAGCAGAGGCACCGGTGCAGATGTGGAAGGCGATGATGGCTCCCTGACAGACGTTCTCGGGGGCACAGATAGCTGGAGGCCCAACGATGGTGCTGATGCGTCCTCAACGTCCCGTTTGACTGAACAGGAACAAGCTAGTCCTCGATTTCAAAATTACGAAACCCTTCGGGTCTTGCTGCACCCGATGATTCCCACTTCATTCCCCCTTTTCCAGACCATCGGCAAGGCTCTGCTACCTAGAAGGGAGGCGAATCACGGTGACCCATACCACCGGCCACGCCATCTGCAGATTGCGAGAGCGCTTGCCGATACGGTTCTCGACCATCTCAGGCCATCCGTGGCAACTCCGGAGCCAACGTCAAAGGACTTCCACTATTGGATCATCATGCTGCATACCATCCACGAAATGGTGATTGAACACCGTAAGTTTCCAGTTCCTTTGTCTTCAGGTTCACACAGCGGGCTAACATCTCTAAGCGGCTTCATCTCGGCCCACCGACCGTGCAAACGTGCAAATCATCATGCCGGTTCTCCTTGCATTCAAGGAGCGTGACGGCATCGTTGTTCTCAACGACATGTTGCGAGTCTTCGCTGATACAGTCAAGAGTTCCACCGCCGCTACTGCCGAAGACTCCTCAAAGGTCAAGGTTGCTGCTTTTGGCCTGAAAAAGATATTGGACTTGTACTTCATCCTGGTCAATGGGAAGCATATCGGCGACACGCACACTTACTACAACCTTCAGCGACAAACAGACCGCTCCCAATTCGTTCAGAATATCCACAGCCAAATCACCGTCGAATTTCGGGCCCTCATATTGCCTGTCATCATGGAACTTTGGGACTCCACGTTCGTTGAGCGAGTACCAGATCAGACTGTGAAACGACTTGTGGACATTCTCAAGATAGTGGCATTGGGTGAGGGCGAGCTGCAGTCAATGCCAAAGGACAAGGTGCGTATTTTCTGCCCACATCCTGTGTTTCAAAGGACTTGAATCGAGTGCTAATTTCTATTCTAGGTTCCTTTCGTGCTTCTCAAGTATACAGAAGTGCCATTCAATTGGCGGGCTGTCCGGTCCCTTGTTCGCCAGCTCGCCGACGATTTCGATGAAAGTCTGGCACAGGAGGCTGCATATCGTACATTTGGCAACCCTAACACTGCTTCAGCATACTGCAGTGCGCACGAGGCTGAGATCGCAGGTGCTCGAAACCCTGTCCCTCCTGAAGATGCCCCTGATGCCTCATCTCTAGCAGAAGGAACGACTCCAACATCGGCAAGCCGCGATGCCAGTGGTTCTCGTGCCCCTGAACCGGAGGCCATGTCTTTGGATATCTCTCCTGATACCTCCGCCGAGAATCTGGATGACCTGATCTCACAACTTCCTGAAAGCAATGACTTGGCGAATGAGACCGAGAGTGGCGCGGATACGGGGTCAAAGGCTGCCGAACCGACCCCGGCCAGTGCAGAAGCAGGCTCTACTGCAGAATATACAGCGGACAGCTTCAATGCCCTCAAACAAGGCCTTGACGACCATCGATCAAAGCTACGAGAGAATCTGATCGATCAATGCCTCGACGTTATTCGTGCCCATCCAGATACCGCTATCGAGGTCTCCGAGCTCATCACCACCGTCGTTCTGCGTCATCAAAATGCTGATGCTCACGAAGAGGTCGGATCTACTCTCACATCTGCTCTGACGTCCCTTGCTTTGGACGAAGACGAAAGGAAGCGCAATGGGAAGTGTATCGCTGCATATGCTCATCTTCTGGCGCTACTGCTCCAGGATGAGATGTTCTTCAGCCGAAACATGGACACCTTGCGTGACAAGATTGGCGAATATGTGGCGCTTCTCAAGGTCCCCCCGTCTACGCCCAGCGAAGAGCTGCCTCCTTGGATTCCTTTTGTACTACTGGTGCTGGAGACTCTGTTGAGCCATGATGAGAAGCCAGTCGCAGTCCAGTGGAGGGCACCCAAATCCTTGGATGAGCCCGTTGCAGAGCCCGTGATTCAGCTCAGAACACCGTTACTAGATGATCAGCAGCGGTCGGATGTCCTGGAATCGCTTCTGGACCTACTTCCACGTATCGGAAAGGAAGAGATGCTGGCTACCGCTATTCTCAGAGTTCTCATCATCCTGACCCGCAGACGTTCGTTGGCGAAGCAAGTTGGCGAGAAGAAGAACCTGCAAAGGCTTTTTCTTATGGCTAAGCAAATGTCGGGGTCAGGTTCTGAGCGACTCAGGCAAATCAGGTTGACGGCCCATCTCATCACCATCCTTCGCCACATCGTTGAGGATGAAGAAATTATCAAGCAAGTCATGAGAGCGGAGATCAAGTCCGATATTCCGAATCTCCAACGTACCCAGCGCGGCCACCTGGATGTACCGACATATCTTCGAGCAATGGCGCCCATTGCTCTTCGTGCTCCCGACCTCTTCGTTGAGGTGACCAATGAACTGCTTCGGTTTTCACGCTGGAACGCGCCCACTGCTGAAGGCACCAGGTCCCAGACCCTGGTCTGGAAGGAAGAAGACAGCAGCAGTACGAATGTTGCTCAGCCAGAATCGGAAAACGTTCAGAGCGAAGATGTCAAGCCTTCAACTGAATCGGGAGACAAGGAGATGCCTGATGCGCTGAAGCCACACCACGACAGCAAGCGCCCGGTAGTTGAAAATCCGGACGGAGTCATCCACTTCCTTCTTTGTGAGCTCATCAACTACCGAGAAGTCGAAGACAAAGAGGTACCACCACCCAGCAGAGATGCGAAAACCGAGACCGAGTCGGCAGCTTCTGGCGACGCCCAGGACAGTGCTTCTGCTGAAGGCGTAGCTGCCGATGGAAAGGACAAGAAGCCATCAAAACCTACCTTCAAGTCAGAAGAGCACCCGATCTTCGTCTATCGATGCTTCTTACTCAGCTGTTTGGCCGAGCTCCTTCAGAGCTACACGCGAACCAAGATGGAGTTCATCAACTTCAAACGAAGCGCTCCGCCCCTATCTACAAACACGCCCGTCAAGCCCCGGTCGAGTATTCTCAACTATCTGATATACGACCTCTTGTGCCAGAGTAGCCTGAGTGGTACATCAGACAACATAGCGGCGAAGAAGAAGGCCGCGACCTCAGCGCAGACTCAAAAGGTTTTGGTCGCTTTGGTCTCAAAGACCAATGAGAAAGTGTTTGACCGCAAGCAAGAAAAGTACGCTTATGACGATGAGCCAGATCTACTCTTCGTCCGCAAATTTGTTCTCGATACCATTCTGAAAGCCTATGAGAAAGCACCACTTACTGATGAGCCGTTGGAGGTTCGGTATGCACGGATGCAGTGCTTGGCGGAGTTGATGAACAACATGATCGGCGAGAAGGACAAAGAGCAAACCTCCGGGTCTCGCAATGTCGACAGCGTCCAGACTAGGTCACAAGCGCAGCTTCGACGGCTCATGTATGAGAAGGGCTACTTGGATAAGTTGACGTCATCCATTGCCGAGATCAACCTCAATTTCCCGGGGGTCAAACGGGCGATTAAGTATATCCTGCGTGTACTGCGAGTTTTGACTGATACCGCCAAGGAACTGAGCCATTCAAACATCTTGGTATCCGATTCACAGGCTGAGCAGAGTGATGAGGAGTTCGCGTCTACTTCATCCCTATCAGACCTAGACGAGGGCCGGGAGGAGACCCCTGACCTCTATCGAAACTCTGCTCTTGGCATGCTTGAACCTCGTGGCGAGGATGACGAGTCTGAGTCAGAGGAAGCAGATGACGACGACGAGGACATGTATGGGGACGAATATGACGACGATGAGATGGACTACGGCGATGAAGAGATATCGGACGATGAGGACGACATCAGCGATGATGACGAGGAGCTTAGTCAGATGGGGGAAATTGAGGGCCTCCACGGTGACCCCGGAGTGGTTGAAGTCATTATGGACGATGAAGATGATGACGACGATGACGAGGACGACGAAGACGACGACGAAGTAGATTCTGCCGATATGGAGGATCTCGAGGACCGTGTTGAAATTGTCGATGAGGATGGCAACCCTCTTGAAGATGACGGTGAATCAGGTTGGGAGAGCGAGACCAGCGCCGAAGAGGACGAAGAGCCAGAGGTCGATGATATCGACTACGAGGCTGAGGGTCAAGATGAGGACGAGGCTCACCTACATGGAATGGGCCCTGGTGATCTCTTGGATAACATGGCAAGAGCCATCATGGGCGGCGATGAAGATGGATATGAGCCCGAATTGATGGAAGCATTAGATGAGCATTACATGGATGATGGTCACGATGATGGAGGTGAGTGTAGAGATCTTCTTTCTCCCTTCTCTTCCATAGCTGGGGTGTACTGACTCTTCTCACAGATGAGGACGACGAAGAGGATATGGAAGACGAGGAGTACATCTATGACGATGATTATCCACGTGAGTGGCCCCCTTTCAATGATCATTACTCACCGAAGCCATCTAACGTGACCCTTTCTCGAACAGTGAACGACCCGTTACCGCCCATGCCAGCTCTTGGATGGGATGGATTCACGCCTGAGGTTGATGATAGACATCGTCAAGTTTTCCTTCTCGACAACAACAGACGACCAGTCCTTGCGCGAATGGACAACCGCAACCCATTCCCTCCGCGGTTTATCCCTGGGACGCACCGGGATCTGAGTGGTAAGTTGAAAAAAATCCTGGCATACTTTCTCAGTGATCTATTCACTAACATGTCATCATTCACAAAGATTTCCGCAGCTACTTCTCCCGTAGCCATCGCAATAACGGGCAGCAGCCGAATGCAGATGACGGCATGAACCCCTTACTTCGTCGCAGCGATCAAGCTCAAGAGAATCAGCCTCGACCTGGGCATCCACACTCGATTGGCCTTCGCTTCCCAGAGGGCTTTTTGGGCCCAGGCAGACATTTAATGGAGGGCCCCATGGGCTTTCTGGGAGAGCTTATGGAGTTTTTGCCAATCATGGGTCGTGGAAACCAGCATGCTTTCCACGTCCATATCAGTGGTCCTGGAGGTACGCGGAGCACGGATCTTGGACCTATCCGTGGTCTGAGAAGTGAACAGCGCCGAGATGCTGCATCTCAGGAGCCGCACCAAGCAGTCGCTTTCACTCCTGAGACAACCTTGGATCGCTACCAGGAGGAGGCCAGGATGATCTTCGGAAATCCCGTCGCGGAGGCTGCCAGACTTGGCACTGCTATCATCGCGCAGCTCACCCCTGCTGCCATGGAGCTCGAGAGAAAACTGAAGGCGGAGGAAGAAGAGAATCAAAAGCGCCTTGAAGAAGCTCGAAAGAAGCGAGAAGAGGAAGAGCGTGTGGCTCGAGAAGCTAAAGAAGCCGAGGAAAAGGCTGAGAGAGAAAGGAAGGAGGCCGAGGAACGCGAAGCTGCTGCAAGACTTGCAGCGGAAGCCGCTGAAGCCGCCGCTCTCGCCGCCAGTCAAACTACCGAACCACAACCTGGCACTGGGCAAGGTGGTGGAGCCATGGAGGGAGTTGAGTCGACCGAAGCTGGTGTTGCCCATGATGATCAAGCCAACACATCGAGGGCCAACGTTCCGAGAGTTACAACCATCATTCGAGGCGAGGAGGTGGATGTCACTGAACTGGGTATCGATCCGGATTACCTAGCCGCTCTTCCTGAGGAATTCCGGGAGGAAGTCATCGCCCAGACAGTAAGTGAAAGGCGATCTCAAGCCCGCGAGGAAGCTGCCTCGGGAGAAGCGACGGAAGTGTTTCAGGAATTCCTTGATGCTCTGCCAGAGGAGCTACGAATGGAAATCGCGCAACAGGAGCGGCAAGACCAGCGCCGTCGTCACCGTGAAGACGGTCGTCGCCAGGCTACCGCCGCCGATGGCCAGGATGCCATCCCCGCGGAGATGGACCCAGCTAGCATTCTGCTAACATTCCCGCCCGAACTCCGTGAACAAGCTCTCATCGACCAGGGTGAGGATATCATGGGCCAGCTTCCCCCAGACATGGCTGCTCAGGTGCGAGCATTGACTCAGCACCGACCACCAGTTGCTCATCAACGAGGAGGCATGCGCCCGATTGTGCTCCCTGGTAGAACCTCGCTTGGCGCGGCTAGGGTCACAGTGCAAGGCTCGCCGGATGAGCAGGGCGAGAGCAAGACACAACGGAAGACGGTTGTGCAGATGCTTGATAAAGCTGGTGTCGCCACCTTGCTGCGTCTGATGTTTATCGCTCAACAGGGCTCCATCCGAAACTACCTCTTCAGCGTCTTCGCAGATGTTTGTGAAAATCGACAGACTCGTCTCGAGGTGATCAGCACCGTCTTGCAGATCCTTCAGGATGGTAGCACAGACATGAATGCGGTTGAGCGCAGCTTTGGCCAGCTCTCTCTCAAAGCCAGGAAACAGAAGGACAAGGAAAAGGACGGTGACCAGAAGAATCCACAAGGCCTTAAGAGGACTTTGACAACCGTGGGAAGTCTCACAGCTTCTGGCCAGACGAACTCCGAGACGTCGCCACTGTTGATCGTACAACAATGCCTTGACCTTCTGGTCGACTTGTGCACCAAGAATCCACACATTCCTTGGCTGTTCTTGACAGAACATGAATCAATAGGGTCCTCTTCCCTCAAGCGGAGCCTGAGCCGTAGAGGAAAGGGCAAGGACTCGAAGGCGCACAAATATGCGATCAACTCTCTTCTCACTCTCTTGGATCGTGAGCTTGTGACGGAGAGCTCGCTTGTCATGACACACCTGGCAGACCTCCTGAACCGAGTCACTCTACCCCTTCAGAACTTGGAACGTCGACGCAAAGAGGCACAGGATGAAGACGCATCAGGTTCAAAGGGCACAGGCGCGGAGACACAAGCTGTTACTACAAATGCAAACGAGGCAGAGCAGCGAGATAACAACGAGCAGACGGTCGACGGCTCTTCTGCATCTGCGCAGGCGACCTCTTCCGAACAGAAGGCCGCCGGAACCGAGGAATCTGCGGAGCAATCGAAGAGCGCACCGCAGAAACGTGCCCGCCAGTTGCAGCCTCCGGTGATCCCGCCCCAGAATCTCACCCTTGTGGTCAGAGTATTTGTGGCCAGGGAGTGTAGCTCGAAGACATTCCAAAACACCATCTCGACCATCAAGAATCTGTCGGCTATTCCCGGGGCAAAGACGATATTCGGACAGGAGCTGGTCAGCCAAGCTCGCCTCTTGAGCAGCAATATCGTGTCCGACCTCGACGACTTGCTCCCTCACATTGAGGCGGCCACTTCTGGTACCGAAATTCAAGGAGTTGCCCTCGCTAAGTTCTCGCCTGGAGCGTCGGAGCAGAACAAGCTTCTGCGAGTCCTCACCGCACTTGACCATCTGTTCGATGGAAAGAAGAAGAGCGACGACGCAGACGATGGTTCCAGCGAGAAAAACGAGAAGCAAGACCTTGTCACCTCGCTCTATCACAACTCCACGTTTGCTACCATGTGGGAGAAGCTGAGTGCCTGCCTGAGCGCTATTCGCCAACGGGAAAACATGCTCAATGTCGCGACAATCCTACTTCCGCTGATTGAGTCGCTCATGGTTGTCTGCAAGAACACGACGACAAATGACGATCTGTCGTCGAGCATGGTCGGAAAGGACATGCTATCCAGTCCGCAGCCAGAATCTCGCACGGCCAACCTCTTCTTCACCTTTACCGAGGAACACAGACGCATCCTGAACGAACTCGTGCGGCACAACCCTAAACTCATGTCGGGCACCTTTTCCTTGCTCGTTAAGAATCCCAAGGTCCTGGAGTTTGACAACAAACGCAACTATTTCAACCGGAGCGTACACTCTCGGAGCGGCCAGAACCAGAGTCGTCCATCATATCCACCGCTGCAGATTAGCGTCCGCCGAGAGCACGTCTTCCACGACTCCTTCAAGTGGCTCTGCTTCAAGTCAGCCGACGAGATGAAATACGGCAAACTCAACATTCGGTTTAACGGTGAAGAGGGAGTTGATGCCGGTGGCGTAACTCGCGAGTGGTTCCAGGTCCTCGCCCGACAGATGTTCGATCCCAACTATGCTCTGTTCATCCCAGTTTCGTCTGATCGCACAACCTTCCATCCGAACAAACTCAGTGGCGTCAACGATGAACATTTGAGGTTCTTCAAGTTCATCGGTCGCATCATCGGCAAGGCTCTGTACGAGGGCCGCCTGCTTGATTGTTTCTTCAGCCGTGCTGTCTACAAGCGCATCCTCGGAAAGTCCGTATCTGTCAAGGATATGGAATCATTTGACCCGGATTACTACAAGTCTCTTTGCTGGATGCTGGAAAACGACATTACCGATATCATAACAGAGACCTTTTCGGTTGAAGACGATGAATTCGGTGTCACCAAGATCGTGGACCTCATCCCCAATGGTCGAGAGATTGCGGTAACTGAGGAGAACAAGCATGAGTACGTTCGTGTTGTAGTCGAGCACAAACTCCTCTCCTCGGTCAAGGATCAGATGGAGAACTTTTTGAGTGGTAAGTTATCCCCTTTCATGACAGCATTCGTCAAACAACGAGAACCATAACTAACCCTCCTCGTTAGGCTTCCACGACATCATTCCCGCGGAGCTTATCTCCATCTTCAACGAGCAGGAGCTGGAGCTCTTGATCTCTGGTCTTCCGGACATAGACATTGACGACTGGAAAGCGAATACCGAGTACCAGAACTACAGTCCTTCCTCTCCACAGATTCAATGGTTCTGGAGAGCAGTCCGGTCGTTTGACAAGGAGGAGTTGGCCAAATTGCTGCAGTTTGTTACCGGTACCAGCAAGGTTCCCCTCAACGGCTTCAAGGAACTAGAAGGCATGAACGGTATCAACCGCTTCAACATCCACCGCGACTACGGAAACAAGGATCGCCTTCCGTCTACGCACACCTGCTTCAACCGTAAGTCTTTGCTCCCCTCATTGCCAACAATTCCAGGTTATTGAACATCATATACTGACAATCCTTTACAGAGCTCGATCTACCCGAGTATGACAGCTACGACATACTGCGCTCGCAAATTCTCAAGGCCATCACTCAGGGAAGCGATTACTTCGGCTTCGCCTAATTGCAATGTGGATGTTTGCGAAGTTTGCAAGGATGCGGCTCATGGAAAGCGTTCATAATTGATTGGTCGAGCCAAGTATTCATCTTTCACTGGGCCTTGTATGATTGTGGTGAATGGCTTTTTCAGAGTCAAGCCAAGGCAAAGAACAGAAAGAGAAACCCGAAAAAAGAGCAAAGGGGGAGAAAACAACAGGAAATATCAACATAGTGGAAGAGGGAAGGCTCCCTACTCAGGGATCTTGCATTGCCGAAGAGAAGTGCAGATCTCTCTGGTAGTTGCAAGATATCTTGACGTGGGATGATGACACGGAAAGCAAGGCTGTTTGTTTGGTACCCCATGGGGGGTGATGAAACTATGTATTAATGTTTGCAAGTAGATTAGGAATTCATCCGGCTTAGAATAGGGCAAATACAGTGGGATTTCGCTGTGAAAACATTTCCTAACTTTGCAGTGCCCATTTCACCACTTGTGTACTATATCTGTAAAGAAGGAGACCAATGCGAGTTGTGACATATTGACGCTGTCCTTCCTTATACAGATGGCAAGGTAGCAAGAGACGAGGCGCCTCAACTGTGTACTTTGACCATGAGGTCCTCTTCACAAAGCATTGGCTTCGCCAAATCAGAGCATTTAAGCCATCAAATCACGAGGATGAAATAGAAAACGCGAGGGGAATTGTCATGAATGGCGTCATGAATGCATTTTGAAATCGAAATGCTTCTAATACATTCGTGGCAGGTTGGGCCTTTTTTTATCTGAAAGCCCCAGATATCCCTTCACTCCGATTGCATGCAAACCACAGGACCAAAGGTATGATGATGGAATTTCCCCTCCCCCCTTTTTTTACATTCATTATATAAAGAAAACGCCCGAACGAAACCCCTTATTTGTGCATGGAGCTTGCTCGTCGCTTGCGGGCATCGGCCTTGTGGGCCTTGGCCTCGGCGACACGCTTGGCCAGGATCTGGGCGTACTCGTTCTGTTATGACAGTATTAGCATCATGGACCCAAAAGAATGTTGAGTTGATTGTAGGGTTTTACTCACGGCCTCGTCCTTGACCTTCTCGGCCTGGCGGCGCTTGAGAGCGAGACGGTGGCGCTTGTGCTGCAGGCGCTGGGGGGTGACCAGTCTCTGGATCTTGGGAGCCTTGGTGTAAGGCTTCTTGCCCTCGCCCTTGGGCTGGACCTCTCGTCGGATGACGTACTTGCGGACCTATTGAATTTGCCCGTGATTAGTTTTCCCAATGATCTCTCATAATTGATTTTGTTTTGAAAATCTCGGCACCGGACAGACTCTTCTTTGCTCGCTTTTGAAGACAACAATCAAGTGCCCCCGAATAGCGGAGAAAAGGAAAAGAGTCTGTCCAGGTTTTTTTTTTCTTTCTTCTCACACTCTACCCAGACTGCCACTCCCTCCACCGCAGCTCCGGGTAGGCGATGACCGAGTATGGGTACAGGGTGAAACATACATCGTCATCCTTGGTGAGGTTGAAGAACTTGCGGATCTTGGTGGCTCGCTTGGGGCCGAGGCGCTTGGGCTGGACGACGTCGGTCAGGCCGGGGATGTCGGCCTCGCCCTGCTTGACGATGCTGAGGGCCAGGACGGACAGGTCCATGGCGACGATGCAGCCGCGGACCGACTTTCGCTTGCGCTCGCCGGTTCGTCGGGGGCGGTAGCAGGAGTGGCCGTCGGAGAGGAGGAGGCGGACACGGCTGGGGTGCATGACACCCTGCTTCATGGGGAAACCCTGCTTGTCGTTTCCACCGGTGATGCGGAAGATGTAGCCCTTGAACTCGTCGCCGAGGGAGTCGCCGGGGACCTCAGCGCCCATCTATAGATCACACGTCTGTTAATTTTTCGATTCTCTGATTGTTTTTTTGGGGAGACGAAAAGATCGGAACATTGGAGATGCAGAAAAAGGTTTCGATGTATCGAGCGCGTTGTTTCTCGTCGATCAAGTCGAAAACGATCTAATGCTGTTCCGTTCTTCGTCAAAGGAAGAGGGGGGATTCTTTGAACGTACGCGCTTCTCCATGAAGACGGCGAGCTTGCGCTCATCCTCAATGTCGATGAGCTTCTGGCTGCCATTGGCAGGGTAGGAGATGTTCAACTGCGAAGAGAAAAAAAGGTCATGTTAGCAACCCGCCGATGAACCTCGAATTGGGACGATGCAGATAACTGGTGCCAGCATGATTGCTGCAGCAGCAGCAGCAGCAACAACAACAGCGAATGCCATCGGGAGTAGGATTGTGCATCTCTGGGGATCTATATGCGTACCTTCATCTTGCCAGTGTTGTGGTGGTGCAAGTTTGTCTTGACCTGGCACGCGTGAAGTCGGCTTTGGGTGTTGAAGGAATTTGGGGCAAAAGGGTAGGGCAAAGGGGAGCGGATAACGGGCGGGCAGGAAAAAAAAATCGAGGAAAAGTTGTGTGCATTCGCCTAGGGCTCCATTTTGGCGTGTGCGCAAAATTGCCCTGGCCAATGAGAGAGGCGCTGCCGCTAGTTGCGAGATACGTATCTGAGGGTGGGGAAAGGTGATCTGAATCTACAAACTGTGGCTGGTGCTTCATCAGCCTCACGTCAAGTTGGACCTTGAATGTGGCGCTGATCCAACATTGGAACATGTGGGGGCAGGATCTGATGCCTTGATGATGAGCTTCACGTAACTTACATACCATCATCGCCTTCATCTTAAGGGGTTTCCTCTTTGATTCTCTCTTTTACCACGATTCACATACATCGAAGCACCCAAAATGTCCTCATCCACAGCAAAACTATACCCCCCCTCGAAAACCCCCTCTCCCACCCCCAACCCCCTCCCAACCCTCCTCCAAACCCCCTCCGGCCTCGCCATCCTCGAGCTCCAAGGAAGCATAAACCTCCCCCAGGACGCCCACGGCGAGCCCCTCAAGGACGTCGAGGTCGGCAGGCTCGAGTTCCCAGACTACGCGCCCGACGCCATCGGCACTGCCTGGATGAAGCGCGTCCACATGTACATTGGCCAGCACCAGCGGCTGACGGGCGAGGTCAAGAAGCTGCCCAAGGCGCTGGCCGTGGTGCGCAGGCGGCAGAACAAGGTGCTGGAGGGCTCAGGAGGGACGTATGTCGAGGAGGGCGACAACAATCTGGAGGTGGTGGAGATTGTCAAGTATAAGCTCATGTTTGGGAGTCGGCCGGAGCCTGTTGGGACGGCTCATGCTCCGGCTTCTTGAGGGATGAAGAGGGGTTTTTTTCCAAGTCTCTTCATCTTTTTCTGCCTGGGACTGATGATAACTCCTGCGAGTTAGCATCTCGCGCTTGATACCGATCATCAGCACTTCAGCAAGGAACAACTCCGATGTTCTGAACGACTCCTCATTCCAGGAGGCCATCTTCAGTCTCACTGCTATATCAGAGGAGACAGCAACCAAAAGCGTTACTACCGGGGCTGTAACCATTGCACTACAGACTCCTCGAGTTGCGGCATTCACAGCCCGCCTTTTTTTGGCAACTCCCCATGAAGTATAATCGAGATTGCCATTCTACCAGTCGCTCCGAATGAATGAGAGCAACGACATAGGGAGCCATCATACGATACGCATAGAGCTTTCATCTCATGAAGCATAGAAGTATGCTCTTCAGCTTATATATGTACATATTCAAGCAATCTAGCTTCTAGGCCATGACTTTCAACGCTTTCAAACGGCGATCATGCCGCAACTCCCTCCAGCGGCTTCGTCCTCCCCAACCCATCCCTTCCATAATAATCCATCGGGTAAATACCATCACCACCCTCCTCCTTACTCCATCCACCTCTCTTCTCCAGCGCTACAAGCGCCTCGTAAGGCGTCAGCAGCGGCCTCGGGAATGCATATCCCCAGTCAATGCTCAGACGCGGGCACGCAACCTGGACCCAGCACTCGACGTCGCTCATCATGGCAAGCTTGCCGGGAAAGATTTCGCTCAGCAGCAGATCGACCTTGGGTATGCCTCTCTCAGCCAGCTCGCGCTCAATCATAGCCAGCGTGTGCGGGTTGCCCTGACGGCCGAGAGATCCCAAGATGAGACCCCAACGCCGTGCCTTTCGAGCGGTCTGGATGGCGGAGCGACGCACCGACTGCATTTCATCGTGTCCGTACGTCTCCCGCGTCAGCTTGCGCGAGTACGGGTCGTAGCGGTAGGCCGGAATGGCCGGGTTGTGGATCATGATGCTCTCGAGGTGGAAGCGTCCGTCGCCAAGGTATAGAATCAGGTCGACGCCGTCTTCGTCCCGCAGCCGAGGCGACGTGCAGCCCAGAATCTCGCCCTTGCTGAGCGGTCCAATCTGCGGCACAACGACGCTGAAGCCTGCCGCCTCGAGGCTGCTCCGCACACCGTGGATGGTAGCGTTGAACTGAATGGTGCCGACAATGGCAATAGTCTTGCCACTGGCGAAGTTCCTCTCCAGCGAGGCTATCAAATGCGCTGTATCGATGCTGATGTCGACGAAGACGTACAAGGTCTTGATCTTGGTGACGTCTACCGGTATCAAGCAGCTATGCGCATAGTGCACCAGCAGGTCGCACCCCAGCGCCCGCGCCGTGTAGTCATCTATGCAGCAAGCACCATACGTCACGTCGCCCATGATGAGCGTTTCGACGCCCGGGCAGAACTGCGTGATGATGTCCGAAATGGTCGTCGCAAAGAGGAGGAGGCCCTCGGGCATCTGCAGCGCCACCTTGCGCGCGCCGGACTCGCGCACGCGGTGTATCGTCTTGGGGATCTCGAAGTTGTAGTTTGCTGGCAGGAGGGCAATGGCTTCCTTGAGGTTGGGGTCTTCTGATATCTCTGGCGGGACTCGGTTGAGCAGTCGTGGCGCTCGTCGGGGTTTGGCAGCTGTATTGCGATAAGAGGTTAGAATGAGAGCCAAAGAAGGTGACGAAGAAGGCGTTCAGCTTGTCGACATTAGGTAGACTGAATAGCGAAAAGTACCTTGAACAGCGCCGCTGCCTCCCTGCTCCGTCGTTGCCTTTGCCGCTGCCGCCTCATCTGCCGCTCTTCTTCCTACGAACCGTCGCTTCGGCTGTCTTGTTGTTGTGGTTGTCGCCGGCGTCTCATTCTTTGTAGTTTCTGATTCGGTTGTGTGAACTTCGAGTCGCGCTTCTTCGATATCCGCCGCCGCGCCGAGATCGACGAGCGCCCTGTCGTCTTCCATCTCTGATCAATCTCCGCTCTCTTCTTCCTCTCTTCCTCTTGCGATTATGATCTCTTCTTGCCCCACGCTGCCCCTCGTCTGCAGCCTCTTTCGATGTCGCTCGTTTGGGAGTCTGCAGACTAGGTAGGATAGATGCAAGCTGCGAGGTCGGTATCTATTTGTAAGCCTGGTTCAGGTGCTGCGGGAGCCAAAGATCGGGCAGTTGTTTGTTTTATGTCGAGGTTTCGGTAAGGTAAAGTCGACAAAAAAGGCCTTGGATTATTTTTACAACGGAGATGGACATTCAAGGTGGGGTGACGGACGGCAAGCTGCCCCACCACGAATGCCTTTCCACTTACACGCATTCATCAACAGGGAGACGTCAGATCCAGATCTTGATATGTACGCTCTTCATAAACGCCAGTACCAGCTTCCAGACTTCTCACAGAGCACATTAGAGGTATAGATTCAATACAGACGTCAAAGCGTATTATATCCGTCTCTCTCTTCATCCTCGTGACTTCCAAAGGTCTCTCTACGCACTCTTCTTGCCGTCAATGCTAAACCGATAACTCGCCTGGAGCACATACGGCTCGTCGCCCGGCCCATAGACCTGCTTCCGCCCCCATTCCGGGTTGTTGATGCCGTCGATCCAGTCCTCCACCTCCATCACCAGGCATCCGTACTGCGGGATCGTCCGCGGGAAGCGCTTGTTGCCGTGCAGGCCCTGCGTCTTCTTGAGCGCCAGGGTGCCGTTCTGCCCGTTGCAGCTGTACACCTGGAAGGCCGTCTGGTCCGAGTAGACGTCGAGGTGGATGCCCGACCAGGCCGACGAGAGGCTGGCGACGGGGCCCTCGGTGCGCCAGTCAAAGGGCTGCAGGGCGTCTCGGTTGACGATGTAGCAGGTGTCTAGTGTGTCTCGCTGTCAGCACAGGTATATGCTCGTTTCCCCCTTCTCTCCCTCTTATGGGACAGGGAGGCATCGGGTAATCTCACCAAAACCAGTGCAGTTGTTGCCGCAGTTGTTCTTGATCCCACTCTGCTCAAACCCCTTGCCAAGCTGCTTCGGCCTCGACCAAAAGTCATTCGCCGTCCCCTTCTTGTTCGCCAGGATATCCCCCGTGGGGATCAAGTACCCGTCGACGTCAACCCTCTGCCCGCTATACGGCAAATGCAGCGTGTGGTTCAGCGCAGTCTGCGTCTCATTGTTCGCAAAGCCATCCAGGTTCCAGTACGTGTGGCTGCTCAGCATAATGGGCGTCTTCTTCGTCGTCGCCAGCGCAACCATCTTCAAGTCCCACTGGTGCTCCTTGACAGTGTACGTAATGTGCGACACCACCTCGCCCGGGAAGCCCTCCTTGCCATCCGGATCGACGATGCTGAACGTGATGCTGGTGGGCGTGTGCGCCGTCACGGTAAAGTTGCGCCAGTCCCAGCCGTCGGGGCCCCCGTGCAGGGTGTCCGTCCCGTTGGGCTCGGCCTTTGTGGGATTCTCGTTGGGCAGCACGCGGTACGTCGTGCCGTCGATGCTGAACGTGCTGTTCTTGATGCGGTTCGCGTACCGGCCCGGCACGCCGCCAAAGTGCGGGTGCTGCGCGTCGATGCCGTAGTACGAGGCGTTGTCGAAGCCGCCGACAAGGTCGCGCCGGATGCCGTAGCGGTCGTCGATGAAGAGGTTCGAGATGGACGCCCCGTACGGAATGAAGGACGCCTCAATGCCCTTTGCCCGGATCCAGTACTTGCCGTCCTTGTCCGGGCCGCCTCCGCTCTTTGCGGCTGCTGCTGTGAGGGGGAGGCTCGCCGCCAGAGCAAAGACAGCCAGAGGGCTGCCCGTCAGCTTCATGATGGGCAATGGGTTCCCTGGATATCGATCAGAGAGCAATCGAGGCCGCAGAGTGTATTAGTAGCCCGCAGAATAGCAGTCAACCCTTCGGAAGAACAAAGACAAAAAGGGAGATGGGCAAGGCATCCCCAGAGCGGGAGAGCCATCCCTCCCTCCCCTTTAGTACTCCAGCATCGCCCTCGTTCTCATCCCAAGTGACACAACAGTCTCCCCGATGACCCAATGCTACGGCATGTCTATACCGCGCATCCATGCATCGCGCGCATCCTCGTCAGGGTAAGTCCATGCAGGCATCTCGTGTTTCTCGGCCTCACTCGTCCTTCCATCCACATGACGCAAAGAAGTAGTGTCCCGACCAACCTCTCGCCGTCCACAACAGGCAACCAACGATGATGATCACAGGGGGAGGGGGGGGCGCTGGAAGGTCGGAAGGGCACCAAAAGAGAGGGGTAATAATAAACAATAAGCAGAAATCGCTTTCCCCGGATCGTCTCTGCGTGTGTGTATGGGGGGAATTGGGGGAGGAGGAGCGGTTCGTTGACCAGGATGAGTTACGCGAAGAGAATAAACCCCGAGGGCGAAGGATCGTGTATGGCTGAGACGGGGTTGGACCGGTTACTTCTGGTGCGTGCATGATGTCACCTGGGGACGAAATCACCGAGCAAACCGCCAGAGTCAACAACTCAACTTCATCAATGGCATTCTATCCGCAAGATTCGAAGAGGCCAACACTGAAAGATCATGAAATATCATCATGAGACAATATACTGGGTATACAGTGAGAGTCAATGCAGTGTACAAGCGTCCATATCGCGACAAGCTCACCCCAATCTCTGGTAGGTAGATACATCAAATGCTACCTGCCGACACCATGTCACCGCCAGAACCCCAAGGTAACATCAACGCGGGGAAGCAGGAAGCACAGAGGAAAGGAATCGGAACCTTGATCAAACCCCATCCATTAACATCAATTACCATACACTGTAGTCACCAAGTACCCTGTGGTCTATGCGATGGGCTCGTCAAAAGTGCCTTCGCCTCCATTCCAAACATCCTGGGCCAAGTCAAGAGTCGGGTAAACCAACAAGACAACTGTCTCCATTCCCAGGCTCCTTTATAACACTCCTTACCATGCGCTCCAATGATGTGTCAAACAAAGTGGTACACACTATTTCTTGCCCAAGGGATCAACCACATCACGCTACTAGATGACGAGGTCAAGTACCCTAGAGCCTACAACATGGAACCTGCATCTCCCACATCCGCTCTGCTACCCATACTAACCCCCTTGATGTAGCATCAATCACATGGCTTGTCCCATCCGAGTCCTTGAGAAAATCACCTTGGCACTTAACCCGCTGCTTGTATTTACGCTACAACCATCTGCATTATCGTGTCAGATTGCTTTCCTTCCAGCGCAGTAGGAAAATATTAGATGAAGAACAGAAAAAACGATAACAATGGTTCCGCACCCCGTGTTAATGCACCTCACATTCTACCACAGGTAAGAAATAGCACACCTCCAGACTAGTTTATGCTTGACTCTTCACAACAAGAAAAACAAACGATATCACCGAGGGACTTTAAGCGTCGATCAGATTCTCCTCAGCCTGCTGCCTGTCGTTGGAGGCAACCTCGGCTCGCGCCTTGCCCTTTGCCTTGGCATCCTTCTGGGATCGCTGGTAGAACTCGTTGAGGATCTTGGCCGGGATACGGTTGAGCAGGTCCTTGGGGTAGATGCGGAGCAGGCTCCACGCCAGATCCAGAGACTCGTAGATCGATCGAGACTCGTACGCGCCCTGGCTGATGAATTGGCGCTCAAACTTGTCCAAGAACTCGAGCGACAGCTTGTCTTCGGATGACAGGGCCTCCTCACCGACGACCGCCTTCATGGCAGCGGCATCACGGCCAATGGCGTACTTGGCGTACAGCTGGTTGGACACATCGCCGTGGTCCTTGCGCGTCATGCCCTCACCAATGGCAGACTTCATCAAACGCGACAGCGAGGGCAGCACGTTGATCGGAGGGTAGATACCACGGTTGTACAGAGGTCGGTCGACAAAGATCTGTCCCTCGGTAATGTATCCAGTCAGGTCGGGAATGGGGTGGGTGATGTCGTCGTTGGGCATGGTCAAGATGGGAATCTGGGTGATGGAGCCGTTTCGTCCCGTCACACGACCAGCTCGCTCGTAGATGGTCGACAAATCGGTATACATGTAACCGGGGAAACCACGACGACCGGGCACTTCTTCTCGAGCGGCGGAAACCTCACGAAGGGCATCGCAGTAGGCCGACAAATCCGTCAAGATGACTAGGACGTGCTTCTCGAGCTGGTAGGCATAGTATTCGGCGGTGGTAAGGGCGAGACGAGGAGTAATGATACGCTCGATGCTGTTGGCAGGGTCAGCAATCAGTCTGGTCATGACATTGGCTAACACGTGGCATCTCTTACGTAGGATCGTTGGCAAGGTTGAGGAACAGCGTGGTACGCTCCAAGCTGCCGTTCTCCTCGAAATCGCGGGTGAAGAACCGAGCAGTCTCCAAGTTGACACCCATGGCACCAAACACGATGGAGAAGTTCTCCTCGTGGCCGTCGTGGACGCCCTTGTTGGTAACTCCGTGCTGCTTGACCAAACCAGCCTGTCGGCAAATCTGAGCGGCGATTTCGTTGTGCGGCAGACCGGAGGCGGAGAAGATGGGAATCTTTTGTCCTCGAGCGATCGAGTTCATGGTGTCGATGGCCGAGATACCGGTCGCAATCATTTCCTCGGGGTATTCCTAAGGCGTGTAAGCAATGCGACCGCATGCCACGAGAGGATTATCTGCATGATGCTACTAACTCGGGAGAAGGGGTTGATGGGACTGCCGTTGATGTCGAGGTACTCTTCCGGCAGCACCTTGGGGCCCTTGTCGATGGCGCGTCCAGATCCATCAAAGATACGGCCCAGCATGTCCTCCGAGACACCGAGCTTGAGGTTCTGGCCGGTGAACTTGACACGGGTCTAGATGTGCATGCCTTGTTTAGCCAACAGCCCTCCAGCGACTGGTCACTGGGCCGACGTACCTTCTTCACATCGATACCGGGAGTACCCTCAAAGACCTGGACGACAGCTCGGTCACCTGTTTTCCCCTCTCATGGTCAGAACTCGCATTCCACAAAGGCATTGGCCGTGCCATGCCCAAGTATAAGTGTATCGTTGCAAAAGAGTATTCACCCACCTCGAGCTTCCAGAACCTGTCCATTTCTCTCCGTACCGTCGGGCAGCGTAAGCGTGACGATCTCATTGTATCGCGGGAATTTGACCTGTGCCGCAATCCATCGTCAGCATCGTATAAGAACCCAAGCCTCGTCCTTTTGCCTGCCGCAGCACAGGTAATGAAAGAGTCAGGCAATGAGAAAGAAGATGGAGATGCCATACGTTCTCGACAATGACCAGCGGACCATTGACACCGCTCACGGTGTTATACTGCAGTTGCGGCACAACCGAGTAGGATGACGAATTGCGTGGGTCCGCCATTGCTGCGAATGTCTATGATGCGTCTTCTGCGAGTCGTCGTCTGCGTAGTAGCTGAAAGCTTCTCCTGTGAAGCTGTATCTGCCTGAATCGAGGTTCGGCCTGGTTGTTATTCGGTCGCGGCGCAGCAGTCTAGTAGCCACGAAGTCAAGGTTGAAGGGGAGGGGGTTATAGAAGCGGTCGTCGAGGGCTGACGGATTGTGGCGAGCAAAAGGCGTGAAATGAGAGGAGCAGAGAATGGGTAGTCGGATAGAAGTAAGGAAGCCGCACCACGCCCGGGAAATGAGGTGCCTCGCAGGAAAGAGCTGGAGCTGGCTGGTTGGAGGTTTGAAGGTCGGAGAGGCGAGTCGATGAGCGACGAGCGAGCGAGCGAGCGAGAGAGAAGGCTGGCTGGAAGCGAAACAGCTCAGCGCAAGAGTGGAGACGAGAGGCGACCCAGAGCCCGTTCAGTGCTCTTTGGGCAGTTTGTTATAGCGGGCTGTTAGCGGTTGGGGGGGCTGCTGGAGGCCACTCCTGGTGGGTTCCTAGTGCTGCTGGTTGTCGCTGCGCAGAAAAATAGACCCCACGCCGAGGGCCATTTTGGGCTGGCTGGGGGCCTGGAGTCAAGATTTGGACAGCGAGAGACGATGCAAGAGGTGCTTGGCGGTCGTGACATCACATGACTGCTAGCGGCAGGTGCTCTCTTAATCTACTAGGTACCTAGGTATTGACATTCCTGGCACTTTCCAACTCGAAGCTAGGTACCCCTCCAACCCTCCAACCGGCGGCAGCAGCTACAGTATTACAGTACTTGTACATTATTACGGGGGAAGCTCGGCAAACCGTAGAATTGGAGAGCTTGAGTGGCTACTGGTATCCCGCATCCAAGCAACATGAAAGCAACATCACCATCACTTGCTGCTGCTAGGCATGGCTACCTGATCAATAAATATCTTCTATATACTCACTCTCCGCCATACTTTTGGTTCTTTAGTCTTATAACGAGCTTCTGTCCATGCCTAGGTAGGTAGTAGATTGAGTAGTCGCGGTGCTGGATACACTTGCGACAACTCAAGGTTCAAGGCAATTACACTGATGTTCAGCTACAGTGGACGGTCCGCGATGGGACTTCTTCGGCCTCAATGACATCAATGTATAGCACGAATTATCGCTCGACTCTCTTGGAATGACTCAAATGGCTCAAAATGCCTGTTGTAAGATGTAGTTCTTTATTTACTCATACAAGCCAACAACACTCTCATAACACATCCGAGCACCCTCATCCCCCCCTCCTCCTCCTCACCACCACCATCACACATCTACGCCTGTCCCCCCGTAGCAGCAGCAGCAGCCTCAGCGCTCTTCCTCGCCCTCGCCCCCAGCACCGCCTTTCCCACCGAGCTGTCGTTGGCCTTGCCCAGCTCCTGCGTGATCCAGGCCCCAATGTCCGCGACGCCATCCAGGTCGACCCCCGTCTCCATCCCCAGCGTCTCCATAAAGTACACCATGTTCTCCGTCGCCACGTTGCCCGTCGCCCCGGGGCTGTACGGGCACCCGCCCAGCCCGCCGACGCTGCTGTCAAAGATGCGGATCCCGTGCTCCAGCGACACCGCCGTGTTGACCAGCGCCTGCCCGTACGTGTCGTGGAAGTGCATCGCAATGTCCTCGTTGCGGATCCCCGCCGCGCTCATGCACCGCAGCAGCGCGCTCGTCCGCGGCGCCGTACCCATGCCCGTCGTGTCCCCGAGCGAGATCTCGTCCGCCCCGGACTCGAGCAGGTCCGTCGCGATCTCGGCCACCTTGTGCGGGTCCACGTCGAAGCCTTCAAACGGGCACCCCAGCACCACCGACACGTATGCCCGCACGCGCAGGCCCAGCGCCTTGGACTCCTGGATCACGGCCCTGAAGCGCTCCAGCGACGTCTTGATGTCGCAGTTGAGGTTCTTCTGCGAGAAGCTCTCCGTCGCCGCCGCGAACACGGCCACCTCGATCCCGGGCTTCTTGACGTCGGGCTCCAGCTGCGTGGAGAATCGCCCGGGGTTCTGCTTCAGCAGCGCGGCTGCGTTCTGCAGGCCCTTTGTATTCGGTGCGAGGAACGAGTAGGTGACGGGGACGGGCGCCTCAACGGGCTGCTGGAGGATGTGCTCCATGATTTCGCTCGAATTGGCCATCTGCATCAATCACAAGTCAGCCATGTTTCCCTCTCCTTTCGTCTTCCTGTAGCTCCGTAGCTTGAGCAAGTCTCTCTCTCTCTCCCTTACCTGAGGCACCCATTTCGGCGCAACAAAAGACCCAGCCTCAATCGTCGTCAGCCCCGTCCTGGCCAGCCGCTCAATCAGCTCAATCTTGGTCGCCAGCGGAATCGCCTTCTTCTCGTTCTGCAGCCCGTCCCGCGGCCCGACCTCGACAATCTTGACCCTGTTGTCGGATGACGTCTGCGCGCGGCCGGCCGTTGCGAAGCCTCGGCGCACCAGCAGCAGCGGCGACGACCGCCTGCACGCGCGACAGAGGGACGAGCGGAGCAGAGACATGGCGGCGGCTGTCAATGAGCGTGAATCAATCTTTCGAACTGAGTGCAATGGGCTGGCAGAAGTAAGAGGTTGGCGAGGAAGGTATGTAAGCCGTCAGTTGTTCCAGCACAATTGGCTAAGCATGTGTCTAGAATGCAATGGAATGGATGGATAGATTGGTAGGTTCATGGGCAAGTTTGTCGGGTCGGGTGCCTTTTGCCCAGCTGGTTCCCCCAGACTTGCAGTGGGCGGTCACTTTGGCGCATAGTATCGGCCCGTGGCACCACGTCTGACGGCTATTGCAAGCCACGCCCGTCCGTTTAACCCGGGGCTGACCTCCGCATTCCTCGGCCTTAAAAAAGGGGAGCTTCGACTTGTCACCATCGTCGGGCCGCCAACTACCGCACCAGGGTTCGATTATACATATTAGCTCTAAGCGTAGAATCGAGGATATCATGGATGAGAGTTGCTGAAAATTTTGCAATAGTAGCCGCTGTACTCTAGATGAACACTGGGCAACTCTCATCTGATGACCCCTTTGTTATTACTTCCTCTCCAGTTGGGCATCATGAGCACTTTGCAACCAAAGCTGAATTATTGCCAATGACGGTCACCCACTCGTATGCGTCTCGTACTGGGCAAATTACCGGTAGTTTGGTAAGGTACCTAGGTAGTATCTCTTGTACACAATTGCTCAAATCAAACTTATAACAGCGTCTGTTGGCTTCTTCCCATTTACAGATTGGCTTTTAACATTAAAAAACTGAGGCTCGCGACCTAATAAAGAAAATACACCCCCGCCCAAGCGGACACGGGGGTGGGATTAGGTGGTACCGGTTTTCACAGTCCATACCCTCGATATCCATGACTCCAACAGCAAAAGAAACAGCTTAGTACTCAGCCTCCATCTCCTCGTTGTCGAGAGAGTCGGCGGCAACCTCCTCGTAATCGCGCTCCAGGGCAGCGAGATCCTCACGGGCCTCGGAGAATTCACCCTCCTCCATACCCTCACCGACGTACCAGTGGACGAAGGCACGCTTGGAGTGCATGAGGTCGAACTTGAGGGAGAGGGAGGACCAGGCCTCGGCGATGGCGGTGGTGTTGGACAGCATGCAGCTGCGTCATGTTAGCTTTTGCTTCTAGAGGTTACAATTCACAGAGAATAGTATCCGGCATAAACTTACACAGCGCGGTTGACCTTGGCGAGGTCGCCGTTGGGCACGTTCTCGGGAGCCTGGTAGCAGATACCCAGCTTGAAACCGGTAGGGCACCAGTCGACGAACTGGATGGTGCGCTTGGTCTTGAGGGTGGCGACGGCGTTGTGGGCGTCGTTGGGGACGACGTCACCGCGGTACAGCAGGCAGGTGGCCATGTACTTGCCGTTGCGGGGGTCACACTTGACCATCTGGTTGTTGGGCTCGAAGCAGGACATGGTCATCTCCTGGACGGAGTTGGCCTCGTGGGCAGCCTTGGCGGCCGAGATGACGGGGGCGTAGGCGACCAGAGGGAAGTGGATACGAGGGTAGGGCACCAGGTTGGTCTGGAATTCGTTCAGATCAACGTTGAGGGAGCCATCGAAACGCAGGGAAGCGGTGATGGAAGAAACGACTGCGGAGGCGTCTGGTCAGCACATTGCACGTCACAGCCCTGCTGTACATGTCCCAGGAAAGCTAGGTACTTACCCTGAGCAATCAGGCGGTTGAGGTTCTCGTAGTTGGGGCGCTCGAGGCCGAGGTTGCGACGGCAGATGTCGTAGATGGCCTCGTTGTCGACCATGAAGGAGCAGTCGGAGTGCTCCAGGGTGGTGTGGGTGGTGAGGATGGAGTTGTAGGGCTCAACGACGGAGGTGGCGGTCTGAGGAGCAGGGTAGACGCAGAACTCGAGCTTGCTCTTCTTGCCGTAGTCGACAGACAGGCGCTCCATCAGGAGGGCTCCGAAACCAGAACCGGTACCACCACCGAAGGAGTGGAAGACGAGGAAGCCCTGGAGACCGACGCAGTTGTCGGCGACACGGCGGATCTTGTCGAGCACGCCCTCAATCAGCTCCTTGCCGACGGTGTAGTGGCCACGAGCGTAGTTGTTGGAGGCATCCTCCTTGCCGGTGATCATCATCTCCGGGTGGAAAAGGTTGCGGTAAGGACCGGTTCGGACCTCGTCGACGACATTGGGCTCCAAGTCGCAGTAGATGGCGCGGGGGACATACTTGCCCTGGCCTATTTGGTGTGCAGATGGTTAGAGGCGACGCCTTCTTCACACGGTGGTCGACGGGAAACACGACAAGACGCAACGTACCAGTCTCGGAGAAGAAGGTGCTGAAACCCTGGTCGGGGTCCTGAGCCTTGCGCTCCTCAGTGAGGTAACCATCGGGCTGTGAGAAGAAAAGTAAAAAAAGACGATTGTTAGCTTCGCGTTTGGTGGCGTGTGGGATCGATAAACAATGGCTCAAGCCACAATGTGTTCGGGACGTGGTGGTGGTGGTTGTGTACCTGGATACCGTGCTCAAGGCAGTAGAGCTAGAGGTGGGATACGTTAGCTCGGATGGTCACAAAACAGCAGAAAAACAAAAGGCATCGCGAATGGCAGGACGTGGAACTCACCTCCCAGCAGGAGTTGGCAATCTGGCAACCAGCCTGGCCGACTATCCTCCAAAAGTTAGCATCGTCAACTCGTCGGCTTGGGCGCCCGCGATGCGGTGAAGGGAACGCGTTTGGTGGGGAGATGAGAGAGGGGGGCCTAAAGGGGCTTCCTCTGGTCGGGGAGTTGGAGTCGAGTCGAGTCGAGTCGAGCTAGCACGCACCGTTGATGCTGATAACCTCACGCATTGTGGACGATTTTGGAGTGTTTGATCTGAGGATGGGAGAAGAAGAGTAGGAGGAGTTGACTGCAGGACTGAGCTCGAGGAGCAGGAAAGTCAAGTGCAAGATTGAGCCCGGGGGAAAAGAAGGAAAAAGGCTTTTATTGGGAAAAGGTGGTGGAAGGGACAGGAGGACGGCCAAGTTGCAGCTGGTTCGTCGGGAGAGGGTCGACGAGAGGTGGGGGGGAAATTTGGACGGACAGGGGCTGGGCGAGGAAGAAGAAGCAGAAGAGGGGAGGTTTGTTGACTTTTCTGCCTGGGGGGGTCCAGGCGTGTGTGTGTGGCTGCAAGTGGTAAGCGCGTTCTGTCTGTCTGTGCCGGGAGCGCGCCCCTGGTTGCCTCACCGCTTTAGCAGGACGGCGGCCAGCAGAATGATTTAGTATTGCCGAGATGAAGAGATGCTGGACAATTGATCCGGGGGGGGCAGAATTATGAGGAAATATTGCCGTTGATTCACTGCCATTTCACTGTTACTACTACTAGTAGGTATTACGGTAATACAAGCTCTGCACATGCAAATACTATTGCCGTCTTGTTGACCTGCTTGCCGTGCTGTTGTTGGCGTTGTTTTCTTGGTGCTGTCAACCGTGTCGTGTCAAATGGAGCTTTGCCAGTTGCTGCTGCTCGTACCGGTACCGGCCGCTACTTTGGCACCCTGGGGGGATGCGCTGCAGTCGACCTTGCAGTTAGTGGAAGCAGCCATGGCAAAGTACGAGTAACCGCTACTACGAAGGTACCTGCATCCAGGGGCTTGATGAAGGAAGGTACCTGATTGTACCCTGGCTGATGCTTGGGGCAGCTGTACCTGTACACCCAAGTTGCGAATACCTTCGCGTTCTTTTCAACTTCGGAGAACAGACGACATGACTTGCCCATCTGCCACAGCAAGACCCCAAGCAATTGCCACCACCGCCTTCTTCTGCTTCTGCGTCTCCAAGTCCCTCGCTCCGTCTGTCCCTGAACCCGCGTCCATTCGCCTTCGACCAGCAAAACAAGCGCCACCGTGGCCAGGTGGCCACCAGCTCCCGGGCGTACTCTCGCGTACCTGTACCGGCGAACACTCTCCACCCCCCTTCAAGAGCTGTCCCGAACAGGGACCGCGCTGAGCACTTGGCACCGCTGTCGCCTCATAATTACCAAGCAAAATGACGGCCATGCATCTCTCCTCAGACCACGGCAAGAGGCAAAAGCAAAAAAAAAAAAAAAAAGAAGAATAACAACGAGCTGGAAATATCAAACAAAACGTAGACGGTCAGACATTGCTATCTCGGCTCGGATAAGAATTCAAAGAGACACGCAGGTTGACGTTTGAGGGCATCCTCCTGTCGGGTGATCACTCCATCTTATATCTGGACTCTGTCTCTCCTTTTTTTTTTAGAAGCCAGCACCAAGTTTCCAGTCTTGCACCGCACACATTCCCAAAGCCATATTATCAAAACCATTATCACAAGCATGCTCAAGCGAACTCATCATGGACGGTGATAACATGTACTTCAACACATGTGTCAATCCGGTGATGCCACCTCCCGCCCGCTTCCCCGACCGCCGGTTCTCCCCCCCCCCTAGCCGCGCCCCCCCCTTTCTCACTTCGTACCTGTGCCCATTCCCTCCCCATGCGCACGGTTTAGGCCAAATCAAGACCCTCACCACGACAGGGTCCATCCTCTCCCGGAAAAGCAATGGTTCGCTCATCAGGCTTGCCAGCAAAGCTCTATGTATCACCTCTCCCCACCCATGACAATGTGGTCAAGTGCCTTTTTTTTTTCTCACGCGAGAAGGAACGGACGGACAGGGCCGGAGCTCCATAATGTCATTGCAATTGCTAGCCTCCTGACGTCCCGGCGATCGCGGTTTTACGATGGCACAGTATTCATACCTATTACTCCGGACATTGATTCTATGCGTGCATATACATATTACGTACCTAGGGATAATCAAGATACCCAGCACCTGGGCTTTACAAGTTATTGGACTTCGTACCCGTATCCGCCATCGGTGTACGCAGACGGGGAGCCACATGGGCTAGAGATGCCCCAAGGTCCAAGGATGGCGTTGGCGGACTTCTAGAAGCACTCTGGAAAAAACCAGTATCCGACGATCAAGACGGGACAAGATCGTGGAGAAGACTCATTCAACATGCACCCCGTATTGTTGATCGGGTAGCCAGGCCGAATGCTCCCATATTTGTGGTGGGTGATGGTGTCAGTAACGGCTCGTAGAAAAAGGAGGCGGCAGAGATTATTACTACTACGACACCTAAGCATGATTCGGCACAGTGATAGTTTACAAACAGCTGCGAAGCTGTATGAGCAGTCAAAGCTCCCTTAAGAGGCGCGTCACAATATCAACTATGTACAGGGTGACAGCCTTTCGCAATTAATCGTTGTTGGAATCGTGATGAAAGCCCGAACTTCAAGAGGATGTTCTTCTCGAGTTCGGGTACGTACCGCCTCCAAAAGTTGCAGCCAGCCAATCACAAGCGCCCAAAGCCGCCATTGTCCACATCTCAATCACCTCCTTCATGTGCAAGACAAGCCTCGCAGCATCAATCATGACAACTCCATCTTCAGTCTTGCCCTTCATCTCAATCGCGTTGAAGCTGCAACATTAACAACAAGAATCACCACTCAAGAGCTACGCAGAAACAATCATTGGCAAAAGCCCCGTCACCTTTCGAGTTGAATCACCACAGCCTCAGACCAAAACACCTTTACCAGATCAAACCCACAATCACAACCATGACAACACACAAACCTCACCTCTCCCTCTCCCTCTCTCTCCTCCTCTCATTCCTCACAATAATCCCCCCCATCACAGCCAACACCGAAAAAGTAATCTTCACAGCCCCCCCTCCCATCTCCCTCGAGACCCTCACATCCTCCTCATCAGCAGCAGCAGCAGCCTTCAACCACAACAGCCTCCCCGTTCTCGGCCCGTCGACCAGCTTCTCCATACGCACAAACCTCACCCGCGTCTTTCCCCACAACACCAGCGACAACGAGCAACAAGACGAGCAGCAGCGGGGATACCCGTCATGGCTGGTGCTGGAGGACCTCACTCCTGGGCAACGATATGAACTCCGCGTTTGTTGGTCTGCACTTGTAGGTTCAATCTCTCTTTATTCACCACCCCCAAAAAAAAACGAACCCTTACATCCCCATCCGATTCAAGTATTCTTCTTGTCAGCATACTCATCGGGGCTTACATGACCGAAATCAAAAAAACTTACAATGTCTCAGGAACCAACCGAATTCTCTCTAGACATATACCCCCTCAACACCATCCTCTCAACCCCCCACCTCCTCCAATCCCTCTCCCAACACACCACATCACTCTCACTCTCACCCTCACTCTCAACCCCAAAGCAACAACAACAACAACCTCAACAACACCAAGATTCTCAAAAACCTCCACCAAACGAAACCTCCATCCTCCTCCTGCGCGTCCTCGCCGCCGCAGACTACTTCTCCCACCACCAGTCCCTCATGAAGGATCCCCCTCCCCCAGTCCTCGTCGACCTCATCCTGGACCCGTACATCTACAACGTGCTCCCCCAGTCTCTCGTCCCAACGGTATGCTACCTTGTTGTGGTTGGCATCGCGTCGTGGTTTGTAGCCAGATGGGCGGCAAAGGCGTTGACTGCAATTGCGGGTTCTGATGACAAGGACAAGAAGCAAAACTAGATGCGACGAAAGCATAAAAGGCACACTATAGACGAAGAGATGAAAATCATTAAATCTACTACTTCTGAAGACAACTTCTGCATACAAGGTAGCTAGATGTATCTCATGCTCGTACCTCTCCACACACGATCTTCATATCGACTCACGTCACATCGTGCGCATCCCCTTGTTGTAGCCTACATACGAAATGCAAGATGAATAAACCCAAATGTAACCACCCTATCTACACAAATGCATCATGATTCTACCTCTCGACATGCCATACGACGTGTTTCTTTTTAATTTTCATAAGGAATCCATCGCCTCCCTAATATCACCGCATTATTCGTACGTGAATTATAGACGCATCTCTCTCCTTTGCCAGCAATACGATGCGAGTCATCGCAAAGTATTCGTCGCCTCTTGGAACCTGTCGTCAGTGCGGAAACAGAGACGAATTCTATGCATTCTTTTCTCCTGAAACCGAGTACGAGGAGTACTGAAGAGGGCTCTTCTAGTAGCCGCTACCATATCCTCCGTGGCTGGGATGGCTGCCATGAGGTACAGGAGGAGCTCCCGGCTGGTATGGTTGCTGCCCGTAAGGCTGCTGCCCCCCTGGAGCACCATACGACTGGTTGTAACCGCCGCCTTGTCCGCCAGGCGGAGGGTATTGTCCGGGCGGCGGGGGGTATTGTTGCTGATGCCCAGGAGGAGGGGGGTACTGGGGATGGCCGCCCGGCGTCGTCGCACCGTAGTTGGGTTGCTGGTGCTGTCCTCCAGGCGGAGCGCCATAGCCCGGCTGATGCTGCCCTGCCGGCGCGCCATATCCCTGCTGATGGCCGCTCGGCGAGGGAGCTCCGTAGCCTTGCTGGTGGGACGGAGTGCCGTAGCTCGGCTGCTGCGGCGTGTAGCCACCAGCCCCGTGTTGTGTCGCGTGCTGGTCGTGCGATCCGCCGTATGGGCTGGCAGCCGGACTATGCGAGTAGGATTGGCTGCCGTATGTCTGGTGTCCATATGTCTGGCCACCGGGGGGTCCACCTGGAGGAGGCGGAGGGTAGGAGTTGTTATGGCCAGACGGAGGGTTCTGGTGCGCGCCAGCATGTGATGACGGCGTCGCTGAGTGACTCGAGCCGTGGGTAGACCCCGGAGGGTTGTAGGTCGGCGCTTGCCCCGAGTAGGTGTTACCGCTCGATCCCGTATTCGAGTAGCCAAAGCTCTGGCCCTGCTGCTCAATCAGGTCATTTGTTGTTAGCTTTTTGATTCGACTGGCCCAAGGCGCTTTGGGGGGGAGAGATGTTCATGGGTTGCTTACACCGTGACCGGGCTTGTCCCCTCCCATGAAGTGAGAGGCCACACCACCCACAAGGCCGCCCAGACCGCCCTGCTGATGCGGCGTGCCGCCGGACGAACTGCCGTGGTAGCCCTGCTGCGAATGCGACTGCTGCGAGGGCTTGCCCGAAGGCGAGAACAGGCCCGACGCCAGCTGTCCGACCAGCTTGCCGGCGATAGAATCCTTGCCGCCACCGCTGCTGCCGTGGCCGCCGCTGCTTCCGTGCGAACCGCCTCCGAGGAACGAAGCAGCGAGGCCGCCGAGGGGATTGCCGCCGCTGCCACCGTGACCGCCGCTGCCGTGGCCGCCGGAACCCTTGCCGCCCATGAGCATGTTCATCGCCATTGACTAGAGGTACAAAGATCACCGGGCGTCAGCACGTATGGATTAGATACAATCGCGAGAGATGTCGGAAAAGCCTCTGCTTACCCCGAGTCCTCGATCGCCCGTCGGGCCATCAGGGCCCCTGCCGTCGGGCATGATGGGCTCCATCCTCCCGTCCGCGTGCTTTATCGTCTGCGAGCCGTCCGGGTGTGTGATGACCTGAGGCGCTGGCGAGCCGTAGGGATGCTCGCTGCCCGGGACCGGCGTGCCCGTCTGCACGGGATCCGTGGGCACATCCCACTGCGAGACGCCCGTGGCGAGCTGGACGTAGTAGTACTTCCTGCTGGATCCGTCCCACTGGGCGATCCAGCCAGCGGGCAGGCTGGGAGGCGCAAAGGTAGGGCCCTCGGCGCCGGGGGTTGACGAGCCCGCCATGTCTGTTTCTCGATCGATGGGCGACGCTTTCTTCCTTGTGTGGCCCTTGGTTTATCTCGCGAACACGTGGGCCGTTCGAATGGGGAGACCGTGCGGTCTGGAGGAGCCGTTCGCGGGGGAGGGGAAGACGGGGAGACGATCGGTGCTGGGCTTGCTGGAAGCAAGGGCCCCCCGTGAGAAGACGAAGTAGCGAAAAAGAAACAGGAGGCAGAAGCAGAAGAAGTGACTCGTGAGGAGAGTGAAAAGAAAGAGAAGAGAAAAGAAGGGGGCGGAGGCAAAAAAGAGAGGAGGAGGAGGAGGAGGAAGAGGAGGGGAGAAGGAGGGAGGGAGGGAGGGAAAAAGGACGGCCGGTTTGCGATTGTCACCCAGTTAGTTGGCTGTCAGTGCTAACGTCTCTGGTCGGTCAAGGTGGTGCTACTCAAGGTACTTGGACAGCCTACCCACTGGCAGGGCAAGGCGAGGTACCTCCTACACTCTTGTCTGGATGGACCTTGATCTGGACCAGGTTTGCAACTGGAAGTTGGCAGTGCCCAAGCCGGCAAAGATTACTCACCTACCTTACTACTACCTTCTTACTGCCTTACCTGACTGCTACCAGGTGGGTTGAGTATAATTACGAGCACAAAACTTGGAAGATGGTGAGCAGATGGACTGTGTGGGGTTGACGAAAGCTGGTTTGAGGGTCAATATTGATTCTCTCGTTATTGCTCCATTGTTCGACTCTTCTGTTCCCGCTCACTGCTCCGGCACCTGCCACCAAGTCCTTGCCTCCTCTTTTCAGTGTCAGGGAGATGGAAAGCAGAGGCTAGTAGGTAGTCGTGAGATGGAGTCTGACACGGCGCATGCATTCTCACTCACGTTGAGTGGTATGTACACAGGGCCGCAGGTGTAGTCTTTTCGTGACATTCAGCCAACACCAGAGTAGCATCAGCGGTCCTTTGATGCTGACAGCGAGGGCAAACAACACAATAAGGGACTTGTCCACTTCTCACAATCACAGGCAAAGCATCATCTTGTGTCTGAAGGTCACGCAATAATACCTTGTCCGGAGCAAAAGCAAGCTGATACCTTACCTAGCGTCCGGTTGGGTACCGGCAACTGCGATACCACCCAGCCATAAAGGTGCCTCTGCTTTCTCTCCCGGTACTCTGTACCCTCTGCTCCAGCCATCACGCGCCTTCGTGCCCAAGTACCCGAAACCCGCATCGCTACCTAAACTACTGCTCCCAACTCTCTCCCAGCCTGAACATCAACCAGGGCGGGAACAAACAATCAGAGAGAAAAGAAAAAAAAAAAAAAAGGTGTCTTCAACCCATCCGTCATCGTCATCCCTGCATCTTCATCATCAAATATCGAGTCACAAACCGACCCCGAAAGTGGCGCAGCTGGACCCTGATTTTGGCGTCTCTCTCTCTTCTGCATCGTTGCCCTCTCCCTCCCTCTCTTCTTCTCCAGTTTAACCCAATCTGATCCATTGCGTGGCTGGAAATGCCTCCGTTTGCGGCTCACGTGCTTCGGCGATTCCTTTAGCACGCCTTTCAACGTTCCTCGCTGTCGCTTTTTCTTGGGCGGCCTCCGTGGGTTGAGGAGAGAGGTTTTCATCAGCATCTGTGGCTATGCCGTCTTTCGCGGGCTGCCTCTCGGTCGCTTTCTGTGATGTTCTCTGGTTCTCGTGTTTCTTCATCGTGACGCTTCCGCCCCCCAGCTGACCAGGTAGCATATGCATTTTCCAGATTAGGGCCATATTGAAGGCATTCATTCACATCTACAGCCATGCCGGGGCATTTACAATCACATCACAGTATTCACAAGCAAGACGCAGCTGGTTTTCATATCCGTACGAGTTTTTATTCCATTTCCTTTCCTCAAACCTCCATATCTAGTAGGTATCTCATATATGCACATCTCAATCCCAGTGTTCACCGCGTTTGTTCAAGAGCCATCCCTTTGGACTCCATGCAAGAAAGAAAAACAAAGAATAGCAAAGTATGCCTGGGTGCCTTGACTTGGCCCGCCGACAACCAGCTGTGAAGAAGAAGAAAACCGAGTGGTTTTGAACCAAAATGCCTTGAGCAAAAAGGTACAAGAAGTGAATCAAGTGAAGACACAGTATGCCCCTGCTACCAAACGAAAAAGTGTTGATGACAGCTCTGGTGACATTGGTCAGTTTTCCTCCATCTAGGCGGTGTCAGGCTCTCCGCGGAATCGCTTGGGAACGAATCGTCCCCGTCGGACAAAGCTCCTCTTGTTGACCATGGTCAGGGAGTCGCTCGTTCCAGGCTGGCAGGAAGTTCCCTGAGCCACGGGGATGGCGGCAGACCACGCTCCAGAGGCACATCGCTGGAACGACTTGCCGTCGGACGCGCAGCTCCACTGGCCCTCCTCAGTGCAGGGCGATCCTGCAGCGCCTGAAGTGGGAGCAGAGCCGTTGGTTGGCGGGCTGCCGGTGGTCGGCTGAGGAGCCGTCGTAGGGGCAGCCGGAGCCGGAGCCGAGGTCGGGGCCTCGGGGGCAGGCGAAGGCTGTTGCTCGGCCTGGCTCGAAGTGGCGGCCGGAGCCGGGCTGCTGGCCGTGACGCTGATGAGAGTCGTCGGCTGCTGTCCCACGGGATGGGTGATGAAGACGCCGCCAGGGACAGTGGGAGCCGCAGTAGCCGCAGGCTGAGTAGCTTGAGGCTGGCTGACTGGAGCCTGGGAGGCCGGACTGTGTTTCATCCTGTTAGCACCGAAAAAGCCAGGCAACAAACAAACGAAAAAAGTCACACGTTCAGAACGAATTGGGGGGAGAGTTCTTTGACTTACGGAGCAGCAGCTGAGGAGGCAGCGGAAGATCCAGCAGGAGGAGCAGCACCTCCAGCAGGGGGAGCTCCAGAGCATGTGCCCTGTCCAGGAGGGGCGGTGCCCTGGCTCTTGTTGTCGACGTCGGAGCCGGGGTTGGGGAAGAGGACGTCCTTGCCCTCGTAGGTGCAGACGCCGTTGCCGACGTTGGCAACGAACATGTCAGGGCGGTCAGCCAGAGCCGAGGCGGCGCGCTTCTTGCTGCTGCCGCCGATGGTGACGGCGGCGCAATTCATATACATTTCGCGGTTGCCAATCTGGTTGAACCAGGTCCAGGCGAAGAGGGCGTCGCCGGCGGGAGCGTCGGTGGGCACGGTGAAGTTCCAGTTGGAGTCCTGCTGGGGTGGGCAGCCGCCAATGTACGAGTGGATGACCTTCCAGGTCTTGCCCTGGTCGTAGGAGAGCGACGCCTGGCAGCTACCGCCGCCGTGGTTGGCAGAGCCGGTGATGGTGAAGCCGTACGAGCCACCGGGGGCCCAGGTTGCGACGGACTTGCCCGCGGGGGTGCCGAGGAGCTTCTGGTAGCCCTTGCAGGGGTAGTCGGCTCCCGAGGCCTGGAGGGGCGCCGTCATGGAGTAGTCAATGTCCTGGCCGGCGTTGGGGTTGTACTTTGAGCGGAAGGGAGGGGGGTCCTTCATCTCCATGTGGCCGTGGACGGCGGTGGCCAGTCCGAGGACGGCGGCGACGATTGCTTGGGTGAACTTCATGATGGGAGTTGGTTGAAGTTGATGAGCAGCAGATGAGGCTTTGATACAGCAAAAAGGGGGGTGAGCTTGTCGATGACTCTCCTCACTGCGAATTGCGGGTGAACCTTTGGAAAAAGAGAAGAAGGAGAGAGAGAGAGAGAGAGGATGGGAAACAAGTGCGAGGACAGCAGAGTTTTTCTGGTGTGCGTTTTGACGAAGGAGGGTCTTGTCAGCTGGCAGCTGTTTGACGGGCCTGGTGAGTACACGACCGAGTGTTTGTGTGTGTGTGTCTGTGTGTGTGTCTTGTGTGTGTATGTACACGGATTCAAGTCCAGCTCGAATCAGGAAGACGAGAAGATGCTGATGATGGTGTTGTTGGAAGAAGAAGAAGAAGAAGACGAAGAGTTGATCCAAGAGAAGGAGATCAAGAAGACGCAATGAACCGAGAAGAAGGCTGCAGAGTGAATGGGCTATTCAATCTCAAGTCCAGAACAGAACAATAGCCAAGTCAAGGAATGAATCTTGGGCCTATTGCGAAAAAGAACAGAAAGATGACACACAAGAAGTGAAGAAGGAGAAGAAGAAGAGAATGAACAAACGCAACACTGTTGTCTGGGGACCAGAGAAAACAAGAAGAGAACCGAGGTGGTGAGACATTGCAGACCTTTATACTTGGCATCCCATCCCATGCCATCCCATTCATCCCCCACAGCCAGTCACACATCCCCTCGCCTCTCCCATATTCATTGTACCTGCATGAAGCCAAGAGGTTGGCTCATCCTGCTACTACTAAGGTACCTAGCACGCAGTACAAGCAGGACCAGGGGGTTTCCCACGGACGTCCCTGGAACCAGAACCAGAACCACTCACTCGTTCTCAAGGCAAAAGCCGCCCAGGCCTCCATCAGTCCCATGCTCGCGCAAAAAAAAAAATCAATCGGCACATTTTAAGGCCAGGCACGAAGAGACCAGGGTGAATCAAGCGCCGCCATTCGCCTGTCGATCGCCCCCCCATGCCCCTGGTCCATGCTGGGCTCTCTATGTATGTAACCATTGCCAGGGGCCAAGTGCACCAGTCAAGTCAAGTCAATCAACAGCAACAGTATGGACTCGTAGGCGAGAGAGACAAGGGGGGGTTTGATGATGCATTCATCCAATGTATTAGTATCACTGTATTTACTGTACAGTATCTACTACCTATGCTGGCGCCCTGACGAGGGTTTTTGCTGCTCTTGCTTGAGCGTAGTAGTAGTAATAGTAGTAGTAGTATCACAGGCACATCGCTTCTAACAGGGGTCCCGCGCCAGTCTCAAGTTGCGTGTGCGTATGTGCCTACCACTGCCTCTTGATCAAAGTAAGGTAAGTAATACTAGTACATACATCGAAACAAGTCAAACTCGGATTGTCTCCCATCCAACCAACTTCCAACTTTCCCGCAATTCTTTACCCCTGCACAAGCGCCCCCCTCCCCCCTCCTCCTCGGCACTTTTCAAGCCCATCAGTCCATCTACACACTCCAAGGACCAACGGCCAAAGAAACACTTCCTCCCCCCCCTAAAAGACCAACAACAATTCGGAGAAATAAAAATTCTTCATGCACTGCTCTCTCACAGTAAGGCAGCAAATACCACTCCCATCCCCACAAGTCCAGGACGCGCAGATCCCATAATAGCCGCGCAGAGCAAGAAGAAAGGCGGCGTCGTATTACTTACATACGTGGTACATACATACATACATACTCTCATACGCAGAACCAACCAAAGCCCGGCGGCTATATATCTATGTATCATCAAAAAAAATGCAGCGCAGCAGCAACTCACCAGCGCCTAAAAAACGCCCACCACACAAGAAAAAGGCATAATAAGCTGAGCTGATCATGTCCAACAAGGTCAGGCAGGTTCATACAAAACGTAACCCCAGAGCCACTCAATAACCGCCCATCGCCCACAGCCAATCACGCCCCCTCCAAGGCCCCCTGCCATGAAACATGTTTCTGAAACAACAAGCCCAAGCCCAAAAGTCCACCACAAACCACCACCACCACCACACTTTTACTCAATCACTACTACATACCTACAGCACTCCAGTAGTACTACTAGTACATACCTACGTACATACAGCACTACAACACTGCTCAAGGGATCATCCATCATTCCCCCCGGAAAAAGAAAGTCAAAAGAAACTCTTTTCCCCCCTGACTCGTCCCATCATAGGTACAAGTATTCGTCCATCATGTCAAATCATATCACATATGATTCAATGCCGTCGTCTTTCCCCCGTCCCGCGCGTTTCTCATAGACTCATCCCGCCGCCAATCAGCCCCGGCATCTCGCCCCCAAAGTGATACTACTACCCTTTCTTACCTTTTTTCCCTTTTCCCCTTTCCCACACCACACAGAGAAACCGGGAATATTACTCGCAAAACAAAAGACCCCAAGGCAGACGACGACGACGACGACGACGACGACATCAAGTCAACTTGCGTCTCTCTCTCTCTCTCTCTCTCTCTCTCTCCTCCTACCCCCTATTCACACCTCCCCCAGAAAGAAAAAGCCACGACTCAAAACTGCTGCACATCCACCCCAACGGACAGAAACATCCCGAACCATCGCAGATCAAATTCACCACCACCTCTCCTCTCCTCACCTACATTCTCGCATACGTACGCACGTATAGACACCATAGTAATAGGACCAAACAACACCTCTCCTCTCCTCTTCGCCTCAAAAACCCCCTTCCTTCGCCACCGACCCTGAACATCCCATCCCATCCCATCCCATTCCGTCCCCATCCGCGGAACCTCGGCAACACGCCTGACATGCACATGCCACGACAGCACCCAATCTCTCTTAATCATATGCCGCTCTTCTTCTCTGCTTTCTTGGCTCAATCATCTCGAAACACGGCCAAGGCTTCCACTCTACTTTAGCCAGCTTGTCACGTTTCATCCCAAGCGGATCGAGCCGGACCAAGTGGCCCCCCAGCTTGTGGAACCTCATGCCACAAAGTTGCCCTCACAACCTCACTAAACCTCCCGCCAGCCCGCGCCTCTAGTTTCACCACCATAGACGTAATGCCATCATTGCTATTGTCTAGCCATCGTCAATACGACGCCTAGAATCCCCATTCGTATGACTTGTAAATTACGCACTGCTGGTCAGTGCCCATTCAGTGCCTCCACGTACCTACGTAGTCCACGAGACTAAATCATCAACGAAAAATACAAGACAAGTACATGTATGCAGACCGCACTCTGCTCACAATCTCACCACACATGGACCTCTCTAAATGCCCGAGAATGTATTCGCTCATCGTGATATTGCATCGAATAGTACCTATATCTAACTCTACCTAGAATTTCATCAGATAAAGCTAGCAGTACTCTCGAGCCCCTGAAGCTCCACCACCGGGCAGCATTCCGCGTCTCGCCCTGCACATCTCCGTCAGCGACGACCCAGCATCGGGACTGTCAAGCCGAGCAACCACATTCATCCTCCCTCTGTCCTCCATCAATCGCTTGCCGGGAAACAAATGGTGCCGCCGTCAGCGGCCAATAAGGCGCATGTAACTATGGTCATCATCGTAAGTGGTCGTATCTCATCCCGCCCTCCCTGCGGCTGCTTCTCCCTCTCCTTCTACGACGCTGATGTTGTGGTCTCGCTTCTTCTGCAGCGCCTCTCTTCTCTCTCTCTCTCCCTTTCCTCCGATAAGTACAATGTCAATGTCACAAGTCGGTGGCTTCCCCAGAGTACTGTTGCATTGCTGCATCTGGCTGGCCGTATGCATGATCGTTAAGACTGCGGCCGGCATCTCGTCATCGTAGCCACCCCTTTCCGCCCAAATCGCCATTTTCAGTGCCGCCCGTCGTCTCGACATGCCTTCAGTGAGCATCATCATGGCACCGTCCTTGACTTGAATCAATGCTTGCGGGCGCGATAATCGCAATGATGCACCGCATGAAGTGATTTCCTGGAGAGAACGGGCTCCCCTGACCCGCGACCCCGTGACGATGTGAGCATGAAAAGAGTTGTCACCCCAAATGCAAACCTGGCTGTAAACGCTCATGGGCAATACCATATCAAGGCTGGCCGTTGCGCTCCTTCGCCCGCCTTCTTTTCTCCCCTCTCACTTTTTTTTTTGTTCTTTCTCTTTCCTGGATCCGTGAAGATGATGGTTTGGCATTGAGTTGCCTTTGCAAGATGTAAACTATCGCAAAGTGATCCAGAGCCGCAATGAAAAGCCAGAAAATGCCGCGGTGAGCGAACAGCAGCCAAAAGCCAGACAGATATGCAACGCTCAGGGTGACTCTCCTTTTTTCATCATACTTTTGTTTTGCAGATCTAAACATGCTCGTGGGCCCCCCCTTCACCTACTTTGCCTCATCAGGTCTTTCGGCCTCCTGATTCGGAGGAGACGTGGAGGCTGTACGGTTGGCTTGCGGACCGGAATGAGCATGGGCTTGCTGCTGCTGTTTGCCGGCGCCATGGTTGGCATGAGCGTTGTAGTTGCCGCCGCTGCTGTTAGGCGGCTGCGGGCTGTAGTGATGCGGCACTTGCTGGGGGTTGGGGGAGAAATGTTGTGGCCCATGACCAGTGTAGGATCGCGTGTTAGCCACTGCAAATGTCAGCCCCAGGAACCTCATCTCCGCTTCGGAACACTCAAAAGGGTCTTACTGACTCGGTGCACCGCCTTGTGCCGGACCGTATGCCGGCTGGTTGTACTGGATGTTGGGGCTCATGGCGTACATGTTATGACTTTGCTGAGACCCCTGATGAACCATCATCGGCGCGGCTGGTCGCCCTGGGCTGGGATATCCGTTGGCCACCGGGACCTGCTGCGGCGGGCCAGCAGGAGGCATGAACTGCGGATGGTGCGTGCCATACATCATGGGAGGGGCCATCATCCCCTGAGGCCCAGCCATGAACTGCGGCTGCATCATCATCGGGGCTCCCATCTGCCCCTGTGGCGGGACGTAGTGCGGGTTGTTGGAATAGCTCCTAAACTGACCAAGCTGCGGGTTGCCAGCACCAATGTAAACCGGCTGCCCGTACGGGACCTGCGCTCCTGGATTGACCTGCTGGTACGCCACGGGCAGTTGTCCCATGCGAGGCGAGGCAAAAGACTGGGCCGAGTTGGAGTGCATCATCCGATGGTCGTCATTCCCATAGGGCTGGTGAGGCAGAGGGCCATGCTGCGGCGTGTGCATCTGCATGGGGGGCATGTGCGGAGACTGCCGCGGCATCATGTTGTGCGCGCCGGGCTGGAGGTGGAATGGAAGCTGATGCTGGTGGGCTAGCTGAGGCACGACATGGGCCGGGTTGGGCGTCGGCATCGAGGGGGTGGCGGCGAACGGCTGTCGCTCGAAGAGCTCCTTGTAGGTGAGATGCATGGTGGAGTCGGGCTTTTCATCATCCTGCAGCTGGCGCCAGGTGGGAAGGGTGTCGTAGGCTGGGCGCAGGCCGCCGTTGTCGTCCCAGTTGCGTCCCTGGGGCGGCGCAATGGTCTTGATGTGTGCCAAGATGCAACACTTGCTGGGATCGACAGCCTTGGTCTTGCGTCGGATGAGCTGCCCCTGAGGCTGGGTCGAGGCGGCGGGGGCGGGGGCGGCAACGTCGGAGACATGGTTGACGGCGGACCGGGGGCTGGACGTGGCGCTGGGGTGGCCGTTGGGGTTGAAGGTCGGGGCGAACGGGCTGGGCCTGAACTCGTTGCTGTTCGGGTTCAGCTTGGCTCCGGGGTGGCCGCTGTGTCGCCGAGAGTAGTCGGCGCCATTAGCGGGACCCGTCGGCGGCGCACGAATCTCGGGACCGACAGCATGCTGATGCGCGGGGGGAGGCTGAGAGTACCTCTGCTCCGAACTCCGAATGCGCTGCGCGAGCGTATTGGGGTTGGCATGCGGCTGTGGAGCATGCTGAGGACCTACGCGGCCGTTCCTATAGCCCTGTGCGTGGTACTGCTGCTGAGGGAACTGCTGGCGAGATCCTGCATGACGGCCGGGCCCGCCATTAGGAGGCGTGGCCTGAAGACCAAGAGCCCCTCGCGCAGGTCGGGCCTCGGCCGCAGCAGATGCCGTCGTCGACGGAGACGCACGCTTGGCCTGGGCCACGTCCTTGGGCGCGACGACCTCCTTCTTAGCCTGGGCGGCCACGTCCTTAGCCTTGGCCGCCATCTCCTCTGCGTCCTTCATCGCCTTGGCCTGGATCTCTCGCTGCTTGGCAGGGTCCTTGGCGATGATGGACACGAGATCCGAGGGTACCGGCGTCGACAGCTTGAAGTCGTTGGCGAACTTTTTGAGCTCCGTCAACTTCACTTCCTTGTCCGCCTTTGCCTTGTTGCTTCTAGCTTTCTCGGCATAGTGGCGTTGCTGGGTGGCGAAGTTCTTGAAAGAGACCAAAACGTCGCGTTCGACAGTCAGCGTTGCGCTGGGAGCATTTGGTGGCAGCTGGGCGACGGGACGAGAGGTAGATCCAAGGGCAGTAGCACGGCCATTTATACCCTGCTTCTCAGCCACGCTGGGCTCGGCTGGCCGGGCATTCTCCTTTGTTGGTGCTGGTGCTGGAGCAGAGGCTGCCGGAGCTGGAGCCGGAGCAGTCGAGTTATCCTTTCCCGCAGGCTTGGAGGCCGAGGAGTTTGAAGGTTGTTGAGCATCTGCTGGCTTTTGAGTTTCGCGCTTTCCCTGGTTTCCGTTTTTGAGAGCATCGGAAGCGGAAGCTTTTGATGGCTCGCTGGCTTTTGATGGTTCGGTGACTTTGGGTGCTTCGCCGGCCTGCGGCTGCTGCTGTTGCTGCTGCTGCTGCTGTTGCTGCTGCTGCTGCTGTTGCTGCTGCTGCTGCTGTTGCCTCTTTGGCGCAACCTTGATCTGTGATGAAATGATTGCCGGGTCCACCGGAGCGCCCCTAACTGTGGTCTGTCCAGCTGGTGCGCGCTTTGCTGGGGGCATATAACGATTCTCCCGTCCGGAAGCCAAAGGGGGGAAGTCTTGGCGGCGAACGCCACTGTATCTAGAAAAGAGGTCAGCACAAGACTATGCGGTAGATTGACAATGGTTCTCCAGAGCCCAAGAACTCACTTGTCTTCCTCGTTATCGTCAGTGCGGTCCTTGCCGCCGGAGTAGTCCATAACACGCTCCTCGGCTACGTGGGCAGTCATGGCAGCACTGCGTTCAATCTCCCTGGCCTTCTTCTCCGCAGCCGCAATTCTCTCTCGGTATTGCGGGTGGTCCTTGTTGATGGCAGTGGTATATATGTTCTCATCGTAGTCGGTCTTGAGGCCAAAAAGCCTCTCATTCTCGGCGAACTGGTCCCAAGGAGCACCAGAGGACGAGGTCTTCTCCAACGATCCGTCAAAGTTGTCGTTCTTGTCGGGGACCCACGGCTGCAGAACTCTCTGGCCGCCGAAGCGACCGTTGGAGATTGCAGTGTCCGTCCGAAAACCAGATCGATTGCCTGGGGCCACGGTTTAGCGGAGAGCAAGCACAAGCCATGAATGATAGCAACTTACCATTCATCTTTCCGTCTGTCTTGGATGAGCTGCTCCCGCCCTGCTGAGCATCTCTTCTCGGCTGCGTAGGCATTGCGAAGCTTGCCGTTGGCGCAACTTCCCAAATTGGTTTGTTCAATCGACACAAGTGCAGACCCCCCGTCGAATTGGCTGCTGGGCTTGCCGTGAGCGAACTCGCGCGTGTGTCGGAGTCTGAAGCTGAGGCAAATGCGGGTTGCTGAGGATCGCCCCTCTAGCTATGCTCCGGCCTGGGAAAGGACATCTGTTAGCACCAGGACACGTGCGTGTTTGAAGGACAAATGGCTGCGGGAGCGCATCGGAAGCTTGCAACAAGGGGTGACAGGAAGGAAGGGAAAAGGTGCAGCGCGGCCAATGCAGTCAATGAGGTCGATAGAGGAAGACATGGAGGTAACCCTACCACGCGGGAGCAGTTGGGGTTTGCCGACCGACTCCAAGCTCGAAGCGGTGTCAAAGGGGGAGGGAGGGAGTGTCTGAGATGCAAGATGAAGCCAGACGAGCCTCGTGATGATGACAGAGAATGGGCCTGTGTGACTCGAACGGGCCACCGAGCCGGGCAAGTCGGGGGGGGGGGGGGGGGGGGGGGGGAGGAGGCTCCTTGCGGAGGGGCGAGCAGCAGCAGCAGCAGCAGCAGCAGGAGGAGGAGGATGATGATCAGGAAGAGGCAGGATGGAGTACCTTGGGGAGGAAAAGAGCGAAGAGGGAAAGAAAGAGGCGTCGAAGGAGGTTGCTTGTGGCCAGCGCTCGCTCCTGAGCCGCACAAAACAAGAGTTAGCGTGTCGTCGTTGTGGAGGCGCTCGCAGAGCAGAGACCACGATTATCGACGGGTAAGAGGCCGAGGCGCAAACAGAACAGCTTGTAGTCGGACAAGCGGCGGATTGGCCAGGCGGAGGGAGGATCAGTGCAGTTGCAGTGGGAGCAGCTGCAGCGAGGCGAGCGGGAGAAGCTGCAGAGACACAGCGGGCAATGGAGGGGGGGAAAAGACAAGAAGAGAAGAAGAGCAGCACAGAAGGCACAAGGAAGCGGAGGGCGAATCGTGACAGCTCAAAGGTTCAAATACCGACCAGGAAAAAAAAAGGGTCGACGAAAGGCGGCGGCTGCTTCGGTGGGGAAAAAATCGAAGGTGGAAGCACGAACAAAAAAAGAGGCCCCGGAGAGGCTTACCTTGCTTGGAGACTGGAGACGCGAGAGCTGGAGGATGCGAAATGGGGGGTAAAAAAGGGCTGAAGAGAAGAGAGAAGAATGAGGCCCAGAGTCGCAAGGAGAGGATCCGGGTCGATTGTCGTCCAGCTCGCCGCTGCTACGAGAGCCTCGCAATGGGCCGAGGGGAACGAGGAAGACAGAAGCTTGAGGGGGGGGGGAAGAAGAAGTATGAAGGGGGAGGAAAAAGAGAGAGAGAATGTGAGAGCCGTGTGAAGAGGAGCGAAAGGGAGGACGAGGCGACTGGTGGAGGCGGTTGGCGAGGCTTTGCTCTGCTGAGGTTTGCCTTTTGGCGGGCTTTGTTCTGCGTCTTGGGGCTGGCGGGGGATCATGGAGCGCTACCGCCACTTCTTGTTTGGAGCGAGACCCGCCCTTGATCACTCTTTCCCGCTGCCGCTGCTACTGATGGAAAGGTACCAGCCCGATCCAAGGGGAATAGGTACTAGGTAGTAGGTAGCTGGGGAGCTTCAGGGAAGTTGAGCACTACAGATATAGCGGACACTTGCGCCTGTAATTCTGAGTTGATATGGATCCATCAGAACTTGACCTGTCCATGCTCTGATGGTCATGGATGGCCTCGGCCTGCTTTCTTCGAACGCATCTGTACGTACCAAGGTACTTGCTGGCCATCCCATCACCGTATCTGCACATGGCATCTATGGACTTTTCCTGTCCAGCTGCCGCGTGTTCGTCCAGCGTGGCCCTCGCATGCTCTCGCCTGCGGGTTGCTGCTGCTGCTGCTGCTGCTGCTGCACTCCAGTCACTGCACCGCGCTGTTCCACTGTCACTTCCATTGCACTCTGGGCTCTGCAGCGCGCCCTGCAGCTGTTCAGAGAGAGACAAAGTACCGGTACCAGCATTGGACGGAACCGATGCGCCATTCGCACGCAGTTGGTTTCGAAGCTGCGTTTTTGCGAGTTGCAGCTACAAGACGCCATCGAGGACTTGTCAGGTCCGCAGTACATCTACAAGATCCGTTTGCCAGTCCCATCGGCCCGCCAAGTACTTCAATTTTGCCTACAGGGCTCTAAGCCGGCAGATACGCTGGACGTTTCTGTCCGAAACATGGGACGGACATGGGCTCGTGGGCATCGGTTGGCAGGCCGATTCAATGACTGGGAATTCGCATTTTACAATTCTTTCAGGAGCCATTACCAGGTAGGTACCTTGATAGATAATTACCGTAGGTAAGGCCATCCAGAGCGGGATCTTCCAGAAGCTGAGCCAACGCTCTGGCTGTTGAAAAACTCCAGCTCTGCCAACCAGACTGTGAGAGGACAGTGTGACATAGCCACAGTATCAGAAGCTTCAAGCCTCTTTTCCGCTTCGGCGAAATAATGCTGCCAACCAGCGAACCACCTACGCCGTGTACAAGTACAACTACCTCTACCTTGCTGGAAGGAAAAACAGAGCGGCAATGTACAGGCAGGCAGGCAGGCAGGTAGGTACCTAGGTAGGCAGAGGTAGGTAGGCAGAGATATGAGGAAGCGGTACGCGCAAAGTGGCATGATGCCCACACAGGTGGTGACACCGCATAAGGCGCCGCAGAAGTCTAAACAGTCCCCCAGTGTGTTTGCAAAGACGATAAGGCCTGTCCAGCTCGCAATTTCGAGTTGAAACTTGTGCTGCAGTAGGTACTCCAGAGAAAGTTGTGTAGAAAAAGACGCGCAAGTAGAAGAATTTCCCGGTGATTCTAAAGGGAAAGTGAGTTTACTCTGTCAGTTGGTTGTTGTCTTGCGCCTGACATCACTTCAGCTTCATCTCAACTCGTCTTGCAACTTTTGGTACTGCCTATTCCGGCCTAGCGGCATATGCCTCGTCGCAGCTTGCATTGAACGACGTCCCGCGGTTTTAAGCCTTCCATGTGAATACCTTACCTTCTTACTACACACAAGTCAAAGTACATGCGACTCTGGCTCCATTCGCATCAAGCAGAGCCTCATGCGATTTCCAATTACCTACTTGAATGAAAATAAGGAATATAGGCATTTGAACCAATTGAAGAAATAAATGTGATGCCAGCAGCTGCATCAGCGCATCTGTATCCCTTCCTCGCAATTCCGCACCCAAAAAGACCCCTCCATCCATCCACCTCCCCAACACAAACAAGTCAAAACACCCGACAGGGATCCTCCACCCAAAAATCCAACCACCAAAATCGCCAGCATCGCCAACATCTTGCTCCTTCAAACTCTTCTTGTCCCAGCCCATTCCGTTACCTCCCGCAAAACCACCCAATTCGCCTTTCCACACAACGCGCGCGTGCGCAAACCGTCTTGTTTCCTTCTCAGCAACCTCAGCCATGCCTCCCTCCACGACAGCAGCGCCCCAAAAGCCTGCTCCTCCATCATCCCCCATCAAAACCGCCTACCTCATCGCCTACAATGCCCTCTCCGCCATCGCATGGGCCCTCGTCCTCCAGTCCACCGTCCTGACGCTCTTCGAGTCCGGCCCCGAAATCGTCTACCTCACCACCGGCGAATTCACAAAATGGACACAAACCGCCGCCGCCATGGAAATCATCCACTCCCTCTTCGGTAAACAAGTTCCCCCCCTCCCTCTTCTAACATCCCAATTCCAAGAAACAACCTCCGTATCTAACAGAATGCAAAACACACAAAAAAACAACAGGCATCGTCCGCGCCCCCCTCCTCACAACCCTCATGCAAGTCTCCTCCCGCTTCCTCCTCGTCTGGGGCGTCGTCCACCTCTACCCCTACCTCGCCATCGAAGCCCCGACATACTCCTCCATGCTCATCGCCTGGTCCGTCACCGAGGTCATCCGCTACTCCTACTTTGCCCTCTCCCTCTCCGGCTTCACCCCGCGGCCCCTCACCTGGCTGCGCTACAACACCTTCTTCGTCCTCTACCCCATTGGCATCCTCAGCGAGTGCTCCCTCGTCTTCCTCGCCGCCGTCGGGCCCGCGGCCGCCGAGAAGGAGTACCCGCTTGCTTTGGCGCCGTATGCGCTGTATGCCATTTTGATCATCTATGTCCCGGGTGAGTATCTGCAAGATTCATCTTTCCTTTTTTTTTTTTTTTTCTTTTTCTTTTTTTCTTGGTTTGATATAAGGGCTAACCCAGGGGTCTTTGCAGGCGCTTACATTCTCTACACGCACATGATGGCCCAGCGAAGAAAGGTTATGCGAAGCTTAAAGGCAAAGGACGAGAAGGCGACGCAATAGATGCAGTGAACAAACATATACATATCACGGATAGACGCAAAACAGTTGGAAAGCACAGTTTCAGCATATTGAGCCAGGACTTTGCCATGTCAACATGCACCTTTGGTAGAAGTACTTGCTAGTATTAGGATATAAAACAACAAACGTGTTGGTGAAGAGCCAATACTGCGTCTATAAAGACGTAATAATGCTAATCCTTAAATGTACAATTCAACCATTCTCCCTCTCCCTCTCCAAGTGACCATCGCCTGTGTCTCTTGCCTTACGACTTCACCTCAGCTGCTTCGACTGCTGAATCTGCTGAGAATGCCGGGATCTAGACCTCGCAGCCGCGATCCCTTCCGGCCAGCCCTTGTTGACCCATGCCGCAATCAAGCCCGCCGAGTCCCCCAGCAGCTTCTCGTACGCCGGGTTCTTCTTGGCCTCAAACATGCCTATCATAGCCATCGTTAGCATCTCGTCAGGGTTCAACTCCCCCGAAAGAGAGGGTGAAAGGGGGGAATAGGCAGCCTACTGATATGCGCCGTCGTCTCGTCTGCCACGGCATCATTCACAGCCTCGATCCACCTCCCGGCCGGCTGCTTGCTCGGCACGACGCAAAACGTCCTGTCCTTGCCCAGCACGGTGCCCACCATGCTGACCGTCTTGCTCTCCGCGCCCTTGCCCAGCCGGGTGTAGAGGTTGGCGAAGCCGACGTCGAGCTCGGCGCTCAGCTTGGCCATGTACGCGACGCGCTGCTTGAGGGCCTCGGGCCGGGCGAGGCAGCCCACGAACTCGAGGTGCGACGACACCCACGTCCAGCCCGTCGAGATGTGCTCGCGGTTCATCCACGCCGCCGCGCCGCCCGCCGCCATGGCCCCGGCCGCGGCCCCGTACATGGCGATCTTGCCCCAGCCCCAGCCGCCGCCGCCGCCGCCCTCGTCGTTCTTGGCCGCCGGCGTCGTCTTGGTCAGCGCCGAGGCGGCCGAGGCGGCCGCGCTGGCATCGTCGCCGCCGCCGCCCGCCATCCTCCACAGCGAGCTCAGCGACGACAGCGCCGACTGCGCCGTCTGGTAGTGGCCCTCGGCGCCGTACGCGACCACGCCGGGGGCGATGCCCAGATACGGGGTGTCAAAGGCCAGGACGCCCTGGATGCGAGGGAACATGAGGTGGTTGAACGTCGGCCCGCCGCCCGACTTGTCGATGCCGTCTTCCGTATAGATGGGCTTGTCCGAGGCCAGGCCCATGACCGTCTCGGCGGCGACGATGCCGCCCATGGAGTGGCCGATGAGGATCGTGCGGACCGAGGGCTCGACCGTCGGCGAGGGCGTGCCCATGGCCACCTCATAGTCGATGACCTTGTTCTCCAGCCTGTTTGTGCCCGTTTGCCGAGTCAGCCCAGCGAACCCCATTTGTGGTTCATTGATATCGTGTCCGAACTGTAAGGCCGTCGAGGAGCTGCAAGCAAGCAGGATCCAATCGCAGACAGCAACAATGATGGCAGAACTCACCAGCCGCGGAACTTGCTCACAGCCTCTCCCAAGTCGCCTCTCGTCTCATACTTGGGATACACCAGCACCTTGACCGTGATGCCGGGCAGCTCCCGCGAGACGGCCGTCCGCAGGTCCTCGACGAACGAGTAGTTGTCTCCAAACGTGGATTCGCCCCCCTATGATCGCCGTGGAAAAAAAGCAGACAACGGGTTAGCGATGTCCGTTCGCCGATTGCTCTCGATTCGTTGGAGAGCTCATCCCGCATCTCGTTGACAGCCGCCGCCACCCGCTTCCCACGCCGTAGTTCCCTCATGCCACATACTCGTAGGTGTTCAAATCACCCACAGAGGTTCCGTGACAGGCGGTGGGGGGTCAACAAGCAGTACAAGCAGTGATAGTGCAGCAGACCCCCCCAACGACTAGGAATGGATACGAAGACAACAGCCCCAGATGACATACCTTGAACCCATGGATAAAACATAGAATGAGCGTCTTCCTCATCTTGCCGTCATCCGAGAAAGACTCTCAAACACACAAAGAAAGCATCAAGTCTGTCTTTTTGTTGTCTCCCACGACGAGGGGCCACCCGCCAGCACGCACAACTTCGGTGGGACGATGATGGAAGAGAAAGAGAAATGTCGAAAGTTCCTTTTTGCGCTTTGCTGTCCTGTCGCTGCTGCTGCTGCTGCTGCTGCTTATCCGAGTTGCTTACTTTTTTTTTTCTTTTCTTTCTTCGGTCAAGCTTCCATGGTCGCGTCACTGGGCATCGATTGGACGCTTCGGGTGCCCGCTTTGGGCTGGACAGAACGGGGTATTAAATGCTGGGGTCTGACGCTTGAGGCTGCAGCTTTTGGGTGGCGAAGCGTTGCGGCAGATGGCGTTTATCGCTGGCGGCAATTGGGTGGGCAGGCACAAGTGGAATGAGAGTCCTAGCGGAGGAGGTGCGTTTATCATTATTAGGGGGTGCTTTTCACTAAAGGTATCACTACTAGTATTGTTACTGTTTGGGAAGTTGGTGCAACTTCTTTGCATGTGAGCATGTGAAGATGTATCTGGTGATAGATGCTAAGGTACCTTGTTAGCTGGCATCCACTCTCAGAAACCATCGTAAAACATGACACAGTCAAGCATCGCTTCATTTCAGTTGCGTCTGTATCAACGTCTATTAAAAATACATTTTACTACTTTATCTAGACATGCACAGCCTGCAAAATAACCAGCCCAAGACGAGACACGACCGGCTGCAGGACATGCCGTCGCCGTGCTCTCAAAGGGCCCCCTTCCATCCCCTTCTCCGACCCTTCCCTTCCAAACTCGATAGAAAGGACCAAAAGATGAAAAGAGAAAGCAAAGCATTAAAAGGAAAGATAGCCCCTTTGATCATCCAAATGTGCCGCCCAGGTGCGTCAGCCGTCCGCCCTCAACCTCTCGTCTTCGTCTCGTACACTGTTGGTATTTTTGGCCTGCCTGGCTGGACCTGTCCCTCGCCTTTCCCTGGGTTACACACGTTATAACGCCGATCCTCCCAACGCCGCAGAATACATGATCAAACAAGCCACTTGCGGGGCATCTCGTCGGGGAAAGTCTTTGCTCGTCCTGGTGCCATCGACTTCATTTTTTTTTCTTTACCCTTCTTTCTGATTATCATCCCGCTGGCAACCACTTAGATTTCCCCCCGTTTCGTCGTGAGTGGGCAACCCACCTGCCCTCGGTCGTGAAAGAACGGGAGGGTGCCCATCGTCAATCTTGTCGTGTCTCTCAATCTTCATCACTTTGGGCGGCAGAACGTGCCCCGTTGGCTTCTCGTGCTGCACTGGAAATGATCTTGATGCGCGTGCCGCTCGGCTGCGGAGTGTTTCCGTTGCCTGAAGGCGCTGCTGATCCTGCCTTGCCGCCCTCTTCCAGCTCAAGAAGCTCCGGGTGGGCGTCCAGCTCCTCTTGATACTTTTGGTTGAAGAATTCCTAGTATCAACGGTTAGCGTATGACTTGCAAAGTGGCAAGGCTCGTGTCCTTCTTGTGTTACTTACCTCCATCGTCTTCGCATCCTGATACAGGATGCTTCCGTCTTCATTGTAGGTTTGGCAGTTGCGTATCAGCAGCTCAAAGTCTTTGCGAAGATCGCTTAGACAGTTGTACTCCTCCTTCTTGATCCGCGTGTGAATGTGGTTCATGCAGATGGGGTTTTGGATGATCACGTAGTAGTCGGCATAATCGCGCTTCGGGGGGAGCTTGACAAAGGGTCCGATGATGAGTCGCTTGCCAGCATCAGATTCGTCGTCCTCTGCCGGAGGCTCGATATCGTCCACTTCCAAGTTCATCAGACCGTCGTAGAGTGCTCGCAGGCTCTTTTGAAGCACCTCCCGATGTTGAGGTGGCACGCGAGAATCTTCACGGGCGGCGTTCTTGCTGGGGCGTCCCTGAGGCCCGCGTCGCTTCTTGGGAGGAGGCTGCTCGTCATCCTCTTCTGCCTTTCGCTTCTCGACCTTGCTGCCAGGCTTGCGGCCTCTCTTCTTTGGCGTCTCAACCTCCTCCGTGCTCGCCCTGCTGGCTGATGGCGAATTGTCCATGGAATTTGCCAGCAGTGACTTTCTGAGCTTGTTGGCCTCTCTCTTGTCTTTGCGGGCCTGTTTACGCGCCGCGGCCGCCTCTGGACTATCCTCATCGTCATCCACGGCCATCAACCACTGTTCTTCCGTCAGGCCATCGTCGTACTTGACCTTGGTACGCTCGCGAGCGCCACGACCAAGAATGACCTCTTCGGCATCGTCCGAGATGGGGTTGCCTTCGTTGAGATAGATTTCGGGCAATTCGTCTTCGGCCATCAGTCGAGGCTTGCCCTTGGGACCGCCATAGATGGGATCCTTTTGTCTCTCTTCGTCCAACTTTTGGAATGTGACAAGCTCTTCGTCGTTACGGGCAAGCAACAGGTTGAGTTCCTCGTCCTCCATTTCTTCTTGCTCGCCAGACTCGGCCATGTCGGCAGTTTCCAGCAGAGTTCGAAGCATGGCATCACGGTCCGTCTCGGAGGACTTGTTGTCAAAACGACCTGCCTGAATGACTTTGCCGTCCATGTCCAGCTTGAATCTGGCGCGCTCCAGGATCTTCTCCTCGACCGAGTTGGAGCTGATAAGACGCAGAATTCGCACCTCGTTCTTCTGGCCGATACGGTGGGCACGATCCTGGGCCTGCAAATCCTGGTGGGGATTCCAGTCAGAGTCGTAGATGATGACCGTGTCGGCCGTTTGCAAGTTCAGACCCAAACCACCGGCACGGGTGGACAGCAAGAACAAGAAGTATTCTGAGTTGGGCGCGTTGAAGTCCCGGAGGAGGTCGGATCGCTCATCGGACTTGGTTGTACCATCTAGACGCAGATACTTGTAGTTGCGGTAACGGAGATAGTCCTCCATAATGTCCATAATGGCCGTCATCTGGAAGAACATCAGCACGCGATGGCCGGTTGCCTTGTACTTTGGCAGAATCCGGTCCAGCAGCTCGAACTTGCCCGCCGTTCTCCAGAGCAGGTCGTTGCTGATGTTGAGAGGGTTCATGACGTTTTCGACAATGTCAAACACAAACGGGTGGTTGCAAAGCTTTCGCAGCTGCATAATCATGTTGCTCAAGCCGCGAGCACCAGTCTTGCCACCCTTGCCGTCGCTGACAACCAGCTTGTTGTGCGTCACCATCTGCTTGTAGAGCTTGGACTGCAGTGCCGAGAACTTGCACTTGATGACCTTTTCCGTCTTGTCGGGCAAGTCCTTCTCGACGTCCTTCTTCAGACGACGCAGCAGGAAGGGTCGCAGGACCTTGTGCAGGCGTCGAATGACGAGGATCTGCTCTTCTTCCGTGAGCTCCATCTTGTCCTGGCCACCGGTGTTGGCAAAGGGAGTGTTGAACCACTCGTCAAATGTCTTGACCGACTTGAAGATGTTTGGCAGGACAAAGTTGAGCATGGCCCACAGCTCGGACAGGTTGTTCTGGAGGGGAGTACCCGTGAGAATGAGACGGAAGCGCGTGGTGTAGTACTGCTGAATGGTTGCGCTGAGCTTGGACTGCGTGTTCTTCATACGGTGACCTTCGTCGATGATCATGTGGAACCACTTGATCTTGCTGAGAATCGGTCGATCCTTGATGATGTACTCGTACGTCGTCAGCAGCACCTGGAACCGTCCCTGGCGAATCTTCTCCTGCTGCAGCTTGCGGGTGTTGGGAGGACCCTTGTACACGACGCGGGCCACGGACGGGGCCCACTTCTCGAACTCGAGGTTCCAGTTGGTAAGGGTACTCAGCGGCACAATCACCAGGTACGGGCCGCTCTGCTGCTTCTGCTCGATCAGGTAGGTAATCAGACTGATGGTCTGGATCGTCTTTCCGAGACCCATTTCATCTGCGAGGATACCATTGAGGTTGTTGTTGTATAGGGAGATCATCCACTGGAGACCCTTGATTTGGTACTCCTTCAACGTGCCTCCAACCAGGATGCTAGCCTGCTTGGTAACCTCTTCACGAATGCGGTGAGCGACGGCGTAGTAGTCAATCTTCTTCCCGCTGTCTTCTTCGTCAAGCTCGCTCTCTTCGTCGACAAAGGTGCCCGCGTCGGTGCCGTAGGTCTCGGCCGCTTGCCGCTGTTGGGCCTTGACCGATGACGCCAGCTGGTGCAAGAAGCCATCGGTTTGCTTGAGCAGGTGTGTGATACGAGTGTCCTTGGCCTGGTCGAGCAGCTTGAGATAGGCCTCCTCGTCGTTAGCCTTGAGGGCCTGCAGACGCTGCTTGGCCGTCCTCTCGATGCGCTTCTGTTCTTCCTTCTCGATGTTGAAGTGATGCGAGTACATGAGTCTGCTAAGCTTGTGCGACTTGTTCTTCTGCGCGACCGCGTTCTCAATGATCTCGGCGCGGTGGTTGTGGATGGCTCGGAGGAAGTCAGAGTGCTTCTTCTTTTCGCGGTTTTCGCGGGCATCACGCTGCTGCTTCTCGAGCTTCTCGGTAATGCGAGCCTCGCGGACATTCTGCTTCTTCATGCGGCGGTAGTTTGACCGGTTGGTTGTCATTGCCAGGTTGTCATAGTGCATCATCTGGCGAGCAATCTTCTCGCGAAGGGCCCGCTGCTTGGCGTAGAGGGCCAGGCTCTTCATCTCGATGACGGCCTTGACCTTGACGGAATCGTCGACCTCGACATCCTCCTTGGTAGTGTCCCAGTGGGCAATGTTGGCGGGCAAGTTCTTCAGCTCCGAGTACCGCTGGCTCATGCGGTTGAAGACGACGACTTCTCGCTCATATCGCAGGTGGTCGAAATCGATGCCCGTCGGGAAGACGCCGGGGATGAACCATCGGTTCTTCCTCTGCGCATGGTCGAAATACTTGATAGACGGTCGGATCATGCCAGTGCCGTATGGTGATTTGACAGTCTTATAGGTATGGGCCTTGGGAAGCGCAAGCGCATCGTCTTGAGGGGCAGACTCAACGCCGTTTGGGGTAGACTTTCCAGCATCGGAGCCGGGCTGGGGAGTCTTTGCCGGGGCAGGAGCTTGAGCAGAGGCTGTGATGGCGGCCTGGCGCTGCAGGCGCTGCTGGAAGATGGCCTGCTGAAGCTGCGTGGAGATGCCGGCATTCTTGCCGAGGAGCTTGAAGGCATGGATCTGCTGCCTCAGCAAGGCAAGTTGCTTTTGGGTGAAGTGACTCGATGACGAGCTCGAGCCTGACGGCGTAGGGACGCTGGGAGCAGCGGCAGCAGGGCCATTCAGAGTAGGCGTCGCAGTCGTCGCTCCGGCGGCGTTGGGCAGGGCGGCCTGCGTCGTCTGGGGCATGTTCTGTTGCGGATGGCTGGGCTGAACGCCGTTGAGGCTGCCATTGGGGGCATGAGCAGCGCTGTTCTGAGCGTTCTGCGCATTCTGTTGCATCTGTTGCTGGGCTTGGATGTACTGTGCCTGGTTTCGTCGCATGTTGTGTTGCTGTTGGAAACTCATCAAGAACTGGGAAGCCTTGATGTACTCGGGATCAGTGGGCGGAACGCCTTGTTCCTTCATTTGTTTGAGTTTCTATGCGGAAGAAGTCAGCTGCGTGTCCTGATAGAAGGCCAGAAGGGATGCAACGCGAAAAAGAGGAAACAGAAAAGACAAAGCGGCAAAACAGAACAACGCGCGTGTAGCTGCATACCCGAAAGACCTCTTCGGCCTGTTGCTTGGTCGCGCCGGCAGGCATTGGCGCGCCCGGCATCTGGACCGCGCCCGGCATCTGCACTGATGCCATTGTGGTGGGTTGTGATGAGGAGTTGGGCCAGGAAACCGTTAAAAACCTGTCGACACCCCGATACGTATCTCGATAAGAATCCGCCTATAAACACAGCATAGCGAGCAGCGAGGGTCTGCGAGTCGTGCCCGGCGGGTGCGAGGCTATCGGTGCTGTTGCGACTGGGCGGGAAGCGTCGAGGCAGATGCAAGAAAGATCGGAGGGTAAAGGCGTTGATGGCGCGTCGAGATGGCGAACAGAAACCGATGCAGGAAAATCAAGGTGGTAATGCGCGGCGAGTGGTGTCGTTGGGACAAAGTCACCGGATGGTGAGAAAACGCTTTCAGGGCAAAGGACGGAGGCCGGGACGAGTCAAGACAGAAATGCTCCGGGCCGTGGAGACTGCAGTGCGGCAACGATAGCCTTGCGACGCTCCTGGACGCGGACGTGGGGGGGAGGCTCTCGAGGCTGTCTGGAGGTTGCAAAAGATCCGACCCCTTGGAGACGCCGGCAGCGGGTGCAGCGAAGAAAAAAAACCGTGGCCGGGGGATGGCGCGGCGCGTCGGAGCGGGAGCCGCAGGCGTGAGCGGCGTGCAAAGTCGCGTGAAACACGAGGTTTGCGAGGATTGGAGATGGACGCCGATGGTTTGCGAGGGGACCTGGCGATTTTTGGGATGCGCGCGCTGGCTGATGATGGAGAGTGGTGAAGACACAACCGACAAGATTCGGCGTGATGGCTGGTGCAGTTCTGGCGCGGCTGGCCTCAGTACATCTGGGCACGGCGCTGCGCACGCCTCAGGCTGGGGCTGGGGAGAGAATTTTCGCATCGGGTTAGTGGCGGGATTGGTCACGTGATGTGGCACTTCTTAGTAATGCAGGTTGAGGCGGATGTGACTTGCACCTGAATCATGGGACGACGTTGAATAGGTACCTAGGTACTAAGACGATTGAATGAATGAGCCTTCTTTCATTCATTTGGAGTCATACATGATTACGTCTTTTACAGTTGGACAGTTAAACTGAGATGCATGCTAAATTACAAGGGGCGACACAAGCATTCACCGCTTCGCTCGCTTCTTCTCGGGCCCCTCGTCCTCGTCGTCGCTCAGCTGCGCGTACTGCGTCTCTGGCTGCGTCTTCGTCCATGCCTTGGTGAACATCGGGTCGCTCTGGGCCTTGTCAGCATACTTCAGCAACGCCTCACGGGGATCCTCGTGCAGCATCTTTGCCAGAGGAATGTTTTCCGCGATATGCCGCTCGTCCGGCTGGCTCTTCTGGAACGGCGTCTGCAAGGGCACCTCCGGCCGTCGAGGATCCTTGGACTTGCCAGTGCCCGTGACGCCGGCCTTGCGCGAGCCCTGCATGGCGCCGGGCGTGACGATGGAGTCGCCCGAGATGCCGACGTTCTGGTCCATTGTGAACTCGGGGTTGTCGTCAATGTGCCTCTTCTTGGGGGCTCGCGACATCACCTCAACAGCACCGCGGCTGGACATGGACGGGTTGAACAACACATGCGTCTCGGCGTTCGCAGAGCCTGTGACAATCTGGTTAATCTTGGGATGCCAATCCACAGCAATCAGGGCTGATCCCGGCGTAATCGGAGTGACATGTTCTGGCTGTAGATTGCCGGGGTTCAGAATATGCAGGTGGCCTGTGGCAGAGCCGGTGATGATACTGGTCGAGTTTGGTGAATATCGAATGTTGCTCGTTGGGTAGATGTCCGAAGTGGATGGGTGCGACACCGTGACAAGAGGCTTGTCGAACTTTCGAATGTCCCAGAGCTTGATCAAGTCGTCGCCGCCTCGCGTCACAACCATGCGGCCATCAGAGGAGATGTCAATGCCGCTTGTCCAAGTCTGGGCTTTGTGCGCCTCTCTGATCTCGCCTGCAGGCCTGGTAAAGGGCCCGTTGCCGCTGTACATGACCAGCGATCCGTCTAGGGCGGCGCCGATGAGCACGCTGCTTCCTTGGGCAGAGTTCTTCCATGCAACTGCAGTCATCTTGGTCCGGCCAGCTGAGCCTGCAGCCTTTGACTTGAACACGATGACGTCCTTTTGCGAGCGCTTGTTGTTGATATCCCATATTCGCAGCGTGCTATCAGTGCCTGCTGTGACACAAAGATTCTTATCTGTAGGGTGCCAGGTGCCGGTTGTGATTTCGGAAATGTGCCCCTTGGTGTTGTGCATATCGCGGAGGTACATGTCTCCCTTGACAAATTCTGCCAAGATGTCTCCGTCGCGCGATAGTATTCTTGCCTGTGGGTGAGCGCATACACATAGCATGGCACTGCCCGCTAATGGGTTGAACTCGATATGGTGGACGGGATGGGCCTCTGCAGTGGCAGCAGTTCTCTTGGATACAAAGGGGTCAATGCTGCGGAATGCGCGAAGCGTCGTCGGGGTCATCGAGGCGAAGTCGTGCAGCTTGATGGTGCAGTCCAATGAACCAGAGGCCAGTCTGCCACCGGCAGGGTCTAGAGATACTGAGGTGACGGCGCGCTCTTGAGTCTTTAGAACAATCTCATGTGATACGGGAAACTCGTCTTCGTCTTCTGAATCGTCGGAATCGTCGCTGTCGTTGTCGGAATCGCTACCGCCTGAGCCATCTTTCTTCTTCGATTCCTGACCCGTCGCGGATGGCACGTCCACCTTTCTTCGACTTCGCTCAATCTGGGCCGCAATATCAGCCTCTTTAGACTGTTTACCGAACGAGGCGGGCAAGAAGGCCCTCATCGCGTCGTCGTCGTCGCTATCCATGGTGGCTGGAAGATTGCTTAGGTAGAGCTTGAATTAAGGTATCAAGGCGAAAGAGAGCATCAAGGCCCAAATGTCGGGAAGCACAGTCATTACATAATCAACGACTCAGCGCGAAGCACTACGTCATTGGCTCTACACCGAGACGGAAAACTTGACCGAAAGCCGGTCACCGGCGCGTGTCCACGCGATTGCTTTTCAATATCGCATCGTCGTTCGCTCACCTACAAGAACAGCGCAATGCCGGCGGACCGCATCATCGACGAGGACGAAGAATACCAGTCTTCCCAGGATTCCGATTTTGCGCCGGATGACGCGCCCGAGGCTGCGTCTGGCTCCTCAGAGTCTGAAGATGAACCCGACGAAGCTGCTGGAAAACGCCGACGGCCGGTGAACGAGGCAAAGGCAGATGGAGGAGATGACTATGACAACTCAGGCGATGAGGCCATTCTTGAGAGAGGCCGCAAGCGACAGAAACGGGCCAAAGCCAAGGGCGAGGCCGTGGATGATGAAGGCGGCGAAGGCGGCTTGATCAAGACGAGGAGACAACGAGCAGCAGAGTACGTCCCGACTCATGCAGCAATGTCTGCGGTGCAGTCTCCAAGCTAACGCCTTGATAGGAAAGAGGAGCGCCAGTATGCCTTGAGCTCAGGGCCCGTAACGGTCGACATTGATGCCATCTGGGCGGAGATGAAAGCAGGAGGCTCTTCAGCTTCGGCACAAAGGAAGGAAGAACAAGACAACGCAGCAGGCGGGGATGAAGCCGCAACCACAGCCGACAACGCTGGTCCGAAAGAAGACGAATCTCCCATGATCCGTATCAAGCGCACCTACAACTTTGCCGGCCGAGTCCATACCGAGGAGAAGCTCGTCCCCCGCGATTCAGCCGAAGCCAAGCTCTACCTCGCATCTCAGGGCGAAGATGCTCTACCGGATTCCCTACCTATCAAGAGACTCACCAAGAAGGCGTTTCGATCTTCTTTCGAGCCCGCCATCGAGGGAATAACCAACCGGTCGGACCTCAATCTCGGCGTCGCCGCCAGGATGAAGGCGGCCAACGAAGCGCAGGCGAAGAAGCTCAACACGGTGGAGAAGAGCCGCATGGATTGGGCCGGCTTCGTGGACAAGGAGGGCATCAAGGACGAGCTGGAGCTGGCGGGCAAGTCCAAGGATTCGTATGCCTCGCGGCAAGACTTTCTGGCGCGAAGCGAGGCGTTACGAGAGGGAGAGGCGAGGAAAGCGAGGGTGGCGGCACGAGTCTAGGCTGGTTGGATGGCGTTGGCGTTTCTGGAATGATACCACAGCTTGGAATTCTTCAACATTTTGTCCGAATAAGCATAGAGGACGGCGTTTCGTTGCATCTTGGTGGTTGAACCTACCAGCTACTTCCTACCTCTTCATGGGGATAACACTCTTCGCATGTGAATGCCTATATTTGTTGAAAACGTATTCTAGACTAGACGACTACGTTGCTACAACTTTGTACAAAGCAAACATCGCGACAGATATGCTGTTGTTCTCATGGCACTGTGAGCACAGTTCTTGTGGATTTACATAGCACAGTCTGGGCGAAACAGGCGATGATCCTCCAACATACAGAATCCCTACATAGTGCATGATATTTTCCCGGCTTCCATCAGCAAATCCGGCATAGGTCGAGTCGTATAACGGTTAGTACAGTCGCTTCACATCCTTCCTCTTGAAAGATGCGGAGCGCGCGACAGACCCGGGTTCGACTCCCGGCTCGACTAACGAGTTGCTTTTTTGCCTTCTGAGGACATTTGAAGTACGTTTTGCGCAGTGCGTCGACGCAGTTGGCAAATATATATTTTTTGCTTCTATTTGCCTTGCAATTGCGGATACACTCTCAAAAAGAACGACGAAAACTCCAATTTTTTTTTTTTTTTTTTTTTTTTTTTTTTTTTTTTTTTTCTTCAGATGAGGAAATGTCCCTTTTGCCCTTAAGATCTCCAGTCCTAGGGTAGCAGTGTATGGCGACGGGCCTCGCTCGGGACAGCTTCGCTCTTCTACCCTGTAAAGACCCATTGGCCATTACAGGGCTGTAAGTATCTCGATAAGAAATACCTAGACGTTTGACGTATACCGGCTGCTCCTCTGCGTCTCAGCTAGCATCTCCCAAGGCTTGTGATTGTACGACCTAAAAAATCCCTTCTAGAAGGCGTCGTTGATGGCACTGACTTGGCTTGTCCGCTGCAAACACGGCATCGAGGTAACGAGACGCGCCGTCGCCCGTGTGTCACGGTCCGAAGTTGCTCTTTGTGTGATTCCATGCAATGAGTTTGCCCGGTGAGCCACCATCGATGTATCACGCACTTCCCGTGAAGGACGGAGTAGTGCTTGCGGAAGAATGCCTTACTGCTGTCATGCTGAAACTCGGTCTGTTAATGCTTCATATGAGCCTCCACGTGGCGTATGGAATAGTGCAAGCATCCTCCGCCGATGCTGCTTCACATACAATGAACAGTCAAGCATAAAGTGCGTTACCTATGGAAAGTCTTGGTCTATAAGTGAGACAATCCCTTAAGGTACTCATGTTTGAACTGTCGAATACCAGGTAAGTATTCAGTGTAGCCTTGTTCATGTTGTCAATCATCTCCGTCATATCATCCCATGATGGATAGGAAAGTGCTACGCCAACATCTCCTTCTCAGATAGCACAAGACGTAAGATGGACGTCTCTTTCCATTTATAGAACGGAAGGTCCTTGGAGAAGACTTGATAAATCAACATAAGAAGGCTGGCCATATCATCTCCTCTTTCTCTCTCGCCGCCTTCAACCCCCCATTCCTCCATCTACAGCAGCTTCACACATACCTCCTAGCACCTATTGCCTACTAGGTACCTTGCTCAATACCTTATACCTCCCGACCTATCAACACTGACCTTGAATCATCTTGGCGCTTACGAGCCAACTCGGCACAATGGCCTCCTCAGCAACTGCAAAAGCCTCCATCTTCCTCCTCAGCCTCCTCGCCACGACCATCCTCGCCCGCCCCCCCGACATCACCTTCCTCTGCGACGAAATGCCCGAAATCTGCGCAAACATGTGCTGGGCCGTCCGCTGCGCCAAGCCGTCCTTCTCCCAGATCTTCACATTTGCCTACGCCCCCAGCAGCTACGGCCCGTCGTCCAACAACAAGACCTCCATCTCCGGCAGCTGCCTCACCAACAATCTCTGCGGCAACGCCGGCCTCAACAAGACGGGCCATCGCGGCGGCTGCTTCACCGCATGCAACTCCTACCCCCTCTCCTCCGTCTCAGCGTCCTCCGAAGACGCCCCTGCCCTCTCGGCGCTCCCCCCGCCTCACCACGTCTCGAGGTGCGTCCCCGAGGCGGAGCAGTGCAGGCAGCAAACCCAGCTGGACCTCTTCGCCAAGAGCCTCCAGCAGCCGCAGCGCAACGGCACGCAGCAGCACGGCGTGCGCCATCTGCTCATCAACTTTGGCAACCCCGGCGGCGTCAGGTACTGCAACAACGACCCCTGCATCAACGACGGCAACGAGGTCCAGGACGGCGGCGTCAGCAGACGGTGGCTGCGGCCCGAGGCGGCAGCGCCCATGTTTACCTACTACAGTACAAAGTCTGGCATTGTCGTCGCCTCACTCGAGGACGTTGAGATGCCGTCGCGGTTCACCCGGCGCGTGGGCAGTGGCGAATTGGTTCCTCCTGGCTTCAGGACTTGGTTTGAGCGGGCTACGGAGGAGTCGGTGCAGATGATGGAGGACACCATTGTGCAGCGACTGTCGGACCAATCCTTTGGCAGAATGTGATGAGAGTTTGATCCAAGGGCTTAACCAGTCTGTGAGATTGTCAGCATCTGCAATCGTGTTAAGGGCATATGGGCTCAGAGGAGGCTAGGGGGCTTCAACGAAAATAACATCATGTTTCCTATGTTGCATGCTAGATTTGCGGCGCCTTATAATAAGCCTTTAATGAACCAATAAACCTCCTGGGGTATCTCAGCTTGCCTAGCAATTGTTCAAAACGCCCGTATCCATAACCACGCCTTATCAAAGCCAAATACTCGCCGCCATTGTCCATGATGCTGCCACTTGCCGGCTATTTGATATGCACCTCCAACGTGTCCATCTCGTCGATGCCGGCATCCTCCATGGTCTGGTGCTCCTCCAGTCTCTCGCCGTCAAACCATATGCTAACGTCCTTGTCCGAAGCAACGCTCCTCTGCGTTTGGAATCCGATAACGAGCGTCTCGACGGTAGTCTCTGGCAGCACGCTCAGCTTGACCACATCCATGCCCTTGGCGACGAGCTTGATGCGGAGCTTCTTCCGCTTCCCCTCTGGCTCCTGCGTCGGCTCTTCCTCCGGCAGCTCGCCGGCTTCCCTCCTCAGACGCATCTCCTCCTCGTCCTCCCACTGGCGGAAGCCCTCTGCGGTCCAGGCCTCCAGAGCGACCTTTGTGCGGCCCTCCAACAAGCCCCCCTTGCTGTACTCGTCAGCGATGATCTTGCCATCTCCCTGCGGCCGGATGCCCAGTGACAGCAGGGTGGAGTTTGTGTACACCCTCTTCTGCTGCCAGGTCAGGACGATGTCGTTGTCGGAAGTGATGGGCAGCTGCACCCCTTTCCTCCTCTGAAGCGCAATCCAGCTGTCCCGTATCAAGCGCAGCGGTTTGTTAAACAGGTACTTGATACAGGCGGGCTTGGTGCCAGGGATGCTGGACTGGACCATGATCTGCGCCGCGGCGGCCTTTTCTACGGTTTTCTCCGAGTCCAGCTGCATCATGTCCTTATCACGAGCGCGCTGAGCCTCGGCCTTGCGGACATATTCAACAAACTCGTCGTCGTCTTCTTCCATCTCCGTTGTGGTTTGTGCTCTGGGGGTAGGGCTGAGGATGTCTCCGCTGAGAGTTCCCGACCCAACGAATTCGACACTATCTTCTCGTTGTTGTGCGGACGGGGGCGCAGCTGTGCCGACATCCTTCTCTTCGGCGTCGACGCCATCATCATCAAAATCGGACTCGGACTCGGAGGCGGAATCGAGATCGATGAGTGGTGCGCCACTGGGCGTGGCTGATATCCTCTGGGGTCGCTTGCTGGGAGTGTGGAGGTTGGAGTTTGATCGCGTAGACCGCTGCGCTGGAGAACCGTGGAAGGGATCGTCTTCCAAGGGCTCTGCAGCTGATCGGCGCCGTTTGGATGATTTCGAGCCTTGATCCGAGTCACGTCTCGAGCGCTTCGACGGAGGGGGAGTGACAAGCTCTCTGCTGTTCCAAGGTTAGCACTCCGAGGGTATGTATACTCTGTGGACCAACACCAGCAAGACATACCTGAAGCCATCTCCTTCCAACGCTAGAGAGTCGTCCACAGGCGTCGCCTGAGCGTCTTCAAAGCCAGCGGAGCTCTTTAGAGTAAGGACGGCAGTATTTTCTTCGTGGTGCTGCTCATCTGACTCTAGTAGTTGCTTCTCTGCCATATCCGACAAGTGCCGCTCTTCCTCCGCCTGCTTCTGCTTCTTCTTGTTCAGCTTTCGCTCTCGCTCGGCGGCCACGATGCGCTCCATCTCTCGAGACTGGCGGAAGAGGTCCAGACCGTCGCCATCGTCGTCGCCTTCGCCCTTCTTGCCGTCCTCTGCAGTGGTGGCAGGTTTCGAGACCGGCGCTACGTTGCGCAGAGCTGTTGGTTTGAAAGGAAGCTTCTTCTTCCGGACTGGAGCGGCGGCAACCTCATCACTCATGGCGAGAAGCTGCTGGGTGGGATCGAAGTTTGGGGGGGGGGGGGGGGGGGGGGAAAAAAAAATACGGAAGAAAAGAAAGAAAAGGTTGAAAGAAACGTGCGCGAGAGACGATGCCTTTGAACTGTTCAATGCCAGCAGCAGCTCTTTGACGATTTGAGGGCACGCATTTCCTCCCCAAAGAAATAGGTGCAGCAGCTGTGATGCGCGCTTGAGCGAATCCCAATTGTTTACAGCGCTCAATCGACAATTACGGGGCCCTGTTAGGCGCAATCACAGGCGCGTGCACCGCTGAACTGCCCCCCGCCGTACAGCGCATCAAGAGTGCTAAGGCGCCTGCGGGGAGGTACTTGCGAGCCGTGCCACAACTGGTGCACTCAGCCACGGCCCGGCAAGTACCTACCTCGCCTTGGTCGGCACCGTATCTTATCGAGCATTGCATGAAGGCAATTGAAAGCTCCCGCAGTCTTTAGACTTCCCCTCGACACAAGCAACCTACCCATTCAACAACGTCGACCCGCATCAGACCATGGAGAACGGCGGCATCTCACAGGCCGAGGGCAAGGATCCTTCTAGCTTTCTCAGCGACATCATCGGCAACTCGGTCGTCGTAAAGCTCAACTCTGGCGTCGTCTACAAGGGTACGTTTTCACCTGAGGAGAGGAAGCACCCGGAGAGTTTGGGGGAGATGACTCGGGAGCTGTGAGCTTTGGTCTGACTGCTCTGTGCGAATCACGGCATATAGGAGAACTGCAATCCGTGGACGGATACATGAACATTGCGCTGGAGAAGACGGCCGAGTATGTCAACGGCGTCAAGCGGAGGGAGTATGGCGACACCTTTGTGCGAGGCAACAATGGTGAGTTTGATGCATCTTGCTTGTGATGATGAGAGTTCTATGGCTAACGTCTGGAACCAAAGTTATGTACATCTCGGCGGATTCATGATGTTTAGAGACTGGTTTGCAATTTGACAGCTTATTTCTCTTGCGTTCATCTTCTTTCAAACTGCAAAGCCTCGACTTCCGTTACGTGATGGTCTATGTATGACGATAGATTCACACAAACAGACAATGTCCAGCTCACAGCTTCTTGCTCCACGCCAAAAACGTCACCCCATGCACGCCCACCTCGCCCTTTTCGTTAAACTCGCCATTGCCCTCAGTCACATCCTCGTCAAACGCCCGCCGAAACGCAGCCTTGTCCTCGCCTTCCAAGGTAAACACGTGGCTCAGCGTGTTCACCCGCTTCCACAGCGCCTCCTTGTCCAGCCAGACCGTCCAGGGGAACTTCTCCTCCCCGATGGGCGTCGAGAAGAGGGGCTTCGCGGACGCGGCCTGGCGGTCAAAGACCTGCGGCCAGGCGTTGCCGCGGAAGCGAGGGGGTCCAAAGTCGGGGAGCGCAAAGATGCGCTCGTTGAGGGCTTGCTCCCACTTGCTGGCTGCCGGCCACGATGCGGGCTTGTTATCTGCGCGAGATTTTCAAGGTTTTCTCATGTGTCAGCCATTTACGAGGACGGAAAAGCCGTGTTAAAACTCAGTGTGAAGCAATTCTTGGTCGGCCTCTTACAGTCTTCAATGTTCCATATCATGGCCAGTGTGCCTCCCGGCTTCAGAACGCGATGAATCTCCGCCAGCGCAGTCTCATTCGCAAACCTGGAATCCATCCGTCCAACAACAACAAACGCATCAGCTTCTCTTCCTTTTTTCAAGTCTTCCCACAATAAACCCTTCCCACGGTAAAACCTCCCCCCACAAGGCCAAAAAAAAAAAAAAAAAAAAAAAAAGACAAAGAAAGAACATACCAGTGAAACGCCTGCGCAGCAACGACGCCATCCGCCCACCCATCCCCAACATCCATCCTCTCCGCCGTCCCGTCCTTGACCTCGACGCCCCTCAGCCCCTTGTCGGCCAGCGTCTCCCTCATCGACTGCGTGGGCTCCACCGCCAGAATCTCATACTCTTCCGGCCGCGCGGCCAGCAGCTCCGTGAACTTGCCCGTGCCGGCCGCCAGGTCGACGATTCTCGCGTGCGGCTTGCCCGCCACGCCGAGGTGGTTCAGGAGGCTCTCGACGGCGGCGGGCGGGTACGATGGCCGATGCGCGTCGTAGGCTTTGGCGTCTTTGAAGCCGGTTGATGAGGCTTGGAGATACTCTGCAGACGCCATTATTTTCTCCTTTCTTCTAGGTAGTCTTTTTATATCGAAAATCTCAATGTGTGACACTTGATTTACTGTTACGGCACTTTACAGGTATATGGCTATCGGCTTGATATGGATGGGCAGCTCGACGTCTTTATAGGCTTATAACCTCATATATCTCGCTTGCTAGTGCGGAGATCCGACGTCAATTCCGTACTTATTCCCGCACCCGTGAGCCGTTTGGCGCGGCCAAGTGCCGAGTTCTGACCATCCAACCATCTTCGCAGGCCTGGTCTGACGAGACTTGGACGAAGAATTGCGTCTTCACGCAGGCACGACAATCACTTGGAGCACAAATGAAGCTGTCAAGATTTTTTTTTTTGATCTGTTCTTCTGTCTGATAGCATATCTATTTGCAAATGGCCCGCATGGCAAAATCAATCATGAGCATCTCTTCTCTTTTCAACGTAAGTCATGTCGTAAACGGCGTGTGAAACATTAACCCATTAGAAAACCGCCCGTCAAGGATCATGGCGCAGCCAAGGATCTTGAACCTCCTCCTCCTCCTCCTCTTCTAGCCATAAATCAATTTTGCATTTGCGTGTAGAAGAGTGATTTTTTGTGCAACTTCGAGGGACCTGGTTTCGCTCGTCGGCTCGCTTCTGAAATGTCTGCATCCGAGCTGCTGTATCCGTGATCCCAGGCTGGGGGCGGAAGGGCGTCGTATATCTCGTTCGTCCCGGTTCGAGATATGTCGGAATAATACTCGCCGGGCCCGGCGAGCATTGGCTTCGAGCTGGCGTAAGAGCTCCTCGCGTGGGGAACGACAAATTCGCCCGTCGACGAAGCCACGCTGGTTCTGTTTGCCGAAGAAGCGCGAGAAGCCATGTTGCGAGCAATGATTTTGCGCTGCAGGTCAAGCGACCCGTCTGGCGTCTCCACGTCGTGCGGCTGCCGCTGTCTCGACGGCCGTGCATTGTCTGAGTCGCTGCCGCTTCTGGTCTGGGGAGGCGTGGAAGGGCTTGATGCAGGGGTGTTGCCGCGTGATGACGATGACTCCGCAGCTTCCACCGGAATATAGCGTGCTTTTGCTTTCCCCTTACCCATGGCCTTTGCTCTGGGGTCAGTCAGGTCGCCTATCAGAGTGGGCGAGGAGGCCGTGACGTGGCTGGCATCGGGCGTGTTAGGCCTTGATATCCATATGCCTTCGACCTCGATGCCGCTCTGGATCGCGCGCACTCCAAAGGGGATATCGGTGATGCCGCGTGCGTTGATACCGCAGTACCGCATCTCAGCCAGCCGAACGCGCCGCTCTTCGTCTATCAACTCGAGCCTCGCGATTTTTCGATTTGTCCACCAGAGTCGCACCAGGCCAAAGGCGAAGACTAACACTATGCAGCATGCAAGAACCTAAGGTATGCAAGGGTTAGAAGCTTCGAGAAGAGGCATCCACTTGAGGCAGAGACAAAGAGCAATACAGCGGTTGCTTCTGGAAGGGGCAAGACTCACAAACGTCATCTCCTCCCACAGCTCCCACCCAATGAAGAAGACAGCCATATCGACAAAGAAAGGAATCCGGCAGCTCTCAAGAGCCGGCAACAGTCTGCATCAAGCGGGCGATGTGGACGCAGTAAAGAAAGCTGGAATCAGCAGCAGGCTCCCTTGATGATATTAAAGATTCTCCAGCCTCCAAAAATATCGACTCTCCATGCATGGAAGCGACTCTGAATACGAAGCAAAAGAATAGAGAAAAAAGAAAGGAAAGAGTGCAAAGATCTGAGGTTGGCTCGAGAGTAGATGCACGTGGCGTTGGTGAGACCAAACGAGCCTGCTAGAGGAGGAGCGACACACACGTAGCAGCCGAATCTATTCTGGGAGCAAAAGAAGGAAAGAGAACGAATGGCGGGAAGTTGAAAATATGATGAGCGAGTGATACTTCAGCTTTTATTTGCACAATAGCAGGCGGCCAGCATATACAGAAAGGAAGCGGAGAGGAATGGCCGGTAGATGATGGCCTCCGTTGAGGGCGTTTTTATGTCTCCGGCATCCTTTCCGGCAGCCAGCCAGCCAGCCGGGGCCAGCATGTGCATGTGCGGGAGGGGACAGAAGATGCCGGGATGTGATGTGACACCTGCGGACGAGCGAATAGCAGACGGACGGGACATGTTAAGAATGCATACAGACGACTACTAACGGGATGGGCCTTGTATCGACTTGGGAGGTGGATTGGGGACGAGTGGGTGGGAGGACGCACGCTCGGCCCGCAAAGCTGCAGCTTACTCGTATGCCGGCTGCCACCTCGTATGCGGTTTGCTGGCAGGCTGTCTGTCGATCTGGAGGGGGGAAGTGAAGAGAAGGTAGGCTCGGAAGAAGGGATCACCATGCAAGGGATGCGATTTGTGTTTAGCTGGGCTGGGACAGGCAGACAGGAGGGACGGTTGCAACATTGCTGGGGACCGATGCAGAGAGGGCCTTGCTGCAGTCAACATGGACCCCGAGCATTGGCCGGAACAAGCCTCACCGGTTCTGTGATCCCTTGCAGAGAGGCTGAGACGAACGACGTTGCCATGATGTACAGGCGGAGATTCTCGCAGGTTACGCCAATGTCACGCAGAGCGTCTCCCGCAGAATTTCGGCGCTCTCGAGGGTATGTCTGCAAGCTTTGTCCATTGGACATTGAGAGGGGTTGGCTGCTCATACCTCTGATAGATAGTATGTAGTAGGTGGTTCCTTACGCCGCGGTTGAAAGGCAGGTTTGACACCTGCAGCTTTAATATATCTGACGTTGAATGATGGGAGGCGGCAGGCTTGAAGGATTCCGAGGCCGATGTTCCAATTGGTGAGACTTCCAATGTTGTCCTGCGTGGCGTCAAGCAGCTTAGCCAAACTGGCTTCTAGCGGCATCACAGAAGCTGGCACTTTTTCAACCTCTATTGGGGGGACTCGGCGATGTCTTTGTGCTGCAGTCCAGAAGGAATCGATGCTGGTTCAACAAAGTTGTCTTTGGAGCAGCAGCAGCAGCAGCAGCAGCAGCAGCAGTGCAGTGTGCCACTATCGTATGTGACGAGTACTACTAGTAGTAGAAACATTGTCTCAAACCACAGGCACTCTGGTGGTGGCGGCGACCGACTGGGTCTTGCTGGGGCCCTGCAGGCAACGTGTGATGGCGGACAAAAAGCGGCGCTGCGCAGGCGGCTGTTCCTCCTATTGACCACAGCCTGGGTATTCCGAGGAGTGTTGGCCTGGGGGTTCCATTTGGTGCTCGAGTTCGACCCGTCAAAGGCGTGCAAGCGTTGGTATTATCATATCATTGGACTGCAGAGGTCTTGGTTTGCCACCCCAGATCGACACTCGCTTCGCTCTTCAGCTTGCACCAGCATCGCCGACCTGAGGCGTTTGGTTGCTCTCGACCAGACCATCTCCGTCCTCGTCACTCCATTTTGGAGCCTGCAACGATGATCCCTTGCCCGGTCAAGCAAAGTCTCCAACGACTCGACCCTTGCGCATCTCGGCCCCGGATTTTCAGCAACGAGCATGGCAAAGCGGGCGGGGAAGTTGTTTAATACAAGTCCATCACATCATGTACATAGGCGGACAGCTAGTAGCGTAGCCTATCGTCAGGTCTCTAAGCAAACCAGAACAGGAAGGCCATGTCTGGATTTTCTGTCGATGGAGTGGCGATCCCTTGACACTGAGAACTCAGCAGAATTTTCCTCTCATCCACTTAGTCGGCGTCTAGACAATGCATGCATGGTGAGGTAATGGCTCGTCCAAGGAGCGAGAGAACCTGCCGACTTGGTGTTGGTTCAGGATTGCCCGAATCCCGCGGCTTATACTCGTAAATACCCATCCTCCGAGTAGCGGTACCTACAGCTGGCGGGCTCAATGGCAGACTCCCTGCTCATCCATTGCCGTGGACTTGGTACAGGTACCGGGTCATGACTTCGGTGCATCGTCATAGCCACTGCGGGTAAAATCAGGCGCCATTTCGCAAATCGGGAGAGTCGTTTCCGGATCAAGTCTCCAAGTTCCGGCGCCGTTGTGCCTTTTTCTCTCGCCTCGGGCTGTGCTTCTCCACCCATCTCTGGCACTACATGTAGTTACCTAGCAAGCAGTTGCACTGTTCATTGACTCCAGAGAGAGCCCAGGATGGATGGAATCAGAGCCAAGAGACAAGAGCCAGAGAGGAAAAGGTCTTGGAAGGATCATCATAGACCTGGAGGAGGCGGGCAATGCGGAATTCGCGGCCAGATGGGAGGCGGAGCAGGCACAGCCAGAGCCAAGATGCTGATCCAGGGCGATGCGACCGCAAAAGGCAAAAGGCCTGGCAGACACTTCAGCAACTGGGGTGATGACACTAATACTGTGCGTATCACAGTTACTGTACCTGGACATGCCGCCTGAAAAAAGTATTGTCGAAGCCTCGGCTGATTGATTCAATGGCAGCGCCCGGCAAGGCACCGCCGAGAGCATTTGGCAGATCTGATGTTGGCTGGCCTGACCCTTGGAATCCAAGTCTCTCCATGCCCAACTCATGCAAGTATCTGTACCTGCCCTCTGCTGCTCGCTGCGTCGGGTTTGCACGTACTGCTACTTGCGTATCCGCCTCGAAACCGACCAAAACGGGTCATTCGATGCGATGAAATAATGCCGACGCCAGAGATCAAAATCGAAATCCTGCCAGCCCAGTTAGGTATTCTCGGACACTCCCAAGATGCCGCTGCCGCTGTTACATACTGTACAATACAGCAAACTGTGCAAAGCACATGAATTCGCAGCCCGACTGCAAAAACTGCCACCAAAAAACGGCCCCGTCCGCCAATTCTCCCCATATCCGCTGATCTGACATCTGACCATTCTTAAACCCTTCCCCTGGGCCCCTTCCCGGTTTTTGCTCTTTATTCAAACCTACCTTACCTTACCTTGTAGCTTCTGCCTTTTCCTTCTCAGCAGGCTCTTTACGAAAACGAAGCCTTCCCGCTCCGTCCCTCAAGTTACAAGCAAGCTCCGTTTCCCCTCCTCTCTCGTCCGTACCTATCAATTGCCGCTTCTCTTAAAGCCACCGATATCTACCTTATTTTCCGCTATAATACATTCTTCGTTGCTCGCATCTTTCACATTTCCCTCGTATCCGCGGCGCCTTGCGTTGTGCTTTGGGCCTGTAACCCGCGATATATACCGTATCTCATCGCATCGCATCGCATCGCATCGCCATTATACCGTCAAATTTTATCCTCTCTCGTCAATATTCGCCATGCCGATCCGAAACCCCTTTGCCCGTCGCCCCGGCCCTCTGGCCACGGCCAACGACAGCATCTTGACCGACCAGGAGCGCAGCTATTCCGGCTTCGAGCGAGTCGACACCGTCGGCTCCAAGGCGTCGTCCGCCCTCAGCATCCGCAGCGCCAGAAGTCAGGATACCGGCGAGTATAAGATGAGTGGTATGTTTTCTGCAAGCCCGCCCCTGCAGACCATTCAAATTGTCGCACGATCATCCCAGCCCACTAACCTGCTTTTCCTGTACCTTTAGTCGTTAATGACAGCGGCGTCTATCTTCCCGTAAGTTTGTGCTTCCCCGGCGTGCAGTTGCATCTGCAGCGCTCGGCTTGCCTCGTGTGTAGTGCAGGTCGCTGATGGTTATGTATGCGCGACAGCCCTCACCGTCTGAGGAGAAGAGCCACTGGCCGCGCCGCTATCTGTCGTCGCGAGAGTCTTCGGACAGCTCCGGCGAGATTGAGCAGTTTTCCATTTCTCGAGAATCCTTTGATTCGTACCGACGCTCATTTGTACGTTGCCAATCTGCCCGGTCCCTTGTCTCCCCTGCTTTGCATTGTGTCGGGCACGGCATCAACAACCCCGCCTCCAGATGCGATCGATGCGACATGCCGGCACCAAAGGCTGAGGCTGACTGAATGTTGTCATCTGTATAGGACATCTCGGCTCGATCTCCCATCGCTGCATACGACGTTCCCGCCCGCCAGAGCCTCGACTCGGCCCGTTTCGCGCGAATGCCTAGGTCGGCAATCAACCGTAACATGGAGCAGCTGCCCACCGCCGACGAAAACTTTGAGGATGTCGGACTCGACGATCAGAAGCAGCCGCCGCGCAAACGGGGCTTCTTCTCCAAGCTGACAGAGACCCAGGAGAAGGACTCCTCTTCGCCCCAAACCGGAGTCTCGAGGTTCCTCATGCCTGGGAGAAAGAGGGCTCAGAGTGGCCAAGGGTCCGAGCTGGGCACAATTGAGCCGCCCGCGGTCGCCTCGGCAGACTGAGAGACGAATATAACGGGGGAAAAGGCGACGACCCGATGAACGACGACTCGGCGGCAACATGAGACATTTATACCACATACCGTTTGAAAGTGTGTCGGGCACCCATGTTTTTTACGATTCTGGACAATGGATATGATTTATTTCTTAACGACGGCGTTTGGGACTATCGGAATGGCAGGCGGATATTCGCTGCCGTCGCACAGCTTGCAAGGGCAGCTGTGTGGGAGGAGGCTTGCATTTCGCACTTGGCGAAGCTTGTCAGTATGCATCTGATTGATGTGAAGCTGGCTGGTATACTCGAGGGATTACGTTGGCGAGGGAATTACTTTTTGGCACGAGGAAGAACGGGACGGCTTAATGATAATCACTCATGTCGGCCATTGCATATCGGGGTGGCCAAGTAATAATACAAGACATTTTATGTTTGTCATTGCTGCGTGGATCGTCACTCTGGCCCGTTACTTTGATCTGATAGAGTTTGTTCTCTCTGAATAAGCCCTAGGATTATGGTGACAAAGAGGTAAGTGATGTAAGAGGAGCGATGGTGCAATCCGCCTCTTGTCAATCTGTTTTCTAATCGCGTATTCTTCCCTTTCAGATACTGTTGATGTTCTTTGTGATGTATAGAGAGTTATCGTATAATACCTGGTAAGGTAGACAGAGCGGCAACCCCGGAGTAACAGCAGCAATCGCCAAAAGGGCGTGTGTCGTCGAGAGGAATGTGGTGGGGTTCGACCCCCCAAGCGACTACTAGTAGTATTGACAACGCCCTACGTTGACATGCTGTTACGACGGGTCATTCTCGAAATCTATGCTTGAGAGCGGCGATAAGAGAGATTAGTCGAATTGACGTGATCATAAAAGTAAGAGAAGAGGAGAGAGATTTAGTGGGTAATTCCCTTAAGGTACTGTAGTTGAGTAATAGCAGGGAGTGGTAATACTAGGTATTAGCGACAACGGCGGACGAGCGGGGCCGCGGAGTTGGGCGCTGGATATAAAGGCGATGGAGCTCAGGTTGCTTTCATTGAGCTTCCTTAACGATATGAAGAGGGAAAATTGAAGAGTTGAATTGTCACGGGTTTACCTATCATTCGATTTGGTTACTCTGATACCTATATAGGTACATTGTTTATCTCCATCTGTAAGTTGTAACGGGTATCTCTCACGCAGCAGGACTCTGAGAACTACACACTCACCGTACACAAGCACAGGCACAGGCACACACACACACACACACAAGAAGCCTCATTCACACAAGCACAGAAAAGGCATCACAATGGGCAACGCCTCCGACGAATACGTGCCCGACATTGCGTCGCTGTCGCTCGCCTCGCGGGCGGTGCATGCAGATGCCCGCATCGACGGACATCCGGCCATTGCGCCTGGCCTGCACACCAGCACCACGTTCCGGTATCCCAGAGACCCGGAGAGGCTCAAGCCCATTGCCGAAGTTGATGTAAGTTGATATGAGGAGACGAGACCTCACTTTGCCAGACCAAGTGAAGGAAAGAATCCAAGGCTTCCTCTCTCTCTCTCTCTCTGTCTCTGTCTCTCTGGAATTGCCTCTCACTCTGACTCCTCATCAAACACACAGATGACGCAGCCGCTCGGCTTCCACGTCTACTCGCGCCACACAAGCCCCAACATGGCCCGCCTCGAGGCCCTCCTGACGTCCATCATCGGCCAGCAGGCCATCACGTACGGCTCGGGCCTGGCGGCCTTCCACGCCATGATCGCGCACCTCAACCCGAAGCGGGTGGCCATCGGCGACGGCTACCACGGCTGCCACGGCATCCTGCGCATCTTTGAGCGGCTCAACGGGCTCAAGAAGCTGCCGCTGGACTGCGACCTGTCGGAGCTGGGCCCGGGGGACGTCATCCACGTCGAGACGCCGCTCAACCCGACGGGCGAGGCCCGCGACCTGCAGTACTATGCCGACCGCGCGCACAGCGTCGGCGCCTACCTGACCGTGGACGCGACCTTTGCGCCGCCGCCGCTGCTGGACCCCTTTGCCTGGGGCGCCGACATTGTCATGCACAGCGGCACAAAGTACATTGGCGGCCACTCGGACATGCTGTGCGGCGTGCTGGCCGTCAACCCGGACAAGCACCCGACGTGGGCCGACGACCTGCTCGCCGACCGGCTGCTGCTGGGATCCGTCATCGGCAGCCTCGAGGGCTGGCTGGGCATGCGCTCGCTGCGGACGCTGGAGCTGCGCGTCAGCCGCCAGAGCGCCACGGCCACGGCGCTCGTCGCCTGGCTCGCGGAGCAGGCGAGCGACGAGGCCACGGCGGCGGGCAAGACGGTCGTGAGGATCCAGCACGCGAGCCTGCAGCCCGAGGCCGCGCACGAGGGCAGCTGGCTGCGCCGCCAGATGCCCAACGGCTACGGACCCGTCTTCGCCATCACCCTCAAGGACAAGGAGATGGCCAAGCGGCTGCCGGGCAAGCTGGGCCTCTTCCAGCACGCGACGAGCCTCGGCGGCGTCGAGAGCCTCATTGAGTGGCGGGCCATGACGGACGCGACTGTCGACCAGCGGCTGCTGCGGGTGAGCGTCGGGGTGGAGAGCCTGGAGGACCTGCGGGCCGATCTGCAACAGGGGCTGGAGGCCTTGGTAGCTGCTGTTTAAAGAAGAGGAGGAGGAGGAGAAGGAGGAGTGCAAGTTGTTGGCTTAAGTGTGGCAGATGGGAAGAGTATGGGGTAGAAAAGGGGGGAGTGACGATGAGCGGCCCCTGGCTGGGTGCTTGTCTGGGTGATTTATCCTATTGTAGCACCATTAACGAAGTGTGTCATGAGCCAAACTTGTCTGGAAGTTACCCATCTTTTTCAAATGTAAAAGAAGAGAAGAAAAAAAAAAAAAGCGAGATCAAATACTGTAGGTCTAATATCAAGGTCTCTCCAAGGACAAAGTGAAGCCTCATTCATGTGTGTGCTAACCCAGAACTGAAAATCATGCTGCAAGGGTCCAGCCTCAGAACCCCCCGCACCCCTGGAAGCACCACTATCTGATAACATGAACCCAACTTTACTTGCACCACCTTACCCAAACCTCCTAGCCCCTGGCCACTACTATTGACCCAAGGCCACCTGCAATCTACACCCGCGAACGCCTCATTACCCCAAACCGAACCCTTCTTTTTTTTTTCTCCCTTCCCGCCACTAATACCGCGATCCTCTTTTCTTCATCATTCCAGGTTCATTCCCACTTGCGCCCGATCCTGCGAGATCCCAATTGACATCTACAGACGAAGACCAATCCAGCTTCACGGTAACGAGACGTACAAGAAGAAGAAGAGGAATCAGGAACGCAAGGAAACCAAGAGAGGGAAAACGAAAAGAAAAGAGAGCATGCCAGCAACAGGCGTCTCCCAACGCCTCTCCTAACGAGGCAAAACCACCAACAAACAAACACCCAGACCACCTACCACAACAGCCGCCATACCATACCATCCCTCGCAGCACATCTCCCGCCAATGCCGCGCCTCAACCTCTTCCGCCTGCCCACAACCGTCCGGCGACGCGTCCGCCGCAACCGCATCACGACGCAGATGCTCCTCCTCGTCGTCCTGCTGCTCCTCGTCCTGCCCCTCTACGGCATCTACTGCGTCTACAAGCCGCCGCGCTTCCTCATCGGCTACCTGCGCGGCAAGTTCCCCGACGTGCTCTTCGAGGTGCCCGTCGCCGAGCGCATCATTGCCCTGTCCATTGACGACGCCCCCTCGGCGTACACCGACGACATCATGCAGGTCCTCGCCGAGAACGACGCCCACGCCACCTTTTTTGTCATCGGCCAGCAGGTGGACGGCAGGGAGCACACGCTGCGCAAGCTCGTCGCCCAGGGCCACGAGCTCGGCAACCACGGCATGCGCGACGAGCCCGCCAGCCGGCTTAGCAACGACGAGCTCGAGCGCCAGGTCAACGAGGTCAAGGCCATGCTCGTGGCCGCCTACGAGGCCGAGGGCAAGATCCTGCCCAACAACTACTTCCGGCCGGGGTCCGGCTGGTTCAACCACCGCATGCGCGACCTGCTGGGCAACCGCGGCTTTCGCATCGTCCTGGGGAGCATATACCCGCACGACCCCCAGATCCCGCGCCCGACGGTCAACGCGAAGCATATCCTCAGCATGGCGCATCCCGGAGCCATCATCATCTGCCATGACCGGAGGAGCTGGACGGCCCCGATGCTGCGGATAGTGTTGCCGGAGCTGAGGCGTCAGGGATACAGAATCGTCACCATTACGGACCTTGTCAAGTCGGCTGAGCCGCTGGGGGGTAGATGATGACGATGACGATGATGATATCTGACTAGGTGGACGCATTTTTTCATTTTTTGAACGAATACAGCTTGACTGTCCTTGATATTCAAAAAAGCAAATAGGGGGTTGGCACGTGGGAACATTAATTCTTGAACACGCGCAACGCCGGAGCCTTTATGTTCTGCTTCTACCTGTATGCATTGATTGCTTTCTTCAACTCTTTTCTTTTTTTCGTGGCATTTGGCGTGGGTCGCAAACATTCATAAAGGGAACATTTGGGAGGCACTGGTTGGGACAGAAAATAGTATCGTTATATGCAGCCCGCTGGTATGTATGGGGGAGTCCTGGAGTTGGCGCTCACGGGAGCGTTGGAAAGCTATTCGCAGCGATATAATGAAGGCGACAAGGATATTTCAGAAGAGGCGAAGAGATTTAGCGAATCACTTCCAGTGATGCATCTAGGTGCAAGCGGTCCACAAGTCTAATACGAGGAGAGATGAGCCTGTTTTGTCTAAGAGTCAACGTTTATCGTGCAGGTTCAAGTCGGTGGGATTTGATACCAGAAGGCAAGCACCTGGCTCATCTTCCTAGAAATACACAAAGGATTGATTGATGCATTCACCTTCTGGCCTTTGTTCACAGTTATGGGAAGATATCGAACATGTGCCATGACTCTTTCATTTGTCAATCGCGGGTATATGTTGGGGACTTCGTAACACTACACTTTCCATCCCCGTATGGAAAGTTTCCCAGTTGCGTATCATCCTGTGAAAATGAAAGCCCTTCCCCTACACTACTCCCTTTTCAAGCTGGAGCACGCTCTCAATCCTCATGAGCCCTCGGCTTTCGGCTTCAGAGCATACATCCTCACCGGGAGAAGCTTCATCTGCGCCGTCTCGGGGAACCCCCTCTGCAACTCCGTCTTTACAAGATGCAGCCCAGCCTCCTCAAATATCTTTCTAAACTTTGTGTCCTCCCTATTCCGAATTTTTTTCCAGCAAATCAGCCATCAAATGTTCCCAAGAAGGAGCACCAAGAGTTGAAGGATATCAGAAATCAGGAGGGGGGTTTAAACCAACCTCGTCACACTGCTATCAAGCTCATCAAACACATCAGCCCCCGTCGTGCTCAGATTCTCCTTGAGCACAATCAGCCCACCGGGCCTCAGGACCGTCTGACACCTCTCGAGGTACTCGACGAGCTGCGCATCCGTCAGGTGGCCCACGCACCACTGCGTCCAGACGAGATCGTACGTGACCCCGTCCACGGGCCGCCAGTCCTGCAGGCCGACGTTGTACACGTTGCGCACGCCCTCTTTGCCCTGCAGCTCCTTTGTGAACTTGGCCACGGGCTCGATGACGTCGACCTCGTCCGCCAGCGGGAGAAGCAATCCTTCAGTAACCCTACCGATCCTATTCACATCACAAGAAGGGGGGGGGGAAATTCTCCCGTCAGCATTTCGTCGAAAACAATGATGAATCCTTAGGTTCGGACTGAATCCTTCAAAGTCTCGTCTACTTTGCGGAGGTGAAGTCAATGGAAAAAAAAAAAAAATAACTAACCCTGCGCCGCCCTCGAGGGCACTCGACAGCTTTTGCCGGCCCTGCTTCGCCCCGATGCCCAGCTTGGCGAGAAACGTCCGCGAGCCCTGGAGGTCGCTCCGCAGGATGCCCGAGAAGCCCTTGATGGAGGGGATGCCGCCGAGCATGCCGTCAATGTCGGCGTTGATGCCTTGCCAGTAGCTGAGGCCGTCTTCCTTGCTGATGAAGGAGTCGGGAGGATCAATTTCGCTAGAGTCCGCCATGGTATTTGAATAGAAAACAGATGTGTGTGTGTGTGTGTCTGTTGCTGTCAAGTTTTGTCAATGAGGGCTGTCAGAACAACGTTGGGTAGGTAGGTATGTTTGAATCGGCGGTGTTTAAGGCTTACATGGATTTGCGATGAAAAAAGTCACACACAAGACCAGCTGGGTTCAGCTAGGAAAAGGTACTCTGGAACAATAGATGTCACAATTATGATTTTTGATGAGACGAGATGCGATCAAGCCTTCAAATCATTGCATCAGAATATAGAAACGGTGACACGGCTCTCGTCAACTGGTCGTTACAAGCTCTGAAAAGCACAAACTTTCTCCCCATCACAAAAGCCCAAAGTGGGATGTCGCCTGCTCCACGTGATTACATAAGGTACGCAGAACTGCCGTGAATACAGTAGCAGCATCGAATCCAAGGTACGAAGAAATGCAGGTCTTTTTCTTCCTTGAGTCTGCTCTCATACTGTCTTGTCGCATTTCATGTGTTTCCCAATTGCGATCACTGTGAAATACGAAGCTTTTGAGTCCTATATCAGGTGAATTGCGATTCACAATTACACATGAAGAGGCCTGCGTACATTGAATCCAATTCCTACTATAACCAGCACCTCTATCTGATCCCCACACAATCACCAATCCAACTCCATCCCCCCTATCCAGTCGACACACAGCAGCTCAAGTCTTGGACAAATCACGCCAATCTCACGTCCATGCCAAACAAGCTCCTAGGTAGGTACCAGTAGGTATCTCAGCCTTGAAACAAATCAGCCGCAGCCCCATCGCGCGATTGGCCCGAACCCATCTCCTGGGAGGGGCGCAGCTATGAAACGAGCTACCTACCTACTATCCGTAGTACTACCTAGTACTACCTTACATACATTTTTTTGCAGGGTTTCATCGTCAGCTTCTTCCCTAGCTGACAGGCTTCCTCGTGGCATCTCTCCATTGCGCCTAGCTAGCTGCTGCTGCTCCGTCAATGGGGCTCTCTCCATCGGGCCGTCTGGCTAGGTCCCTGCCTTTCTCAAGTGCCGTGAGCCGTGAGCCACGAGTACCGCCATTGCGAATTTAATGGCTGAGATCCGAATACTGTATCACATCCTGCGAGTAGATTCAAGGCATGTAGTCACCGTCAGATTGGTGAGAGACAAAAGAGAGAGAGAGAGATGACTAGACTGCAAGTCTGACCAGCGGATATGATCAAGAGATACTATGTGCAGTGCTTTATGACTGGTTTCTATATTCACATCATGAATTGACCAAAATTGCAAGAAAAATAAAGGAAAGAGAAAAAGAAAAGACGCCAATTTCAAGTCATTCCATCCATTGTTCAACGCCACGTCGTCTCCTGTTTCAGGTATATCAATCCAAGTACCTAGTAATGCTAATTTCTAGCCCCCACACCGGTTCCCAATCATGTCAACAAAGAAGAATAAGTAAGAGAGAAGGAAGAAGAAAAAGAGGTTCCAAGGTGTAATTGAAAGAAGAAAATGTAAGAAGAAGAATGTCCCGGTTTGGCCGCTTGCTGCTCTCGTAGCTTGCAGCTTGTATCCCAACAGTTTCAATATGTACAATAACGCGACAGCCGAATCCTTGTTTGCAAGCCTTGCGCTGATGTTAGATCCAGAGCGGAGCCGCAGCTGCGGGAGCTGAATGACTAGGCTCTGCGAAAAAGATTGATGAGAGGCCCTGGATCATGCTCAGGTAGTCATCGGGGCGTAACCTGACGAGCCCCTTTGAGCGAATGTACTCTGTGTCCTCGTCCGCCAACTCCAGCTGGCTTGCGGAGCTGTACTCTTCCGCCAGCTCCGTTACCTGTGCCAACTCCGCCCCAAAAGGATTCGAGTCCTTGGCCCTGTGGTTTGGTGCCATGGAGGGTTGTACAGGCAAGGGTGTCGGAATTGCGGGAGCTTTGGGGGCCATATGGGGCGCCGCAAAAGCCGTAGGCTCCATGGCGACTGCAGGAGATCGGGGCGATCTCAAAGGCCGGCTGGAGGACGTAGAATTGGCCGAAGACCGGGTTGATAGGGAGGGGGTTCGAGAAATGGCCTGGAGGTTGCGGGAGGCGGTCGACACATCAATGTCTCGAGAAGAGCGGGAGACGGAGCGTGATCGAGCAACGGCGTCGATTGAGTTCTTCTTGGTATGGGTTGGCGAGCGCGGGGGAATCAGTGGAGCTGGGGCTGGCTCGGGCTCAGCTGGGCCGGGCCTCGCAGAATTCTTGAAATAGCCCGATAGGTGGTTCGACTTGGGAGAGAGCATGTGCTCCCCTGGAGCAACGTCTGGGCTGGTCGGCGGCGTCGACTCGATGGTGGCAAGGCTGTCAGAGTCGTCGAGAGAATTCTTGCCAGACTTGGCAGAATTGATTCGTTCAGAGGCGCCTCGAGGGAGATCGGGCGCGTTGTATGAGAGCATGTTGGTGGTGTGAACCAGCTGGACAGGGCCCGAGATCTTGTGGCGAAGAGTATGCGACCTCTGCGGGTTTTTCGAGTCGGCGCCATCGGAGCCCAGCTTAAGCTTCCGAGTGGTGAAAGCTCGTGACAGAGACATGGTGGCGGTAGTCGTTTGTAGCAAAGGAGGAAATGAAGAACAAAGCGGTTGACGTCGAGGGAACGGAGGGGACGCTGGGTAGTTATGATTAGGGAGACGTGGCAGGAAGACGAGGCAGAGGACGATGGTGTCACTCTGTAAGACTCCTGTAACCACCACAAGCGAACGATGCGGTGGTGAGTGAGTGAGGCAAGAGACGAGATGCCGCAGCCCGATGTGGCAGTTGACAGTGAAGCCGTGTGACCAGCGCTCACTCTATCGCAGTCGGCTGGGCTGATGACGAAGGCACACGCACCCAATATAGCTGGGAACGTTGCACGGAGACCCTTTGGGGTGGAGGTGAATCCAAGCTCAAGTCGGAAGGTGACTTTTGCGATTCAGCGATTGGCGGGTCGACGGCCGTTTAAAAATGGCCGAACAGATCTGCGCTTCCACGAGCCAAGAGAAGAGACGGAAGGAAAGATATTGGCAAAAGAAAAAAAAATTAAGAAATTGGAAAAGAAAGAAATACAGCTTCGTTCACGCCAGGTGATGATGTCGCTGTTGGCTCTGCGGTGGCGCTGTTGGTCGCGGAAGGGGCCAAATTAAACCAGTGGCCGAGATCGTGTTGCTGCCTCTTGATCCTCTTCGCTGAGTGTGTCGCTGGATTCCCGTGTGCGATGGAGGAGATTGCGTCGCACAAGTTTTCAGATGCGGCGGAGTCCGATGCTGCTTGATCTTCTGTCTTGTCTTGGTTTTGAGAGGCAAGCGAATTTTGTCTCAGGGGATGCGACAGCAGAGAACGCGATAAGTGCTTGGGCTAAGATTTTTCTTTGGGTCTTGTTGGGATATAGATCGATAGAACTGAGAAGAAGAAAAGAAAATGAGAGAAAAGGACAAGCCAAGGAAAAACAAAACGATCAACGTTTTCAGGTCGAAGGAATCAAAGGCGGTTGGTTGTTTGAGATTGCTGAGTCTGCCGCGTCGCACAGCCTGAATCAGGTAGGGATGCCTTGATTTCTTTTTATCGAAAAATAAAAGGAGGGTAGATTGAGCGGCGCAACTGCGTCTGTGGTCGTGCGTGATATCGATCGTAGAGACGGACTGATGCGATATGTCGCGTGACGAAACCGAGCGAGTTGAGAGACGAGTGCGGAAGAATAGGCGCTCGCAACAAGAGAAGTGAATCGTGACGGCAGCCGGTGCTGGAGAGGAAACGCGACACAGCCCTTGTCGGCGACGAAGGAGCGAAAAGAAGAAAAAGAAGAAGAAGAAAAGAAGAAGAAGGAAAAGGACTGTGAAGGCGGCGGTTGAAGCACAATCGAGTAGTGCTAGAGTAGGCAGGCAGGGCAGAAAAAGATACTACTGTACTAGTACTACTAGTCACGGAGCAGAGGCCAGGCATCGCACCAAGCAGCGAGCCCATGATCAAACCCCCCTCAATATCTGCCTGATCCCTGCGCGGCCGCGGCACCAGCCTGACAGGCCGGCCGGCTGATTGGCCTGCCTGGCGACTCATCACCAGCTCGAGGCTTCAGACCCCTGGCTAAGGCCAAGCCAGGCTCGGGTCCAAGCCCGTTCGGGAGGGTGCAGAATGAAGGACAGGGGGGGAAGCGCCATCGTTGGCCTGGGCCAATGGCGATGGCTGTCGGTGGCCACCATCAGTTGGCCGGTTCGGTTGGTACCTTGGGTTGGCGGGATTTACGTACATACATTCAGGCGGCATTGCTTCGCTCATCAGGTTGCCATTATCCGGGCCATGTGTGGTGGGACACTGTGTGAGGTGAGGGAAGTCGAGATGGGTTCTGTCTGTGGGAGAGGGAGACAGAGGGAGACAGAGGGAGGTTGACTCGGGCAGAGGAAGGAGGGGGGGACTGAGAGGAGTGGGATACAGAGAAAGTACTGGTACGAGATCTTGTGTCCCGACTACCCAGAGTTGCCGCACTTGCACAGTAGAACATGTAGTACCGCTACCGGGACAGGAACAGTAACGCCTTTTGAATCAAATCTCGAGTGCAAGTTGCAGGTGCCCAGCTAAGAACACGCGTGAGATATTACTTGTACTGTGCGCCAACAGCCAGTGGCGTCTTGTTCGCACCAACATCCTCTGCTCCAGGCATCGCTTCTCGCGCCGTCCACAAACAGCCTATCTCCATGTTGACACCAGGCCATGACTCAAGGCACTCACTCACTCGATCCCACCGCAAACAATCAGAACCAATATGCAGTGTTTTACAGACAAACCATCTCTGTACCACTGGAGACCTGTACCTGCATCCGCGTCTGCAGGGCACTGTCACAGCACACGCCACTCTCTCTTTCTCTCTCTCTCCATCCAATGCAGATGCACCTCTTGCTCCCGTTCGTTCCTCTTCCCTGTTCCCTGTCCACACACAAAAGAAAACCCCCCCATCAATCTCAATGCCCAAACCAAGCTTTTCCAGCCAATCGCCACCACGCAGCCCATCACAAGCCCCCCCCCCCCCAAAGGCGGAGAAACGCAACGCAGCCGATCTTTGCCTCTCTTCTTCTCGCAAGGGGGGGTTTTTCGCTTCCCGCATGATTGGCCCCATGAACCCGCTCTGCCGGTCCCTTGTTCCTGTACTGCCGCGTGTGTTTCAGGGCCCTTTTTTTTTTAGCCACCCGCTTGTACATACATATGTACTATGTAAGGTACTGTATCGTATGTGCCTGATGCGAGCAAAGCAAATCATTCACGGTCTCCCCCCTTGTTCTTCTTTTCTCTTTTCCAGGGGTTCGTCTAAACGAAACGCGTTGGCCTTTGAAACCTCGCAAGGTGGATGTCTTTTCGGGTCCGATGTTCGATGCTAAGTATGGAAGTCCTTCGGCTGCCGGGCGATCACTTAGGTCACTGGCATCGCAACTAAGAAGCGACTGGCTTCACATGCTAACTACTCACCAAATCCATCCACGACACAAATTTGAAGCTTTCCACCTCACCTCGTGATGCTAAGTGCTCATACTGTATGGATCACGAAAAGGCCATTTCTAGGCTCGTCTTCCGTCTGATGGATCGAAATCTCTTCCTCAGTGACCCATCCGTCGTCTTCCACTCATTCCACGCCACCTCATCAACTCACCCGCCACAACTGAGGAACGATGTCGAGAGAAACCATGGGTCAACTACCGCAGTAGTAGTAGGTAGACCCAGTGGCGTCAAGCCAGGCACAAACTCAATGACCGTCTTCCCGCCTGTGCCAAGCTAAAGACCCGGACGGGGCCAGAGAAGGGAAAAAAAAGCTTCCAGAACTCTCCATACAGTACATGTATGCGGATCAAACACCAAATACATACTAGAACTACTAGCAAACACGAAGCCCTCGTTGCATGCCTGCACCTAGGTAGATACTGTCCCCTAACACGCGCATGCTACAGTATGTCTGTGTTTACAATCAAGTGAGTATCACTCTATGGAGAACTCTGATATATCCTCGAGGCTCTACGCTCTGAAATACGGTTCAGAAATAGTCACGACGATTCTGCAGCAATGGCGAGATACCATCTTTGACAAGTCTATTAACAAATCCAAATGCCTATGAGATCCCCCCAACCACCTCGCTGAAGACAGCCTTGCATGTGCAGCGCAAGGTATCATCAATGCGTACACTTTTGAAAGCCAACGCCAAGTTCCAGATATATATATAGAAGCAGATGTAGATAAACTCCATCAAAACCGCGGAAAGAGGTGCATTGACTTCCGCGGTTTAGTCCTCATCCATGGAGTCTCCCTCGTCCTGGTTGTTCTCGTCTCCCTCATCCTCGCTCGAGCTGCTCTCATCGTCGTTCACGCCAACCAGTCGGTCCTCAGCAGCTCCCTCCTTCGGTGCGGGGACGCGCTGCCCAAAGGCGCTTCGGACGCCGGGGTTGGTGCTGGTGTCCCAGACGTGCATGCTGCCGGAGCTGCCTGCAACAGCCAGTCGGAAAGCAACCTCCGGATCGGGGGCAAACGACGTAGCAAACACCTTGCCCACGTCAAGGTTGCGGGAGACGACGAGTGAAGGACCGGTAGGCTGAATGTTCCAGAGCTTCACCGTCTTGTCGGTCGATCCGGTGGCCATGAAGCCCGGAATCACGCTGTTAATGTCAAACGAAGACACGGACTCGTCGTGCGCCTGCAGGGTCCAGACCGCCTTGGTCGCTTCGGGGGTCGCCGGGGCGTTGCGAACATCGTGATAGTGAATGATGCCATTTTCCGTTGAGACGTAGAAGTAGTTCTGATCGTGCGGATCCCACCGGATGTTCTCGACATCGCTCTCGACGCCCCATCGGGGCGCCTTGGCATCCGGGGCTCTCATATCGGCGGCCACAATGGTTCGATCATAACTTCCACTGAGCAGGACGGTAGGCTCGGCTGTGTGCCAGGCAAGCGAGCACACCTTGTCAGTGTGGTATGAGTACGACTTGGCGCACTTGGCCGTGTTGAGGTCCCAGAGCTTAATGGTCTTGTCCGCAGAGGCTGAAGCAAGCAGGTTTCGGTGCTTTCGGTTGGCTGCGAGAGACAGCACGGCGTCCACATGGTACTCATCGTTCGCCTTGGCCTTCTTTGACTTCTTCTTCTTCTTCTTTTCGCCCGAGCTGGGATTTGCGCCCTGGCCAAGAATGGCATTGGGGTACATGCAGTCGATCGTGTCCAGATCCCACACCTCAATATCCGGATCCATAGTGCCGACGGCGACAAAGTTGCCTCTAGCATCCTTGGGCACATTTCCCGAGGCGTTGACGGGAATGTCCAGCCACTCGACGCAGAGAGGAATCGCCGGCAGCATGATGTCGTGATGCACGTAAAGGTTGTCGCTTTCATCTTCGTAAACGTATACCTCCAGGTGGGCCAGCTCGTCTTCGACCTTTGCCGACAGGATCAAGTTGTCCGTCGCCAAGACCTGAAGATCCTCTCGTTCTTCGTCATCCTCCTCGTCTTGCAGTGTGATGTACGGATCATCCTTGTTTGATTCGTAGTATGCCAATGACTTGACGTTTCCAAACATGCCCATGCTTCCGTTGGCGGTAGGCGCATCGTCTTCGTCGTCGTCATCGTAGTGTTCCAGGTCGTACTCTTTCAGGTCGTCGTCGTCGAAGCTGTGGAGGCGCGCTGTTAGTGACTTGTTGAGCTTGACAGCGCATAATGACTAGGCGTACTTTGTGGCAGGTTTGGCTGTCTTCTTGTCTTCTTCTTCTTTGTCGCCCATGTCCTCGTCCTTGCCCTCATCCCCCTCCTCTGCTTCTTCATCATCATCATCCTGAGCTTCCTTTAGATCATCCTCTGCATCGTTGAGCTGCAGCTTGGCCAATTCGGCTATCCTCTCGAATTCAGACTCGTCAAGCTTGTAAATCTGAGGAAACTGTGCCGCGAAGCCTCGCGGCACCCATTGGGCGGCAGTGATCATGGAAGACATTGTGCAAATGCCTGGGTATCTTGGCTATAGTTTTCTATGCAGCTTCCATCTTTTTTTCGCGATCTCGTTCCTGATATTTTGCCCAAAAATTTCCATGGTGGGGTTTATCGATAAGCTCAACCCATGCAACCCAGGTACAAAGCATCAAGTACCCACGATGCTCCCGAATCGTTAGCTTCAACTGATATCCAGACCGAGGACGCACAACATCGAGCAATTGCAGGACTGCCTTCAGTGGGACGAAACAAAGAGTGATCAAGGACGTTCATCAGCTTGAATAGAGCCTAGATAGGCCATTCCTGTGCTATCTTGTGAAACAATAGCTAAGCACTCGTCAAGTTCGCGACTGTAGGTCACATGACTTGGGCAGCGTCTACAGCGGTTCAAGCGCTATAAGCCAGCGCGCATACGGCAAGTTTTCCGATCCGCCTCAAACCTCGCCCTGTCGCGTCGCTGTCCTTCCCTGGCACATCACCGTGATCGGAGAGCCTTGGTCATGGTGTCGGAAGCGGATCACGACGGGTTCAACCCCAAGAGGAGAAAGTTTGACATCTCTAGGAGGGACAAGTACCAGGATCGATCACGGGGCTCGACACCGCGCGGCCAGTCTCGATATCCGTCAACGCCTCGAGAACCCGAGCAGCCGCAGCCGACTGAGGAGGATGCCCTGGCGCTGGATCGCGACTGGTACGGCGGTGATGAGTTTGGCGGACATACGTTCGGCGACGAAACGTACAACCCCTTTGCGTCCTACGAGCAGTCGGCATGGGAGACTCAGCAGCAGGAGTCGGCCAAGGTCGAGAAGATGACCAGCCGATATGACGCCAGGCAAGAGCAGAGAAGGCGAGAAAATGACGCCTGGGAGACGAACCGTATGCTTGTATCTGGTGTGGCGCAGAGAAGGGACCTGGCTGCCGACTTCGACGATGAGGAAGCGACCAGAGTCCATCTGCTCGTTCACGATCTACGACCGCCATTCCTCGACGGAAAGACAATCTTCACAAAGCAGCTCGAACCTGTTCCGGCCGTCCGCGACTACCAAAGCGACATGGCCGTATTCAGTCGCAAGGGAAGCAGAGTGGTCAAGGAAGCCCGCCAGCAAAGGGAGAGGCAGAAGCAGGCGCATGAGGCCACAAGCATCACGGGCACAGCCCTCGGAAACATCATGGGAGCGAAAGAGGAGGACGGCGACAGTGCGCTGCCGATGCCTGCCGAGGAAGAAGCCGAGAAGGGCGAGCGCAAGGGCAACAAGTTCAGCGAGCACATGAAGAAGGGAGAAGGGGCCAGCGATTTCAGCAAAAGCAAGACGCTGCGCGAACAGCGAGAATACCTGCCCGCGTTTGCGGTTCGCGAGGATCTTCTCCGAGTGATACGGGAAAACCAGGTGATCATAGTCATCGGCGAGACGGGCTCAGGAAAAACCACGCAGCTCACCCAGTTCTTGTACGAGGATGGCTACGGCAAGACGGGCATGATTGGATGTACGCAGCCGCGACGAGTCGCTGCCATGAGTGTCGCCAAGCGTGTGGCCGAAGAGATGGAGGTGAAGCTGGGAAGCACAGTCGGATACGCTATTCGATTCGAGGACTGCACCAGCCCCGACACCGTCATCAAGTACCTGACGGATGGAATTCTGCTTCGAGAGTCGCTCAACGAACCCGATCTGGATAGATATTCCTGCATCATCATGGACGAAGCCCACGAACGAGCGTTGAACACCGACATCTTGATGGGGCTGTTCAAGAAGATTCTGCAAAGGCGGCGAGATCTTAAGCTCATTGTCACATCTGCGACGATGAATGCAAAGAAATTCTCAGACTTCTTCGGTGGTGCTCCGGAATTCACGATACCTGGACGGACCTTTCCTGTCGACGTCTTGTTCCACCGATCCCCTGTCGAAGACTATGTCGACCAGGCTGTCCAGCAAGTGCTGTCCATCCACGTGTCCATGGACGCGGGTGACATTCTGGTCTTCATGACAGGCCAGGAAGACATCGAAGTCACATGCGAGTTGGTTCAGAAACGCTTGGACGCTCTGAATGACCCGCCGAAGCTGAGCATATTACCCATCTACAGTCAGATGCCGGCAGACCTGCAAGCCAAGATCTTCGATAGGGCACCTCCGGGAGTTCGCAAATGCATCGTCGCGACAAATATTGCCGAGACTAGTTTGACTGTCGATGGCATCAAGTATGTGGTAGACGCAGGCTACTGCAAAATGAAGGTGTATAACCCCAAGATGGGCATGGACACGCTTCAGATCACACCAATCTCCCAGGCAAATGCAGGGCAGCGCTCAGGCCGTGCTGGCCGAACAGGGCCGGGAAAAGCGTTTCGTCTATACACAGAGAAGGCCTTCAAGGAGGAAATGTACATTCAGACCATTCCCGAGATTCAGCGGACCAACTTGTCAAATACAGTGTTGATGCTGAAGTCTCTGGGGGTCAAGGATCTGCTGGACTTCGACTTTATGGACCCGCCTCCCCAGGATACCATCTCGACGTCCATGTTCGATCTGTGGGCTTTGGGAGCTCTAGATAACTTGGGGGAACTGACGGAGCTGGGGCGGAAGATGAGCGCGTTCCCAATGGACCCTTCCCTGGCTAAGCTTCTCATCACGGCGGAAGAGTACGGCTGCAGCGAAGAAATGATCACCATTGTGTCCATGTTGTCAGTTCCGAACGTGTTCTACCGGCCAAAGGAACGACAAGACGAGGCTGATGCGCAGCGAGAGAAGTTTTGGGTGCATGAGTCGGACCATCTCACCTATCTTCAAGTCTATTCGGCATGGAAAGCCAACGGATACTCGGATGGATGGTGCATCAAGCATTTCCTCCACGCCAAGTCTCTTCGACGAGCCAAGGAGATTCGAGAGCAGCTCCTGGATATCGTCAAGATGCAGAAGATGCAGTTGATCAGCTGCGGCATGGACTGGGACGTCATTCGCAAGTGCATCTGCTCCGGATACTACCACCAAGCCGCCAAATACAAGGGGTCTGGTGAATACACCAACCTGCGAACCAACCTCGGAGTCCAGCTGCACCCCACAAGCGCCTTGTACGCAGGCCATCCGCCGGACTACATTGTCTATCACGAGCTCATTTTGACATCCAAAGTCTATGTCTCGACGGTTACAGCAGTTGACCCTCATTGGCTGGCGGACCTTGGAGGCGTCTTCTACTCCATCAAGGAAAAGGGCTATTCGATCAGAGACAAGCGCATCACCGAGACGGAGTTTAACCGCAAGATGGAGATTGAGGCCAAAATGGCAGAGGATAAGCGTCTCGACGAAGAGCGCAAAAAGGCCGAGGCCGAGCGCACAGTCAACAAAAAATCTGACAAGGACGAGAAGAAGTTTACCATACAAGGCGCGGTCAAGAAGCCGGTAATGAAGAGACGGGGGAGGGGTTTCTAGGCTGGCAAAAGGGGGGGGCGCAGGCCATTTCACCTTTATATACACTTTTCTCTGGTCATATGGGTAGAATGTTTAGCATGGCGTATGGGCCTCAGGATAAGGCTTCTCTTTAGTGTTATTCTCAGCTACCTACTATCTCACAATATCTTAGCAAAACTCAACGCCGGACTTCAAAGGAACTGTCCCCTTCTACGACATCACGGTCCTCCTTGACGACTTTGGTGACGTTGGAGTGGCTGGGGCCTTTGCCGATGGCGTCGAAGAACTTTTGCATAACGTCTTCGCTTCCCTGTGCTTCGCCCTCGACCTGACATTTTTTTACGAATAGACGTCAGCAATGGTGACGTTCGTTCATGGGAGGATACAGGAGCCATCTTACTGTGTCATTGGCAGTGTTGCGACACCATCCAGTTACGCCATATTCTTGGGCCTTTTTCCTCGTGTAGTATCTGTAATCAATCAGATGTCAAATTCAGTCAGTACCTATCTTGATAGATGAATGACTCTTTGCGGTGAAGTATTACCGAAAACCCACGCCTTGAGAGAGAGTGGTTAGCTGAAGATACTACAGGACTGAGAGAATGCGATGACAGCATCGATGTCCTCACCTTGGACGAAGCCATAGACTTCAAAGTGTACCTAAAGGAGCAATGTGAGCAGCTACATCACGCCCAGTCAAGACTCGTGAAGTATACGCACTCTTTTCAACATTTCTAGAGCAATGCAATTGACATTTCCTCCATGTTCATCACGATACTTGGATGAAGTCGATCCCATCCTCGCCTTTCAATTCCGTCAACAGCAAGTCAACCATCGGCTAATCATCGGGTCCGAGCATCGATGAAGTCACTCCTTTCGCCCATCGATAAGCAACATTTCATCCTCCTCCGACCTCAGCAGCAGCCTGAAAGCTCAACCCCTACCTACAAGGCATCAGTCAGACAAACCAACCGCACGCATTCTCTTCTTCAGCATGGACGAGAATGCGCAAGCAGAGCACGACGGAAGCAGCCCGACGATGGAACCAATTCGTTTCCGCGCCGGCAAGAAGAGAAAGGCCTACCGCCAGCGAACCGCCGACGAGGAAGATAAGAACCCTGATGCAGCCGCGATCCAGCCTGCGCCCGTCCTGCCAGGCGCGTCGACGAAGCCGGGCGATGCCGACGACGAGCTCGGTCGAAGAGACGTGGACGAAGATGCCGACCCAGAACCAACAACAGCAACAGCAACAGCAACGACACATACCGCAGACGTAGAGATGGCAAACGGCAACGGCGACGACCGAGACAATCAGTCAGAAAGCGAATCAGCCGTGTTGGCAGCTCTGCGCCTCCGCAATGCGCGCCGCGCAGCCCGCCGAGGAGGCGTAGGCTTCCGCGCAGAAGGACGGCCAGGCCTCAGCGGCAACGACGGCGAGGATGGAGACGGAGAGCACGCGATGGTGCTGCGAGAGCAGGACAAGGAGCACGAGCGCATCGTCGGCGGCATCACCAACCGCTTCATGCACCAGACCGGCCTCCTGACCATCCTCGACGACAAACACATGTACGTTGTTTGCTCACTTCCCTTCCCCCCCAGCTTACGATTACTCAACCCCGAACAACACTCCCTGTTTTTTTTTTTTTTTCCACTTCTGGCCTCCAGGCTAATCATTCAGGAATGCATATATAGAATCCCGCCTCACTAGCCGCAACGCGACGGACCCCAGCAATGCTTCCTCCTCCTCACAGCCCGCCTCGCAAGCCGCAGACGCGCGCGCCTCCGGCGACCCGACCCAGCAGCTGCAGTGGCGAGACCAGCCCACGCGCCATGGCAAGCTCGTCGAGGTCGATATGAGTGCCCTCGACGGCGGCAGCGGCAGCGGTGGCAACGACTACAACAACAACAACAAGCGACGCCGAGTCGACAAGGATACTACAACTGCCAAAGCACCTCGCCGTGGCCGCAACCGCCGAAACAGCGACGACATTGCGCGCGACGCCCTCGTCGAGCAATTCCTCCACGAAAACAGACGTAAGTTCTCTCTAGTTCTCTCTCTCTCTCTCTCTCTCTCTCTCTCTCTCTCTCTCTTTTAGTCTTCCTCTTTATCCAAACCTCCCCAAATACTCGTACTCGTAAGGGAACGAAAGGAAGAAAAAACGGGTACTGACACACGAAACTACGCAGTCGACGTCTACGACGTCCCCTCCTCCTCCCCCTTCGCACAACCCGCCGCCTCCTCCTCCTCCTCCGCCCCCGGCGCGGATCCCTCCGCCGACGACCGCCTCGCCGAGCAGTTCCGCCAGCAGTACTACACCGAGCAGGCCCTGCGCCGCAAGAAGAAGCGCCCCATCACCCAGCAGCAGCAGCTGAAGCAGCAGAAGCAGCAGTCGGGCGAGATCCTCAAGGGGCCCAAGCTCGGCGGCAGCAGGAACTTGAGGGCCGCTGTGAGAGACAAGTTGCTGCAGCAGGAGAAGGAGAAGAGGGGCAAGTAGGGGAAGAGGAAGAAGAAGAAGAAAACATGTGCCCTCTCTTCTGTTCGAAAACTTCGTACTTGTGGGATTTCATTTTCTTGACAAGGTTCTGATATTTGGCGTTATACATGTTTAGCATTGCAAAGTCCTTTGTGGAATTTCCAGAGTCATCATGTACGGGGTTTACAGGGCAAGTCATGCGTGGTCACTGGAAACAGCGACTGGAAACACAGTCGCCGGCATAACGAAATCAACATAAAACAGACCTGAAGCATTCATTGACTGTCTCTAAATGACTGATCCCTGTTCCTAATAATAGACCGAACCTACCCAAAAACCATCATGGAAATCATAAACCAAAGCCGTTGACCCAGTCATAACAGCCGAAAGTCTGCCACTCCAAAAGATACCCAGGATGTTCCTCTTTGCATCAAACATCCAATAATATATAATCCACACAACGCCATTAAACCCGACATCCTCAACCATGAAAGAGTGATGCCACGACCCAAATGAGATTGATAAGAACCCGAAAGAAACAAGAAGGAAAAGAGAGAAGAAGAAAAAGAAGGGGAAAAAAAGAAAAGAAAAGAAATAAGAAGGGGAAAGAAACAAATACGGCAAAAAGAAAACAACCACTCGAGGTTGCCCAACCGTGTTGAGAGATCTGCTCAGTGCACAGCCAATGCCATTGCACAAATGCAAGAAGAGAAACAGAGCTGCGTCGTGCCTCCAATGCGCCACCGCAGCCCAGTCTATACTGGCGCCAACTGTTGAATGCAGAAGCAGGGGGGGTAAAAGAAGAAGAGACACCCATGAAGAAGCCGTGGCCGTGATATATGGCTTTGAAAGAAAAGAAAAATCTTTTTCACCTGACATCAAGCTGAAAGCGCTTGAATTTCCCGCCGATTGTCTCACAGCGGGGGCACTTCCTCCGAGCTCCATGCTCAGACATGAGGACTTCAACGCAATTCGAGCAGAGTCCACAAATGCACTCCGTACAGGCATATGAAGTCTTGAGGAGGGAGGCGCGATTGCAAGCAGCGCAGTATATCTGGATGTTCTGCGAGTTGTATGTCGGTGACGAGTCAGACAGTCCGCGGGATCCAATGTGAAAGTTATCCCCGCTCTCGCCGCTCTCCACAGACGGGAAGGGCTCAGCCATATCCTGATTGTAAGTCTGCGGTGGTGTCAAAGCTTGCTGCAGAGGAGAAGCTTGGTAATTGTTGCTGCTAGACTGGAACTGATGGTGGTTGAACGGAGGCAAAGATGAGCGGTGGATTGATACGGGAGATCGAGGCATCTTTTTGTAAAATGAAATGGTTAGCACAATTATCGCCTTCACACGAATGCACAGACAGTCACTACTCACAGGAGTGCGGTCCTCATCAATATCTCCCGCAGCAGATGCAGCCTGGTCTGCGGCATCAATGAGGTCTTCCCATCGTTTGCCATAGTCCGTCCAGGGCTCGGCTGAAAGAGCCTTGCGATCATGGCCGCCTGGCCTGATTCGCTCCTCGTTCTGGATACGCCGTAGCCAATCGGAGCCGCGCGAAGGCTTCTTCTTGTGCTGAGACTCTCGATTCTTCTTCGAGATTGACTGCTTACGAGGCCGCATGGGCCCCAAGGGACGCTGCAGCGGTGGCAACGTTGATGACCGCCCAGGCGGTGATGTTGCCATCAGAGACGGGAGGATTTCCCGAGGCCTGTTGGAATAAGGGTCGCTCGTGATGTTGCTGAGATTCAGAGGCGGCAGCTCAATGGATTTTCTCAGCCTGCGCCGTTGATCCATGTCGGAATAATATCCCTACAAGGTCATGAGAAGCACTGCGTTAGCGGACATGGCAAGGCGCATCTAACGTGACCACCGTGGGCTGAGGAGCAGCTGGGTTGATATACTCGTCCGGCTGTCACCCGAAAGCCCGTCCAGTCGTAAGAGGGGTGCTGTTTTTCTTGACTTACACCATCCATGAGATCCGAGTCTCTCTCAGACTTGACGCCGTGCAGTTCCGCCAAGACGGCTGCTGCGCTGGCAGTCCCTAGGAGAGAGCTGGCGCCAGGCAGTGGTTGATCGTCTCCTGCCCGCGGCGTGCCTGGGGTGCTAGATTCAGCTCTGTAATAGGGATGTCGATCTTGGAAGTCTTATCATTGATAGTCAGTTTCAATAGTCTCGGCCAGAGGGAGCGCTGAGAAAAGTAGCTAGAATCGTGACTGGGTAGAATCAATTGAATCGACGTACTCTGTGTGGCGGTTGGTGTTCCTTCAAGCTGACGGCGATCTTGTGGCGGAGTATTGACCATCAGCAGGAAGCTGTCTTCGGTCGCAGGGAGCTTCGGTATGTAGTGCTCGGGATGCGCACGGCGGATGTGCTCTTGCATTGAGCGGTATCTTTTTTCCTATGATAGGAGCGTCGTGTTAGAGCCTTGTGGTATGGTTCGTAATGCCATTGACAGCTGCACACAAGGCTGGGTGGTGGCGGAGCTGATGTGTGTGTGTCTGAAATGCGCAGAGTATGCAAGGTCGTATGACAATGAGAGCCTTCCTGGCCGCACCAGCGAAGGATCAGACAGAAGGCAGAAGTAAGGCAATATTGCATCCAGGGCAGAGAGGGATTGGTGGAGAGGCGAAGCGGATAGCTGCAGCGAGCGGGAGAAAGAGAGAAAGCAAAGGGTGGGGGAGAGAAGACGTCTGGGGACAGCCAGTCAGTCAATACTTACGCCGATGCATCTTTTCCGACAACTTGAGCCATCTTGATTCCGGAGCGGACAGACAACCTCGTTATTGGAGTCTGCTGTGATGGAGAAGGACGAGGTGAGGGACGAGCGCGGCGGCATCTTGAACCACAGTAGACAAGATGGGCGATGTCTTTGGTCGTAATGGTACTGTCAAGAAGAAGAGAAAAATGAGAGGCTGGATGAGAACAACTCCGATTCGATAAGGTCCGTCTAAGTCGAAGGCGGCGATTGCGAGCGCGACGTATTGAAGCTCGTTTCCGCCGCCTGGCTGTCGATCTGCTTGTCCGAAAGGTGTGTACGAGACCGGAGAGTTGATATTGGTACGAAGCGCCCAGAGGGGGACAGACAATCGGGCCTGGCCGCAGATACTTATAGATGGCTTTGAGAAGGAAGGAAAAGAAAAGAAAACCCCCGAGTTCTGGCGAAAGCCTCGTTCAATGAGGCACGAGGCGGTAAGGTCAAGGTACAATGCGCAGCTACTGAAAGGTAACTTGGGTTTGGCCGAACTGTTGAGTTTGAGGCTTCTCCGTCAAGACGTAGGTGTATCGCAGGTTAGGTAGTCAGGTATGCGGTTATGCAGGGCCAATCGAGATCGGGAAAAGGGTAGATTGAGGCACAATGCCGAGGTCCAGACAAGACTGAAAACTAAGATTCGTAGCAAGTGGGAAGATGAAGAAGATACTGGGATGCAAGAGGGTATATCGCAGGTTTGGTAGTACGTGGGAAGAGGTTTGAGTATGGACAGCTGCAGATGATCGGGAAATGTGAAGAGAGAAGAGAGGCAGAGCGAGAGAGAGCGAGATGACGGGTGTGTAAGAGGAAGTGCCGGGGGGTCGAGAAGAGGGTACTATTGGGTACCAGGTAAGAAGAGCTTATAGACAACAGTCAGTATTGGTAGATGAGCTGAAGAAGAGAGATGCGATTCGTCAGAGCTCGCAGGCGTCTCTCCCAGCATAAGAAAAGCAGCGTCAATGTGTGGGAGAGAATGGGGAGGGGAGAGGTTTGGATCGATGGCGGCAAGTAAGAAGTACGAAGTACAGTGTAGGGGAGCTTGGATGACTACGAACCACTACTTGCTACTAAGGTAGCAGCAGCAGCAGCCGCAGCATTGTGAGAGTCCAGAGCTACCTACTACCTACCTGCCTTATGTAAATGTACTAAGTACCCCTAGGTAGAGCTTGGCCTTGCCGCAGCACTCCATGCTCGGTACCTACCTACAGTGGCGGCGCTCAGATGGATTCGGCTCAGCTCACGGGGACCGGCTGCGCGTGGCATTGACAGGCCCTTGAAGGGCGGCGCAATGATGATGAAAGGCTAGGTACTGCGAGTAATCAGCAGGCCCTTCGTGCTCCCTTGATACCAGCTGGGAGCGGCGGAACGCCAGCAGAAAGAAATCGAGAAGCGAGGAAAGCAGAAGAAAGGTCCCGAAAGCAAACAAGCCGTATGCGCACCATTACCGTTTACCAGGCCGGCAGTACGAGCACCCCAGGCGATACCAAGGTGTACTTGACTGACGACGGCGAAGACGAGGCAACAGACACCACCACAGGAGCCGTCGCTGGGGCGCACGGCTTGCTCGACAAAGTACTGGGTACAAGTACACGCCCGGGGGGGGGGGGCGGCAGAAGCTTGCCCTGGCTGAGAACGATTGCTCTGTCCAAGCAACAAGAACACACAGAGCGCCCCGGAAGAGGGGGGCGTGAGCAAGACGCAGGGCGTGAGGAATGTGTGTGGGCAAGAAGTCGCTTCTGACACTTGTCTGCGGCGGGCTCGATATGGCAGTAGGAGTCTGGTAGCAGGTACTTTGTGCCTCAAACCTTGGCCCGTTCTCCATCAGCAGAAGGTCCCTTGTGATCTGCTTAGAGGTTTCTGCTTCAGACCTGGACGTGGCGGCGGGCCAATGGGGAGCTTGGGGTTAAGCTCTGGCGCCCCCCTGCTGGAATCAAGAAGAGCAGTGACTCCACTGGGAGCTTTCAATGTTCCCTCTTTGCCTCTCAAGCAGCTCTTCTTTTTCGTCTTGTCTGGTTGCTGGCGGTACAGGTAGTCCCTGGCGGTGGCCAGGTACGGCTGGTACTCGTAAAGTAGTACTAGCAATATTGGTGAGAAGCACTCGGCAGTAGAAGGCTACCTACCATACCACCTAGGTAATGCCTCGTGTAACTGACTTCCAACTTCTTGCTCAGGAACCTAGGAGATACCTAGGTAAGTCGTCCTCGGTTTGCGATTCGTACTGTATACAAGGGCGACCGGTTCAAGCCTTCGTTCGTCGGCAAAGGTGGTGTTGGTACCGCAACCCTAAGGGACTACCTACAGTACTGCTACTACTACTAACCCCAGGCCCTGGTTGGTAGAAGCAGGTACGCAGGACATTCTCACTGTCGCCCACCGTCCGGTCCCGTTTCCTCACAAGCGCCAAATCTCGTGGCAAATCATGGCATCTCGCAACCATAATGACTCGGCATTGGCGGGGCGACATCGCGCAACGCAACGCTGCAGTCTTGTCTGCAGTCTCTAGCAGGTCGAGTTGCTGGCTGAGGCCTCGAGCTGACCGACAAGTGGGGGCTGATGGTTGTATTTTTGCGAGCCAGGGGAGCTTTATCAGCTTCTTGAGCTCCGGTACCCATTGACACACGGACATCCAACCGCCATACTAGGTACTACATGTACGAGGTACATTCGGAGGCCCTGCCATGCGCACTCGGCTACTCCCAGTGCTGCAAAGCGGCGTGCTAGGCGGACCTTCAGACCGAGGGGCTGCCCGCATGGCTGGAATATTGAATCGCTTTTGCCCGCTTGTCTCGGGTTGCGTGCCTTGCTCGTCTGAGCACCTCCGAAGCAGTAGGTATCCAAGTTATCCCTCAGCGTGACCTGCCCATGCCCTGCTGCCGACAATGCCAAGCTTACTGCCTATCCTTCCTAGTCCGGCAAGCAGATAGGACGATAAGCAGCGGTTGAGCAGGGAAAAGAAGGGCCGCCTTGATCCAGCATGCAAAGGGCCTGCTACAGTGTGGGCACTGTACGGAGTAGACCCTGTCGAAGACGTGCGTATTGAACTGTATGTAGACAGGCATCATAGAGCAGAAGAGGCCGTCTGTTGCCATAATGCAAGCCGTTTCTGGTTGGAAGCGTGGCACCGGCGGGTCCGAAGACGTTATCCAGACCCTTCTGCCACTTCCGGAGCCTTTGCGAAGAGCTAGAGCTTGCGCTTGGCGCCTGTGCTGTAGCGAGGCCGTCACTCCAACTTGAAGCTGCCCTTCCATCGTAAGGTCTCACAGATCGGCTTGGCCGGTCTGGCGTCTGGATCGCAGCTCAAACAAGTTTAGCTAGGGCACCTGAGCAGAAGGCGCGCTGAATCAGTCGGCGTGTGGCTTGCGTGTCAAGGCCAGCAAAAAAAAGATGCAATCGACGAAAGAGTGTGAAAAAAATTCAAGCTGTTAGTGCTAGTAGCTCGGTGGCGGCGACGTGTGGGCAGGATGGTGGAAAATTTCTTCAGTCGCGAGCAAGAGCACGAAGTATCGGCTACATCACACCTCTGGCATAGCGAAGCCGGGATCAGGACCCAGACAGCGGCACGTCTCTCCCTGGGTTCTCTGGAGCAGGTCTCCAGCATCGTATCCTGGGAAGCGCCACTTGCGCCGTCATCCACCTAGTAGCAGGACGATTGACATCACTGGTGTGCCAGGGTCCGACTGGTCTGCACACCATGAAACTGACGTGCAGCCGACGGGGTCGGGGTCGGGGATCGGAGAGGGCCATTTTGGGTCCCGTCAGGCAAACCGAGTCGCGAGTGTTTTATGGTACTCGTACGTAGTTGAGCGTCCGGTGTATGGAGTGCTTGTGCCAGGTAGGCACAGAACTTGTTCTTGTTCCGCCGGGAATGCACATGGCATGGAGGTGGGCTTATCACCTTGCCTTGGGTTGCGCTTTGTGGAGACTCGCAACGATCAACCATCGTGAAAGGCATCGGTGTGCGTGCTTGACCGAGTCTGAAAGTGCCGTCTGGAGGTGTCCGTACTGCAGTGGTGCACGTTCGTATCTGGTACGGCGGCATAGCCCCCTCTCCGGACACGAGGTTTTCTGCCATTAAACCTTGAGCTCAGCAACCCTTCAGATGACGACGATACAGCCAGGATGCTCAGTCACTTTGACTCAAACTGACCTTTGCTTCCTCTCCTTTCCTCTCTTTTTGCGGCTGCACTGCAGAGGGGGGTAGAGACACCAGGGCATGTGCGCGGAGCATGTGCTGCTAGTACCTAGGTAGTATTTGGGTCCCAGCTGAGCGAGTTGCCGCACCATAGACAGACTTCAGTGCGCTGGGGCAATTTTCAGCATTCAATAGCAGCACAATAGCTAGAGTCGCCCTCTCTCTGCCAGTCAGCCCATCCAATATCAGCAAGGGACGGTCCCAGCAGAGTTACCAATCGCACTCGGCAAAGGGTCACTGCTCGTGCGGAACACAAGGATGGTAGTAGTAGAACTTTCAAGGCCATTGCATGGATAGCATGGATAGCATGGATAGCATGGATAGGTAGTACTCGTAGCATGGATGATAGTACTAGTAGTAGCATGGATAGAATGGATCCTAGAATGGACGAGAGAGCCCATCTCTTCTCGAATCAAAGGCGGTGACCCCGCGCCAGGCCACTGCAGTTGGCATGCCGGCCGCAGCGCAGCCAGTCACAGCCGCCCAACCGCTCTCAAGGGTCCCTTCCCCAGCTCCTGGCAGCCCACCTGCACACCCATAGCTCTGCTGCTGGCCTGCTGCTTCCCGTCTCTTCGTTCTTGCCTGCCCATGCTCGCGACTCGTCAGTTCCAAATACTGTCGACAGCACCTGACTCTGACTGAACGGGCGTCTGGGCAAGAAGTCATGATGATGTTCCGGCCCTACAAATGTCCGCTCCATGACCTTCCATTGCATTTCCAGGCGCCTACTAAGTACCTAGTACATGTACCTTGAGCTCTTTCTGCATGCCTCGTGGCCCCGGACAATCAAGTTCCATCATGCTTCTATTACTACCTACCTATAGTACAGTACCTACTTGCCCTGTACTCGTACTCGTACATGCAATCGCAGCCTCTGTGCTTGGCATCACTTCGAAGGGAAGGCGGAACACTCATCGCACACGCACTGTGACTCTGCACTCTGCTACACCTTCTGCGCTGCAGTCTGCACCTTCTGCAGTCTTGCGGTCTCCACGCCCCACCTTCCCTTGCTGCAATGGCACTGCACTTGCCCGCGCTACAGGCTCCGCGCCTATTGTGCCTGGAGTCCCGTGCGGAAGTAGCTCCTAGCGTTTGGATGCCCACTTGCCATGACACATGGATGCCGTTTCCGTGTTATCAAGTAACATCATTCCTTTTTTTTTTATTTTCCTTCTTGATGTATTATGTCTCTTGTTCTTTCCCATTTTAGCCCATTTAGCGGCCACCTTACATCAGCATCGACCGGCAAAAGCTAGACGCCTCCGACAGAGTGGCTCCGTTTTTTCATCCCTCCAGAATCTGTCCGGCTATCTGTCCGCCCTGGATTGACGGCATTCGTCTCTCTTGCAAATACCCCGTCCAAGCGTCTACTGGATTAACTGTGTGACTTTTGCCTATTGTGACTGATACCACTCGATTGTCCGTTGGTGGCCTCAATATGGAGCAGAGCCTCGTCCTTTGCAGCGAGAGAAGAATGATACGTCCAACACAATCGTCCCGACTTCGATTGGGTACTCGGCATGATATCAAGCCGATCTCCACGGTATAGTAGACAGGAGGCAGTTGAGGGTGCAGGCTTGACTTATATAGATGATTGCGATATGATGTGGTCACTGAGAGCCACCCAGGCTTCATCTGATCACCATTTCTCTTGTGGAGCTGACTCAAACAACATGCCAGTCGCCGCCAAGTGATCGGACACTCTGGCTCGATGATAGGAATGCCGCTTCTTCGGATCCCCCTTGTGTTATCGATCAACACTTGAAATGGGCAACATGCAGGCCCGTCTTACCTGCTATTACTACTACCTATGCAGCCTCGAGTCCCTGCGTTCAAGTTCATAGTATTGTGAGGATCTAGAAGCCGCGATTTAGAACAAACACAAAGGCATTCCTTTCCTGATCTCAGGGTCTGGAATTATGATCGTTCGTGTTGAGAACCGCCTGGACATATTTGACATGTGATACAATGCCTCAGTGCTAAAGAAAGCAGAGGCCCCTTCAAGCCTCACCTTGTTTCGTCAACGCTGTTGAGGCCTGCAATCATGTCATTGACAATCTGTAAACTATGCTCGGCTGATTCGTTTCTGCTGACATTCACGCCGCTACTAGGCATCCAACGAGACCCCTTCCACATTCTACTGAATCCCGTTGTGGAGGAACCGCCTTTATATCGTCAATATATCTCTTCATCATGCCATCTACCCGAACCAGATCTCATCATCATCAGCCCCGGACGAGATGATGATCTCCTCGAAGCTTCATTACTACACGGTCTCCCTGATTGTGCCAGAACGATCATCCTGACTGATGCAGCAACGGCCAAGACTATCCGAGGATGGAGGCATTTTGACGACGCAATGATCAAGACCATTTCACCATGGCAGGACCCGCGCCAAAAGGGGCGGGATACGGTCTTTCGACTACCCGTATCTCCATGCTACGCGGGTGGCGACCATGGCGAGGTGACAGTAGCTCTGGTCCCTCAGAAGAGGAATGACATATGCACACGCGCCGCTATAGGCATCACATACCGACCTCCTCCCTCAAGGCCCTCAACGTTTCGACGGTCCATGGCCACGACCTCCACGGCATTTATGCGAATCCCTCCGATAGCGCCTCCTCAACTATCAATATCCCTTCCAAAGCCGTCGTTAGGAGACTTAACCACCAAACCCGTCCCTCCTACGCCTCCAGACACTCCAATACTGACACAATTCCCTCGAGGCGGCACCGACAAAGGCTTGCTGGTTCCTCGAATGCACGGCCGAACCCTCTCGGTGATTTTTTCACCACGGGGGACACCATACGGAAGCATCAGGCCATACGCTACTTCACATCTCGTTTCCGAAGCAGCTCTCCCCCTGACCGCGCTCATCCACAGTTTCGACGCAGAGTTCATGCCACGGTGGGCTATGGGACGGAGCGGCAACTGCAGTAGGAGCCCTTTGCCTATCGGACAGGAAACAGCTCTGGCTCTGGGTGCGCGAAGCTGGGTAAGGACTCAAGGGGCAGACAGTAACAGCAGCGGCAAAGCCGTCGCCTTGAGGAGCAAACAACGACGACGAACAAGGACCTTTCTCCGGCACGAAGTTCAAGAGATGTTGGCCCGGGCAGAGGCGGTGGAGGGAAGGGCTCCTTCGAGCCGGGAGACGCCGACGAACGGTACGCGGATACTGGACATGAGTCGAGGGGAAGAGGTGACTATCACGAGCGACGGCATTGCGATATGAGCTCCGCTTGGCAGCACAAGAACTCGGTGGCGGATGTTTTGGGGGTTGTCCAACATGGTTCATCTTTGAAGGCATGTTCAGGGTCGAAACAAGGGACAATTGCTACTGCGCGTGTCGTATGAAGTCTGAAACGAGAGTTGCTATTGCGCGCGTCGTTTGAAGCTATAAACCGAGGCAATTGTCCAATTACAAATAGATTTCAGGGCTTTCGTATATCATCAAAGCAAAGGTCTTTGGGGAATACTGGTACAATGCCAGAGCAACGTCTCAATAAGCACATGAATGATCAAGCACAATGCGAAAGCGAGGAGCTATTACAAAATCGATACATGTATGCGAGATGAGGTTTATAGATGCAAGTGAGACGCCCTCACCATCTCCCAGGGTATCGTGCATCCCAGCCCTCCAAAGCTGCCTATCAAATGCCCACCTCTTTGAGCCCACGTCCATGATCTGCCCAACGAACCCTTGTCACATCCCAACGGTCCCTGACTGATCTATTCTGATTTTCCCCTTTCCGAAAACATTCTTCCCCCCACAAATTCGCCAATTGTCGCCTTTCAGGCCCTTGAGAGAGGACGACTGCTAACACCCCCTTACTTGAGCTGCTTCAAAATCTCGCTCAAGAAGTCCTCAAAGCTCAACGTGATATAACCGTCCCGATCGTCATCGTACCGCTTAAAGACATCCGTCATGCGCTTCAGCGAGATGCACGCCTGGACAAAGAGATCAAAGCTCATGACGCCCTCGCCGCGCTTGTCGTAGGTGCGGAAGAGCAGCTCGACGAACTGGGGGCTGAGGCGGTAGCGGAAGGCGATGAGGGCGTCGGTGAACTCGGGCAGGGAGATGTTGCCGCTGCGGTCGACGTCGAAGCGGTCAAAGAGGGTGCGCCACGAGGCGAGGAAGGACCAGAGGCCGCAGAACTCCTGGAAGCCAATGGTGCCGCTGCGGTCCGAGTCGAACATGCGGATCATCATGCGGACCGTCTGGATGTCGAAGGCGGTCCAGTCGCCGTTGACGAGGGCCGCGGAGAGCTCCTTTTCCGAGAGGTGGCCGGTGCCTGGGTTCGGAGGGAAAATAGAGAGAGCTTGCGTCAGCATATTTGCTTCCTGGGAGGTTTTGTTTTTTCTCTCTTTTTCTGTTTCTTATTTCTTTTGCCTTCACGCAACAATGTCCACCACGTTTGTTCGCGAGAAACTCACCATCCTTGTCTACGGCCCTGAACAAGGGCAGCAGTGTCGGGTCAGCGCCGGTCGTGTCGTTAGAGGGCGACGGAGGCGGCCGCGAGGTGGCTGCCGGGTGGTGCTGCGCTGCCGGGCGCTGGGCGGATGCGACAGGCGGCGGTGATCCGAGGCCGTACGCGCCCGGGTGGTGGATGGGCGACCTCGTGTCGTGTCGCTGCTGGTCGTATCTCGGCTGCCCCTGGGGGTGTCCGGCCGTGTCGCGCCGCGGCGGGTGGTCGTACTGGTGGTGCTGCTGGTCGGGCCTGGGAGACTGGTGCTGCTGCGGGTGCTGCTGGTATTGCGACGGGTGCTGCTGCGGCGGCGGCGGGTGCTGATACTGCTGCTGCGGTGGTGGTGGTGGTTGCTGATACTGTGGCTGCGGGGGTCGCTGGTCGTATCTCTGCTGGGGAGGGGGCACTGAGCCTGGTTTCTGTGAGGACGCGCAAAACAGCGGTTGGTTAGTTGCTCGTGTCATTTGCTTGTCTATTCCTCCAGTGTCCAGGGCGAGAAGGGGGTTTCAGGTAACGTACGGGATCAGGCTCGGCGAATCTATCGTTGGCCAACAGTTAGCGAGTGCCTCATTGAAGACGAAGGCTCAAGGCGTGAGCAGGATGGCAAGCTCAAGATGACGACGTCGTCTTGTTTGGAGCCTTCAGTTGGGACATACCTGGGGAGAGCATCCGGATCGTAGGGTCGGTTGTAGGCCATTTTCGCGGAGGTCAGGTAGGTATGTATCAGAAGGAAAGATGCCAGTAGGTAATAGTTGAAAGCCGTCGCAAATGCGCCGAGACGAGGTCCGTCCGGTACAAGAGTCGAGTTGAAAGATGGAAGCAGTGAGGGAAATTCGAGGGCGCCTGATCAATGCGGATTGTAACGCGCCGTCTCTGCTAAAGCTCGACTCGTGATATCGAGACAGAAGGCAGTAGAAAGGAGCTGAAGGTAAGGGGGGGTGGGGTTGAAGGCGTTTAAGACCAAAGCTTCGCAGCAAGGCGGCAGCAATAGGTATTATTTGGGCAGTAGTAGGTAATAATAGGTAAGGTAGCTTTATCTGCAACTTGGGACGCGGGGCACGTCCAATGGAGAAGAGAAGAAAAAAAAGGGCCGTCTACGGTATCTATCTGCCGTAGTACCTTATTTGCTAATGTATATGATAATAAGGCGGACTGAGGCAGGCAAGGCAATCTGCCAAATGCGAGATTGCAGAGCTCGTCGCCCTTGTAGAAAGCTCGAATAGGGGTTGCAGGCCCTGCTGCCTGTTCGTCGTATGTACAAGAATACGCGTCGCCAAGAGAAGAAGCCGCTCAATTGGCAACAAGAAAGAGCCGGGCGAGAGAGCGAGGAACGAGAACGACGAAGAGGATGAGGAAGAATAAGGTGGTACTTGTAGCTGCGGACGGGATGATCGGATTATTATTACATCCTCTTTTCTCTACCCGACCCGAATAATACCTACCTGACCTGACGTAGCAATACGAGTATTACCTTATGAATCCGACTAGTAGCCACAGAAGTGACGGTTCACATCTTGGCCCGTCTCAGCTGCTGCACCTCCGTCCCGTCAGCCCCTGTCATGCTGTCATTCATCGATTGCCTTCTTTTTCCGTAGCTCAGCTCAAAGTTAGATCAAGTGTTTATCCTTTTGTCAATATGCCTTGCGAAAGGTTGATTTTGTGGCGTTTACTCCATGTTCCTTGGCTCTCGGGATCAATGCCGCGCCTCATCCACTGCATCCACCGCATCCTTCCTGTATTATCCCACTTGTCGTCCTCGTTTAAAATAGCAGCAACTTGCCAGGGCTTGTCTCTCTCTCTCCCTCGCTTTTTCAATCCATTCTGGCACGGCATTGATCCGTTTTGATGACAATCATTACGAGCAAGGGACTCGTCATCTGCATGAATCCAACTGTATCTTGACGGCATTGCTTTCTTCGCACAACTACTAGTACTGCGTAGTACTACTAAGGTACTCCAGTGTCGGAACTGCTAAGCACAACCCCTGGTGCTGCACAGCCGCCATACAGTACGTAAGGTACTTACATAGTAGTTGCGAGGCTCTGCTGCCGGTTTACCCATGGACGGACCTCGCTATACGTGTGTTGCCGACTTCCAGTTGCAGAGAGGAGAATACGTGTAAATGTTCGACACTCCACCTCGAGCCGATGCTATAGGGAGGTAATACGCGCTCAGGCGAGCAGCTTGCGGCATACCTACGGATACCCAGGTACCTATGTAATAGTGTGTAGACGGCATCCGGCGCCATTTCGCCTTGCAGATGCTACATACTACTGAATCTCGTCGAATCTACTTGAACCTACTGTTACTGCTTACCCGTGAGGTGCCTGACCATGTGATGCAAGGAGACCTCACCTCACTCGGGGCCAAACTCTGTAAGATTCCATCAAAGCTCGGAATGATTTGAGCCTCGCAATATTTCTTTCCAGACTCCGTGCATGTCAACTGCCTTTGCCAAAAACCTTGCGATGAATGACTCGAAGGGGTCACTTGATGCTTTGTCATCATGTTCCCTCCATCCTCACGACATTTCTCTACTCCATTAATTGCATCAGCCGCCCCATACGCCATATCATACCTACTGCCGCCAACGTAAACTCTTTCTGCAGCTTCTTCTTCTTCTTCTACTTTCTTCAGCGCATGTCCGATAGATTTGTCTTTTCCTCCCGTTGCCCGTTAACCCCCCGGCTCTTGTGATTTCGTCGTTTCAGACCTCTAATCGACGGTGTACTTGTTTGAATCTCAAAACCAACCGCCGAAAGCATCAACCCCTCCGTGCTCTCCGTGTCCGCTCGTGATGACCGCAGCCGACAAGTCGACAGAATTCTGGCTCTTTGGCTACGGGTACGTTCCCACGATTTGCCGGCTTGATATACTTGTAGCCCTTTCAGACGTGGGCACACGCGATTCGCTTCGCCGCTCCCCTGTCGATGCCCAAGCCCTTTTTGTTCCCGCCCATGTCGTGCATCCAATCTCTGATGGATACCCAACGTATAGGAGCCTCATATGGAAGCCCCCGCCGCATTTCGGTATTGGTCCCCCCCTCTGCATCTCATGCAGTTTGCTCTGCCAAAAGCATGTGGCAAACACCTATTGACATGAGCAACAAGACAGAAGAATCCCTGGCTGGGTGACGGGCTATGTTCGGCGCTTCTGGCAGGTGAGTGCACTCCCATGATCCATGAATCATGATGCAAATATCCAGTGGTCGACTCCTTGACTCCTTTGCCCCTTTTTCTTTTCACATTTCTCGGTATGGCAATGAAGTAGCTCACCAAGTATGTAGGCTAGGTATGTCGACATCAGCGAAGCCCTCCGCAAGAGCGAGCCTGCCATCGCAAGACTCGCTCGTGACGCTGACTCAAATTCTGCACCAGCGAGGATCATCGGGGAACGCCAGAAGCCCCCGGGCGGGTGGTCACGCTCATTGAACGCTCCCACTGGGAACAGCTCACGGATCACCATGACTCTGCCCCTGACAAGGTATGGGGCGTAGCTTATCGGATTCACCCCGACCATGTCGCGGAGGTCAAGGAGTATCTCGATATCCGCGAGATCAACGGCTACTCCATCCACTACACGCCTTTCCACCCCGCCGATGGCTCCCCGCCTATTCAGACACTCGTCTACATCGGCACGCCCGATAACGAGCAGTTTGTCGGCCCCCAAGATCCTCAGCAGCTCGCCGAGCACATCTTGCGTAGTCGTGGACCCAGTGGGCTGAACAAGGATTATCTCTTTGGCCTGGAGGCGGCCTTGGCTGAGCTGTGCCCAGAGAGCGAAGATGTCCACGTTAGCGATCTCGCACGCCGCGTGAGGGCTCTTGAGCTTGCTGCCAACGGCCTGCCCAAGGCTCCCCCAACCTCGCCTCCTCCTTCCAATTTCAAACATGAAAGCAGCACACGGGAAGCGGAGGAAATCGAAAAAAGTTGAATCATAGGAAAGGGGCGGGAACGACAAAGACCAGACTCAACAAAGAAACATGGAAAGCACATGCTGTTTTTTTCCGCTCTCAGATTCCCTAATGATAGACGATGCCGCCCCATACATCTCCTTGGTCAACCTAGATATTGACCCTAGCCCGTCAACAACGTTGCTGATATGATAATTGACCTTTTCTAGAAAATGGTCAAATATGGCCCCAGAATCCCCCTACAGATGCCTCCACCAAAAATCCTCCCTTGACTTGTCCGTGATCCGGCCAGTTCCTCTCACGAGCGATGGTGTGCAGGAACCCCCTGCTTAATTCCATGAGCACAGGACGGGCAAGTAAAAGTCGTCAGTGAAAAAAAGAAAAGAAGAATATCATCCCTCTCCAAGAACTTCTCCTCGAGCAATTTTCGAATGGAAGCCTCGACAGCTCATCCATTCATCGAAAGAACAACGAATCCGGGGTATATCTCTGGCACTCTGTAGATGCTTCGTCTTCAAGAGTTCTATAGGGTACCGCTCGCAAAACCAAAGGGGCACTGGGTCTTTATTTCTCGATAAAACGGCTCTGGAAGGGCTCGGACGCCTTCGCTCTGGGGGAAAGTCTCTGGACGATGAATCTGCGGCGGCTTCAATGGCTTCGCTTAGTAGCTGCCACCGCCCTGAGGAGGCTGTTGCGGCTGCTGAGGAACATTGGGGTAGCCACCGTATGGGGCTCCGTAACCTAGGAAATGGTCAGCATCCTGTCCAAGACGAGCCGTCACCGCAACGGCACCAGACGCGGTATGATTTTCAAGTACCTTGCGGAGGCATGCCATACTGCGGCTGCTGCTGTGGGAAACCACGGCCATACGGAGCCGGTGGGTACATGTTGGGAGCCGCGCCGTATCCAGGGGGTGCTGCGTTGCCGTAGGATCCAGGTGGTGTTCCGTAACCAGCCCGGCCTCCATACGGCATTCCGCCATTGCGATTGAAGAACCTTTCACCACGGGAACCATTATCGGATGCCTTATCAACACGAATAGTTCGCCCGTCAAATCTAATGAAAGTGTCAGACATACTCTGCAAATGTGTGGCTATGGAGAGCCTGGCAGTATGGGGCAGTTGGCAAAGGACAGAAGGCACAAGGAATATTCGTACTCGACATTGTTCATGGCGGCGATGGCAGCTTGGGCATCAGCTTCTTGCACGTATCGCACAAAACCGAAGCCACGGCTGCGGCCGGTATCTCGATCCTTGACGACCACCTTGACACACGCAGATTAGAACACGCGTTCACGGGAAGAGCAGCCACGCACAGCGGCTCCGCGTTAATTAGAATGCTCGGTTCCATCATATGAGCGAGCCGAAACCCACTCAGACGAGGCGAGACAAGTCAATCAAAACCACGCCCTGTTGTGCCCAGGCGTGATGGGAGGGAGATTGACTTACCGCTTCCTCAACCGCGCCAAACTCCTCAAACTTTTGGCGCAGAGTGGCCTCTTCGGTGTGCCATGCTAGGCCGCTTTGGCTCTCAGTCAGCAACAGGAGTCTCCATGGGAGCGAGTGCGCCTGGAGATCAGGCCGGATCACTTACCCTATGAAAAGCTTCGACATTTCGAGTGCACCGCGTCTCAATTTCGACGCTGCTCGCGGATATGGCAGTCCTTGTCAAGAGTTGCAGTACCCTGACCGAATGTTCTGATATTGTCAGGCGGGGTGCAGAAACGGGATGTATAGTTGGCGTTGAGAGAGGGAGGGGTGAAAGAACTAGTCTCAACGGGTAATGGCAGGATGGACTGAGGAGAGTCACAGGCTTGGGCAGTGTCTTGCAGAAGAAGGGTAGGGGATAAAGTCCTCTAAGCTGCATGTGGTTGCGCGAGGCCACTGGCCGTCGGCTGGCGCTCTCGCTGGGGGACAACGAGTGCACTCCAACAAGCGTGTCATAGTGTCATTCGACATTGGATACTAGCGGGCAAACTGTGCAAGATTCATCTGGGCCGTAGCTCCAGATAGCCACCGACCAGTGTGGGCTTGGAATAAGGTATGGGATGGCATACCTCGAAGTCAAGGGGGGCTTGTCGACATGGACCAGCGAGCAGTGTGCGAGTGGGAAAGACAATGAGATTGGAGAAGCAAGGCCAGGTTACTGCCGAGTCCCCAGTGCATTCAATGTCTGCCGGAGTGTCAAGTGACGAGGGAGTGATGCCTTGGGGCGGCTGCCCAATGTATGGGTTGTGGCCAGGTCCAAAGCACGAGTGCAGCGAGACAAGGGCAGGGCGGAGCGATGACAGTTTGGAGTAACGGTGACGGTGACGGTGATGGGGACAGAGAGGACGGAGACGGGAGAGGTGTACCAAGCGGCACCGCAGCAAAGGACACAAAAAGATGCAGGCTAGCCATGCGCGACCACGTACCTAGAGCGATGCCGATTCGTCCGTTGACGTCTGGAACCAGTGGCCAAGCTTGCCCAGGCCTCGAGAAGATGAGCCACGCAACGTGGTTGTGGCTTGCTGATCTCGCCTCTCAGCGATCGACGAGCTGCGGCGAATGTCCCAAGCTATGCGCTAATTAAAATGACCCCAAGTCCAGTCTGGAAACTGGGCTATGAAGCTGGGCTGGGCTGGCAATGCCGCGGCGCGTCAGGAGGGGACAAGCTTGTTATGATGGCGCCTTGGTCTTTATCCGTACGAGGTGCTTATCGGGGGTCACGGCGGCCTCGAGGAAACGGGCGGACGATGAAGCGCGCAGAGGCCGTGTGATGGGTCGAAAAGTCGAGGTGGCAGAAGAAGCCGGATCTTGTGTCTGAGAAAAGTCGGGGGAGGGCAAGGAGAGAAGAAAGCTCAAGACATTTATGCGGTCAAGGGAAGTTGTGGGAGAGCAGAAAACGGTGGCCAGATGGCGGCAGGTCCCCCAAGGTTCTCCGTCTGTCCTGTGCTGTGCGGGTACGAGCACAATGTACTCGGAACTCGACCACTCAGCGCTCTGCACTCTCCAATGGGTTGGGCAGTCTCCCGTTGGCAGCAGGAGTTATCAGCAGCACCTTCGTCGATAACGGCACTTGCCCTGCTCTATCCAGGTAGCACCTGCTGGACAATCTGCTGCTCGCTCGGCAACTACCTACCTTGCTAACGATGCCATGTAGCACCTGCAGCGGGAAACGATCTGCTGGGGGACTACTCGGGGGCTACCTCGCAGAGCTGCCACGGCAGAGCGCAGAGCAGGGTGACTGCCTGGTACCAGAGCGGTGCGAGGCTGATGATGACGTGGGTGATTGGCAAGATGCATCGTTGCTGGGCTGGGCAAGAGCCATGGGATATTGCACACGGTCTCCGACAATTGGCCAATTGCGTGTCGTCTGCGCCAGGTAGGTAGCCGTCAGACGAAGGCTTGAGTCAATCTACCTCTTAGACGAGGCGACCTCACCTTGCAATATCTTTCCTATGTTTGAACCTGAGAGCTGCTGCCGCTTTGCCTTTCTCCCGGTCGGACTCAAGGACTCGATACAGGGCCTCGTTGTGACAGTTGTTGACGTATCATCTACAGGTCCATCTTTCGTATTATGTCACATTGGCTGTAGGTACCTACGAGGGTAGCCAGCAGAATTACCTGGGCAGGGAGCGGCGCGGCGCCCCGGAAGGCAGTCACGACCCAAACGCAGTAGTATCTCATCGTCTGGAAATCTCCCGTGCAAGGAGTCCAGCCGTTTTGATTAACGAATGCACCGCCCGCCTCTAAGCCATGATGCCACATCATGACGGCAAGATGGCGTGACCAAGGCTCAGATCAATGAACAGTCGGCAAGAGACGAGATGGGGACTGTCTATATGCACCCGGGACGAGAAACACTGTCCAGCACTGAGGGGAGGGAAAAGGCTCGTCCCTGCAGCATTGGGCACTAATGAGGTGTAATATCAAACAGGGCCAGATCCAGGTATGACGCATGCTCCCCAATTCAGTCTCTTTGTTCATGCGGTGTCCCTGAAGCCTCCCCTCCTTGCTCAAACATCCCGGAGCGGTCACGTCGGGTGTCTCTGTTGCAGAACCCTCCAAAAGCAGCCTCCTGAATGTCAGAGCCGTACATATCAGAGATCCGGCCATGCTTGTCGCCCCCTTTCTTACTTTCGATTTCAATTGTTGTCAGACATTTTTCTGTCTCAGACAGCACGGAAACCACGGGTACCACGGGTACAACTCCAAGGATTTTTCGACAAATTTTCCAAATCACAACTGTACAAGGCAATGGCGAATTCGATGAGATACCGGTTATCGCGCATAGCTGTACCTCGCTGCCGATTTCTGACACCGATGGCCTTTGATCTTGAGCTCGGCTTAAGCCCCTGGTCGGCATTTGGCTAGAAACACTCGCGAACCGCCCCCAAGCAGGCAGGCTTGTCGTAAGCTACTCGTACTTGATACAATGTAGCTAGGCACAGGTAGGGTCCACGTCAAGCTGTCGTTTGCGAACCCCTGACTTACCTTAGCTCTTCTGGCGACCAGACCCCGGTCACACACCAATAAAAGAGGCGGGAAGGCCCCAAGCTGCTCGCCCAGATGGATGCTTTGCTTGCGAGTGCTGGAGTTCCTTTGGTTTGCCCTTCAGCTCACTAGAGCAGAACATGTTTCGCAGCCTTTCCGCTCCAGGTGGTTGATTGTCTGCCGGCATTGGTGCTCCAGACCAAGAGCCAAGCCAGGATTTGCCACTGGCAGCGTACTGCAGGGCAAGGGTCAGATCGATAGGCGCCCTGCATGCTGCTTCACCAATCGCGAGACCACGAGACCATGCTTGTGCTAACCTCATGTTAGGTATGCACATATTACAGTACATACGAGTCCTCGACACATTGGACGGCAATGCGTCGGAATCGGGGCCAGAAACACAAGGTCCATCACTCCCGCCGAAGAGAACTCCTTGGATCTTGCGCGCGCTTTTCATGTTGGCTCCGCCTGAAGCCCACTGGCCCCGACGAACCATGCAGTCGGGTTCGGCCCCATCCAGCCTACAAAGCGGGCCATACAGGATGCGAGCCTGCTCGAACAGGGTGGCACTGAAGCCCTGCAGCTAGACGAAAACGAACGACTTGGGGGATGGACTTGGCTCCGTCGACGGGGTTGGTAATCAGACGCTCCGATCTGAGTGGATGGCCAAGGGTTGACCCAGGTTGCCAATCAGAGCTGCCAGCTGAGGATCGCCTTGCAGAGACTTGATGTAGGTCGACGAGTCAGGAAGCCACGCCCACAGAGCTCAAAGCTGGCGGTGGGCTTAGCAACGTTGGGGAGACGGAGAGAGCACTGTAATGTCGTGATGTGTGGGCTCGCTTGGCACATGAACTGCTACTGCTGTTTTGCAGTGATACCCGCCATTCAATCCCAAGGCCTCATTGTCCATAGACGTAGTAGGTGCCGCGCCGCGATTAGGAGCAGGCGATGATAGCTAGGTACGAAGAATGACCAGGCCGAGGTGGTTGGACGGCGGTGTTTCGGTGAGCTCTCAAGCCTTAGTCAGCAGTCAGGGGGTCGCATATTCACGCCTGCTTGGGCGCTGTTCCTGGACCTCGCTAACTTGGTCCCTGCAAGCTCGCAAGAACCTGGATCACATCGCCAGCCCCTTCAACCTTTTACTTCAATGACAGCCAGTACTTTGTACGCTGCTGGGCCTATTCTCTTGACAGGCGATCCCATCCATGCCTGGATCGCCTCCCTATCATACAAAGTATACAGATGCTGATATCGAGCACTACGGATGGCTTGGACATGCCCCTTGACTAGGCTAGGCACACCTGATATTCGGAGCCCCGAAGCACCAATGACAGGCCCTGGCTGGCCTCGTCGTCCAGCGTCCTGGAGCGGGGGAGGGGAGGGCCTTCAGCTGCTTTGGGGCAAGCCGTGACGCACGTGTAATTAATCTCAATGGCTTGGGTTTTCTCCTTGGAGCGCTCAGAGGCCTATCAGATAGCCAGGCCTGGACATGGACCAACCTTGCTGCTTTAGGCAGCGCTGCAGCAGGATCCCTGTTCGCCTCAGCGCTGCTGCGTTCACAGTGACAAAAGGCCGACCGCACCAGGTTTCAGCCAGCAAATCGGCCTCGGGAGCTCCAGCGGCCGGCGATGCAGCTTCGCAAACGGTCGCGTCGGCAAGTAATAGATTGCTTCACATATTCGTAATTGTGGCGAGCTTCCAGTACTCGAATATGCGGGCTCTTTTTTGGTAGAACTGCCTGCACTAATGACACTAGCACTTTACTGGGCAGACAGTGTAGCCACTGAACGAATGATGGGGAAAGCTGTCTCCTGCTTTGTGATGCGTGAATGCGTGAGATTCGACTTCCGCTCGGCGACAAACAGGCGAGCATGGCTCCTGCGATATCAATATCAAACCCTCAGAGGTGCTGTTTTTTTGTCGTAAAAGGTAGATTCTGAACTACGAGCTGCGTCTTTCAATGCCGTATCTGCCGCAATGTGACTCGCTGTGACGCTGGAGGCGTTTCCCCGTCGTACATATGGACTCGTTTTGATTCTTTCTCGTCATCAACCGCCATCTGATATCCCGTCGCCTGACAGCAGCATGGCCCGTCACAAATACGGCCGTTCTCCAGCCAGGAAGAGCACGCCTTGCCATCAAGCTGCATGCCGTCATTCCGCTGCCCAGCCGTCTGCTTCCCACAATCAAGGCACTCCTTTGCGGACCGACTTTATCCCTTCCTGGTTACAACACGTGCCAACAAGCTACTATGATGCTTCGCGGGAAGTCCCCCGGGAATCAAGCCCTGGCAATGCTCTAGACACCTCATGGCATCCGAATGGCATCCCGAACGTCCGCATCCAGTCGACCTACGATGCGAGGAGATACCAGTCGTCGGATCTCTTTATCCAGGACAGCCCGTCACCAGTGCCCTCCGCTGTCCAAAGGGGTCGACATCATCATTACGAATCCGACCTGCATAGTGATTACAAGAGGACTCCAGTCGACAGAGGGGGTGGATACAACTCCAGGACCACACTCTCGACACCGCCGCCCGCTTCGGTTGTCAAGGACCATGTTTTCGAGAAGCGACCCAGGCGAAAGACTCGACAGGACCGGTACGACACAGTTAAATCAAAAGATGCCATACCCACAAAGAAGCAGGCGAAAAGGTCCTCCACGCGAGTCTCTAAATCAGGAAGGCTGAGATCAAGCCGGGAAGTCATGGCCAACTTCAAGTCCAGCGCAATTACGAACCCAACCGAAAGAATCACGGTGCTTCTCCCTGTTCCTTTCCTCTGCAACTATCGACTGCCGATGGATAACGCTAACAGTCTATAGTTGAAGTCTACTTTCGTTCCCGGGTTGTTCGTCAACGGCAGAAGCTCCGCACCGGGTATGTACATTACCAGTCAAGGCGAGCCTATCTAACCATGTCTCTTTAGTGGCGGATCTAGTATTCAACGAGATACCCCTTCCTGACGAAGATGGCGAACCAAGCGAAAGAAAACCATCGTCTGACTCGACGTCGAAAGGGACGAAAGAAGAGAGAGCCCGTCGCGAAGACATTCAATATCTCACCAATGCATTGAAGCGCCTAAGAGAAGATTACCCGGCTCCGGATCATCTGGAGAGCAGATCCATCTCCATACTTTCCGGCGGCGATTTCCCTTCCGTCCAACGATCGAGCACTATTGATGCCATCGGCGACGAAACAGCCGCAAAGGAGGCCGGTCCCATGGCACGTTATGGGCTTGACGGCAGCGCTGCACCAGACAAAGCAGGAGATGGCGATACGTTGCGGTCGTTGCCTGCCGGCTATGAAATGCAAAGCCACTCTGTCCGCAGCCGAGCTGCAGCCAACGAGGCCCAGTTCTTCGTATCGAATACCTTGAAAAGATCTACTCCATCGGACGGCGACCCCAGGCTGGAGGACCACAAGACAGCCCCTGGGGGACAGTCAGAGCTCGAGCCTAGTCTGAGTCGAGGCGAGCTCAAGTCTTGTGGCAGCCAGACACTCAACCTTCCAAACTACCAAGACAAGGGTGTCATGGTGAGCCCTCGGATGTACCAGGCCACAGAGATCCACAAGCCCAACGAGCCAGGTAATGGAAGTCAACCTCTTTTCCCAGATGAGGCGAGTGTTCCTATTGTGGGAGCAGAACAACACCGGTCGCACGTTGTTCCTGAAACACCACGTGTTGGAGCAGGCCAACGAGTGATGACTGCGGACTACAGAATTCCGGAGATGGACATTCCTGGTACTAACAGCTATATGTATGGATATCCCACCTATCTGCCGGGACTGTCTGCAGGGTTGGACTTTGGAGCAGTTGTCAAAGACCCCCCCTCCCATCCCAGTGATCCGTCTCCAGCTTGGTTCTTTGGCAGACCGAGCTCCCAATTCCCATTGCTGACTGTAGATTCATTCCCAAATTCGGTTTCAACACTAGTGGATGATACAAGACATACAGCCGATTCAGGCATGCCATGTCAGCCTACCCGTTCTCGCCAGGTATTTCCGATAGCCCAGGACCCTCACGGAGACTTTGATTTTCTTTGCACAAATGCCTTGCAGGACGATGAAGATATGCCAGGAGAGTCTCTCACAGAGTATATTGAAAGAATGGAGCGTGAAATACTCGGATCCGACGAAACATTGTCTATAGGCACTGATGATGGGTTGCTCTCGATGCAACCAACAGGCCATAACCAAATTCCAGGCGCGCTACACCCAGTCGGCGCACAATGCCCAGACGGCTCTCTTCGCAGACTGGAATCAGAGGGGCCGCTCACTTCGAGAGGTTCAGCGCAACGGCCTGTTCGTGAAGATCTTGGCTGGACTTCTCAGTCGCTTCCACGCCCTGAGAGCTTCGATGGCCTCAATGACGGTAAAGATACAGAACTGGCATTCTTTTGGCGGCCAAACCACATGATGTGGTGTTGATACCCTCAGAGCATATTCAGTCATCCTGTCCTCAAGCATTCGAGACTGCGGTTGAATGCTACTGAATTATTCCGGTTCCTGACCCTTCCACTGTTCTCTTAGATCTTGGACTCGAATACCACACTGCTCAGCTTTGGCTATTATTGAGTGGGCTTTGCCCACAACTGGGGCATCAATCATCTTCCCATCGAGAGTCCACGCACCACGTCCGGCAGCCGCGGCCTTTTCGTCGGCGATGGTGATGCGAACAGCCCACTCGACATCCCTCATGTCGGGAGCAAACAAGCGCTGGACAGTCTCCAGCTGTCCGGGATGGATACATTGCTTGCCGTTGAAGCCCATAGCTTTCCCCCCCTTACATTCCTCCTCCAGTATCTGGAGCCCATCATCCCCCTGATAGGAGGTGCAAACCAGGTCAATGGCGCTAGGGAGATTGTATGCTCGAGCTGCAGTGACAATGGCTGACCTTGCATAGAGGAATTCCGTTAGAGTAGGCGTCCTGGTTATGGACAGGTCAAGTGCAAAGTCCTCGGCCGCAAATATCAAACCGCTAAGAAAAGGGGAGGCCTGACAAATGGAGGGGAGATCCATGACTGCCCGAGCGGATTCGATGAGTGCTATAATTCTGATTGGGTTTGTTGAGCCATCTTCGTGACGTTTGGGGGCGACGTGCCGCAGCACATCAGTGACAAAGGTCAGATCGGCGGCCGAGTTGACTTTGGGCACGACAATAGCATCAAGGTGCTCGGCCGATGACAGGGTAGTTAGGTCTTCAAGAGCAAAAGGAGTTGAGACAGCATTGATTCGGACGGCAAGCTCTGCAATAGTAGAGGGGCGCGACTTGAGGCCTGAAATGTGCCCCTTCAACTGGTTCCGGGCATTCTCCTTGTGGGAGGGAGTGACCGAGTCCTCCAGGTCATACGTGACGTTGTCTGTCGTCAAGCCGAGGGATTTGGAGAGCATCTTTTGAGAAGATGCCGGGACTATGAGGCAGCATCAGTTAGAGATCCGCCCCAATTTGAGAATGGACGCCAGAAACAACCATATAACAAGGAGCGGCGCAGAATAGAGGAAGCTCGCGCAGCCATGATGACGCTTGTGGAGACCTGTGGTTTTGTTGGACTGGGGGACGAAGAGGCTGGGATATGCTATCGATATATGTATCTGGCCTCTGGGGGCTGGTAATGTCCAATCTACATCCGGAGAGGAAACTGAGGATTCATAGAGCTGGCTATGATATGATCAAGAGCTACCTATTGGAAGAAGCATCAGCACACACTGGATGTCACCTCTCGCAATAGCAGTGGTCCGTCTACGAAGTGAGTTGCGCACTAACAGGCGCAGCGGCAAACTCATAGGCCTCTTGCGTGGTCCCTTTTGTGCGAGTAATAGCCGGGGACCACTCCCAGCGACCCCACCATGGCCGGAACATCATAGCTCCATCCCTGAGACCGACGAGCTACGGTAGCTTGATCGCGAAGCTTCGCAGTTCCGTTTCCCTCTGATGACGACGAGCCCCCACGACGTTAAGACGACGACGACGAACCACGAACGCCCCGATAGACGGCCTGTCAAATCTTGCAGTCTCTTTACATCTGAAAGCGACTTGAGATCCTCCGAAACGGTTGAGCCGAACCGGAACAAGCTGTATCGAATAGTGTCGCTGCTGCCGCCATGGAAGAGGCCGCGCAGACACAGCCCGCTCCCGGAGCGCTGAGTTGGCGGCTCAGTTCGCATCCTATCACGCTCTTGACGTTTCTGGGCTTTCGAATATGTTGGTGGCCACATCTCTCTCCCCTTCTTGGAACTTGCTGTCGTTTGGGGGAAGTTGGAGTCGAATTGGAAGCGAAGCGCAATGCCTTGAGAGTTTGCGGATATCACCCAGGCTGACGGCGGATTCTTGTGTGCAGCGAGCGTGCTCATATACTTTCTTGGATTATGGATCATCAAGAGCATGTACGTCTTCCTTGCCGCGATCCTATAAACATCCCCTCCCCTTCCAATCTTTCCTGATATCTACCATGGAAAATCGATTTGAACCCGGTTTCTAACTTGGGGTGGGAGTTGAAACCAGGATCATGATCTTCATCATCACAATCCTCCTGCTCGCCGCCGACTTCTACTACCTCAAGAACATTGCGGGCCGGCGCCTCGTCGGCCTCCGGTGGTGGAACGAGGTGGACCCGCAGACGGGCGAGTCGCAGTGGGTGTTTGAGAGCCTGGAGCCGGGCACGCGGCAGATCAATGCGACGGACAGCCGGTTCTTTTGGCTGGCGCTGTACATTCAGCCGCTGTGGTGGGTGCTGATGGCGGTGCTGGCGCTTATTCGGCTGCAGTTTCTGTGGCTGCCTCTTGTTGGTGAGTTTTCTTTTTATGATGCTGTCCCCCTGTTCTTTCTTTCCGCATCCTCTATTTGGGGGTTTCTGGGAGGAGGGAGGAGGAGGGAGGGGGCAATGAGGGAGAGTAAAGGTTTTGGGTGTGATGAAAAGAAGGGGAAAGGCTGACGATGTATATGTGTGTCTGTCTAGCGATTGCGCTTGCTCTTACGATTATCAACACGCTGGCGTTTTCCCGCTGCGACAAGTTTAGCCAGGCGTCGAATTTCGCTGGAGGCGCTTTTGGGTCGACGAATTTGGCGGGCAGCATTGCGAGCAACTTTGTGAGCCGCATGTTCAGGGTGTAAGAATGCCCGGGGGAAACATACGATGAGAATGAACGGCAAAGAGAGAGAGAGAGAGAGAAAAGGAAGAAAAGAACAAGGGGGGAGCGCATTCACGCGAGGAGAGTGATGTATCTTGTTTGCCGCCTTTTCCCTGGTCTGTTATGAAAGGCAGTGAAATTTGCGTGGCTGCTTATATATATATATGGCAATGGATGTATTGAAGCTGCATGAGCCTTCAAAGTCTTGAACGGGTGTCCGAAACGATGACAGGATCTGTTGAACAGCACTATTCAGAGGGCTACATTATGCAAAAGCGTCTCTTTTCAGAAGGGCGATACAATGTCTTTATGACTTCGATAGATATGAGATGCTGGCCCTTGATGACTGTTGATTCGAAACACATATAATGGGATATACTCATACATCAGGCAGCAAAGGAGCTCAGCATTTCCCCGTGTTTTCTTCTAATTGTCTACTTTATCTAGCGAGCGACGCCCTCGTGCTACTACTATGAAGCTGCTAAAACGAGCGCAGAGGGTATTCAATGTACAACCAAGATCATAACAAAAGTGCAAAGAGAAATATCAAGATCATTCCGTCATTCCCACACATCTCAGCCAACCATTTACAGAAAAGGTGAGATGAAGAGGACATCGTTCAAAAGATTGAACACCCATGGTATGTGTTTGTATGCTACCGTGACGGTCCTTTGCTCTTGATCTGAGATCCCAAGTCGTCATGGAAATGACAATAGAGGGAATTACCAGCTTTCATAGATGATCATGCGGCCATAGGTAGGGGCGACTCAACGTCCCAAAGTGACATAAAGGAAAAGACAAAGCCGACAACCCAGCCAATGCAGCCCTGGGTATTCCCCTCTTGGGGAAACAGGGGAAACGCCTCGTATACTTACTTGCACCGGAAAAACAAAGCTCAGCTAGACGTCCTTCGCGCCGCACGCTCAATCTCGGCGTCCAGATGCCGCTCTTCCTCCTCCAGCCGCAGAATATCAGCCTCCGTCATGCCCTCCTCGACGAGATGGGCAATGTTACGTGCCCTATTGCCCGACGTAGCCGTGCTGGGGCGGTCGTCTGCAGGAGACACCGGGTCGGCTGCGCTGGTCCCTGCGGCGTGCTGGAGAGGTATCGGTAGGGCGCTGGAGCCGGAAACGGGCCCGATTGCTCGGCTGTTGTCATTGTCGGAAAAGGGCGAGATGACGGGCGACTCGACGACGGATGGCCGGGCCTCCTTGGTGCCGATGAAGGAGCTGGTCGTCTGGTGGGTAGCATTGTAGCCCCCGTCGAAGTGGCGTCTCCGGCGGCGGCGCAGGAGGAACCAGGCCAGGCCGGCGATGAGCGCGATGCCGATGATGGAGCACGCCACGGCGATGCCGGCGATGGCACCCGTGCTGAGCCCGCCTCCGCCCCCGCCTCCGCTGGATCCAATGCTGCCACCTCCTCCTATGCCGTTGCCGGTGTCAGAAGGGCCGCTGGTCGGGAGGCTGGGGTTGCCGATGGAAGTGGTAGCCTCGCCGCCTTGCTTGTCCTGGCTATTGTCCGTTGCCTCTCGGTCAAAGGCTTCCGAGTCAAAGGGTCCGTTTGCAACGGTGAAGACGCCCGATTGTGTGAAGCCCTCGTCGCCGCTTTGTGTCTTCCAATCAATCTTGATTACCATCTCCCTCGTGTACCACTCGCCTGTGCTCAGTCCGGAGTCTGTGAGATTGAGCATTGCGTCCGAGGGATTCACTGTCGTCCTTGTCAGCCTTTTTCCATCGTTTGGTCGTCTCGACGATGAGAGCACATGCTCGTCCTCATACGATGTGGACGGGAGAGGGCAACATACGCTTGGCAAACTCATTTCCAGGTGTGCTGTCGCCAAACTTGGCGTGGGCAATGACACTTGCTTGAGATACATCAAAGGCCTCTCCATTGTTGACTTTCCTGCCGTACCAGAAGATATCTAGCAGCGTCGTGTTGCTCCTTGTATATGTCCAGGCAAAAGTCTTTGTCCGACTCTGGGTAGAAAAGACGCGACCGGTGCTATTGGGTCCAAAGTTGGTCTTGTCATTGAACACGAGCACCTTGGGCGAGGAAAGCGAAGTGAACGAGTTTGTAGGCGAAGCACTCGGCAATATGTTCATCTGGGTCGACGTCGGCAGCATGCCTTGAGCCTCGCTGCTTATGGTGCCGCCTCCGTCGCCCCCCGCAGGGCCGCCAACGCCGGGACCATTGGGATCGACGCCTTCAGATGGCAGCAGTGAGAAGGTGGTGGAAGTTGGTGCGTCTCCAGTGGCCAAGCCCGCCATGGAGAACGGCTGGGAAGGGCTTCGGGCGAGCGTGAAAGCGGTCTCTCCAAGTTGATTATATGGTGGTGTAGCAAGACGGCCCAACTAGCTAGTGCCCGACACCAACATCAACATCCGACAGCACGGGGACCAAGTAACCGGAATAGGGAGCAAAGCCGGAAGGAGAGCAGAAGGAGAGCGAAAAGGAGAAGAAAAGGGAAAAGAAAGAAAGAAGAGGAAGAGAAGAGGAAGAGAGAATTAACTGGGGGGGGAAGTGGTGTAAGTCGGTGATAGCGGCGGGCTCGTCAGACACAACAGCGAAAAACGAGGCGCAAGCCGCACGAGAAGTGAGATGTCAGACCGGGGCGAATAGCGGCCGCGAACAGGATCGCAGGACTAGCTGCCCAGGGCCATGTCGATTGTTGCTCGCTTCGTCTGCACATGGCTAAACGGGCTTCCTGATTCCATGGTTCGTCTTGGCCCCTCCTCAGACCACTCATGACTGAGGGGGGCTCTGCTGCATGCCCTCCCGTGCCTATTGATTGATTGATTGTTGGTTATCTCGTCGTCCACAAAGCCATGTACGAGTATCATGATCCTTCATCGAGGCGGGTTGTGTTGCATTCCTGCTACGCTGCGGTTTCGCTGGGCTGGGCAGCGCCAGATCAAACTCGGCCACCCCTGCTCCCCTGGTCCCTTTGGCGTCCAGTCCGAAGGAAGGGCAGACGAAAAGATGGTGACGGGCGAGTGGGTTGGAGTGGGCTTGGCCTGGGGCGGATGGATGGGGCCGCATGAGGCTGGCTATATTTGGCATCCCTCGAGTCGTCTCCGAAGTTGTACACCGCATGTGCAAGTATAGGTATATAGGTACAGTGCAGTGTAGGCAGGGAGACGCAGACGGGATCGCTCCAGTCGCTTACTCGGCGCTGACAGGAAACCCATTCGGACTGGGGTTGAAGCGGAGTTGTTCTTGTGTGACGGTTGTTGATCAGCGCCTCTTCTGGTCTTCTCGTACATGGAAATATAATACTGGGAGAAACATGTGTTCATACTTTGATAGGCCATGTATAGGTATGGAGCACCACTTACACAGTCTGTCTAACCGCTGAAAGACTTGCGGTCGTATCACATGGTAAGTAATCATAAGGGACCACAACATGAAGCAAAAGCCCGATCCCAGCCTAGGCAGTGCAACCAGGATAGTATGTATGTAGACGCAAAGGAGCTGCTGTTGCTGCTGTTGCTGCTCAACTGTACAGCAGGAGCCCGACAGGTCCCCCCTCTTCCACCCACTCCAGGGCACAATAGACGCTGTTTGACGGGAGACGGTTTGTCACCCGTTGGCTGAATTCTGATTCATGGGTTTTCGATGGAGCAGCGGAGTGGCGTCTTTTGGTCGGGGCAAGCCATTGAGCCTATGGAGAGCCGGGTGAGGCTGAAGGGGTGTTCTCCACTGCGGCTGACTAGGGCGGGACATGGGGTGGCTTGGGATCTGCCTTGTTGTTTTTGTTTGCTTGTTTTAGAAGTAGTAAGTAATAGTATTCGGTGTGTATGCGGAAGAATGGTGATGGTTGGAAAGTCTGCGGTTGAGGCGTCGAAGTTGGTGGTCTGAAGAAGACTGGAGATGCCAGAGGATTATCTGATTGATACCTGAGGCAGCAGGTGGACAGTGCTGCTGCTAAGGGATACTTGATGCCGCATATTGCAGACGCTGGGGTAAGGAAGTCGCAACTTATCTGTCCAAGATCATAAGATGCCCAAGGTACCCAGACGTCAGAAAATACCACCAGCATGGACACTCAATAGGTTCCTAGGCAAGACCAGGTAACCTCCTCACCATCATGAAAAGCGGCATCGATTGGCCACAGACCCGTCCATGCCCAGACCTAGCGAATGCGTTATTGCATGTGGCTTGCAAATAGCCTGTTTCGACGCTTGTTACACATGATGTGTGCCCAAGGGCTCAAGAGGCTCCAACCCAACACAGCTGAAACAACCCTGAGGTCCGATGCACTCTTAAGCATCACGAAGAAAAACGACCAAAGACAATTGCTTCCCAGAACAGCTTCTCTATACGGGAGTAAGACGCACAAATTACTTCCCTATCAAGAAAATTTGCTTATCTCATTCATCTTCTCTTGCCCTGCCCTCTCGTCATCTTTTGTAATAACGCAACCATCTACGCCGCCCCCCGGCCTCTAGTCGATTATACAGCTCCAGACATACAAAGTACATGCAGCAGCATATCGAGACCCCCCCTCTCTATACATGTAACAAAAGCTCATCAAAACAGAAGAAGATAGAGAACCAGATCCCATCCATCCATCCATCCAGTCATTCAATTATACTAACCCCTCACTTTCGACATCCGACAATCAAAGGTCAGAAGTCAAAGGTCGAATTGCACGCAGGTAAAAAAAAAACTTGAACAGAGTGATTTTACCCAACTCCAATGGTATGTACCGAGACGATGCAGGCGAAGAAGAGGGAAGCGGAATTTTAACAACCCCCATAGAGCGATTACGCAAAAGTCATGGAAATCTCCTGCTCCTTGCCAAAGTCATCGTCGTCCGGGTCGTTCCAGGGGTCGGCCAGCGTCATGGTCGGCAATGTGCTGGCCGTCTTGACAACCGGTCTGCTCGGCTCTTCGTCAAATGCGGAATGTCGGCGGCCGGGCTCCTGGAAAGACGTATCAAACGTCATCTGAATCTCGTCATCGTGTGTGTCATGCTCGTAGAGGTACGGCGACGGAGAAGGGCGAGTCGTCGGCGTTCCCGACGTTGTAGCAGCCTGCTCTCGCGTCCCGTTATTGGAAAACCGCAACGGTAGCACATCCGCGCTCTTCGATGTCTGCAAGGATCCGTGAGGCTCCAGTCCAGCCCCCCGTGCCGGAGTTTGAGGCGACGAGGCCGGCGAGTAGTCGAGCTTCATCGGTGGGAGGGTCGACTTAATCTCCTTGACCTGTATTTCCTCTGTACCGTCGTTGTCGGCTTCTTTGGCGAGTTCAGCGCGAATGGCATCAATGTCGAACAAAACACCATAATTGTTGCCGTCCTTATCCTCGGTCTTCTTCCCAGGCTTGGGTGAGTTTTTGCCCGACTCTTCGTAAATCTCCCACTCTTGCCTTTCTCCCTTGTTGCGCCGTCCGAAAAACCCAAACTTGCTTGTCCTCTTTGACGCTTTGCCCTCCTTCTCCAGCGCTCTCCGGGCTTCTTCAATCTCGTTGATAAGCTCTCGCTGCCGCCCTTGGTGGTCATCCGGGTCAGGGTCTTCAATTTCTGAAAACTCCTCGCTAGTTACGACCCATCCGCATCTCATGAGAAGCGAAGGCATAGCCTTGCGGTACTCCATATGGCCAGCCACGAGGTCCGTCACGTCGACGTTTTCTATCCACGGGCAGTCGTCCAACGGGGCAAGCCCGGCGATTCGCCTGATGCCACCGTTTGTTAATCGAAAAAGATAGCCCAGGATCCAGTCGTTACGGTTATATCCGTTTACGAAGCGGCCAGAAACCACGGAGCGGGCCTTGAGATACTCGTCTTGCTTGGCCACAATGGGCGACCCAAACATGTAGACATTCTGAACGAGCCCAAACGCACCCTTCCTCGCCAGCTCTCTCAGGCAGGAAAAGATGACTCGGGCGCCGAGCGAGTACCCAACAAGGGTGATGGGCCGCGTACCCAAGCTACGTTCTATAAGCGAGTCGGCCAGGATGAGGCCTGCCGCGGTTGCACGATCGAGAGACACCGCCCAGGGGTTGTCGATGAGATAGGAGAGCTTTGTCAGGACCACCGGCAGCTGAATGGCAGCCATCAGACTGACAAGGATCGTGCTGCCCAGGACTTGTTGCAGACCTTGTGTGAGTGCCTAGGGGAGGGGGTTAGTCTTTGCGGCAGATATCCTTGGGGCAAACTCTCATGTTGAGCTTACCTCGGTAGCCAGAATGTTTATGGTGTCACCCATGCTCCGGAGCATTTCTGGTTCCCACAGCACGGAGTAGATGTCACCCATGATAGGGTCGACCGTGCTAAACGGCAAGCGGACATCATCAACCTTTCCCGTGAGCCAACCGGACACGGTGACAATCAGGTTGACGCGCTTGTTGTTGTGGAGAGGCCGATACTCAAACGTCTTGACAGCGCCAGTCCGGCGACCGGCCGCCCTGCCACCGATGACACCGCCCGAGGCCGCTGCGCTGGATGTGATGATGGCAGCTCCTCCAGCTCCAGCCAGGAAGCTGCTGGTACCTGTCACACCAATCGTCGTAAAGCCGGCGGCCAACCCTGCTCCAATGACAGGGGCAAGCAGGCCGGCAGAGAGTCCAATGACGAGGCCACCGCCCACAGTCGCTAGGCCCATCATGATGTACCTCTTCTTCAAAGCCATCTTTCTCCTGTGCTCCATGTGTTCCTCTTCGTTCCAGTTTTCTTTTTCGGCTGCCTGCTGCATCTCCAATGCATCCGTTACCTTCTTTTCGAACTTGCAAATGTCTATCCATGAAATGCCCAGGCTCTTCCCCACCCGCTCCAGTAGAACTCTTGAGCGAGCATCATATACCGAGTCCGCAATCAGTATCAGGAACAAGTCGCACAGCACCGTCCATCGCAGGTCAATGTCAATCTTCTCCGTCGTGGGCATCTGCGAAGGCGTCTTGACCTCCGGCAGCTCCTCGCCAGTGTGTGTCTCGTACGGGGGCGGCATCTCGGCAGGCTTTTCCTCCTCTGAATACGACGGTAGGTAACGGCTAGATCTGGGGGTCCCCAGCCTCTTCTCTTCTGCCATTGGGTTCTGAACTCTGGAGTTGGCAAGAAGGGCTGCTGTGAGATCCTGCGCCATGACGCCGTGTTCTGCAAGCTGCTCAATCATGATCTGCTCGGCATCGCTAATGTCCATGTGAGAGTAGAGCCGGATCATCATCTTCTGACCCCACATCTTGACGGCCTCGGCGCCCATGAGGACCTGTCTTTTGGCAGATTTCGGCAGCGGCAGGCTCTCAGCCTCCTTGACCATGTTCACAATCTCCAGGCGGACGACGCCGACGTATGCGATCCTCTGCCCTTCGGTGAGGAGGTCCTTGGTGGCCTGCATCTGGGACACGGCGTCCCTGGCCTCTTCGTCTTCGCCTATCGACGTGCCGTTGGGGTTCTTGAACAAGTATTGCGTATGCTCGTCCATGCTCGTCGCCGACTCGGCGTCTTCATCCATAATCACCCGTGTATATCCCTTTCCGGCGCCACCGAGACCGGCATAGCCATACGTCTCATCCTCATCTGCGTCGTGCTCTCGTGCGATCAAACGGTCGTCGTCGTCATACATGTCGTATCTGGCATAGGATGGCATTTCCTGCCAGCCGCCATCATCGTCTTCGTCCTTCTTCTTCTCGTCCTCCTTTTCTTCGCGTTGCAGCAAGTGTTGATGAGAGAATTCTGAGATGCCCTTGCCACTCGCAGGGCTAGAAAAGCTCCGGTCTCGGTTGTGTGTTTGGCTGATTCCTTCAGGTGATTTTGCCTGGAGGTATCTTTCGCTCGAGTCGGCGCCCCTCAACGGGGTCTTTGGGGTAGAAGGCGCTTCAAACGTAGGGTTTCCTTTGGCCGGAATTGGGGTCGTGGGCGGCAGCTGCTGGTCTTCTGTCGATGAGCTCATGGTCACTTGTCGCTCTGTCTCATTCTCGGCCTTGGCCTCTGTACTGCTTGTCTGCTTGGGTGACGACGAGGTAGCTGCAGATGCCGTCTCCGGGGTCGACTGAGCGCTCTTGGAGCCAGCATCCTCTGGGTCGCCGCCCGATGCGCGCCCATTCTTTCCGCCAGCAGCTTCGGTTGCCTCTTCGTGTCCGTCTTTGGATCCGCCGCGACCATTTCGGATCTCGTTCCCGTCGTCGGCATCGTTTGTCGCATCTTGGGCCTCCGCGCCCGTCGGTTCCGCCGCCGGCGGTGCTATGTATCGCCTGATGGGAAGCCCAAAGTCATCCACATCGGCCACAGCAGTCGGCGCCGCAGCCGCCGTGGATTCTGCCTCCTTGCCGGCCATTGTCACAGCCCCAAGATACGCGAGGAGGGGTTGCTGGAGATCACGTCCACGTCCACATCCGCCTTGTCGGCGCGCGCGAGGGGCATGGATGGGACGTGACGGGGGAAAGACGCGAGAGTCTTTGGAGGAGAGAGACAGAAGGCGAAGACGACGACGACGACGAAGAAGAAGAAGAAGAAGAAGAGGATATTCCCTCTCTCGCTCTCTCTCTCTCTCTCTCTCTCTTCCTGCTCGTCTTCTGCCTCGTTCGGGTTGCTGGTGGTCGCGAGCCGGAGAGCGGTGTCGCAACAGCGTGTGTGGTTACGTCGTTAAATTAAATTTGGCGGCCCCCCCGGGCTAGCGGGAGGGAGAGGCGGCGCTGCTTTCGGGCTGCAAATTCCGGCGCTGCCACCACCCAACAACCGGCTCTGGCAGTGACAAGTTTATTAGCGTCTCAATGGTCAAGGCTGTCTCAGTTGGCACAAGAATCCAGCAGAATGGCGGGAGTTCAGGGGAATGGAGTTGCTGTTTCGGCGGCAGCAGTGATGGCGGGGATCCTTTAGAAGATTCGTGATGCAAGCTGCGGAGTGGCAGTGACAAAGAGTGGCTCGCTCGCATTCGTATTTGACTGTCTGGGGGCGTGGAGGGGGGTTTCTGCTAGGCTCGGCGTCGTAAGACGACTGGGATGATAAGGTAGAGAGCTGTCAGTTTAGGTATCTTATCACGATCCGTACGTACCTATTCATCTGACAGCATCCCCCAATAGTAATACGCACACTGCCCCCATTGTTTGAGATATGTCGGTCCTCGTAAGCCAAAGCTTCTTCCAGCATGACGACACAAGACGAAAACAACGAGGAATGGGGCGAGTATCATTCTTTCCATTGGATGCGCTGCAACAATCATACTACCTAGTATAGTACTAGCAGTGCTCTTCTTGCGGAGATTTGTCTTTCGCTCTGTCTGAGACTGCTCTCTGCTGCTTCGAGACTGCAGATGAATAACTGGCCTCTATGTATGCAGCGGCTAACACACGCTGCATTCCATGCCTCTTCTTCCCAGCCAGACGCAGCGTGAGTTTCTCCATACCTATGAGACAGCCGCAACCATCATTCACCATCAGCCAGACACGACGCATAGCAATCGTATGTACTAGGTAATATTCACAGTCGCTTCTACCGGCCATAGCCATATGCTAGGTAGTCATCACATAATTATTACAACTCCATGCTCAACGCCCTGAGCACTGTCATTGTCCTCTACCAATGACCACAGCGCCCCAGTCTCCATTGTTTCGCTCATCATGAGAACCGCCACGCCTTTCAGCTCTCTCCTCCGGCATTGCTCGGGGCTGCCGCAGCCGGCTCTGAGGCGCCGGGCGCTGTCGCATTTTCTGATTTGGTCTTCTTCCGTCGCTTCCTCTTCGCCTTGGTGTCTGATGCAGCAGTCTCTGGCTTCTTGTCGGTCTCCTTCTTTGGCGTTTGCTGCGGCTTCTTCTTCTTCACTGATAAGGGATTTGCTCCCTTGGCGCCTCTGTGTTTCTTGGGTTTCTTCTCGGTCGTGGGTGCTTGTGTGGCCTTGCGTCGGTCGCCGTCTTCGTCGTCGCTTTCACTGTGATCGCCATTGTCCGCACCCTCGTCTTTCTCTTCGCGTTTCCGCTTGCCAACCGTCTTCTTGAGCTCCGCCCTGAACTTCCGTCTCTCCTCTCGTTCCCGAATCTGCACGCTCTCATCCGCCATGGGCTCCAGAATCATGACGCTCCGCTTGATGTATATCAGCGGCACTCCCCTGATCCCACGCAGCATTCTCCGGACATCCAGGTTCTGGCTGGCAACCACGTAGCGATGCTTGTTCTCGCCGGTTGATTTGGGGTCCACGACGGACCGCAGGCACTCTATCGTCTCGAGGGGTTTGGGGTATTCATCTGGGTGGTGGCCACAGCGTCTTCGTTCGAATGTCTTGGCCAGTTCAATCGCCGCATTGCCGCCGGGCTGGTCTTTGTCTGCGTAGAGCTTTCGGATTTCGCATTGGGTGATTACTGTCGACTCTTGTCAGCAGTTGCTCGAGTTCGAGCGATGCCGGCTTACTCACATGGCTTGACTTTGCCGTGAACTGTGCTCTGCAACCTAGCCGCTAGGTCCATGGTACACTTGTTCGCATCTTTAACCATTTCCGCGTCCACTGCAGAAGAGAACCGTCAGTCGCAGGCATCTGGGAACATCCCCGCCATGTTTGAGACGAACCTAGGACCTGATATGGCTCGCGAAAGCCAAACGTCATGGAGAACTGCTCCATGAGCTTGCGATATTGCTTTGACCGTTTTCCTCTCATCTTGATGGTATATTCTGTGGCGGATTTGTGCTGATTTCGACGAGTTGAGGCCGAGGAGCAAGAGAGCAAGAGTCTTTTGTCGCAGCAATAACGTGAAATCCCATCAATCGAGCTCAGTCTGAGCTTGGAAAATAAATTTCTTATCGTCAGAGTGGAGCACGTGCGATAACAATCTCCAAGGTTTATGAGGTGGGGCCGTTCTGCACGACCCACCCCGTGCACCAGCGCCGAATAGGAACTAGACCTCCATTCAATGCTTGATAGAGTCGTCTCTATCAAGATATTCTCAAACGTTGAGAACTCGCACTTGAATGAATTTCCATTGGTATTGCTATTTGTGTTTGGATCACTTCTCACCGGCACTAGAACCAGGCCGACGCCTATCCTCTCTCACGTGCTCACATATTGTCAAACCTAGTATTCTGGCGACTCGTTGACTCGAGTCAACGACAGCGAACTGACAAACGCCAATGCTTCGACCCCGGATATCAGACGCCAGGTTTGCTAAACCACAGCGCTGCCCATATCGCCGTGTTACTTCCCTTCGTCTCTAACGCATAATGCGGCAACAACGCTGATATCGTCCAGCTTTCCTATCAATAGGTTAGTGAATGTCACGCAGTTGGACGTAGTTAGAGAACAGACTAACCTCCCTCGCTGGCTAAGCCCTCCTCAATGGCATGCTCCATGAACGGACTCTCGGCATAAGGATCGAGAGCTACCGCTTTAGCAGCCGCTACTAAGTCCCGAGCAACAATTGCCATACCGCCATTGCGGCCGCCCCTTCGATCTACCTTGCTATCCGCACCTACACCTTTCCCATCCTCCCACTCTTTTATGCTTTGAAAGACTCGAGCCGCAATCTCGTGCCCCCAGAGGTTGTCAATGACACCATCGCTCATTGCCAGGACCACGTCGCCTTCTTCCAGGTCTACCGTGTCCACCACCGCGTTCTGCCTCGGCGTGTCGGGGCTATTCGTGCCGAGCTGGCGCGGACAGTCGAACCAATGCCACTGTTCCGTGGTCTTGAAGACGACCGATTGGTCTCGAGGGCGGAGAACGAGGATCTGGCTGTCGCCCAGGTTCGTCACATGGAGGACTGGCACCGCAACTTGGCGCCCCGCGTCCGTCACCACCTTGTAGTGAAGTTGAGCGCCACACGCTGTCGTCGTTCCCTGCCAGTTATGCGCCCCGGTCGCTTCTTGTGTCTGCTCGAACGCCGTCTGCAGGGATGCGATGGAGTCGGGCTGGTAGGCCTTTTGCTCGAACAGGTTCTTCGTCGCCTCGTCTTCGATGGCCGTTGCCCAAAAGTGCAATATCAGTCGCGACCACAACCTGTCTGTTCCGTCAGGGGCGTCATCCTACAGGGCGGGATGCCGTGCTACGGGAGGGATTTACCCAGCATGACCTCTGGGGCGCGCCGCCCACGCACCCACGCCGTCGTTTGCACATATGAAATAGTCGCTAGCATACACAGCATCGTCACCGTTGGTAAGTCCCTTGATGAGTTCTCCATTCACGAACGCGCGGGCTCGACGGTCTCGGCTCTGGTGGTGGGTGCTCAGGGGATCTGAGAAGGACACGGATGGAGGGGACAGGAAGGGCGGCGGAAACGGCCGGGGCGACCGCTTCGCAAACAGCGCGATGCCCGTCTCAAAGCGAAAGGGCGATTTGCCGTACGGCGATGGCGGCTGCGACGGCGGCTGCGGTTGCGATTGCGATTGCGGTTGCGACGCTGCAGAGACGAGGCGTCTCTCCCAGCGGCCCCGCCATCGCGGGCCTGCGAAGCACTTGAGACGCGATGAGGATGTCAGGAAACTCGCCAACGGTGGAGAGAGTGATGTGCGCATTCCCAACATGTGCAGCAAACGCCAACCTGTTGGGCCGCTGAGCACAGCCTGGAGGCGGAATTCCAGGATGCGAACAGGAGGTTGTCTCGATATCCCCGGATCGGAGCTTACGATGGGTGTGAACAGCAGCGGGTTCGATTAGCCGCACGTGATGGGGTGATTGGTAAAGGTCCGTATGCGGAGCGCGTGGAGAAGGCACCAGACTGCTGCACTGATTGACTGCCCTGCTCTTTGAACCTTTTACGATGGCTTCTCTTCCTTCCTACCTAGCTACCCTGCAACATGTCCAATTTCACACGAAATACCTCTCTAGAACATCGCCGTTGACTCATGTCTGATAATATTCTTGTCCATCCAAACGCCAAATGTCGCTTAGCAGCTGCAAATTAACGGCCTCGCCTGAGCTTTGCATTCGCCCAAGCCGGCCCGCTGCCATGTTCAGTAAAGCCGACACGACCGAACTGCCATCGGAAAATATCAGGACCTCTCATTTCCGTTGAAATGAGAAAGAGGGCACCTCGTTGATGAAAGGGAGCCCGGGAAGCCGAACATGCCGCCGTACTTTGTCGCAGTTCCCCGAGCTCATGGGAGCAGCGCACAACGTTAGTGAATCGCCACGGAGCCTTGATCAACCGCAGCTCAACGCATCTGGCACCGTCTTCCAATATCGAGCTGATCCCGGCAAGCGGATCAGCAGAATCGAGGGTCTGATCGTGGGTCTAAACGTGGGAGACTTGCCGCCCTTCCAAGGCAGAGCATCAACGACTAACTGGGCCACTACCACGACTAGCATCGCAGCTGAACTTTGGTGCGATGCGACTAAGAATATGCTTGGCAAAGATGGGTGAAAAAGTGCGGAGCAGCAGCGAATTCTTGATAACGCAGCATGTGGTACATACATAGAATCATCGAATGCACACTGCATCATCCAAGGGAGCGATCCCCCAATGCCCCCCGTCAGAAACAGCCAGCCGCATGATGCACCATCAAGTTCAACCTCAACTTCAACTGGGCCTCACTGACGTCGATTGAATGCAGCCAAGGTGGGTGATCGGATGGTGTCACCGGGCCCGAAGCCGCCCATCACGGAGGATTTGCTGGCTGGGAAACCGGGACGACGGGTTGCACGGCACCGCCTTGAGCAAGGCTTAGGCCTATCGTGACGCGTACAATGCGGGAGGATGTGCTCTTTCGTTGCTCGTGCAGCCTTCTGGTGGCACCCACTGACAAGATCGATTTACAGCACCCGGCCTGGTGTGTGTGTGCGTGTGTGTGTGTGTGTGTGTTACAGAGGCGGTACGTTGTGAGACACGGCGGGCCCGTCATGTTTCGATTTTACGAAACAATTACTACTACCATCATGAACGAAGTGCCAGATCGAAGCCCACGCTTCTTCTTTTCCAAGGGGGCCAGCATGACGTCAGGCTGCGTTTTGGCAGCTCCTCGACCTTGGTCTGATGGATGGCAACGATTCTCCGGTGAGAAAGCTGGAGCCGGACCCTTGGCGTGCCCCATCACCACCGCCATCGTTAGCAGCAAGCATTCAATCCAATGTTGTCGTTACTATTTACGGACTCGTGAGTCGTACTCGTACCTGCAAGAAGCAGCAGAGGGGGCTTCCACAACGAACCAGAGGATGCCAACGCTTTCGTCTGTATGTACGATGGAATCTTGGCAGCTTTTCTGAATTGGCAACCTTCTGGATGCGCCGCCACCCCCCGGATCAGCAGCTTTCTTTCTGGAGGCTCCATCAGCGGCGTAATTCCTCATGCTTCACCGCAATTGGAGTTTGCCGCCGTCCCGTCCGTTGGGGTGAGGGGGAAAAGCACCGACAGCTTGGAAGTAGGTAAGTGCTGACTTGTCCCTCTCTTTCTCTCTATTCCTCATGCCGTGCCGCAAAAAGCTGTGTCGTCTCCGGCTGTGGTGAGGCTTCAAACTTACGGTGCCTCTTGGATGCCGGTGGGTTGATTGGAGCAGTTCCATTGGGTAGAGGCAATGATTGTGGATTTGCGTACTTCTTGGCTTGCTGCGCCGCGATTGATCTTGGAAGGTTTCGGCTTACTTGGCGTATAATCCGTGCTCGTAGCTGTAATACCGGTGAGAAGGTAAATCTGCCCGGGAGCAATAGGCGACTGGGAACTGAATAGTTGCCGTGCTCCGTCGGGTATTATTACTTTGGTAGCACAACAGCCTCCGCCCTATCTAGGCCAGATGCGGCGTTTTGGCGGCGTCTGGAGTAGCGTTGCATTGCATCGCATGGCCCGGAGAGGTTCGGCAGCTCGGGGAACGGAGGCCAGAGTTTGCGTGAGTTTGGTGTCGGGTGCCAAATGTCGGAATTAACTGAGGCGAGAAATGGCGAGCACTAGGTAGGTAGGTAAGGTAGGTATAATCTCGTAGGTGTTGTGAGCGAGGTGCGTAACAAGGCTGTGTGATGGGGTGCCAGGCTGTAAGCGAGCACAAAGGGGGGGCTTGGCTTTGAGGAACCCTGTAGCGAGCTGAAGGATGAATGAAAGGAAAGGGAAAAGGAAAGCAGGAGAAGGCGGATGAAGAGAGATGATGGTAGTACTTCGATTGTAGGCACCTTAGGTAGGTAGGTACTTTCAGACAAACTACCTACAGGACCCTAAAGAGAAACAACGTGCGTCACAAGTTCCTGCATTGACGGCGCCTGGAGTGGTGTGACACGATGCATGACAATGGAGACGGACGATGGACAAGTCTCCAAAGGCGGTCTGCAGTGACTTGAATTGAATTGGCCGGATGAAAGGCGACTGACGTGGTGTAGAGGGCGGCTAGCATTTGCCGCGAAACATGTTGTAACAAAGGTCTCTGACACGGATTCAATGGGGGATTCAACGACAGCCTTTCATTCACGTTGTTTGGCGCCCATCGGAACCAGAGCGGTTGGACAGCGGAGGCCGAGGGGGGCGGGCTTCTTGTTGCTGGCGGCAAAGGCTGCCGTGGGCCGGCCCCCTTGCTTTGTGGCCCTGAATGAAACAGAACAGAGCCACAACAATTCTGCTCCCCTCTTTGTGAGTCGAAAATTGAAGATGAGGGTCGTTTTTTCTCTTTTGAACATGATAATTGCGCAGGGCTCCATCTTCTGGCGGTGACTCGCAGGCATGCCAATGCACGAAATACTGGGGACGAAAGCAGGCGCCAATATCAATAATCTCTTCTAGAACACCCGCCGGTGATGACGCTATTACTATTACCACCTGGCACGAGAGGAGAGGCGTGCCCATCTGGAAGCCCTTGTTCGTTGCAGCTGTTTTGAGTAATGCTGCCCATGTTGTGGTAGTACTGCTACTACTAGAGATAACACCTACGATACGCTCAAGGCGTACATACTTACATGGACGGAGTAAGAGTTGTCGATATAGGGGCGCTTAAGGACTCCACCAGCCTACTACTAAGCCACGGGGCATCCGGAGCTACGAGATGAGAAGAAAAGGCTGAAATTTACGGACTCTTTTCGTTGTGTTCGGGTGCTGGTATTACTACTGGCTAGAGCCCCTTGCGGGCGCAGAGTTGGCGGTAATACATGCAAAGGAAGAGAAGAAACAAGAACAAAGGCACGCGGTTACGAGATCAGAGCGAACCGCCATAACGGGCGATTTGTTAGTAACGTGTACATGCTGTAATCCACAAACTCGGGGGTAAGGTAGGTAGGTATTACCACCCCCTGGCAGCCATTGTCCGGGCAGTACGGAATTCTAGGTAAGGTACCTGGGCGCCAGCTTAGCCGTTCCCCATATTTGCATCAGACGCATATTGTAAGTACTTGACAGACATGGAGCACCGCACTCTCGCACAGTCGGTGCGTCGACAAAGTGCGTGCTCCGTATCCGTAATGAAAGAAGCAAACCAGCATGGGGAAGGGAAGCAGAAAAGAAAAAGAGAATAACTTAATAAAAAAAAGGGTCTTGTTTGAACACATGCCCAGTTTCCGCCATGCTTAAATACTAGTGAGCCTCCCCATCTAGTCCCTCCCCCCCAGCCGTGGCTCTCCCTTCTTGTCTGGGGAATGTCTCTCGTGGCTTGCCGCCTTGGCCTCTTCCGACCAGATGAACCAGCGACGTCGTCGTGACGATCTTGCGACCCAGGCTTAACGTTTGTTGGCGTTAGCGATCGCCTCTGGCTTGCCATTTAGTGGCGCCGCCGCCTCAGCTGCCACCTCTGCCAGTGACGTCGAGCATGCATGCTTCCCGATCGTTCTACTATCTGATTTCCTTCCCTCTTTTCCTTGACAGGCCATCGAGATAGTCTGACGGCATACCTGGGCGACTGACGTGGATGAGTCTGGAGGAGAGGAAGAGAGAGACAAGACAATTACGACAGACGCTCAAGGGTGCTGCGTTCTGCTTCTGGCCTGGTGACTGCAACCATTTGCTGGGGGGAACTTTCACCTTGGCCCCTTGGCACGCCAGTCGAGAGCGTACCAACGACATCCAAATACGAACATCGGCTCCCTCGACTTTGGATAATACGCCAAGAGTAGAGAAAGAGAAGAAACACACAAAAAAAAGGGAAGCATCACGGAACAAAGCTGCCTGAAACAGCTGTCAGCGATCTGCAGGGCTGGCTAGCACAAGCAGCCGCCAGACCCCCATTCAAGCATCATCATCATCAAAAAAAGCCAAGGTGAGTAAAGAGTTCCAATAGAACATTCCCAGTTTCTCCGTGTCCGCACCGTCGAGCCGCAGCCGCAGCGGTGGCTCGCCCGGTTCTTGGTTCGGCGCCAAAAACCCACCAACGAGCGGCGCAAGTGTGCACGGCATGGCTTGCGACATTCCCGCCCCGGGCGAGTTGGCACCAGCAAGGAGGGAGAGAGAGAGAGGATCGAGTGTGAGAGAAAAAAATTAGATCTCCTGAGCAATGATGGCAAGCGGAGCCCGGATTTTCCCTGCTTGTGTACTTGCTTGGCTGCTTGGGCTTGGCTTCTGCCCTCTCTTGAGGGTCTCTCTTCCTAGTCATGCTGTCATGCCAATCTGGCTCAGCAGGCTCCGGCAGATCCGCTCGTGCCCCCAATGAATCCATTGAAACCCAGACAGCCCAGCGCTTTCCCAGCCGTGTGGATGAAGGAGGCAATTAATAGATAAATAGTAGCAGCCGTACGACGCACAGCTTTCCCGCAAGCCCGATCCTGCTTTTCTTGCTACGACCTCTACCTATTCCTGCGTGAAACCCCTACCTCTTCCTAGGTATTCAGACCTACCTTACCTACCTACCTTGCCTCTACTAAGTGCCATTCGACAAGTGGAAAGACACCAACCACACAGCGCATCGTCATCATCATCATCAGCAGCAACAACAACAGCAACACCGACGCATCGACTGCCGCTGCAGCCCGCCCTAGGAGCAATACGATACGAGGCATCATATCGCGTGCTTGTCTCACGGGGGCCCGTCACTAGAACACCCCCCCGAACAGACTGGCGATACGAGCCCCGGCTGCATTTTCTCTTTTGGCCCTGACTCCATTTAAAGGGACCGATTCGGGCTGCGTCGCTTCATTGCCCCGGCATAGTACTTACTTATACGTCGCCCATCACCACCACCCCGTCACCACCACACCTCTACATTCAACTTCTCTTGCTATATCATCGCTCGCTCGCCTTTTTCCTTAACTCGCTTTTTTTTCTATTTTCTTTACACTCGACACCGCCGCCGCCGGCCGCCGGCCACGCCACTCGCTGCTCCTATTGATACCCGATTTCTCCTTTTATTGTTGGCCTCTGCATTATCGAATACTGCATTCCGGCGAAGAACTACGAGAACCGACGAAGAAAAGAGAAAGACCGGCTTCAGCTTCATGATACCGCACACTCGCCAGAGCCTACTCTAGCTTCGACGTCAAACCGCTCCCGACTGCCTCACTCACCCCCTTCCACCCTCTTCTAGATCGACCGCCCGCCCGAGCACCGGCAAACCCAGTCGCGCATCGCACCATGGGTCGCAATCGAGGTTCGTACTGCCCTATTCCCGTCTCGTCCTTTGTCCGCCGAGTTCTGGCCATTCGTCACCAGCCCCAGCTGGACCCCCAGCAAGCTCCAGTTCTTGCACCCCCCAGCACCCCAGCAGGACCCCTACCTCTACCTCCAGTTAGTTCTGGCGCTGTCCTGGACCCTCCCAGAGTCTCCATGATGGATCTTTACCAAGCCCAGTGTCCCCCCTTGGTTTGCCGCTAAAACCCCAGCATTGCGCAACATACTTACGGTGGCATCCTGGGCGCTGCTCGGAGCACGACTGGCCTCCACTGTCGCCGCTGTTTGTGCGCGAGTTGTTGCGGGCTTCCATTCAATGTTTGCGCAGTTCTCGGGCGTACAGGTACAAGCTTACACGCCCAGGCGCAAGTGTGCCTGGCGGTAACTCGGACCTGCGCAGTCGCCGTGCCGCTCTGGGCGCTGCTCAATCCAATGCTAGGTACCTACACATTAGCGCTGCTACATACGGTACCGCTGCGCTGTGCTGCTACCGCTCCTCAGGGTAGCAGTGAGGCTAGTGTTCGTATCGCAGCGCTCTGTTAGCAGGCGGCTGCCCAAAGCGATCTGGTCGACATTGGCTGCATGGATGCCTCCCGCAGCGAGCGTCGCTCGACCCTGGTCGCCAACCCAATGCCGCCGACTGCTCCGGGCTAGGGGCGGCCTCTTTTTGTTTTCCCTCTGACAGCCAAGGCTCGTTTATTCTGCTGGCTGCTTGGTGCTAACGTGCGCGTGTGTCACCGTCTAGTCGTTTCGTGGATGTCCTCGCTGTCGTCGGGGCGCAAGTCACCAATATCGCCGTCCACAACGCCGCCCTCTTCCGACGAGTCTCCCCTTTCCAAGGACGCAAAGTCCCGGGTCAAGAAGCGACACTCGCTCGCGCACATCGACCTGCGCAGCCCTCCCACGCCACCGCCGCAGTCCGACTATGGCTCGCCCATAAACGTCGACGCCCCAACCCGAGGTAACCGGAACAGCAGCGCGCGACCCATGTCCATCATCCAGACGTATCAGCCGCCCGTCATGGAGGTGACCGAGGACACCATTCCCGAGCTGCAGCCCATCTTCTCGCTGCTCAACTACCATTCCAACAAGCTGTATCACGAGGGCTATTTTTTGAAGCTGGATGATCAGAACACCCGTACGTGGCGTCGTTCCAACCCATACCCACCCCCCACGTTTGTGGCTGCATGGGCGCTTGCTGACCTTGACACTCACTCATTCAGAGGGCAAACCGAACCCAGATAGAACATGGGCCGAATGCTTCGCGCAGCTTGTCGGCACCGTGCTCTCTTTATGGGACGCCGCAGAGCTGGACGCTGCCGGCGAAGACGGCGAAGTTCTTCCCAAATTCATTAATCTCACAGATGCTTCGATCAAAGTGGTAAGACGCCCCTCACGTGCTCAGTGTCGACTGCGAGGATTGCGAGTCTAACACGAAGCTTCTTTCGGCCGATAGATTGAGTCTCTGCCGACCCGTTCAAGCGATGAGCAGCCGCTACAGAACATCCTTAGCCTGTCCACCGCTGGCAAGAATCGATACCTGCTGCATTTCACCTCCCACGAGTCACTGCTGGAATGGACAGCCGCTGTTCGACTTGCCATGTACGAGCATGCCTGTCTCCAGGAAGCCTACACAGGCGCCCTGATTGCTGGCAGGGCCAAGAATCTCAACAACATCAATATCATGATGGAGAGATCCAAGTACAAGATCGAGGTCTGGGCCAGGGTTCGGTTTGGCGCCGGCGTGCCATGGAGGCGCTGCTGGTGTGTCATCACGCCCCCCGACGAAAAGGAGTACAACAAGCTCCAGAAGGAGCTGAAGAAGAAGTCGGCCTACGATCGATCTCCTGCGCGCGTCGTCAAAGGAGACATTAAGTTTTACGATGTCAAGACCGAGGGCAAGAAGCAAAAGAGGACACAGCCCGTTGCCACCATCACCGAGGCCTACTCGGCATATGCCATCTACCCGCAGGCCAAGTCGCTGGTGGATGCCTCAACACTCATCAAGATTGAAGGCAATATCTCCATCCACTCCTCGCCAGAGTCGTCTTCGGAGGGCTTCGTCTTCATCATGCCCGAGACGCGCCCCGCCGTCAGCGGCTTCGAGACGATGCTGCGCTTCCTCTTCCCGACATGGGACACCTTTGGCCTATATGGCCGCCCGGGCCGACTCGTCGCCAGCGCGCTGGATGCTCGATCCCTCATGTTCGCCATGCCCAAGAACAAGAAGCAAGGGTACCTGGAGCTCCAGGACATCCTCGCGCTCCTGCAGGACGCGAAGAGCTCGACATGGAGCGAGAGGGAGTGGCGAAAGCGCCTCAAGGAGGCCACTGGCACGCGGATGAACTCGCTGGAAGATGGAACTCGGTCTTATTCTCCGGCTTCCAACAGCAACCGAAACAGCAACAGAATTAGCTTCAACAAGCCCAGAGTAGGTTTCGCTGGCGACGACTTGAACCGGATGCGCAATTCTTCCGATTCCAACAGCCCCATCTCGATGGGCTCGAATTCCTCGCCAAACGATCAGTCACCTCTCGAGATGGCCGGGCGGGTCGGAAGCTCGAGCTCGGACGAGGGCCGGGCTATGACGCCGAATGCTTATGTCGAGCCCATTGAGACCAGCATGGGGGTGAATCGCACTCCGGAGCCCGTCGTTCGACCTCCGAATATCATGCGCGATGCTCATGACCGCCCGTCAAGCACACCATACAACTCGGCCGAACTGCGCCGGGCCAACAACCGCCTGTCCAATGGCACTCTGGCTCAGATGGCCAAGGCTGGCGGCATTGCTCTGCCTCAGGTCCCCGACATTCCCGACGACGAAGAAGACGAGCAGTTCTTTGACGCCCCGCCTCCGGTTCCTGCCCATGGCGGTGGGTTCTACTCCAACGACAACCGATCTGCTCACTCCATGAACCGCCCCCCTAGCCACCATAGCCACCACAGCTACCACAGCTACCGTGATGGCGACCGCCCACCCACTAACCACTCGCACCAATCGCGTCAAAGGCAACCGTCTCCCTATGGCCAGAGATCGCCCTACACACAAGGCCCTTACGACCAGAGACCGGTTTCCAGAGACGAATCTCACTCGCCGTACCACGCTCAGCGCCCGCTGCCACCTCCCCACGCGACATCGTACCCGGACGAGCAATATGGATCTTACCGCCCCGATTCTGGTGCGAGACCCTATTCTGGCGGCGGCTTTCCTGGGTACAACCAGGGGCACCCTCAGCGGAAGCCTCTTCCCATGAGGCCCGAAGCATCCTGGAACAAGCACCAGAGCATCACTCCCAACGACATCATTGATCACTATACCACACAGTCCCGAGCCCAGTACGACGGCTTCCTGCCTCCCCAGCCGCCGCTCCACCTGGAGTTCCGCAACGAGCTGCAGGAAGAGTTGCAGCAGCAATTGCAGCAGCCGTATGTGGAACGCCCCCGCGCCGGTGTTCTGAAGACGGTGGGCGGTGCCGACCCGGAATCTCACTACAATCCCGGCTTCGAGATCCCCGACGTCAACTTTGGCCCAACCGTTAAGTACGGCGTGGCCCCGGTGCTCCGCAAGCCCGCACCCCCTACGCATGAGCCTCAAGTGCCGAAGACGCCGACGCAGCCAAAGGGCAACCACAAGAGGCAGGACTCGTCGACTGTGCCTTGGCATCCGGCCTCGCCGACATCGCCGGGTTCCCCGCGGTCGGTCCGCCTCACACCCGAGGAGTATGTCCAGCATCGTGCCTCCATCGCCTCGGCTCCCCGCGGACACGGACGAACCCTGTCAGCCAACTCGCTTGGTGGCCACTCGGCGCGAGCCATGTCACCGCAAACGGTGTACGGCTCGGGACAGCACCGACAATACTAGACGGCAAATCTTGGTACTTTTCTGAATTTAGAGTACAGCAGCAACACCTTTTGTTACGAACATACCCTCCTTTTTGCATTGTTCCCTTGCCTTGGATTTTTTGTTTCTATGCATTTTCTATCATGTCGGTTGTACTCTTACTCTTTTGTACATGTCTTCTATCTTATGGTGATAGATACTCTATCAGGCGACTGTGATGTATATGCAGCTTTGAATGCCGTATGCATGGAAGGCGTTGGGCTGGGAGCACTCCATATATCTATAGGAAGTATATCTGAGCATTGTCAATGTTGCTCTAGGACATTCATACACGACATCGTGTTGTCCCCGTCATCATAGGGAACCATACCACCGACATTGTATCGGTGGGCACACGAAATACTATGGGCGGAAGGATCAATCACATTTGATACCAGGTAGATTTATTGGTATGCAGATGGCAATACTACTACTACCAAGTAATGAGGACCGATTTTCCTGTGTATGGGTGCTGACAATTGAGTGAAACATGCTCGTGACTTGTAGATGTCGTAAGTCGATAGCATTTTCATTGTGGTGAATGAGGCTTGGGTGCCGTATGAACAGGGCACATGATTTGTGACGCTATGATAAGCCCGGATTCACGGTAGGTAGGTACCAGGTATACAGCAGCAGCTGTTGAGGCACCTGTCAAAGTTGTTGTGGAAGCTCTCACGACATTATGAAATGAGATAGGGTTGCCCTTTTGGAGTAGGTTTGGGTACCTGAGATGGGCTCCAAGATAGGGGGGGGGGGGGGGGGGGGGGGGGTGGGTTACAGCCGAAGCGATGAGCGGCATCAATGTTGCTGAGGGCTGCATAGGTGTGGTGTACCTGCATGTAACAAAGAAAGCCTGCAGCGTGATGGAGGGGAAGGAAGAAGAAGAAGAAGAAGAAGAAGAAGAAGAAGAAGGGCAGATTAGGAATGTCATTGGGTCAGCATGAGATGTACAGTACTTTGTGGTCTTTTGGTCAGCGGCACGCGCGTGTTGTGGGCGCAAGATGCAAGATCAGGAACGGAGAGAGAGGCTCGTGGCGAAGAGGCTGACGGGGTTTTGGGTTGGCGATCTGGTGACTTTCTTAGGTGTGGGTGTGGACGTGAATGGAGGGGAGCGAACGAACGAACGAACGCGCGGAAGAGACACCAGTTTGTTGCGCGGCTGCATTGACAATACCTATCACCTACCTCTTACATTATCAGATGTTAATCCTAGCATGGGATGGGATGGAAGAGGAAAACGCCAAGATTGGGATATGCAGGGCAATATAGTAGCGTGTACGTGTCTGCTACCTAGTCTTGTTGTATTAAAGGCTATGTGGGAAAAAAGATGCGAAAAGGACGCGCGCGACGAGATGGCGTCTTTGTCCTGTCCCGTCCGTCTCGTCTCGTCTTTTTTTTGTCGCGTGTGACTTGTGAGCGTGTTGCGAGTCTCTCTCGAAGGCCACGCGCAACACGAGTGACACGCTTTTTTTCTTCTTAGATCTCGTTCCTGCTTTTCTTGTTCTGTGTTCTGCTTGATTTGACACCTGCAATGAATGCTGTGTGCATGGTTTGCTTTGTGTCCAATGTTTTATCTGGGTGAATGATGGATGACGTCTTTACGGGTCCTGATGCGTGGCAGATGATGCTTTGCAGGTTGCTTGCTGATTTGCTTTTTCCTTTATTAATGTGATGGGAGATGCCTTGTCGTGGGTGCCTTTTCTGGAGCGCGCTCCGGATGCCTCTTTTTTGTTTCTTATGAGAATCGATCAACACGCCTACTGTACCTAATCCACGACAACCTGCACGCAAAACAAGCCACTAACAAACCCCGCCATTTGCCTGGCCTGGCTGCTGTTTTGCCGCCGTGTAGATCAGGAAGCTCGTGCTACTAGTGAGGAGGAGGCGAGTTCTTATAAAGTTGCGGCTTCAAGCTTGTTTCACTTGCTCACGCACTTTGTGCCTTATTACCACAATACCTCCATGTACAAGGGGGGGCCTGGCTGGTGTCTTTTGTGTTTGTGTCCTACCGATCTTCCCCAGCTTTCTTCTTCTTTAACCTATTCTTTGCTTTTGTACTCCGCCACGCCACCCTTTTCCCCCATCCTTTATGTGGATTTCTCAACGCTTGTTGATACATGATACCGATTATATCTCCTTGGCAAACATCCAATCCGACCTTGACAACAGCAGCAAACCGGCGGACCGCGTCCACCAGCGCTGTGGCGCAGACGAACAGGCGGGAAGTCCATGCTTTAAAGCTGGGCGACTTGGCGCTGCGGCACGGTGCGGGCTGGTACCTCTACGACCTACCTACCTAAGCTCCCGTCCCTCTTATAGCGACAAGCGCTGGACAGTTACTGGACCTCTCTGCGAGTTTGTCTCTGATAAGGGCGTGAAAAAAAAAAGTCGTCACTCTCAACATCCCAAGATCTTCCGTCTACTCTCCTCTTCGAACATCTTTCGCATAGCCGGCGCAACAAGCAATCGGAACCCGGACTGCTTCTGACGCCGCAGCGTCGCCCGGGTCGCCCCCAATGGACGCCGAGGGGCAGCCGCCGACTCAGCCAACGCAGGGTAAGTCCTATGCTGCTGCTGATGATGATGATGGAGAGATTGCAGAGACGATTCACGATTCACGATCAGGTCGCTGACATGTGCCTTTGGTCTCGCCAGCGACGCAAACCGTCCTCGACCCGCGCCGCATCGGCAAGCAGAACTCGGGCTTCTCGGACGATGACGTCTCGGACATCATCTGCGTGCTGTACCCGCACTCGCAGGCGGCGCGCCTCGAGGTGCAGCAGCTGGCCGCCAGCGGGTCGCCGTACATCATCGGCAAGGACGAGGCCGACGGCGTCGAGGTCGACTACGACGCCGAGGACGACGCCAGCCGCTTCGACGAGATGCCCCAGGACCTGGGCAGCCACGCCCTCATCCTGCGGCTGTCGAGCCCGGTCAAGAACCCGGCCGCCGGCTTTCGCTTTGGGCGCAACGGCGCCCGCTGCGACGTCGTCTTCGCCAACGATCCGCTGCGCAGGGTCAGCAACATCCACTTCCGCATCTACATCAACGAGTACGGCACCGTCATGGTCGAGGACCACTCCACCAACGGCACCACCGTCGACAACAACCTGCTCATCTCCCGCCCCCGCGACCCGGCCGTCGCCAACGACCCCGACCGCAAGACCAAGTGGATGCTGAGCTCGGGGTCCATCGTCGGCATCTACCTGCAGGACATGAGGCACCTCTCCTTCCGCGTCCGCATCCCCCGCCGCGAGAACGAGTTCGACCTGGCCTACCAGCGCCGCGTCGACGCCTACTTTGCCCGCCAGGCCCTGCGAGGAGGGCCTGTCGAGACCGTCACCACGGGTCCGGGTGGCCATGTCGACCTCTTCGGCGGCACGGCAGCGCAGAACGCACAGGCGGCCTTGGCTCCGGCCCCAAACGCACAGGCTGCCGCGCTCCGCGTCCCCGACCGCCAGCCTCCCGAGCAGCGGTCTCCCTCGAAGCGCAAGGAGGCCCGGGTTGCCCAACGCCAGTGGACCGGATCTGGCAAGTATAACAAGATTGGCATGATTGGAAAGGGAGCCTTTGCCGTCGTCTACAAGGTCACGTCCAAGTACAACGGCGTGCCGTATGCTGCCAAGGAGCTCGAGAAGCGCCGCTTCATCAAGAACGGCGTCCTGGACCAAAAGGTGGAAAATGAGATGCGCATCATGCAGAAAGTGGACCATGTAAGTTTGCGTGATGCCTTGCCTTGCCTGTGTGACTGCGTTTTTCTTTTCTTTAGCTAACCATTTTGGACTCCCGCGTTGAAGCCCAACATTGTGCGGTACATAGAAAACTTTGACTGGGACGATCGACTTCTCATCATCATCATGGAATATGTGCCGGGAGGCGATCTCGGAAAGCACATCGCAGACGATATGCCCTTTTCCGAGTCGGACTCGAGGGAAATGGCCAAACAGCTGCTGAGCGCACTGTCCTATCTGCATGCCAACAACATCACCCATAGAGACGTCAAGCCAGACAATATACTCATCAATTCCCTCCAGCCGCTGGACGTCAAGCTCACCGACTTTGGACTGTCCAAGATGGTAGACACCGAGCAGACGTTCCTCCGGACGTTTTGCGGCACCCTCCTTTACTGTGCTCCCGAAGTGTACACTGAGTATGCCGAGTACGACGAAAATGGCGTCAGGAGCAGGGGTAAAAAGGCTCGCCGCGTGCCGGGCCAAAGGTACAACCACGCCGTGGACATCTGGTCTCTGGGCGGCGTGCTCTTTTACTCAATGACGGGCCAGCCTCCCTATCCGGTCAAGAGCGGCATCAGTTACTCGGAGCTGCTGCATAAGATCATGACGACCCTGCTAGACATTCGACCGCTGGAGAGGCGTGCGATTTCCGACGACGGCATCGACTTCATATGCAGCATGCTTCAGAGGAAACCGGAGAATCGTGGGACGATAGACGAGCTGTTTCGCCACTCATGGCTGACCCCTTTATACATTCAAGCCTCGCCTCAATCCTTTGACGTGGTCAGCGATGACGAAGGCGTCATGTCAGACCCGCCCCCTGAATATCGTGAGCACGAGTACGAGGACCCGTTTGAATTTGACAGGGTGAGCGACTCCAACGGAGAAGATGAAGAAGAGGAAGAGGAGGCAAGACGAGAAGAAGCAGGGCAGGGCAGGAATAAGGGAAAGGAACCGGAGGATGACGACACGGATAATGACATGCCCATAACAACAAGGCTCGAGTACCCCATCGAGGAAGCCATGCACATAGGGACGCAGCGGCCTCGTCTCTTTGGCGAAATAGGGGCCTCCGCCGTCGGCAATTCTGGAGCCGTACCAGAGGACCACCTTAACCTGCCAGTTACAAACGGGATCGACTCGGACAGTGGTAGTGGTGGTGGTGGTGGTGGTGCTGAAGGCGAGCTTGACGAGGCTTACGATTCCGGAGATTCAGGCGCAACTCTGGTCAAACGAAACGACCGCCGCTTTCTGCGGCATGGGACGAGCATGTCCATTGGCCGCCATCAGTCGGCCGACCAGCTGCAGAGCCTCGTCGAAGAAGTTGCTTCTCAAAAGCTCAACGGCAACGAATCCCCTGTCAAGCTCTCTGATGCGTCAAACCCCACAACTCCTTCCATGGACTTCAACACCAGCAAGCGTAAGACGTCCTCGTCGCTCGAGGCTAGCGACGAACTGGACCTCGAAAGCACGCCCACTGGGAAGCCGGTCATCAAACGGCTCAAGTCGGAGAGCTTCAGCCAAGACGTGAGCGCCCAGTTGCTCGAGGAGTACAGGCTGCTGGCCAGCATGCCTCCGATCAAAAAGTCCAACTCTGGCCGTCAGATCGACCAGCAGGTGACGAAAACGCTCTTTTGGCAGCAGGATCGCAGCACGTGGCACCTTAACTACCCCGAGATGACGCAGCTCCAGTACGATGCCTTTGTCCAGGCTGCGCGCAACAGAAAGGAGGAGTTTGGCCCAAACAACAAGCCTTTGTGGGACTTGGCCATGCGGTACTTTCCTCCCACTCCGCCTACAACGGGCAGCCAGATTTCACGGACTCAGGATGAGGACGTCCTCATGGACATTCCCTCTACCGGTGAGCACGCCGCCGGCTACGAGGACCCGGATGCTGGCCGTCTGGATACTCAGCGGGTGGTTCCTGTGCAGACGAACAGTGGCAGTCGAGCCATCGGCATGATCACCTCGCACGAGAAGTCCTGCATCAAGAAGATTGAGATGCACATTACGGACTCGCTGATATCCTTTGGCCGCGGTGTGGGCAACACGGTCGTGTTCCAGCCAAAGACCAACACGAGAGTGCCAAAGCATGCCTTTAAGATCCTGCTATGGAAGGACGGCTACGACCCGGCCAAGGACGCCCACCCATGGAAAGACGACCTTGCGGACGCAGCAGACTCGTACTTCTTCTGGATCTCCACCAAGGCGACCATCGGCATCTCCGTCAACGGGCAGCGCATCGCATCCAGCAACCCGGCAAAGGCCTCTGCGCCCTCAATCAACTGGGCCAAGATCTACAACGAGGACGTCCTGGACCTGTGGCACTCGGAGGACGGCAGGGAGCAGACCAAGCTCGTCTTCCAGTGCTTCTGGGGCGGCTCGCGTCGCAAGCGCGAGGAGGACTCGCAGCGGCGCCTCGAGATGGCGAGCGTCGCCGCGGCCAAGGTGCTCGACGTGGCCGTGCCAGCGGACCGAGCGGCGCATCCGCGAGGCCGCCGCCCTCAAGCAGGACGAGGAGCGCGGCCGCGACGGCGCCGACAGGAGGCAGGCCGAGAAGCTGCGCATCAAGAGAGCCCTCGAGGCCGACGACAGGGAGCGCCAGCAGCGCATCTACATCGAGCGTTACATGAGCCACGTCTTTGAATAGAGTAGGCTCCCCGCCTTACAGTTCCTGGCCCAGAGGCAAGGAGCTCTCTTCTTCCATTCGTCGAGATAAGGGGTCGTCCTCGTCTTCTCTCTCGCCCACCACTATGTTTGTCGGTTAATCTTTTCTACGACGCTGGCTGAACCGCCACTGCTTTCTCGTATGACTTCACCTCCCTTCCCTCACTCCATTCTATTTGTCTTATAGCCCCCACTGCAATGTCTCCTCGATCGGTCTTATCACCCTCTCCATACACCCCATACACCTCTCTTTATCCTCCCCATACACCCTCGGCCTGACATTCCTCATTCTATTATATCGTTCCTTTTTACGGCCCCCCTATCAGCTCACGCGGTTCCTTCTTCTTGCACAACTATCTTGACCGTGTATTTTGCGTAACTTTCCTCAATACACCACAAGCATTCAACCTCCCCATCTTCGTCTACTGCGCATTTGCGACGCACTGCTCGGCTACAACGCTGCCCACTCATCTGTATCCCCCTCTCCTACCGCAATCACCCACTTACTAACCCACAACAACCAAAACGCTGCTTATATCAAATTCCTCCCCCCCCCATTCTTTTTGTCTCATCTCTCCATAGCATATCTATCCGCTTACTTCTTATTTCATATGTCATTCATTACACTTCTTACTTCTCTATCCCTTGCATTTTCTTGCTCTACCTTCCTTCCCTAACTTATACGTCTCCTCTATATAATACTTTCTCCTACATCTGCTACTTTTCAACCCACTATTTTTCTAAATCACTCTACATTCTGAAAT